AATTGCTATGGCCCTCAAGCGTTGACAGGCAGGCGCCGCTGCTCGCATCCCAGATCTTAACAGTGCGGTCGTCCGATGCCGACGCCAGCCGGGTCGAGTCGTGAGAGAAGGCAACTGACTTGACCGAATTGCTATGGCCCTCGAGCGTCGACAGGCACGCGCTCCAGCCGTCGCTTATTGCTGGCTTGATTGTGAGCCGTTTTGGCTCTTCGTGCTGGAAATGTCTTCTTATACAACTCTTTGTTGGACTGAATAACAGCGCAGATATATAGGCCTGGAGAGCGCTATGTTCAATAGCTCCCTTGTGATACATAATAAATCGATGCGCGTCCTTGACAAGCTTAGTAAATGCACTTGCATCTCTTGCACTTGCATCTCCTCTTTTCTACGTTACATTAGCATGAGGATTGTCTAAACTGTGGTAATTCTTTATAACGTACTTGGATTAACAACCATAGTTTCTCTACTGAAGCAACACCCTTCGGCACGCTCTTGCACAGACTAAGAGCTTCCAGCCAGTAGAGAAACTTCTTCTGCAAAAACATGTCAACAATGCCTCCGTTATGCAACGCATTGTTGTAGCTCGCTGAAGACGTAAGATTTGAGTCATAAAGATGATCCACCCAGTAGATAGACGAGTAGCGCGATGCTGCTAAGGGATCTAGATCTGGCTGTTTGACGTCCTTAACAGGATATCCTAACGCTCCTAAGCCGTACATATCCCGCTGTAGGGTCCTGGACAGTATTTTGAGTGACCTGACAAAGATAGTATAATGGACATCCTTCCTTCCAGATGGGAAAACTACTTCAGCCGCCCTAGCTAGGAGAAAGTCCTTGGCCGACTGATGCACAAAGTAAATTGTCTCTTCTCGGAGGGTGAGGAATGAGCCACAAAGGCTGATGATCTCACGTATCGACTCTGGGTCGTCAGCTATGTCTTCGAGCTGTTCGACGAGGGCCGCCAGCTCTTCCAGCGTGATTGGGCGGTACACGAGCGTGATCAAAGCCAGCGTTTGCTTGCAGAGTTCAGCATCATCCGACTTGCTAATCTGCTGCATCATCCGCTCGTACAGGCAGTCTAGTCCAGGCGGGAACGAGCCTAACTTCTTCAGCACGTTCCGTTTCGACGTCGCCTTAAGGGTTTGGCACACCAGCGCTACCCAGAGGAAGGTGTCATTTGCATTTGACGCTAGATGCTCTAGCACAGCGTCTCGGGTCCGTTCGCTGTAATTCTTCTGCTGCGCCAGCTGAGACACCTTTTGCTTGATAAAGATGCTAACAGCTGTTGACACGGACTCGGCGTTTAGCTCAAGGCTTAGCCTCACCTTATGGTCTGCCCGCTCTAGCTGTTCCTCAATATCCGACCAGTTACGGCTGGAGACAATCCACTTAACGCGAGAAGACGCGGATGACTGCTTTGCAATGAAGTCGAGCAGCTTTGGCAAGTCGGTAACACATTCATCTAGCGCGTCGATGATAAAGTATGTGGTGTTCAAGCTCGGGTCTCGCAGCACATCCGTAAAGACCTCTGATAAGGCAACCCAGGCATTCGCGTCCTTGAAGAGGACTTTGCCCGCGTAGTCGTGCTTCTTCCGTATATGCGAGACAAGCAATGGCTGCTGTTTAACAAGCAAATAAAGCAGACCTCGCAGCACGGCCGTGGCGTTGTTGATCCGCGAGTCAGTGGCCTGGCAGAAGAAGTAGGTCAGAAGAGCCGTGTTAGCTATCGACTTGTGCAGCTCGTTGATAATGCCGCAGAGCAGCATCGTTTTGCCTTTGCCGGGATCGCCCTTGATCCATAACAGTCGGCTCTGCTGGTTGTCACGCCATTGTTGAAAGTCGGGATTTTTAAGGATCCAGTGGTACGGGTTGGCTAGCAGGCCGCCCTTTGTCTCCTCAATACGCTTCTTATCATCGCTGGGGTCGGTAAGGCGTAAGTCTTTTATGCATTTCTCCAGCTTGCTAATCTCGTCCAGAAGCCGTTTAAATGCCCCCCTAGTCCCTTCGCCATAGATAGGGGGTATATAAACGCCGAAAATACCTAGCAATGAGTACGCCCCATCTTCTTCGAGCTTGGTATGCCGGCCTTCTTTCCACGATAATCTCTCGTTAACACTGAACTGCGATAAACAAGCTCCTTGAAGCGCCGAATTAGGAATTCCTGTTATTTCGTGAATCTGTCGCCTTAGCGATCCCTTATCACCAAGTCTCTTCTGTTCTTGGGAGAAGAACTCGACCGAACTTGGGGCAAGAAGCTCTTGGAGCGTCCAGCCCCGAGTAAACCATTTGCTGACTCGAAAAGCTGGCTCCCAAGGAAATTCGGAGGGTTCATCACTTGCTTTCCGCCTAGCCGTCGAAACATCTGACAGATAGACATAGCATCGACTGGCGTTGCAGTACCACCGAAACATAGAGTTGATGGCCTGCGAGAGTTCGGCGTGGTTTGCTTTGTTGATGCAGCAGGTGTCAATCCAGAAGTATTGCAAGCCGTCCTTCCGTGCTTGTTCTCCACAAAACTGGATCTTCTTGAAGCCAGGCTTACCCTCGCCTGTGCCGTTTGTTAGGTCTTCGAAGGTGACCTCCTCGGTGTCCGCCCCCCATGTGTGTGAGAGTATCGCATAGGGAGGGATTGCCTCGTCATCCGCCAGATCATTGGTGAGGCTGAACTCGGTATTATTGCTCCATTGTAAAAGACGCATTATTTCGCATAGGGTTGGACACAGGGTGAGTTCGGCCGGGTTCAAACCGCAGCAACCTAGCTCAAGAGACGAGCCGGGCAACTCGCTCGTTCATCCAGCATATCAGTCCTAGCTATCGAGGTTAGCGAGCATACAGATAGAAAGGTTACGATTCCATACCCAAGAAACGTATCTGAGTGCGAGACAGTGTAAGTGTGTTGTAAGTCGAATGTGGTAGTATCGATTTTGTAAGGGGAAAGCAAGCTCAGCTTGGAGGGTGCGGCGGATTACTAAGCCCACAGTGTGGCGGCGCAGAGAGGCGGACCTGCTACCTCCTATAGTCAGACATGAGCGGAAGGCGAATTTGCGAGTGGCCAGACCGAATATACTTATGTCTTGAGAGCCAACAAACGCCTTAATAACGCTAGCAGGGAGGACGGCTGACCCGCTCTGGCCATAGGGTTGTGAGGTGGCAAATTCTCGGCGCTGAGGTCGGCCCGCTTGCCAAGACTGTGCACAGCCACGGGTCTGACAGCCACTGTAATTAAATTACAGCAGGATGATTACGTGAGACGCTCGAAGTTGTTTTGCACTAGCTGTAATAGGCAATCGCTTCGTTTAGAGGTAGCGATCGGCGTGGCGACGCTGCATGAATTAGCACGCCGCAGCAGACACAAGGCTGCTGATGACATTCCAGTACTATAGTGAGGCTCTAAGGCTCGGATAACACCCTTTTACGAATATCGTAGGCGATAAGAGCTTGGGAGTGGCGCTGTAGTGAAGGAACACTGTTATGCTACGAAACAAGGCTCTTTGCAAATTAGACGTGGAGGCCATGATGCAAACGTAATTTTTAGGTGGGTGAGGTTCTGGATGATTGTGAGTAGCTACAGTACAGGACTTATATAGTATTATGGTGAATATCAACGTGTGCACAGATTCTGAGTTGCTTGAAGTCAAAGTACCCCTCATAATTCTCGGCACGCAGGGATGGACGTTAGACAGTTTCACGAGTCCTTTCAGGGGAAACACCAACCCAACCCGAGATGCTCTGCCCAGCACTGCCCTAGGCCTTCATTCGATCGATCAGCCGCTAACCCGTCTGCTCCATCCCGTGCAGACTGTGGCTCTCAATTTCCGGTTCGTCGACTCTCTGATTGCCAGTCTCGAGGCAATGCCTGACGAAGGCGACAACATCGCACGCCTCCTTGGTAGCTTGCATAAGGTGCGTATCCTGGAGCTCGCATGCTCCAACACTGGAAACGCAAATAGCTTCTGGGATCAATTCGGCTGGGGTATTCTAGAAGCCCAGAAGCCAGGCTCCTCCCCCCTCGCCGAACTCGAAGAGTTCACTGTCGTTTACCGCTAGCGACAGCGTAGATAGAGAGTCGATAGGGAAGGCGCTTATAACCCTACCTAAGCTCCGGCGCCTAGCGTTGGGATACTGCAACCTCGATGAAGATATGCCTCGGGATTAGGTTTTCGAGTGGTGCGCCAATTACCTGGAGTTGGATGAGCTGCTCCTAATCGAGCCACTAGAAGATCATTGTCCGTTGGAGATCGATTGGAATAGTCCCGATATCGAGATCCACTATCCGCATCTGCAATTGGCGGCGAAGAAGGTACGCGTAGTGCAGAACCGCGAGGCTGCTTGGCCGCCGGCGGAGTATAGGTGCTTCCGACAGTTCGAGTAAGTGCTCTATTTCAATTGCATTGATCTCTTTCCTTTGCTGCAGTATCATCTGCTGCCTTTCTTTTCTCACAGAGCCAGTCCGACGTGCGATATTCGCGCGGCTAGGAATCCTTCAATCTCACACCTCTGGACTGCCTACATAACAGAATCTTATACATTATAGCACCCTGGTTGCGTTGATCATCCTCGCTTTTATCCCTCGAATTTGATAGTGCAACGATGTCTTCATGCATGGTGAGTCCGCTCAGGAACTACTATATTACACTTTTCAATACATATTCTTTTGCCAGATAACTCGCCTAACATGACCACACGAAGGATCGTATCACTACACTATTTTGTAGAGTAGTGATGGCAACGTCGCCATTTACCGTTTGCGCATGGCGATGCAAAGAGGTTGGTTCACATTCACTTTCATGAAGAGTCACTTTCACGAAGAATCACATTCAGGAGGAACCACTTTCACTATAGCGCAAAACGAGCATAAATGCCAGTCCCTGGAGATGGTTCCTGTGTCATCAAAGTTTCTCGCTCTGCTACACCACCGTCCCCTAGAAGACATCCGCCGTCTACGTTATTCGACAAAGAAATCCTCCAGCCCTCAAGCCCAGAATGGCGGACACATTGCCTGCTGAGTTGGTCGAAGAGGTCTTTCGCTCTATGGAGGAACACGTACCAAACGAGCGAATCGATATCTTGACGGCAGAATCCGTCCAAGCAATCAAGAACGCTCGCCTCCAATGCCAATTCTGGAGCCAGGCAGCATGGAGAACGTTCGCTAGGCTCGTGGGGCAGGTACCTTTCTTTGCTACCAAGATCAGCATGGCGAAGCTGGAAAACCTGTCAAAGATTCCAGATGTCAGCGGGCGACTAACTACGCTGACAATCTGTGGAATATGATTCAGAAATTTACACTTCATGAACCCCGTTCTAGATCTGGACGACCCACCAACCAAGGATTTTATGGTGTGCCATGCCAAACAAATTACTTATATCACCGGTAATCGACCATACTCTTTCTCGGCCCTCAATTTGACGTCCAAGTTCGAGGAAGATCTGGCGCAGATTTTGCCTCGCTTCTCAAACCTCAAGAACCTCCGATATATCCCTACCGTCGAGGGCCACTTGAGAGGCTACAGGTGGGCAAGGTCAAGAAGAGTGTCGTCACAAGGCCTCTACATCCCCGAGGGTACGGAGGACTACCAACCGTTGATTCTGGATCGAATCGCTAAGGTGCTTCTCCATAACAACGTCCGGCTCGAGTCCTTTTCCAGCCCTTTCAAAGGGAAAATCAACCCGCTTCGCGACGCACTTCCCGCTTCCCTCTTCGCTTTCTACGCACCAGGTCAGCCTCTCGCCCGCATGTTGAACAGCGTGCAATCGCTGGCTATCAATCTCCGCCTTGAGGACGAAGACTCTTCTCATGCCGGCCTCGAGGCCTCTAACATCGGAAACCTCCTACAGAGCCTCCATAACTTGCAGGTTCTTGAGCTAGCCTGCTCCAACACTTCGGACGCCGAACCTCTATGGGACCAACTCGTCCGCATCGCCGACCTCGCAGAGTCCCCCACTCCCGCCCCTATCCCTCTCGCCTCGCTATCAGAACTCCGCATCTCCTTCACCGCCACCAACCGTGTTGACGGCGAGCTAATGGTCACAGCCCTCCGCACCCTGCCCAATCTGCGTCGCCTCTCCCTCGGCTACGTCAATCTCGCCGACGAAGTGGAATGGGACGAGGTGTTTGAGCTCTTCGACGCATTCTTGGCGCTGGATAAGCTGCTGCTAGTGGAGCCGCTTCAGTTCGGCGCGCCGTCGAAGATGAACTGGAACTCGCTGGGGCGGGGGTACGAGTACCCGGCTTTGGAGGAGGCGGCTGGGGTGGCCGCCGGTGGAGGGGTTGGGGTTTAGGAGTTTTGAGGAAGTGTAGCGCGCGGATTACGTTTTTTATCGATGGTGAGGAGGAGGGTAGAGGTGTGAGGGATTGAAAGGCGACGCTGTTTCTCGAACTTTTATAAGATGATTTCAAAACGCTGTGTAGTGTTTCTTCCGCTTCTTGTTGTTACGCTGAATTGTCCTAGATTTTGTGGGTAGTTCGCGTTGGTCTCCGCTCGCTTTAAATGGTTGATGGGTGTGCGCTAATGTACGTATTGAAGCTTGATATTGATCTTACGAAGGGGTGTCAATTCGTTCGTCCCTAATCAATAGATTCAACCTTAGCCTCCGATTTAATCAATTCGAACATGGGCAAGTGATTCGTTGGCACCTCTGCTAATACAGCACCGCGAATGAGTTGTGTAAAGCTCCCCAGTCTTTTATTGCTTCAAAGCAATTCTATATACAGTACAGTATAATACATTATTAACACTCCAATCTCTATCCCTTGTAAAACGACCTATCGCCAGAATGATATCAAATCTCTAAAAACCCTCATTTCCCACTACTGTGACACCTCCTTCTCTCCAGTCCCTCCCGATTTTTCTTCTCCTATGCTAGCCCTCCTCTTTCCCTCCCCAGCCTCCTTATTCTCCTTCTCCTTCTTCTCCTTCTTCTCCCTGCTCTTTTCCGCCTTAACACTCTTCCACTCCACCATCAACGCCCCAACAATCATACTCGCACTCAGCCCCGCACTCAAAATAAACACCCTCGTCAACGCATAGTTATACGCCCGCACCACCGTCCCCAGCTCCCCCGGCGGCACCACATTCTTCAGCGCCGTCGCGCCCGTGTTAACAATCGCCTGCGTATCCAGCCCCGCAATCCCATCCAGCGCCTTCACCAGCTCATGCGAGAACATGTTCTGCGAGACGGCGAGAAACACGGCGCCGCCGAGCTGCTGCATGAAGAACATCAGCGCCATGCCGAGCGGCACGTCGGCGCGCGGCAGGGCGACCTGCGGCCCGAGGTTCGCGATCGAGAACCCGCACCCGATGCCCATGCCGTAGATGACCTGGTAGCCGATCCACTGCGCGCTGCCGGCGCGCGGCGTGAGCGTGGACAGCATGCCGGCGCCGACGGCGCACAGCAGGGGCGCGCACAGCATGACGGGGACGTAGTAGCCGAGCTTCTCGGTGACGAGGGCGGCGGCGATGCCTTGAGGTCGCGATACATGTGTTAGTGGGGTTTCATAAAAAGAGGGGGGGAGTTGAGACAGATGCTAGGTCCTCTGGTGTTGGTTAGCCTTGAGCGCCAACTCAAATTGGGTTTAAGACACCATTATCGGCGCGAAAGAAGCTAGGACGGGTGCTCAAACGCGCCTTGAGTGGGCATTCGCTTGAGTGGGTGTTCGAACACGACATGAGTCGTGCTTCAACACAGCTCCCGGAACAATGACACCAGAGGACGTTGGTATGTGTGTCAAGATCTTACGTACCGAAGACGACGAGGGAGAGGACGAGTGGCGTAGTGCGGATGCCGGCTTCCATGGCCGAGTGGCCCTGTGCGGCTTGGAACCAAATGGCGAGGTAGTAGACGATGGCCATCAGGGCACCGGACAGGAGGAACATGAAGAGCATGCTTCCGGCGACGGAGCGGTTGAGCACGACGCGGGTGGGCGCCATGGCTGTTTTTGGGGTGAACACCTCGACGGCGAGGAAGAGGATGAAGGTGAGGGCGAAAATGACGAGGAGGACGATGATTCGGGGCGCAGACCAGGGGTAGGTTGTGCCACCCCATTGGCACGCGAGGATCAGGCAGACCATGGAGGGGACGAAGAAGAGGAGGCCGAGGGGGTCGAGGAGCTTGAGTTGAGCGAAGATGGAGAGTTTCTCGCGGGGCGGGGATTCGAGGTGCAGGAAGAGGAGCATGGCTAGGATGGTGAAGCCGCCGATGGGGAGGTTGAGGTAGAAGCACCATCGCCATGTAAGTTTGCTGCTGTCCGCAAAGCTGCCACCAACGAGAGGGCCTAGCACCGACGAGACGCCAAAGGCCATGCCGAAGAAGGAATTGAAGACTGGCCGTTTGCGGAGCGGCACCATTGGGACCATGATCATGATGCCGCCGCTGAAGATGCCCGCAGCGCCCATACCAGCGATGGCGCGCCCGATGATGAACGCGATGGAACTGGGAGCGGCGCCGCACACAGTAGAGCCAACCTCGAAGATGACAATAGAGATGAGAAACACCCCTTTCGTCGGGTAGAGCTGATAGACACGGCCGGAGAGGGGGTTGAAGATCGCGCACGTCAGCATGTAGGCGCCGCCGTACCAGCCAATGTCCTCGATGGAGTGGAATTCATCCGTGATGTGTGGGATGGCCGTCGCAATGATCATTCGGTCTAGGGCAACGAGGAAGATGGCTGCATATATGGCTCCTATGATCACCCAGAACTTGAGGGACTTGGGCTGGAAGTTTCTTTCGCTGTCTGCGTTCTCGTCGTCCTCTTGGAGGGGTGGTGGTAGCTTGGCCGCTTCTTGCGCGGATGGCGCTGAGTGTGCAGAAGACATTGAATGATAATGGATTGAAGGAGAGACGATGAAATGTATATGCGAGATGCTACAGAGGTACCACAGGGTAGGATGAAGCCCAACGGCGAGCGCCGTCTTTTAAAGCCATGACGATTCGACAACGGGAAGTCCTACCTACCCGAGCCATTGGACTAGTTTCCCTCTCTTGCGTCCGGGAGGTAGAAAAGCCCGAGCTAATAGTAGGTCTCTTTAGCCATATCGATCCATGGGCGGAGACTTGTATGAACCCGAGGGACGAATTTTGTTTTTTCTACTGTGTCTTTGAACGTAATAAAGCCTGAGCAATGAGACTTTATTCTTTCAACTGCGTCTGATGAGTACATATAGTTCGAGGTGGAAGGACCGCTTTGGCCAGCGTTAGCTCTGCCATTATAGACATGTCGATGCTACAAACGAAGGCGACGATGTTTGAAGCTTTGCGGTGGGCTCGGGAAGTAGAAAACCCGAGCAGTGCAACGCCCCTTTATTGGCCTGATACTGCTTAGTCATTAGCGCCTTGGCTGATGCTCTTCTACTTAGACTTGCCCAACCCTGCATCCTCCTCCTCTCGGACACTTCAAAAGCCCGCGACAGCGTGTCCCCCCCCCGAAAGCGATCACTGGTAGGCTGGGTTCACGATTCCAGTATAGCGGTGAGTGCAAGGCTTCGAGCTAACTCTATTCATTCCACATTCCTTTCTTCATCATTTGCGACGCTTGGCCGGTCACTTTCTCAGCAATATCGTCTTGACATGTAAATATGGCGGCGTTTGTGTTCTTATGGCGAGACATCCTTCCCAAGTGTTACGATATATCAAAGATGATATCTATGCTAGACTCCATTCCTTTCTCTGAATTGAACTTTGAGCTATCAACTTACGCTTTTCTAGGCATGGCGGATCCGAATGTCATGTCCCCGCGAGCATCTGCAAAGTCGCAGCGGGTGCTTGCGTGTGTGCTTTGTCAGCAGCGCAAAGTCAAGTGCAACCGCAAATTCCCTTGCACGAATTGCGAAAGGGCTGGCGCGCAATGTGTGCCCGCGACGCTGGCCCCACGCCATCGGCGCCGCAGATTTCCCGAGCGAGAGCTCCTAGAGCGTCTCCGTGACTACGAGGGCCTGCTCCGCCAGAACAACATCAAGTTCGAGCCTCTGCATGCCCCCGTAGAAGAGAAGGCATCTCCCAGCCTGGGCGGTAGAAGCTATGACTCTACAGATGACGTGCTATCAGGAGGCCGAGCTGCGGCGGCGGATCGGCCGAAGAAAACAATCATCAAGTCTGAAACAGTATATGAGGCCAAGTACGCGTCCCCTGAGAAGCATAGGCTTAAATGACTAACATTTCCCAAGGAATTTCTGGCATGCCATGAACCAGAGGGTATGTCAAAAATGCGTGTCACACGACTTGAGGTTGCACTGACACCTGAACACAGTCTCAAGATTTCAAAGCGCAGGCCGGTGATAGCGATAATGGCGATGAGAGCGATTCCTCCCAGGACGGTATGCATGAGGCAGTGGTTAAGAAGGTGTGGGATCGCATGTCTGAGGGCAACGATTACCTTCTGTTTGGCTCACGCAAGACGAACGTCACTCTCTCTACCCTGCACCCAAAACAGGTCCAGATCTTCAGACTCTGGCAAGTTTATCTGGAGAACGTCAACCCCCTACTCAAAGTCACTCATACTCCCACCCTACAATCACGCATAATCGACGCCGCTAGCGATGTGGCGAACATTAATCCTAATTTGGAGGCACTCATGTTCAGTATCTATTGCATCTCCGTCATAAGCCTTGTCGAGGATAAATGCCAGACCCTATTTGGGTCGACAAGGAAAGAGCTTCTCGCAAGCTTTCGTTTTGGCTGTCAACAAGCTTTACTGAACTGTGAATTCCTACGATCTAGCGACCAAGACTGCTTGACAGCATTGTATCTTTACCTAGTAAGCCTATCGGGTTGTTATCTTGTACAACTATTTAACGCCTCTAGATCTCCGTTAGGTCCGACACAGACCCCCGCTCTTTGTCCTCGATTCTTGGGGCAGCCATCCGTATTGCACAACGCATGGGCATCCATAATGAATCGGCCTATTCCAAATCCACAGCTCTCGAGGCAGAGATGCGCCGAAGGCTCTGGTGGTCACTCATCGTCTTCGATAATCGCATTTGCGAGATGTCAGATTCTAAGGCCACGGTGTTGACCCCTGCCTGGGACTGCAGTACCCCTCTCAATGTGGATGATTTCGATCTACGATCAGACATGAAGAAGCCGCCAGCAGTTCACAGAAAGCCTACCGAGGCGATTTTTGCTGTCGTGCGGAGTGAGCTGCACGAATTTATTCGCCATAGCGCCTTCCATCTCGACTTTACAAATCCAGCTCTCAAGGCGATAGCTAAGAACATAAAGCACGGATCTGTTCCAGAGGACGGCGAGCTAGACACACTAGAAAAGATGATCGAGGATAAATATCTCCAAAGCTGCAATCTGGAAAATCCGCTTCAGTTTATGACCCTTTGGACGACGCGAGAATGCCTTGCAAAAGCTCGTCTCATCCAGAATTATTCAAAATACTCGGAGCCGTCGGTGCAGCAGACGGACACGGATCGCGACGCTGCCATTTCCCATGCGCTGAGCATGCTCGAGTGTGACACGAAGCTGATGACTTCTCCTCTTACCAAAGGATACCTCTGGCTTGTTCACATGTACTTTCCAGCTCCCGCGTATTTCCACATTCTCCAAAACATGAAAAAGCGACCAATTGGGAAGCATAATGAAAAGGCTTGGGAAGTTATGAGCGATAACTATGAGGCTCGTTTCAAAAAGATTGAAAATGATAATCCTATCTTCAAAAATGTGGAAGATGATAACCCTATCTTCAAAGTTTTCTCCAAGGCTGTTCTTCAAGCCTGGGAGGCGCGCCAAGCAGCTTTCAGGCAATTGGAGCACCCGCTCGGCCAACCACTGGAGCAACCACGGATCGTGTCGAGCATCCAACGCAGAGCTAGACAGATGTTGTCAAATCCACAAAATAGCAACATAGAGCAGGCCCACGATGCTCCCGGTATAAATGTCGACAATCTCACAATGCCTGTACCGATGGACTTTGGTGGCTATGGCTTGATGTACGGCTTAGACGCCCAGTGCTCCGCAGGTTCGGTACTCAAGGGCTACTATGACATACCCGGCCAGGCTCCGATGGATTTAGATATGAACCAGCTGGATTGGACCACAATGGATTGGAATCCGATGCATGCTCGCGGCTGCTGAGGGTGCCCTACACTATTACAATGCTCATCCATTGTCACGACATGACGCGCGACCTTTCACTGTGCACATATATAAAACTGCCCTCGCTCAGCTGCCTAGCTATCGGTCACGGCAGGTTCTATGGCCGCTCTTGGGACAGGTTGGCCAGAACCATAAGCCAGTAACTGAAACTTGACATGCTCCTGCTGGTCAAACTACTGGAGACTGGGAATCATGTCGTGGGACGACTACCACAGCTTGGAGAACGCGGAAAAGGAAGTCGAGGTTCACTGCTACTGGACAGCTGAGCTGGTGGTTATGCTTTCGGAAGTGCGAGTATTGCGGTATTAGAGTATTTGAGGGGGTTCTTGAAATCGACGGGGTATTTGAAATGGCTCGTGCGTAGGAACATCAAAAATGACGGAGAATGCCGCTTGTAAGGGCAATCGCATACAAATTAGCATTCTATCGCATTTTTGATGTTCCTCACACCGTATCTCAACTGATTTTGTATATTGTCAAGTCCTAGCATAGTGTTAAGGTTGCAGGAGTGCTAAGAATACGTAAGAATGCCTCCCCACGCTGTTTTTTGTACTGCACGTCCATCACGCTGCATTAAATAACACCCTTAATACTAGGGCAACAGTATAGATATATAACTTTTTTAATAAGAATTTATGCTCTAGGAGTAATATACAGTATCTTTCAACTGCTAATTCTGATTTGGGGCTTAACTTCTGTTGGAATTTATGTACATCTTGGTGAGATTAGCGTTTTCTGTTGATGCGCTTGAGAATGGTATCCGGGTGTATCCCATAGGCGAATGCGCTAGCTGAGGGGCTCCCGTAATATCCAGATTGATGTCCACTGATGGCGTCCTGTATAATCTGTTCTTTGGCTTGTCCACAGTGCAATAGCAGCATGGTAAGTGGGTGTATTAGGAATAAGGGGCCACGGGGCGTAGGGGCGAGCTGATTTTTGGTGTTCACAGCAGAATCGTTGATCTTGACCAATTAGAAATAGGCGGTGAGGCGTACGCACGAGCCATTTCAAATACCCCGTCGATTTCAAGAACCCCCTCAAATACTCTAGTGCCCACTTCGTTAAAGGCTTTTTTTCATTAGAAGATGACTGACGTGCTTTCACTCATCCATGTAGGTCTATCAAATGCAAGAAGAATTGGCGACAAGTGTCACCATGCAGTGAACAACTGTATATTACGATTGACGAGTCATCGACGCGTGGCCTGCATCTATTCTCCGGAATCTAAAGTAACAACTTCTTCTTCAAGTCACTACTTGCTACATTCTCTATATCCTCTTCTACTCGAAATCTCTACATCTTATCAATATTGTTCGCTGCTTATATGCTATACGTGCCCGTCGTGAGGAGGCTGCGGCTTGTTCAATTCTTTCTAGAAACGGCAAGTCACGTCACAGTCAAGTGGTACTAAACCACTGTCCCTGTCATGCCTTCCGGCAGTGTAATTCGAGCAAGTCAGTTGTCCAGAGAGTACATTGTACGTGGATATTCATCTTTGGTGGCGTTGCTCATCTACGTTCACTACTCACCATTAGAAGTGCATTGTATATACAGTACGCCCACATCCAACTCTGGCGAGGACGCTCAGTCACATTCACTCACAACAGCGCTTCTTCGTGAATTAACAAAGAGTGCACCAAATCACGTCTATAAAAGTCTCCCGTCAACATCACTTCTTCCTCCTTCATCCAACCCCATACATTTTCACACAACCACACACCCACAATTACTCAACCCGCCAACCACTCATACCTCACTTTAACTCTACAACCACCTTCAACCATTACACAATGGCGGCTACCGACGGAAAGGAAATGCTATGGATCCCCGCGGAGCTGTACGAAGGAATTATCATTGGCATGGAGAACTACATGCCAAACGAACGTATCGACATCCTGACCCCGGAGTCGATGCTTGCAATTAGGAACGCCCGTCTAGTGTCCTCTGCTTGGCATGACGTTGCTTGGAAGTCTTTTGCCAAGGTTGTTGCTAATACGCCGTTCTTCGCTACCCGCGACAGCATCCATGATCTGGATGAAATTTCTCAGACGAAGGTCGCCAAATATCTCGAGACCATCACAATTTGCTGTAAGATGTTCCAGACACAGCCTACAACCTTCCAAGGATCACCAGATGCCCGCAACGGACTGAGCAACTGCCTCGAGTCGCAGCGGATTTACAGGGAGTCTGCACGCCGTCTTGGCCGCCCTGGCCCTAGCCCATTAGAGACTCGTTGCGAGTTCGAAGCAGATCTCTTGAGGATCTTCCGCCGCTTCCCAAATCTGAAGCACATCCTGTACGTTCGCGATGTTGAAGTGCATATGAAGGGCTGGCCACACCCAAAAAACCAGACCGAGATCCCGTCCGGGATCTACAACAACGAGGGTGATGGGTGGTCTGCGCAATCCCCCCTAGACCCACACTCCATCCTTGAGAACATCGCCAGAGCGCTCGCGATTGCCAATATCAAGCTTGAGAGCTTCTCGAGCCCTTTCCTAGACGGAACGAGGCCCTGGCGCAATTTCTTGACCGAGAAAATTTTCCGGTACGACCCCGCCGACCGGATCGCTTTCAATGGCCTGCCGATAACCGAAATGGATAACTTCCCGAGTTTCGGCACCCTTCATGGTATGCTGCACGGCCTCGACACGTTCGCGGTTAATTACCGCTTCCCTGACGACCCTTTCGAGGACCCGTACCCGTGGAACTTCCAACAAGTCCTCTGCATCCTCGATAAAGTCCGCAAGATCGATCTCGCTATCTCGGATACTAGGCATGGAAATGGTAGCTCAAGGTTGTGGAAGCTTTTCCTGGGTGAGCCCGATGTGGCTTTCATGACAGAGGATGAATGGAGGCGGCGGATGATGCAGGGGGTACCCGAATCTTGGAACGTCGAAGATCTCCGTATTTCGTTCCACACCGCACAGAAGGTCAATGGAATCGACATGGTGGCGGCCTTGGAGCGGATGCCTCGCCTGCGCCGACTCGCGATCGGTTACGCCGATCTTGTTAATGGACAGGACTGGGACGCAGTCTTCGGACTACTCTCCGAGAAGCTAGATCTCGATCATTTCTTGCTGCTTCAGCCGCTCCAGGATGGAAAGCCGCACGAGCCCGGCCCTAGAGCGCAAATGGCGGCTGAAGCGGTGAAGGTGGTGCAGGATCCGGACTTCGTTGGTAGAACGGGCCAGCAGAAGTACCTCTGCTTCCGTAACTATGAGTAAGTGTGAGATTCATGCCCATCTCATAGTCACCCTTTCTGCGAAATTCGCATCCGGTTCAAATTTTCCTCTTCCTGATAAGTTAGCTTGATTGTTAGCTTTTAGACATTTTCTAATACACCCAACGCACCATTTGCGTTGAATACCCTAAACCTTTTCAACTTAAACGTGATAATGTGAAGTGACTACTTGTGAATATGAACTAACTTTCAGAGCTCTTAGTACCGTTTCATAAATCAATCCCTTCCCCGAGCTATCACTTTTGCTGATTACCACTTACCACATTTTCGCCGTGGCTCCAAAACGATAAAACTTTCTGCCGAAGAGTGGATTTCTTTGAGTTGTAACAGCGGCTAAGTTTGCATGGTAGGCACATCGCCAGTGGAAGTAAGCAAACATGACCCTTACCGCAAGCATGTTTGGATAATCTGGCTTTATGCGAATGATGCCGTTTGTTGCAGACCTCGTAAGATTGTTTCTAGCTCATTGTTCACTGTCTTACCCGCCAGCAACGTTCTGGGTACGATCCTCCATGGCCTATTCGTCGACAGAGGACGCTCGTTTTGGCATCATTTACTAGAAGGTGAAAGCATCAGTCTGTCGCCAAATATTCCTGCCGTGGATTCCCCTTGACTTGCTCGTAGTGAAATCGATACGCCGCATATAAAGGCCTGCCTCACACCAACATCCGTTCTTTTTTCATCAACTCACAGACACTTTCAACCACCACCACCATCCCCACCTTAATCCCATATCTGTCAAAACTACAGTCATCGTCAAATTCCAGTCTCCAATGATGGCAGAAACTCAGGGCCTCCAGCTCTCGATCGAATTAGCCGAGCAGGTCATAGTTAACCTGGAAGAGTACACTCCCCATGAGCGTATCGATCTCCTCACCCCCGAATCCATCCAAAACATCTTGAACGCCCGGCTCCAGGGCTCTGGATGGCGCTTCGCCGCCTGGCGCTCATTCGCCAAGATCATCGGGCAGACGCCATTCCACCCAACTAGGGCCAGCATACAAGAGCTGGAGAACCTTTCACGAATCCCAGAGCTCTGCATGTGGATCGACACTCTCACGATCTTCGGAAAAGCCTTCAGGAAGCGGATCGACTGGATCGAGCTAGAAGTTGCTGTACACGCAGAGGACCCCGATATCTTGTCGCATATAGCAGCACAGGAGGAGCAGTTTCTCTACGTTACTGGAGGTTGCCAGAAGGGGTATTATATGGCACGACCACAACCTGAGACCACGGAGTTCGAGCAGGATCTAGCGAGGATTCTGGCGCGGTTTCCGAAACTCAAACACCTCCGCTACGTGCGCACGGTTGAAGGCCATCTCAAAGGCTGGTCGGGAGCTGCGATGCTCTCTCCCAAAGCCTTCTACACGGACGAGGGCAAGCCATACGAGGAAGGCACTCCCGATGGACTTTAAAACCGTCGATTTTGAACCGGGTGGCCAAGGCCCTTGCTCTTGCCAATGTGAAGATCGAAACCTTTACTACTCCTTTCATGGGAAATAAGGACCCAGAGAAAGACGCACTGCTAGATGCCAACCTACTCCTCTTTAGTCCTGTCCAGCCACTCGCAGGCATGCTCCGCAACTTACATACCTCGGCGATAAACTTCAGCTACGGCGAAGTCGACTCGCCGGACCTGAGCAACGTTCTCACAAACCTCCATAATGTCCGTGTCCTCGAGCTTGCCGTCTCAAACACCAAGCCGTATGAGGATCCGTGGGAGCCGACGAAAGACATTTGGTGTACCATTCTAGCAGCCCAGATGATCAACCCGAGAACCAAGGTCTCGGATTCTCCGGAATCACTTGCGAATCTCGAGGAGTTGCGCATCTCCTTCACGACCGCAGACCTCATGGACGGGGAGAAAATGGTGGAAGCGCTGCGTAGGTTGCCGATACTCCGTCGCCTCGCTCTTGGATATGCGAGTCTTGTGACCGGATTTACGAGTCGTGTCCTTGGTCTCCGCCACGATTGGGACTCCATCGCGACGCTCTGCGCCCAACGGCTGTTTTTAGACAAGCTGCTGTTGATTGAGCCTCTGAGGAGTGGGAAGCCGATGGCGCGCCTAGGTCGAGACGGCGGAAAGCGCTTTCCTAATCTGAAGAACGCGGCGGCAGAGGTGAGGGTACGGCAGCATCGTAAGTTTCGCAAGCTGGAACGATATGTGTGCTTCCGCGATTTGGAGTAGTGCGATATCCTCGCATTCTTTTAGAGCCTGGCACTTCGTCTTATAGAAATGTTTCACTGGGAGATTTGTGGCGAACAAGATCACTGATATGTCTCACAATTCTAGACAGCAGCAGAAGAAGTGCGCCTTGTGGAAAATCCTCACAATACAACAGTTGTGTATACAAGCAATCGCACTTGCGTGGTGCGCCGCCACACGTTTGCCATCTTCGAGTGATTGTTTATGCCGACCTGCATTCTCAGACTCTGTCCCTATGCCTAGACTAATGTTCTGTCATATGCAGACGCGTAGTCATAAGGCGCTCTACTCACACCCCCGGCTAACTCTTCCCTTTCGCGCCATGAGTACTAAATTGAAAATATAATAAATATCCTGATCTTCTCAAACCTGTTATGAAACTTCATCCGTTAAATTTTCGCAGAATAATTCGGCCACCAACTCGCTACTCATGAAGCCAATAACATACCTAGGACGCACCAACTAAAAAGTGAAACTCTCTTTCGCAACCGGCTACTAGTACAGCTCTATCTGCCTTGATTAGAATAACTTAAACGCCTATATTAGCCGGCTAGACCTCTTTAACTATGCCTCTACTGAAGACGCTATTATCTCCTTTACTTGCGGCCTCTTAAATCAGTACGGCAGTAAAGGCATCCACGTAACTATCACACCTGACCCGGTGTGGATACCACTAATCCTGGCCACGATAAACAAGAAAGCTTAGAAGGAGTTTACGAGCCCGACGGGCAGGCCAGCACAGCCGAGTAAGATCGCTCTGTGCTCCGGTTTTCCTGGCGAGCACCGATAGCGCGGCGATTAGCGGACAGACTATTCATACGAACGGTGGCGTGGTTGAGAATGAATAGGATCGTATAGGTGAGGGTGTAATGAGATTAGATTCATGACACTTTATGACCTTTGTCTTTGTCCGTGTGTAAGTTAAATAATCAAGGGACTAGCACGGTAACTTCCAACACCAACACCCCCCGACGTAAAGAAGAAACCCCAATTCCTCCGCAAGTCATCTAGTTACAACATCAAGACATGAAAAAAAAGAAGAGATCTCTGCAAATTCTGCCCCTGTGCTATGAATTTCCCTGAAAGAATCCTAGACATAGGTAATCTCTACTGAGGAATCGCTCTCAATCGTGACTGAGGTTAAAACACTATTGTCTTGCTTAAGATCAATCACCGTAGCCCCACTCAAGCCCACGGAATCTCCAGAGTCCGTCGTGGCCGATGCATCGGTAAAAGTGACGGTGTTGAAGTCGCTCAGCGGCACGAGACTGCCATTTTGCTCAAAGTCCTCAACAATCCACTCCGCGTTCTGGCCTGCGAGCGTCGCATCGCTGCTTGGCGCACTCAGCGTTTGGCTAACGCTCTGCCCAGTAGTCTCGTCGGTCAGGGTAACGGTGCCCTCGGAACTGCTGCTCGAGGCGATAGAGATCGTAATGACATCTCCTTCCGAGACGTCAAAGTTGTCAAAGTCGTACGCGTAGTCCGGGTACCACTCGTACCAGGAATCGTAGGTCACACTGCCTGACGAGTCGATAGTAAAGTCTACACCAGCTTGAAGAATGGCGTTGCCGTACGTGTCGCCGTCGATGCCGACCCACGCACTGCTGGACCACGAGCTCGCGCTGCCTGTACCGGCCGAGACCGCAGGTACGGTGAAGGTACCAACGGCAGACGTGAAGGACTCTCCGGATGGTGGGCTTTCGAGGACAGCACCAGACCAATTCGAGGAGTATGAGACGTTTGCCGTGCCATTGGTTTCAGTGGCATCAGTCTTTCCAGGGACACGAATGAGGGGCTGAGAGCCGAATGTTCGTGCTGCTCGACGATTACGAGCCGGACGTGAAAGAGAGCCGCTGGCCAAAAGGACCGTAGCGAGGAAGAGAGAAAGCTTCATAGTGAAGAAACGACTTGATAAGTTCTGAGAAGTGCTGAGAAGTTGTGAAATGCTCTGGACAACTGAAGACTGGAGTGCTCTGAACTCCTGGAGGAGAATTCTGGCATCTTATATAGTTTTATACCCGTGTAGTTCTGCATGCGACATTGTGGGCGGAAATTGCGTACTGTATTCGCCTTCTGAGTGAAGACGGGGCTTTATTTCCTCTTCCACCATCATGTCCGGTCGACTCGCAGTCGTGGCCCAGTAGTATCGAGTATGCCTTTCGAAATTGGAAGCTTGATATTCACCCTTGGCGAAAGCTCTCCAGGTATGTACGCCACCGTGACAGGTCCGTTCAGTTGCTTGACCTGCATATTGAAATGCCACAACTGGTATAGTAGCTCCGCTAGACAAGATAAGAACCGACGGGAGACTCGCAGACTACAGGTGGCGCTGCACGCATGGAGCGTCAAAAGCTTATATCTACTTAAACTTCCTGGCGTATAGATGAGAAGGGTAGATCGCGCGTCGAGGTAGCTCTTGATATCGTTGTGGGTGTCTATGATCCGTCCCAGATTGAAGTCAGCTCCATGCAAAACCATAGGTCTTTCTAGTGGCCTGAAGCTCTTCCGTAACGCCTAGGTATGTCGCCGAAGTGAATGTCGCCGAAGTGACTTGCAGGTATCGAACGAAGTTCAAAGCCGGCTGAGGATACCATAGTCGAACCATTCTGTTGGATCTTAGGTCCGACCTTCTATGTTGAGGTCAAGATCGGCGTTTGTAGCCTGCTGACTTTCCAGCCGCGAGGAACATCCCGCTCAGCAAAGACATGCTGCATGAGCCCTTGCAAATATCCCCTTGATGTCCAAGGGATGTGCCGGATAAATGCGGAGCGATCGTCTCAAGCTTCTGATTTGCCAACCATACGGAGTTGCCATATATGACAATTGCTTGCCATACATGACAATTGCTTGCCAGACATGACAATTATTATGACATTCTTTCTGATGCAAGTGACAGAACAAATGTAACCTTAGGGATCTCGCAGTTGAGTAGGCCTTTAGACGTTGAGTTGTTGTAGTATTCTGCTTCTGGAAAATTGTAACGCTCAGATCTCGCGACTGATCCGACGAGATAGGGTATAAATGGTACCTACGACAATAGAATCGTCCGTGCGGTATCGGCAACACCCTCCGAACCTCCACGGGAGAGCGACTTAATAGGATGCTAACGCTGCGATGGCGAAGATCTTTGCGGGCATGTCGCACTACTGTAACGTAGGTAGCATTGGAAACGGGAGGCTCATTGCTTAGTGGAATAAGCTTTCGGGCGGTTACCTAGGACACTTTTCCAACGGGCGCGCAACCAAATCAAGATAGCATCGGGCTCTTCGGCGTTAGCCTTAATCCCTCCGGTGGTGTGGGCCGGCAGTTTCGGCACTCGAGTTGTGCCACCAGTGCGCCTGGTTTAATATATCTGAAGCTTTGGAGAGAAGGTGGCATCGCAGTGCTGCCCAGATGATAGCATCTGGAGTCCGCGAATGTATCAGTGGAGTGGGGAGATCGGCGGAGATATCGGTGGAGAGTGCTTTAGGACTTGTTGAATCCTATCGTCAACAGCCTGTTCAGGAAGGTTGCTAAGGTTGCAACACCAAACCCTGGAATTAGGAAATGGTCGGATGACCAGGTACCGTAGGACTGGACAGCTCAACCAAGTGCCAGTAGCAGGATACATTCGACTTTCACCAAATGTTTCCAGTAATCTCGTCAATGGGCAGTCGTATTTTTGCAGTCACGTGATCTTAATTCTTTAGTTCGCGAGTTGCCAACAAGGGGAGACGACTTTTCTTCACTCAGGAATGAGAACCAAAGAGAAAGGGCGGTATTTTGGAACGACTTTTGTGAGATCTCATCAACTTACACAAGCTCCGCGATGCCTGGCAACGCTCAAGAGGCTAAAATAGGTGCTGAACCCCATTTCACTGATGTGGACTTTCAGGTTCAGATTTCGAAATCGGCACTTGCCTGACAATCAAAAGACTTGGTTCATCTTAAAGGCCGCTCGGGCGTTCTTACAAGGTGAGAATGGTTGTGAAATAAAATATTGAACGGGTTAGACTTGAGATGTTTGGAATAAGAACTCTGCTTCTATTGATGAAGCCATGGGGGCTGAATATATAGAGAGAGAGCCGGAGTCAGTCCAGCTGAATGACAACCCCTGTGCAGCTGAATGATAACCCCTGTGCAGCTGAGAATTGGAGTGAAGGAAGGAGAGGACCCTTGTGGAGCTGAGAACGTAGTACTAAAAGGAGAAACAAGCGTCCAGGCTGACGTGTATAGAGTTGGTGAGTTTTAGCCAACATCCTAAGTGTTAGGTAATTTCTTGAGTGAGAAACTATCAATCTAAATGCGCAGGATATATAATGCGTGTGAGTAGGCTTTTTAAGCCGTATCGCTGATTATAGTTGGTTCTCGTACGGCTCTACTAAGCCATACGCTATTACAAAGAGGGCTAACTATACGATACGAACACGTACTCCGTCACAAGGTGTTGGTCTTCCCTTAAAAACATGCCCAGATAGTCTTGGGCTCCGAAAGTGACGGAGTACGTGTTCCAGCTAGCCTACGGAGTATGGTACAGACAACTCGGCTAGCCCAGTATCCGATAGTTAGCCCGGCTAGTACCAACGGAAGAGTATATATACTGCGCATGTAGATAGATAGATAGTTCCCCACTCCAGACATTACCTAACCCGTTCAATATCCTGTTTCACAACCATCCTCAGAAAGGGCCACGACTTCAACGGTCCCACCAATCACTCCAAGTAAAGAGTTACTGAAGTGCACCCCCTGGTGATCGCTCGGTATCTACCCGTTGTCAGTGAACATAGATACCATGCTGTGGTTGATGATGCAGCTGATGATGGTAGCCTATGCTAGCACTGGGTGCCTACGTTAGTATGCATTAGTATATGATAGCTGGAATACTCTGGAAGATTCCATACAATATCTATATTACCAATCATCGCCACTCTCATTTCCTTCCCACTATATATACAGTCCGTACGTAGTCAATACAACATATGCCATCTTCACTGGAGTCTCCACTGCTACGAGATGACGAGACACCAGGCACTGAAGATCCAATTACACCTGCATCGGCTGATGGTGCCTCTCGTCTCCTCCTTCCAACTAGAGACATTTCTAGTCATGTGTATTGTTTGCCGCTAGACGTAACTTTGTTAATCTAATTGGGCTTTCTGCGGTATCAGAGTCGAAAATTGGTACCAGTCGTCGGATCGAAGGATGGAGAAGATCATGCAGGATTGGCTTCCACGCTATAGCGCTCCTACCTCTCTATTGGTTTAGTCAGTACCAAGGGGCTAACTAACGTTAAAGAAGCGGGACTAGCGAGAACCCAAGAACATGCACGCCAAGAAATCTTCCATGAACTGGACCTGGGAAGCCATGAGCCGGACCTGAAAAGGCCGCCCAACTCTTGCAGGGCGGGCCGACCCAGTATGCATCAATCAGGCGGACCTAGATGAAAGATCATCAGGTCATGCTCATGCAAAACATCTACTCCGATGCTCCTCACGTACTGGTCTAGCTTGGCCCTGGATTTTGACAGACAAGGACTGCGATTTCGAACATCAAGGAACTTGTCCGCTGTGTTGAAGCACCTGGTCAGCTGTTTCCCAAAGACAGGGACCAGGGGTCAGAGGTGTACCTTGAACGGGTTCAATATCGTCGCGAATGCCTAGCCTTCTTTTTCGGGCTTCCCTGGGTTTCTCCCGACTATGGACGTTTCAAGCAGTGTGCCTTGCAAAAGACACCATAGTGTTCTGTGGAACTTAGTTAATTAGGTTTTCTGATTTGTATCCTGCGGTGCGTACGGATATACGGCTCAACGCATAGACCCTAACGGGAGCCAAATCGGCCTAATAGAACCTAATAATAATAATAATAATAATAATAATACGGCTCAACGACCTCTTAAATTTTTACTGGAGGCTTTACGACTGTCGGCTTGTTCATGATTGCCAAAATTCCGAATCCCCGACCGGTCAGGGTACTGGATTCGGTCTCTCAACTTTGCCGTGGTTGATTTAGACAAGAACGGTCACCAATCCCCCAGATAGAATCTACGCGCTGCTGGGACTCGCTAGTGGCGCAGCTGTATCGATGTTGCGTTCGAACTGCGATGAGTCGATCCTGGTCACATATATCGAATACACTTATGCGATGCTGATAGATGACAACGACCTGAGCATCTTATCATGTGTCGAGCGCGACGTACATGACGTCCAGCTCCCATCTTGGGTTCCGGATTGGAGGTAAACCGTGCTGACGTCGTCTCTTGCCGGCCCAGACTCGTTAGGCCAGATTCGCTCAAGTTTTGACAGTATGAATCGAAGGACCGATTACGACGCCGCCAACCTTCGAAACATGATGGTGGACCCTATGAAGCTTCACTTGCACGGTTGTCGGATTGATGAGGTCATCAAGGTCATCCCGCTAGAGTCCCTTATACGCAATATCACGGATGAGGCTTGGAGAAGAGAAAACAACTGCATGACACCAATCAAACACATAGCACGCCTGACGCCTTTCATAAGTCCTCAGAATTGGCCAACTGGCGAACCAGTGGAGCCAGCCGTCATGCGCACTTTATGCGCCGACCAGTTTCCCGTCTCGGAATTCTTAGTCGAAGATGAGAGGATGACTTGCTTTCCGTCTCACAACCAACGGAACTTGGAATCTGCTTGCTTCTCCGGTCGGCCAAACGCGGATGTTGGTCCTCAAACGGAAGGTCTTCCAGATTTAGAACCTTACAATGGGAAGGAGTCGATTGCGGAAGATGAGGATGTTAAAAGCCTTTATACTATTCTTTTTCGACTAGAGGTGGGCGAGGTGGCTATAGACCCTTATACCTCCCGTATACTACCCTTTCATGGAAATCGCTAACGGAATCCCGGCATAAACGAGACTCAGGCGCGTGGTAGGGTCTTATTCGTCACCGCAAAAGGTTATATGGGATTGGCCCCAATGCGTACGCAACCTTTGGATGAGATATTCATGTTACGGAAGGCAGAGGTGAAGGAGGAGTTCAGGCCGATTGGAGAATCTTACGTTCATGGAATCATGCAAGGGGAGCTGTGGAACGATACAAAACCTGCCTGTGATGGAGAGGGAGAAAACCAGGCCCCTGCTTTCAAACCAGTCACCTTGGTATAAAAGCAACACAATGCGTACTTGGACGTTTAACGACTGGCCGAGATAGCGCTACTGAAAGAGAAACGAGCGAGATTTGTACACAGTTTAAGCTCCTCTAAGGGAGTGCAATTGCTGAATATATGCTAGGTTTTTGGTTTTGACCGAATACACGCTCTTCAACACAGGAAAAAGAGAGCGCTGGATGATTGGAACGAGCTTCTCTGGCTCGCGGATTCTAGATTTGCTTCTCAAAGGGGTTCCGAGGCAGTCAGAAGGCCCATCTTCTGAGCTGGTGATGAAGAAAGCGGTCTGTGAAGGATGAAAGAAGCCTAGACTTTGACGCTAAGCGGGCAGCTTTGGCGTAGGTTCGGAAAAGACGGAAAAGGCGCCACTTAGGTTTGGATGGCCTGTAGCCACAGGATACACGATCATTTTAAGATGAAGACAAGGAAAGCCGACGCGAAATCAGAAAGCGCAATAGTAGATTTCAAATTCCACAACACGGAAGAATGTGTTGCCCAACCTGATTAGCCATATTCAACTCCTGGAATGAAGCCCCTCAAGGTTCCAAAATATTCCCTTGCGGTTTCGATAGGAACAGACAATCAATATCCTAATCTTCTAAGCCTGTTATAAAAGATTGTTCTTGTGATATAATCGTATAAAAATCTTCCTACTGGATAAAGAAAGTGGTCGAATCCATCAAATCTTCGCAGTATAATTCATCCACTAACTCGCCACTCATGATGCCACTAACGTAGGATGCACCAACTAAGAAGTGATAATCCCGTTCGCAACTAGATACTGATACAGCGCTCTCTGCTGGGCGAAGTATGAACGGTACTGGTGACCCAAATATAATGGAAACAATGTCACCTTCGCGGCTATCCGGGACACATATGCCAAAGAATCCGCCCTTCGTTAGAAAGAATGTCCGATTATTAATACACCGCTCTAAGCATAGTTCATACTCGTTACCCTGAGCGTCGTCCTCGCTGCGGTCGGCGCCAAGTGGTGATACTCGCTGATTCAAGAGATTTAGATAAGCTTCTTCGTAAGTTGAAGGCGCAGCATCGTATCCAGACATGAACCGCTTATTCGAGATCAGGGTTCGCCAGAGCGGCTCCTTTCTTTTGAACTGCTCTATAAGAGCAGCGGTAGAGGGTCCAAAATGAAAAGGTCGCTCTCTGGCTTCAGCCGCTCGCGACTCTATATCTGGAAGCTTCTCGACCAACGAATCGAAAGAAGTCCCAAGTGGAATTACCCGCTCGATCGTGTCAACGAGGAGTCCCTCGACCTGGAGCGTTCTACCGTCCTCTAACACTCTTCCATTGTTACAATCTGTACCGACTCCTGAGACGCTGATACCCGCTGGTGGATGGAATTGTATGCCGGAAGGCTGTGTCGCTTTTCCAGCCACTTGACGCGAGAGATCAGGAACCCAAGTTGGGAGGCTAGGCTGCGCTATTGTTGATGGAAGGGAGTTGATATGAGGAGCAGCCGCAGAAGTACCTGGGAGGAATGCACCTGAGAGGAAGTATGGACCTTCTCCTCTAGAGAAGATGTGGGACACGGCATCCGCGTAGACGGCGGCGGTTGGTTTCCGGTAGTCAATCGGGATGACGAAGCTGTTCTGCGGGTCTAATGCGTCGGGCTCTAGAAGGCCAAGAAGGCCGTAGACTCTATCTCTTGGATCGGTAGACTCTGAGGTCCTCGAAATTATGAGTAGTTTCCACAAACTTTCCCCGTTCCGAGTCCGCACGGCGTCGTGGAGGTCTTCCAGGACATCGATCTTCAACTTGGCGAGAACTTTGACAGTATTATCGTCACTTACATCGTTCGCATCAGTATCAGGCATAGTACCATCCAGTCTCTTATAACCCCCATCTTGCACCTTTTGCCTGACCATACCTATCTCGGTGAACAAAGCTCTGGCAATGATCTTACAAGCATCGATAAAGACCGACCAAGCCACAGACTTCCACCCGCACGCCACCAACGGATCTTGCTTCGCCATCGCCAGCTCTTGAAGAATCCACACGCGCGAGAACCACGGACGACGATCTGCGAGGCTGTAGAAGGCACCGCTACATTGCCGCATCAACATCTGTCTGTGCCCTGCTTGCTCCTCGTCATATTGATGGCTGCTTGGTGCAACGATGTCTCCTAGAGCATCAAAAACAGCGTTGCTATCGTCATCTTCATCTCCAAGCCATATGACCACTCGTTCAGCAGATGCATATATATCCCGCATCATAGCAACTTGCTGACTCCGCTCTTCTAGGTCTGCTTGGTTGATGCACACGGCATCTACCCAGAGACGCAATGGATGGCCTCCGACCGGGGGACGGAGGTGCCGTAGAGCGGAAAATAGGCTCGCCGTTACCGGAAAATTGCAGCCGTCGAGAGTTATGACAGTGTCGGGATCGTTTGGGTTTACAGGATCACCCCAGACATAAGAAAGCGCATTAAAGACGGGCCTGGTGGTGAGCCTCGCAGTTGAAAGATCACATTGGAGCGGATCGTCTGGACAGCCTGGCCAAAGAGTGAGAACACGGATCTCGTGAGCATGGTGGTTGAGAGCAAGGTAGCAAAAGCTGCTATATGACATGACCTATCAGGTGGGAGGCTTGACGCTCTTTGTACATACGTGCTTTGAAATAATACAAGTGTTGTTAAAGTAGAAGTTCATGAGAGGTGTTGGAGAGCGCCCCTCGGCTACGGTGTACTATAAACCAGGATTGGTGTAGTGTGCCGTACTTCTCTTCTTGGATCAACTATTCACCTTCTTAATCATGTCTTAACTTTGCGAATCACTCAACTCCACTACCAGCGCGGCTGCTAGACATCCTAAGCGAGTTACTCAAGCGAGCACATGCACGTGATCAATGGGACTTGCAGGTTTGCACGCCACACGAACAAGGTCATATTTTTTACGTCATTGGACAAATGCAACTACGTTCACGCTAAGAGGTACCGGAAAGGCTTTATGTAAAGTGGCTAATGCGCCGTCAAGCTGAATAAACCGAGCACCTTTTCGGCCAGACGCTGGTCCTACTAGGCAACATCTCACCAGGAGAGTATACTTATCACTCAAGCAAGCTCACTCAGGATGATATCGGCAGCCTGCTCAGCGATAGCATAAACCGCGACCTGGTAGTGCGAAGCAAGCGGCTGAGGGATCTAGAATGCATTTATTAGCTTCATGGGCAGCTCAACCATGGAAACGAAAACTTACCACACTAGCATCAACCACCCTCAGTCTCTGAACGCCCTTGACTTTGAGCGAACCATCAACAACGCTTCCCATAGCAGCCGTCCCGCCAGGATGAAATACGGTAGACCCGCCGAACTTGATCCGTTCATCGATTTGCTCATCTGAAGCATCTAATCCAAGGGTCGGTAGCCCGGGGGGAGTATGTTCTTCTACCACAAGTTCTTTTCCTTCTGGCGTATCGTACATGAGTCGAGTGTGCATGCGGAATCCTTCACGCATAACGTGCTTGTCTGTCTCCGTGGCGTAGTAGTTAGGGTCGATGACGGGTTGGGCGGCTGGATCACTTGAGGCGAGAGTGATGGAGCCACGGGAGGTGGGTAGGCAGCCCATATAGTAGGTCATTATAGAGTTTCCGTCCAGAGGGATTTGGAGCCCTTGCGTCTCTGCGGCGACAGCGGCGTAGAGAAGGTTCATCTCTAGATGGCTTCGTGGACCTTTCAATAGGGCATGGTCGTCTGAAACTGGGCCTTCATCTTTTTCGATGGCTGCTTTCAGAGGTGCGGTGGGAATAGGTGCTGTGACCAGCCAGTCAACTGGTCCTCCTTTCTCAAAGTTGGGACCAGAAAATGATGGAGATCCGAGAGCAAGCCCTTTCTCTGGATGGCGAAGCTTCCAGTATCTGAAGAGCATCAGATGGTCGTGCAGGTTCTTGCCGACTTCTGGGAGGTTGACGGATGTTTCAATGCCACGCTGGGAGAGCTGTGCTGGGTCGCCGATGCCTGAAAGCTGGAGGAGTTGCGGCGTACGATAGGCGCCAGCAGAGACGATGACTTGACCATCTGGTTTGATCATGTGCTTCTCTCCATTGGCCAACTCCACGCCCTCAGCAACATTCTCGCTGCCCAGGAGAATGCGACGCACGAGAGTGTCGGTCAGGACTTTGACTCCATCAAGTGGATAGACGGAGCTGGCGATCTGTCGCTTTCCATCTCGCCAGTTCTCGACTAATTCCGCAATGCCCTGTGGATGACCGTTGTTCGCATCGAGTACGTATTTCAGGCCGAGATGAGACCAGAGCTTGAGAATGGTGTCTCGTAGGGGAAACTTGCGGCCAGAAGAGCTGATAGATGCGGTGTGCATTGGGCCATCAAATCCATGTTGGGCAGGATCGGCGTTGGGGTCAAAATGGTGCTCAGAACGCTTGAAGTATGGAAGAAGGCCATTGTAGCTCCATCGCGGATCGTTCACTTGCTTCGCCCACTCATCATAGTCGAGGGCATCACCTCGAATCCAGCCGCCGGTGTTGATAATGGTGCCGCCCGACAAGCCCTTGATTGCGCAATTGTAGCGGGGAAGGCCATTGAGATGTTTCTGGGGAGCGGTCATGTACATCCAGTCGAGGTCTGAGCCATGCAAAAACGCAGCTTCAGCAGGATTCGAGATATGCGCGTGATTGGTGACATCGGGGCCTGCCTCTATGAGGAGAATGGAGAGCTCTGGTTTGTTCTGGTGCAGTCGAGAAGCTAGGACGACGCCAGCAGTGCCGCCGCCGACGATGAGGATATCCGCCATGTTGATTTTTGGTTGCAAGACTGTTCTCCGCGAGGCGTTGTATGAACCTCTCCAGTACGTTGATGGGATTTCTATAAAATACAACCTCAAGGTGTTGGTGGCCGTAGCTCCCCGCCTCGGTGCCCCTGCAGATGGATTTAAAATGGGCCGTCAGCGGGTCTTGGGTCGCACCACATCGCCCGTGCCGCAATTAATTTAGTCGCCGGTTGGAGTAACCTGGGGGGGCGCAGAATGGTCGGAGTCCGTTAGCTATACCCACCAGCGGGGAAGGCCGTTTGGGACTGAAATACCTCTCTGCAGTGACCCCTGCATCCAATATCGAGATCCCCGTGGGCGGGTTCTCGAATCAACCCCCACTGCACTCTATCACGTGATCCCGGACTATGCTCCAACAAGAAGGCGTCGCGATTGAACGCGTCCCTAATAAATCTGCCGTGCTTCTGTCAGTTTGTTTGCATTACCGTCAAGATGGGTTTCTCGTCGTTTTTCTCGTCATTTTCAATCACCAGCTTTTTCGCCGTTTTCTTCCTCGCTATTGCTCTATACTCCTTTGGGCTCGTCATCTATCGCCTTTATTTTCACCCTCTCGCTAGATTCCCTGGGCCGAAACTCGCTGCTGCTACAAAATGGTACGAGTTCTACTTCGATGTCCTCAAAGGCGCAGGCGGGCAATTCATGTTTGAGACCGATCGAATGCATGAGCAGTACGGCCCCATTGTCAGAGTAAATCCGGACGAGTTACACATCAAAGATCCCGAGTTCTACGATACTCTCTATCGGGCCGGCAGCGCAGTCAGAGACAAGTATCCCCCAAGCTGTCTTTTCGCTGGCACGCCGCTTGGAGTCTTTGGCACCGTAAAACACGAACCCCACCGCGCACGAAAAGCACCACTGGCCGCCTATTTCTCTAAGCGCGTTTATCGGACAGCGGAGCCTATTTTCCAATCTCAAATTGAGGACTTCTCAGATCGCCTGCGCAACCGTCAGATTTCAGGAAAAGTGACAGATGTCCGCGTGGACTTCCTCTCCACCGCGACTGAGATTGTCTCCCGTTACGCTTTTGGCCATCCTATTGGCCTCCATGACTCACCTCACGAAGCCGTGGACTGGCTTCTTACTGTCAAAGCTATTGCAGCTGTGTCTCCGTTTTTCAAGCAGTTCCCGTATGTCGCCGAATGGCTTTTGCCATGCCCTGAATGGCTTGTCAAGGTTCTGTACCCCGTGTTTGCTCCTTCGATCAGGTTACATGGCGTGAGTACTCCTTGACTTGATCAGCGTGAGACGAACACTAACATACCTTCAAAGAAAATGCAGCGCGAAGCCGTCGAAGCCTGCAAAAAGGTTGCCTCGGATGAGAAAGTCACTATCTGGGACGGTACCCCGGAAACGCGTCCACAAACCGTCTTCGAAGCCATCCTTCAAACCAACCTGCCGCTTGCAGAGAAGACGCCCGGTCGATTGGACCACGACGCCTTTACCGCCATCTTTGGCGGTAGCGATCCCGCAGCTCGGACCATGACAAATTGCACGTTCTGGCTCCTCACGAATCCTTCAGTTCTGCAAAGACTGCAGCAAGAGCTCGATACGGCTACGCCCGATCCTTCAAAACGCCTCAGAGTGCAACAAGTCGAGGAGCTGCCGTACCTCAACGCAGTAGTGAAAGAGTCCCTGCGGCTCCAAGCCATCTCAACAAGCCGCCTCGAAGTCGTGTGTCCAAGCGAGGTGCTTCGGTACAAAGACTGGGTTATCCACCCTGGTACCGCCGTGGGAATGTCCCTGCGCCACACGCTCCACGACCCGTCTATATACCCAGACCCCCACGCGTTCAAGCCTGAGAGATGGCTTGATGCTGCGGGAAAGATTGATGTAGCGAAGGATAAGTATTACATCCCGTTTCATCGTGGTCATCGTATGTGTCTCGGGTACGCTTTTGCGACTACTATGATGCTTATGACGCTCGCTACCGTGTTTCGTCGCTTTGATCTGGAGCTGGTGGATACAATTTATGAGCGGGATGTGAAGATTGTGAGGGATTGTTTTATTGGGGAGACGGAGCCTGATACGAAGGGTGTGAAGATAAGGGTTCTGAAGGAGAGGAAGTAGTACCTAGAATGCTTTTTCATACAAAGGTAGTCTACGGAAGTCAGGTTTGTAATTATATCAGACCATTACGTCTCATAGGTTCGAGGGTTTTAATACAATATATAATCAGGCGGAGGCCGTAGTTGCTCATATTTCTGACGCGATCAAGCCAAAATGATGCCATTGACGGCGAATCTGACCACCGTGTCCCCGACAAGATGAAAATACTACATTTGTGAACTGATGAAAGTAATAAAGCTTTGCGCACAGAAGTAAGGTTTGGATATCAACAGAAGAGAGACAATAGATTCAGAGTACAAAATAAGACGACAGAAATTACAGTAAATGAACTATAATACTTCATACAGACATGTCCTGCTAGCTATTAAAGTACATCTTCGTCGAATAACCAAAATTGATGCGTGAACTCATATAGACAGTGACAGCCAAAGAAAACAAGCCTTTCAACAGCCCCCTACCCCGTTAAACCGCCGTTACCACGTCAGTCCTGTGCGGCACTTCCCCCGACGGCGTCCTTGACCAGCCCCCATCAATGTGTACCTCGGTCGTCTGCCAAATCTTGCCCGGCACCGTCTTCAGCTCGCGCTCGCTCTCGTTCTTCTGCGCTGTGAAACCCCGCTTAGACTTCGTCGTCCCATCGGTCAGGATATAGCTATCCTTAGCCGACTTCCTCGTAGACCAAGCGCTCCCGCTTCCATACGGCAATCGCGAGATCAAGCTCGAGCACTTCGCCCGCGCGAAGACGAGCAAAGGCCGAATAACGAGGAGACACGCGACAATGATAGCGACAGACGGCTCCACACTAGCCCAGATCAGGTTCTGCGTCGGGCCCTCGAGGTCATTCGGGCTGAAGCGCGTGTGCAAGACCATAGCCGTGCGCACCACGCCCGCGGCCACCGTAAACAGCCCCAGCGTGAAGATGGCCATAGTCGCCAGCCTGGAGCTCCGCCGCATCTTGAGGCCGTTGATGAGCGGCATGGGCAGCACGAAGATGATGATGTCGCTGATTACGTCGACCACGCCAATGCTCACGTACGCGACGGTCGTGTTGCCGCATGTGCCTGACTTGTTGACCTGGTCCCAGTTATAGCTGAGCGGGCGGCAGATCAGGAAGGCGATGAGGATGGTTTGCATCGCCCAGCAGATGCAGAAGACCATGGCGCAGTTTGCGATGATCCGGAAGGCCCTGAAGACGTTGAAGATGCGTTTCAGGGAAAGCAGGATGGAGGTCTTTACCAGGCCGAGCGCGATGGCGTAGGTGACTTGGTTGGCGATGAGGAGCTTGAGTTGGTTTTGGAGCTGGTTTGCTTTGCCGGCTGCGACGAGGTCGGGGGGGTGCACGCCGAGGCCGTTGTATGCGACTGTGTGGGTTGTGTTAGCGGCTGCTGTCTATGACTCTTGACAGTAGGTGTTTTTTGGAGTTACTTACAAACGATGTTTCCAGCCGCGTATCCCCAATTTACGATTAGTCCTCCAACTACGAGCCAGTCCTCTAACAAGGGCGTGATTGCATTTAAATAGCGAGCCCAGAAGCGACCAATGACAGCAACGGTTGCTAGAAAGCTGAAAACGACAGTGATGACAATCGTTCGGAGGCCCATCTCCGTCAGCCCATCTGCTGGGAGTGTAGACGTGTCCATGATCAAAGAAACAGAGACGATAGGAACGCACGATGGGAGAAAGCGGAGAAAAAGAGGAGAAGACGATAAACGAGGATGCAGAGGAGCCTAAGGAGAGATGCGGGCAGGGCAGCAGTTCAAGATTCACGTCACATAATCCTCTAGCTATCTAGCCTCATCAAAAATCACATGTGCGGGTTGGAGAGTGCGGCACCGGAAAACGGAGCAGCCATGTTACGGACTCCGACGCAGCCTAATACATATAGCGTAGGAGTGCATCTCCAAGGTTCTATAACTAGACTTTGCATGCTACATGCCTCCACAAGAAGACATTACCGTGGAGCGAATGGAGGCCCACGGGACTATCTCGTCACCGTGCCTTGCTCAGGCCGCGGATGCATGGTGGCGCTGCGCCTCGCCCACCTCCAAGGCAATCTGGAAAGTAGCTGCCGGCATGTTACATTTGATTAGGACCTAGGGGTTCCTCAGATAAGTCCTCTGTAGTTTTGCATAGAGTGCCGAACCGCATACGAACCGCTCTCTTGGCGGCCCGCAGCGTTAAATACCTCGTGTCGTCTATTAGAGGAAGGTCGAGGGGTCAAAATATACTACAAGCACGGGACGTTCGCTTAGTCTAGTTCCATGAGGGAGTTGGGGGAGTTTCCCGCGGCGGTAGCGGGCCGTGCCCCCCACGTCTTCCCGTGTGCCGTGTGATCGATCGCCGATCAGAACAAGTTGTCACTGCGTCTCTCCCGCCAAAGACAATTCACTCTTAGCTGCAGTTGAAAGCAAGCCATTTGCTTCTGAAAGGCCTTGCGGATATTCCAACGAATGATGCCGGTGCATTTCGTAGGGACACTGATTTTGTTACGGCGGTCTCCTCCGCCTCCTGCTTTGAGCTTAGACCAGCGGAGAACGGCTTGCCGGCCAACACCGATCCCTGCCCTGTTATATATTCCCGGGCTAACGTAGGATCGGTATGCTGGGCTCCTAATGCGGGCGAGAGATTGGGAGAGCGGTCAGCATTTAGCTCAGAAATAGTTAGTGCTTGCGCAAGCCCCTGTAGGTCTGAACACCGACACCCCACTGTCTATAAACGACAGTCTGCCTTCCCTGGATGAGCGGCTGGTCCAATAAAAAGCCGAGTCTTAAGAATTTCCTTGCAGGGGGTTCGCGATGTTATTACGAGGGGGTCGCCTGAGCGGGCCAACCGTCCTCCTTGCAACTTTTGGTGGCATTATAGTTGTATCCATACTCTTTTCATAGATGATTACTATAACGCCACCAAAAGTTGCAGGGAGGGCGGGTGGCCCACTCAGGCGACCCCCTTGTAGTTCTCGCAAGCTCATAATAGATCATCGTACAAGCCCGACTGTGGGTCCAGCGATGAATAGCCTTGCGACGGAGGCCCCTTCGCGCTGATCGGATGCAGGCACTATGTGGACGACGATGGAGTTGGAAGGCCTATTTCTGCGAGGTTTAATTCGGTCTCGAGATCGGATAGGTGGGATAGAGCCTGTTCTTCGAGACAACGAGGAAAGCCACACCTCGATAGTCCCCGTAGTCAAGCGTCGGTAAATCTCCTAAATGTCAAGCGCAGAATAAAAATCGAGACAGCTGCCTCGTTCCTGATGGGAGCCGAGCTGGCAAGGTCCGATCAAAATCTCGTACCACTCTCATACAAACCTAAAGTACCTCGCATTACCAAGGTCCTTTTCTAGAAGTTCATTCCCGACTTTCGAGTCCCGATCCTTTGCTTCCTAAATGATCGGCCTGAAATCCAGTCCCAGTACCGCAGGCATGGCACCAGCAACCATCGAGCAAAATCTCTTTGAGACAACACCAGCATCATGCCCGCTCGAGCCTCTCTCGAACCAGCTGTGGCTCAGCAAACCCGACCAGCAGGCACAGCGAAAGAAAGTTCTTACTTCGCTGCGAGGCCAGACAATCCACATACCCAACATGGCGTCTCTGTTCCAATCTTGGCCTACGAAAGTCAATCCCGCAGTGGATCGCATGCGCGTGGACATCAAAGAATGGCTCGACAGGTACGCCGGAAACCCGCATTGCTTCGAGCCCCCAATCCCAGCTCCACTTACCCCCCTCCCCCAGTCCGTCGTGCACTCCGTCAGCCCTACTCCCACCACCAGCATTCCCGCTGACCAGAACCCCAGCACGATGCCCCCTGGGAAGATTCTCACCGCGCTGCAAGCCTCTGATTTTGGCCTCTTTGGCGCCACCTGGTGGCCCTGCGCCCCGTTCCCCCAGCTGCGCATCGTGACCTACCTCGTCGTGTGGCTCTTCATCTGGGACGACGAGATCGACCTCTCCGACGGCACGCTGTGGAACGCCTTCGGCGCCGCCCAGCTGTACCGCGACCAGACGCTGGCCTACGTGCGCTACACGCTCGGCATCGACGCCGCCCGCCCACCCGTCACAAACCGCATCATCCTGATGTTCGCGCCCATCGGCGCGGCCGTCAGGGAGCGCTACTCGCTCGCGCAGCGCACGATGTTCTACGACGAGATCCGCTACTTCATGGAGATGAGCGAGCGGGAGCAGCGACTGCGGCTCGCGGGGCCGATCCCGGCCCTCGAGGAGTTCTGGCGCTATCGGCTGGGCAGCAGCGCCGTGACGGTGTGTCTGGCGCTGAACGAGTTCTCGTGGGCGGCGATGGAGCTGCCGCTCGAGTTTTATGCGGATGAGGACGTGAAGGAGATTTTTAGGTGCACGAATACGATTATTTCGGCGACGAATGATCTCGTGTCGATTAAGAAGGAGGTGGTGAGTAGAACCCGACGGGGAGATGCAGAGTGTGGGCTAATGGTGCGAGTAGAAACGTGATGCGATTGACTCGCTTATTCCGATTATATATGCCCACGTGGGCGATATCCAGGTCGCTGTGGCGGAAGTCGTTGAGTTCGTAGCGGCGGAGATTAGAAATCTGGATGTAGCGGCGGAGAGGCTGTTTAGGCGGTACGCAGATGCTGATGAGAAAATGCAGGCACAGGTGAGAGATTTCGTGGATGGGTGCAAGTATTACACCACTGGGAACTTCGTGTGGTCTTTGGAGACGGATCGATATGATGTTGATTATGCGGCGGATGGCTCCGGGGATATTCTCATGACGCTTTGAGAACGTTGTCGGAAAGCGGAGAAGGGAATATTTGAAGAGGGAAAGGGACGAGAGATTTATAAGACTACGGCGTGTAAGAGGACTTCAGGTGTATATTTGGTTTTGTACGCGTTGATTTCTGTACTTTCGACCTAGAGAATATCATTTTCCTGTTGTATTCCAGGGTTGTTTTTCTGCTGTCTTGAATCTATAGCCGCGTTCAAAATATCGTGGAGCGCTATTCTCTAGTACGTTCGGCGGTGTTGAAAACGTTGCCTTGGGAAATCGAATTAAGTATTAATATAGCCTTCTCATCTGATTATAAAATTTACCTTCTCTTAATAATTGCATCCGCAATCTTCTCGGCCAGCATGTACACAGTGCTCTGCGGATGCCCCGGCACCATAAACGGAAACGCACTCGCATCCACCACTCTAAGTCCCTCGACCCCAAACACCTTCGCTCTGGAATCCACAACCGCCCTCTTATCCCCATTCTTCCCCATCGAACAAGTCGCACCCGCATGCCAAATCTGCGTCGCGGCGTTCTTCACAAATGCGAGTATTTGGGCGTCCGTCTTGACCGCGTCCCCGGGCGCAACCTCTGGACCAACTTTGATACTTGAAATACTATTGAAAGCTTGCCGTGCTCGCTTCAGCCCAGCAACCGCAACCTCGCCGTCCGCGGGATTGGTAAACCATCCCAGATCAATGACTGGCGGCGTCGCAGGATCGGCGCTTTTGATCGTGACGCTTCCCCGGGAGAGCGGAGCGGTGAGAGAGGCACTCAAAACCCCCAACGTGCTTCCATTAGGACCCGCAGCCGCGCCCGCAACGTACTCGACCTCCGGCCAGTCCGCAGGAAACCACTCGAGTGCGACCTTGGTGGCGCGGGAGAAAGTGCTGCGGAGCGTGCTTGGGATCTTTTCGAAGGAGATGTATGCTGAGACTGAACTCAGCGGGCCCCATTGCTGCTTGTAGTACTGCTTGTTGGCCTTTGCTGGGTCGAGGGCTATTTCTTGGCCGCCAGAGGGAGTGCTGACGACGTTGATGATTTGGAAGTAAAGCTGGTCCCAAAGATTCTGGCCGACGCCGGCGAGGTTCGAGATGACGGGGATGTTGTATTTGTTCAGTGTTGCCGCAGGGCCGATTCCGGATACTAAAAGGAGATGCGGGGAGCCAAAGACGCCGGCTGAGAGTATGACCTCCCTTTTAGCGGTCAGAGTGTACGACTTGTCGTTTGTAGTGACCTGGACGCCCTTTGCGCGTTTGGAGCTGAAAAGAATTTTCGTCGCGCGCGTGTGGTGGTAGACTTGCAAGCCGGCTGGCACTCCGATTTTTTCCATGTAGCTTGTTCGCGACGAGGATCGCGTTGCGTCGCATGGATCGACAGACGTCGTGACGTACGCGCCCGTGCCAGTCAGGAATCCACTATTCAGACCAAGTACACTCTGCGGCAGGCCGAGAGATCGAATGCCCTTCGCGAGCCATGTGATGGTTGGATCAACCCATTGCGCCCATGACACCTGTACTGGGCCTCTGAGGAAATCGTTGAAGGCCGTGAGATCATAGGTAAAAGTCGCGTTTGGTGTATTGCGCTTAGGGAAGTTGGGAGGATAAGAGAATGCAGATTTTTTGAAAAATGGGAGGATGTTCCAAAACGTGTAGCTTTGATCGCCCACCAAATCGGCCCATTTCTGGTACGCTCCGTACGTTGCGCGGTGGAAAGCCAAGGTGTTGATCGCAGATGAGCCTCCGAGGGTCTTGCCTTGGGCGTAGTGGATTTGACGGCCTCCAGCCTCCGTTTGGGGGACCGAAACATAGTCCCAATCCATCAATGAGTTTCGAGGATAAGATGGGGTCGTGTCGAGAAACGGTATCGCCGTAGCGTAGCCCGGAATTGTACTGAGGTTGCCATTGTCCTGCTCGTAGAACCCGCCGGCCTCAATCACGGCGACAGACGCGACCTGAGCGAGACGAGAGGCAATGGCTAGGCCAGCAGTACCGCCTCCAATAACTACATGGCCACCGTTGGTCATTCGGCTCAATTGGCGGAGGGGATGACTGAGAAACACGATGTAACATACCGACATAGTCATAAGTGACGGGCTGCCCGAAGGCTGGCTGTGCGAGAGCCTCGCCAAAGAAGAGCTGTAAGGACCACAGTGCCACACAAAGCTGTCCTACCGAAAGCTGTGCTGCAGTCGTCGCGATATCAGCACATGCTAGCCCCAAGAAACGCATTGCTTTCTCAATTTCCCGATGACGAATTGGCGGAAGATCGGGTAAAGAGGTAGGCAGAGCGCAAGCTGGATGTTAAGAAATCAGGAACCGAGAACGAAGCTCGAGCGAGGGTACTCTGTACCTGCAGGCAGGCGAGCAATCAGCCATCACGTGGAGTGAGCGTAAGTGCGTAGGTGTGCAGGAGTGGCGTCAATGCGATGCCGGGCGAGGAGAAGGCGACCTAGCTTGCTGTCAATCGAGGGACGGCACAAGGCGAGCCCTCTGCCCCGACCTGAATCCCCGATGGTCTAGGGTTGTGCGGGCGAACCAGGTCCGTGGATCTGCGTGAGTGCATCCCCTGCCCAACGCGGCACGGCCCAGCATACCTCGGTCTTCCCGACTTTCGAGATGATTGGACCATGTCTTGAGCAGGATTCTGCTGTGCCCCGCAAAGTTATTGTAGACGAGATGAAAATGAGCTGTGAAAGGGAAAGCAGGCCACTACCGTTCATAGTCACGTGCATATGCTCGCTTAAGAAGCGGCCGCGCTAGTAGTGGATAAATATGAACTCATCCACCTCTACAATTCTCCATTATACGGTGAGCCAGGACTTTCTTTTCAAAAGGGCGTTGGTACCTGCACACCCCCTTTTCGGTAGTTTCACACCCCCTATTTTGGTAAAAGCACACCCCCCCTCTCGCCTAATCTTTTGATTGGCTAGAGCGGCTCGGAACTTCGTCCGGAGCTCTATTCTCACGTGCATCCGCACGTGTAGCCTTTCTTATTCACTTAGGCGTACATGAGCTTGTACGTGAGGCTATACATAAGGCCATACAATCGGCATGGTTATCCCTTAACCCGTCGATTAAGGCGCAACGCTCGGGCCAACGCCAAGCGAACATCATTCTCAGATATACAAACAAACATTGTCAGGCATAACAATCAACCAGAACCCACCTAAAAAGACAGCAATTGATGCCCAATCATGCCCAGAACATCAAATGACATTGACTATGTCAAATGGAAGGATTCTCGTACAAAACAAGCGAAAACACCCCCCCCCAAAGCCGGCGCCGCTGCCCGAGTTCTCTCCGCTCCACATCAACAGTTGGCATGCTCCAGGGAGAGCCTCTATGCCCTCTGGTCTTAATCGGCATGATCCTATGGCCATTTTCAAGCTATTCTTCACCAATGAAATGATGGAGAAGATGGTGCAGTGGACAAACGAGCATGCAGAACAGCACCGGCCCACCGACGTGCGCCTGCCACGGCCATGGAAGCCAACTACAAGGCACGAGCTCTATGCCTATTTTGGAACACTTATTTATATGGGAGTTACCGTGGAGAAGCGCGTTAAGGACTATTAGGGCCCTAGATCACGTGGTGCTAGCTATATAGTGAAAGACTATATTTCAAAGACCCGGTTTAAGCAGATTAATCGGTACTTTCGGTGCTCTCCTATGCCCCAGGATGGATTCTATTTAACATTTGAGCGTATAGATAAGCTCTCTAAGTATCTATAAGTACGCAGCCGCATGTACTGGACCCTAGGCCCTTACCTTACTATTAATAAAATAATACAGAGGTTTATAGGACGGGCTAGCAAAATTGTTAATATTCTATCTAAACTAACTCCGGAGGGGTTTAAAATATAGGTTCTTGCAAATTAAGGCTATATTCTTAATTAGCTATAGCATGCTAAGGGAGATAAGAAAGGCCCTATTAACCTTAACAAATTATTCCTTATAGAGGGCTTTACTAAAACACAAGCCGTTATGCTTAATCTTTTAATATAATATAATTCTATTATAAATTAACCCCTCTATCCACCTTATAAGCACATAGTTTAGCTAGATAATCTTTTCTCTAATATAAAGCTATTTAAGAGGCTCTATAAGCTTGGAATAGGAGCAGCTGGCACTATACGCACAACTAAAATAAAGAGAGAAGAGATGGAAGGAATTAAGACAAATATTGTTGCTATTAAGGAATAATCTAGCGCTTTATAACACTAGATAAAGAGGAAGAAGATTAAGCCTGCAGAGAGCTTCTCTCTATCGCTTGTAGACCTTAAGTTAAGCTATAATAGGCAAATTCCGTGGGGCACGCTATATAGCGAGTTGTTAAAGAGTTATAAGGTAATAGAATTTGCCTGGAAAGATGTAATAATAGTCTTATTCCTGTCTACCGTGCATAACGGGAAGGATTACATTGCTAAGCTACAGAAACAACCTACAAAAACAGCTACAGGATATTATTAAACGGTGAAGATATTTAGTAAAAAGGCGCAGGCGTGGCTTAATATTCCAGTGATAATCAATAAGTATAACCTCTGGATGTGCGGCGTGGACATGGCAGACCAGATGCGCAGCTATTATAATACAAATCGTGTCCACAGAAAGACATGGAAGCCATTGTGGAGTTTCCTGTTGGATACGGTTGTGGGCAATAGCTACATGCTCTTATTATACAGGCCCGAGCCGGGCTCAGGCGAGCGCGCATTACGCCAAGATACTCATCTACAATTCTGTCGAGACCTACGAGACAAGCTCCTACATGCATCTATTCGTTATCGCCAGCAAGATTCTATGCAGAGAGCGAAGGGGCCTATGGATCTTGTTTGGAGACCGGTCAATGAGCATCAGCATGTTAAAATGTTCACAAAACAACCCACCTGCGCCGGCTGCTCAGCTAAGCACCGCGCAACTTCAAAGCCTCATCTTGGCGCTCGAAAAGCTCTTGCTGAGCTATCTGTCAATACAACACAGAAGAAGCGAGAGGATAGCAGGGGGTGGAAACGCCGTGAAAGGCCGCCAAGAACGAATTGGGGCTGTTCTGTATGCAACATTCCGTTCTGTAGAGAGGGCACGTGCTGGAGCGAGCACGTAGCCCGGCTCAACACCATTGCCTAGCTCTACAAGCAGATATGTACATAGAAATCACGAATTCAAACATTTTCATCTCTCCGTAGCTCTCATACTCAGGGGCCGATGCGGTGCATCTGATTGGCTACAAAAAGTGGCCCGAGCGTTGCGCCTCGACGGGTTAAGGGATACGGCCTCTCCGTTTTACGGCGCATCCTTTTTAATTTGTACAGCCGTATATACAGCCGTACGTGAGCTCGTACGTAAGGCTACACAAATTGGAAAGGATGTGCTGTAAAACGGGGAGGCTGTATAGCCATGCCGATTTGTATAGCCTCACGTACGAGCTCACGTACGGCTGTATATACGACTGCACGAATTGGATAGGCTGCAATATGGCCGCATTTAGAGAGAGCATTTGGAATTACTAAGCAAGTTAAGCAAGCGAATCGGAGGCTCCGGAGAAGTAGTCCGAGCCAATAGGAAGGCGGTGAAACGCCAAGAGTGTAGGTGGTGTGCTTTTACCGAAAACGGGGTGTGTAGGTACCAACGCCCTTTCAAAATCGTCACGTGCTAAGCACCGTACTTCAATATCCGCAACACTCAACCTCAGTCGTCACCTGCAATAGTGCTTTATTTAGAATCACGAGTCTCTCAGCTTAAAGTTAACCGTGTGCCGTTAAGGCCAGCTTGTCCCGCAATATGAAGAGCTTCTGGCGGTTCCAAAGCAACGAGTTCTTATCGAGTTCCATATCGAAGTGCCAAATCAGTCGAGCCATGATAGCTTGTGTTTCTGTCCATGCCAGGTCCTAATACGGTTAGCCTTACATCTTGAAAGCCTGAACAAATATTTTTAAGAATTACATACCTGACCTACGCAGTTGCTCGGCCCGGTGGAGAATGGCTGGATGACTGTCCGCTTATCGTCCTGGAACTTTGGATGACCCAGGAAGCGTTCAGGAGCAAATCGCTCCGGGTCAGTGAAGTTGTGAGAAGAATGGCAAGCAAGATACTGTGCGACTCCGATCCTCGTTCTGGCTGGTATGAAGACAGAGTTGATGACCGCACCTCCCTCTGAAACTAAGCGAGGAGGCATGGTTGGGACTGGTGAGTATAAGCGAAAAGTAACCTGGATAACGGTATTGAGAGTCTTTAGTCGGCCGAGCGCTAAAAATGAAATCTTCGACTCGTCGCACAACCTTGTCCGTATTCCATGCTGGAGTTTCTTTATCCATGCTGCGTCTTTGAGTAGGTAGAAGGCTGCGCCGCTGAGAAACGTTGCTGAGGTTTCGCTGCCCGCAATGATGATTAGGCCGGTAGTCTTCATGATCCCTGCGCGAGTTTATCCCAAAGCCACAAAACCGTACCTCATAAAGTCTTACCAGTCCGACGGCGTATCCAATTGCCTCGCCGTCTTGTTTTTTGTGTATTCCGTATGCCTCTGCCTCGCTCTAGCCAACGCTGGGAATAGCTGGGGAAAGCTGAGAAGAGGGTGTCCGACTATAGGATATGCCCGCAGTACGCGGAACATCCTGCCAACCTTCAACCCCTGGAACAAGTTTGCAATCCAGAAGCCGTAGTTTTCATTCTCCAGTGCGTTGAATGACTCGCCAAAGCACAGAGAGCCTATAACATCAAAGTTGGTGAAGTTCATACATCTACTCAGATCGATGGTGGTGCCAGAGACAGCTTCCTAGTGAAGCTTATGAATAAGGACGTCGATGAACGAGCATATGATCGATTCTTGCTGACGGATCGCTTGCTCGGAGAAAGCGTGACTTAGTGTACGGCAGATTCGTGTGTGGTTGGTGTCGTTGGCAGCTAGAGGGGTAAGCGTGCTGACCGGATCACCTGACAGTGAGCAAAGTTTAAGGCTGAATACGTAGAAACGATATCTGCAGCCCCATCCTTCGACTGGAAATATACGGCTGGATCTTTTACCATAGATTTCTTATTATCTGACTGCACATAGATATCTAGAGAGGTCACTTGTCACCAACCGGCACGTGACGCACGTGATGTGCGAACCACAGAAGGGAATAACCTCGCCACGCCTCAGCGTTGTTGATGAAAACGCAAGTCGGCGACACTCGAACAACTTCGTTGTAATCCCCGTGCAGCGCATGCCAGTTTAGCATGATGTTTCCCATTCATATCTCCCAAAAGGAGGGAAAGAAGCATGAAGGGTATGATTCTGGTCGCTGTTTAGATCGCTAGTATGATCGCAAGATAGAAGGGGGGTTGTTGTAGGAGTTTCCAAACTTCCGTAACACCGAAAATGCCGTTGAATTTTGGCTCAAGTAGACATTAAGTGGAAAAATCTTACAGTACTGTGGTGAGGTAGAACGGTACCTGTAAAGATATAGGCACGTGGCCTACGGCACGTGCCTGCGGAGGGCAATGCGCCGCTCCGGCCCTTAGGCTCTAGCTGCTGTTCTGCGGCGAGCATCATCCATCATCCATCACCACTTCTTGTAGCTAGCTACGCAGCTGCGCTGCGCTGCACGCCCTTACAGGCGCCTTCTTAATCAATCGTTTTTCTACCTGCATGCACTACGCCTGCTCCTTCTGCCTACGTGCACGGCGTGCACTATACCTCCTCCTCTTCCTCCTACCTAGGTGCTCTGCGTGCACTGCACCGCTCCACACCACCACAGTACTTCACCGAGACATAGTTTTGGGCACTCTTTGCAACTGCTTGGGGTACCCCGACAGGCTTTGGAAACGCCATATACAATGTGAAGGTCACCGCAGTGGGAATTACACTGCCTTTTGACTACCTGAGGACAGGTTACCAAGGGCACTCCTTACGATGGTGTCGGGAGACCAAGAGCGCAGCTAGAGTAGTTGTATATCTGTGTGCCCAAAGCTAGGACCTACTAATGTAATGTGCAGTTGCTTGATACTTCATCCAAATGAATGTTCGCGCATGTTGAAGTTGGCTACTGGGATCCTGTCTACATATGTCTGAGTTGTACTGCACATCTAGCAAGGAATATAATTAGTTATCATTTTTGTTCTTTGAACTCGTCTCGCCAGCTATGGAGGATGTTGAAATATCACGTGATTGTAATGAGGGCTCGGCTAGACTTGCATCGGCATACAACACCTTTCCATCATCAACGTGCACCTCATCGACCCGACTCAATCTTGCACGCAAGGCATCTTCTCAAAGAACCCTGATGCAATCCAAATGTGGCAATGAGGTCAGAGCCTGCTCTCACACGATAAAATTACGTACCCCAAAGGTGCACAGAATAGACCGAGGCATGCAAGGCTGAAAGCTCCTGCATTGCCAGCACTCATCTGCAGCTTCTTAGCATCAAACCAGGCATCCGGCCTTCCCAAAACTGAGCAACTCCCAAACAACGCATCTCTTGGTGCTTCTTATGGACACGCTGGGACCGAGATGCACATTCCAGTACTATCTTATTAGCCCCAAAGCCCAGAAAGGTGCATTGCCAGCAGCCTTTCTGCCTCTCACATCTTCGGAGGAATACGTGAGTTCGAAAGATGGACCGAACTCGACATTGAAGTCGGCCTTGGCCACGACCTTGACCAGTATACTACAGCTCCGCGAACGTTAGAAACATTGTGCTCTTCCATTTCTGTGCTCTCCGAACCACTACTGATTCGAGTCCTTGATCTCGACGGTTTACCAGCCTGGGCCCAGGGCCCCGGCGGAGAACCGGATGACATACCTCTCTCAGGCACTCGCGTTGTATCTCTTGCAACATGCCCTAAATTTGCAGCACTATCCTACGTATGAGGACATTCTTCCATGACGCTGGATGTTATATCCTGTAGCGGCTGCGACATCGAGATCACCACGAAGTGCCGGTTTGCGCTTCGGCAGCTGCGTCGAAAGTACGGCTCTATCACAATCTAGTTTGATTCTATATGCATCAACCAGAAGAATATAGAGGAGAAAAACAAACAAATCCCGCTGATGGATGAGATATACATCTGGGCGACTCAAGTGTACATCCGGCTTGGGCATGGCAATGCCAAATCGGACAGAGTTGTGGCATATCTTAAAGCCGCCTCGCTAGCCACCAACAACATATGCCTTGCGGGCATACCGTGGATTAGTGCTCATACACGAGCAGATAGCCGGAAGGCCAAGCGGAAGTTCCAGCGGCATGAGGCTTCTCTTTATTTCCACTATATCTGGGATAAATTTTAGTATAACCCAAAGACTCGAATTTTCCGAAATCTGGTCAATGAAACCAGTAGCACGCTTTTTCTAGTTAGCCGAAGACTGCTAACAATGGCAAGGGACATTTTTTCCTATTCCGCAACTCACACCACCACTTCCGGCAAAATGCGCTGCCGAAGATATGAAAGACCTCCTCAGTCGCGACTGGTGCCAGAGAGCGTGGACATTTCAAGAGCTTGCGCTAGCCTATACTCTGGTCATTCTCTGCGGCGACGCCGCAGTTGACTGGGATGCCTTTATACGCGGTCTTGATGCTTTCTATCCCAAGACTGAAAGATACGGACGTTTAGGAGCTGATGAAGAGACTGTGATCGCAAGCTACCGTTCTCCACCGTTGCGTTTCTGAATGGACAGCTCTCATCGACCTCTGGATGAATGTGACACGGCCTGTCAGGTGGGGTGACGTTCAGTTTCGCATCGTATTGCCAACAGGAACATCATTCAAAGCATGCTTGCAGCACCACAAAGACGTCGACTTTGGATGGAACACCATCAAAGTCTTGTTATCATTATGCACTCCTCTACTCCTGCCGCTCCTATGCTTTATCGCCATATCGCCCGCGTTACTCCTCCTTGATTAGCTAACCTTCGCGTTCTTCGACCAGCTTGATTATTGGCTTGATTGGGTACGCAGACATTTCAAAGAAGGCTTGGCGAAGAGAGAACCTCAGGATTTCCAAATAAAGTATGCTTTCATTACCTACATCGGGGGTACATCGTTGGTATTAGTTTTCGCGGGTCTTGGCCTTTTCGACTTGTCTCGAGATAACGGGTTTGTGCCTATCCACGTCCTCGGCGCAACAACCCCATCGACTCTCAAACTGGACTCAAAAGAAACACCGTTATATGGCGCTCTTTATGCTTTGCGTAATCGTGTTGCTCCCAATCCAAAAGACCGCTCTTACGCTCTTTACGGTATACTGCGAAATCTTGGGGTACCGCTCTCGACCTTGAACTACGCAAAACCAAAAAGCCGGATCTACACGGAGCTTTTTTCCTACCTGTTAACCTGGCGCCTATCGCTGCTTCATTTAGTCATCGATGCGGGCGGGGTACAGACCAAATATTCACCGTCATGAGTTCCGGACTGGACAACCGTTTTGGACGAGACTTGGGTCGATGACAAGTACCTCTACAACACGAACGAGCACAGTGCCACGCCCAGATTGCAGGCACACGTGTTCATACAAGATTACGAGCTATCCGTCAAGGGAACATTCTTTGGGGCTGTGTCGCTATCTTCGAAGCCTTTGGAAAGTATAGAACAACACGATCTTGATACGGACACCTCGTCACTGAAGTCTTCTCGATTCATCGGCCAGGTCTTGGAAATATGCCGGTGGATTTCCGTCCTGCGAAAAGAAATTCCCTTGGTTGACGCTTACGGCCCGGTCTCAAAAGCGGTCTTTCCCGTTCTCGAAGGGCGAATGACAAATCTAAGAGATCCGAATACTCTTCACTTCAACTCAATGTATCGATTGTTCGTCGGTCACAACCCCAAAGTGCTCGATGGAGAACCGGAGGCAGTAGAGCATCTTCTAGAAGCGTTTTCACGGAACAGCGACGCTTTTGCGTACATGATAAGCTGCTTTCGCAAATTCGGCGGCAGGAGGAATCTACTCGTTCTATCGAACGGTTACATAGGGTCGGGACCACCTTTCACAAAGGTTGTTCTCATAGCGGGCGTTCCGGTACCCATGGTGGTGCGTCGCCAAGATGACGGCACTGGCAGATACGTATTGATTGGGCCAGCATTTGTACCGGGCGTTATGGAGGGCGAGCACTGGGGCCGCGGGGAGCCAGAGGAGATGGTGCTTGTGTAAAAGAAGACTTGCTGATTTCCTCGATCTGTTTACGCCAGAGCACGTGTGTTCGCGATGCCGCGGCCCCAACTTATAATTGCTTTTTACACCAACGCGCTAAATGGTGGGGCCCCTTACGCATCACTGAGCGACTCTTCGTCAACACCCTTCCTCTCCCATTTTTCTCCCGCTCCAGTGACGTTCCTCCTCGTTTCTAGTACTGCCACCAGATGATCCCATCATCAACCGACCGCCGCTGCAATAGCGACCGACGAACAAGAATCCTGCCAAGCCCACTTGATTTTCGATGGCTTGGATTCTCGACGACAGTGTGATTGCGACAACATACCACACAACCCGTTCGAGCGACCTTCGGATGGATCGAAAGGGCATCTTCAGCACGCCGAGAATAGTGTCTCCACGTAACTTAGCGATCCGCAATATGCTCCGATAGACAATGTGCGGTACGCGTTGATCAAAGTAGCACTGGAGGAACCACAGCTGGCAGATAGGATCAAACAATACGCGTCGAGGGATAAAGCGGTGCCGGCGGATGTGGTGGCTTGGCTCGACTACTAGGATCAAGAGGGTTATGAAGATGGCGATGGAGATAATCAAGAATCCGAGGATGAACGGGGACAGACCGTGGCAACCGAGGGAGAGGAGACGGACGGGAGAGAAGTGCTCGAAATTGACGGGTCTGAAGAGAGCGGGGACTCGGATGGCACTGAAGAGTTCGTACAGACAGGCGAATCAGAGAATGACGAAGACCTAGAGGAATTGGGGGCCGTTGAGGGAAGTGAAGAGGAGGAGCCGGTGAACGAAAGTCGAGAAACCGAGATGAAGAGAACGCGGGAGATGAAGAAGAGCACTTCAAACCATTCTTCGGCCTCCTCGAACTCACACTCAGTAGTCGAACCTGACGACCCTCCTCTCCCGGCCGAGCTCTACGCCAATCCCGCACCTAGCAAAACCTGGAAGGTTTCATACATCAAAAAGGGCTTGGGAATTCCCGAGGACGTGAAATTTTTCGAGGATCCGTACGTCACTATTTGCGTCGAGATGGAATATTTATTAGGCGACATCGGAGTGTTTGGGAAAACGATATCGAAGGATTTACAGCCGAAGGTTGAGACCGCTTTGGGAGACTTTCATGTCCGGTTTCCCGACATCTTCGTCAAAATTCCAGACCCATGGAAGACGAAGTGTATACTCGCGCTCGCACATGTATGTAACAACAGAGGGCGACGCCGCGGGCCCGAGACCATTGCGGCCTCGCCCGAGTTCAGGATGCTTCACGGCGGCATCTATCATTCGATGGCGTGACTCTGGTGATCCGCAGGCAGGACACATCAGAGCACATTCTCTGCGCTGCTACGAGAGTAAGAAATTCCCCAGTTCCACGAGAGTACACGCGGGCACACCTATCGTACGTACGCTTCAACGATGTCCTACGGGGAGACATGAGATTTCGGAGCGATTCAGAGCTGCTGGTATACCGTAGAGCATCTACCGGCAAGAAGATATTGATTCGAACACAGCAAGTATGACGCATGGTCATGGAAGATATGTGTGCGAAGCGATGCATGCGATTTCTCTTCACTATTGAAAGACTTGAGAGTGAGCGATGCCTTGGATTGGCTTCAGCGTTCAAACTAACGCCTCTTGTTCTAGGTGAAACAATAGAAATGCCAGCCATTGTACCATTTCACACCCAGCAACGGTCTCGGAAACCAAATGCTACAACGCCGCGGTCTACATCTCTAGGTAGTGACTCGCCCCCCTCATCAACTGCAGCCGTGAAGCCTGGTACAGAGCAGCATAGATTCGAAGTCGACATTACGCAGTCACCTCCACTCGCTAAAACATCTGCGCGCCCGAAACCAGCAGGGACAGCGGAGAAGGAAGTAACAAAACCCGCTCAGTCACGAAAGCGGAAAGGCGACAGTAACTCCGAATGTGCCGGGGCTTCCAAGAAGGGAAAGATTCGGAAGACGAAAGAAACACAGCGGACCAATCTTAACCAAATCAATATCCAGATGTCGACTAATCTCCATGAAGTAGTAGAAGACTGCGGATTCAAGGCCGTCACTAGAGTTCAGGAGATATCAGATGCCGTTAATCTTGGCTCACAAGGTCGTCGAAGCTGCCATGCTTGAGGGGCCCCCGAAAGCTATGAAACGTGCTCGAGCTGATTTGAGAACGGCGTTGAAGAGACTGGATGAAGTACAGCGTGAGGATAGCGAATGAAGAGAGATGTAAGCGGCACCGGGAGATAGGTCTGGGCATATCATTTGGATTGTAAGGGCATTCGTCGAGGTGGGAGGTAGTCGTTGCCAAAGAAGAAAAAGGCCGACCGAATTCCCCGACGCTTCGGTAAATGAATTTCTAAGCGCGTTGATCACGTGACGTTACTCAACTTATCATAAATCAGGGTCCCCTCATTCCCCAAAGAACATTTTCTCTCAGAAGTGGTCTACTCTCCGATCCCACATGTCTAAAATGCAACAATTCGAATTCCACCACTACACCACCCCACCCCCAGGGACCTCCCCGCGGACCTGGGAGCCCCTTGAACCGGGCATCACTCAAATGACCCTCAACTCCGATCCATCAACCGGGCGTGTGATGTGTCTGCAGCGATGGGAGCCGAATACGAGAAATGAGATTCAGAACTTCGTGCACGATTACATTGAGGAGATCTTCATCGTGGAGGGCGATTTGAGGGACCTCAAGGGAAGGGAAGGCGGGACGGTTTGGAGGAAGGGCGCGTATGCGTATAGGAAGCCGGGGATGGATCATGGGCCGTTTGGAAGTGAGGGGGGTTGCTTGATGTTCATTACGTGTACGCCTGTCGGTTAGGAGGCAGTGGAGAGGAGAGAAGGGGAGGTGGTTTGATAGTCATGAAGCATGCAGAGGAAGAGGAATGAGGTGTGAGATAATCGAATTGATTTTCCTTGATGAGTCGTAGGAAAACTAAACATGACAATGAAAAGGAAGCCACTATAGCACCTATAGCAAGGAAATCTTCCCTCGGGTTCCGCGTCGCTCTTCGTTCCTGCTGTTCCAACGCCATTACCTCTCTACTCCCAGTTCTTCAACACCGTCTCTCCTCCCTTCAGTCCCGAATACTTCAGGCTGCCCGCCCACAGCTCTTTCTGCTTCTTTTCATCCAATGCCTCCGCCGTTTGATGAGCGCCCACCGCAGACCCATCCAACGCCACAGCCTTCGGAAACCTCCCCAACGGCTCCTTCACATCGAAAGCCGCCCTTCTCACGTCCTTTGCAGAAGTGCCAGTCCTCCGTAGCGTGCCATTTGGCACGAAATACTCGTACAAACCCATAAGCGGGGTAAAGAGCGGCAAGACATAAATCAGCATGATGCGTATTAGCAGCGGTGAGTGCCGTACAATCCCTGTTGGCATACCACCCGGATCGACTGAGAGGACCGAGATGTTCGAGAGCGCCGGGTCGGCATCAATTCGTCGTTGAAGCTCGGGCATCAGCATCGCCATGAGGGTTTTGCTCATGCCATAGCGTCGCATACCTGCACCCCACAGCGCCCAGGTTCCGGCGCCTTCTCGGTCTTCAATGGGTGGCTTGGCGAGAGCGTCGATGCTGGAGAAGATAGTCTTGTGGCTTTCATCTGTGACGTGGTTGTTCCGGGGGTCCAAGGGATCGTGCGTCCAGCTCGAGATGATGACGATGCGGCCGCTTTCTTTGTCCATGCTCTGTAGGAGGAGCAGGATGAGCAGGAAGTTGGACAGGTAGTTTACGGCAAAAGTCTCTTCCAGACCTTCGCTCGTGAAAGTTTGGCCTCCGGTGTGCTGGATAGCGGCGTTGAGGATCAGCGCGCGGATGGGAGGGAGAGCGCCCGCGGACACGCGGTCGTTGATGGCTTTGGCGCCAGCTCGCACGGAGGCGAGGGTGCTGATGTCGAGAGCCACGGCTTCGTGCTGTTTGCCATTTGGTGATTTGGAAAGAATGCTCTGGAGAGTAGTGGCTGTTGCCGGGTTGCGGACGCCGAAGAGGCCGGTGTAGAGCGATGCTTCTGGGGACGCGAGGAATTGGGATGCAAATGCGGATCCGAGGCCGCCATTGGCGCCCGTGATGAGGACCGTGCCCTTGGTGTTGGCCATTGCGGTGGTGTCGTGAGATGGATCGTCGGTGCGAAATGGAGCTTTATAGGACGAAGAATCAAGATTGATAAGCAACAGCTATTGCTAATTTGTGCAGCTTTTATGTACATATTGTAGCGGTGGGGTGAGACTGCTGTGTCAGGGGGTATGCACGTCGTCTGCCTGAGTTTGTGTAAGGATAAGCCGTATGCGCCGTGGAAATTCGTCCATTTTGCTCCGCTTACTGCACATATAGAACATGGACGCTAGAACTATTCCGGCTGACCAACAACGCGTCTACCTACCTTTCGAAGACAAGCGTCTATATGTCTAATTCTTAAGCGTCACGGCCAATGAACTTCGCAGATGTTTGCAATTTTTGACTGAGTGCTGAAAGATGCCTTTCGAGAGGCCTCACAGCTAACTCTGATTGATAATGCGGCTTAGAAATGTATAGCGTTATCCCTGCCTCTCAAAATAATTGCGCTACAAATGCGTTTATTCAAGTTTCCCTTCCGTCCAGACCCTTCGCTGTAATACTATTGAATGGTCTCAATAAGGTGTCTGGTCTCAATCGACCCAATCGCTACGAAGTATGCTAGACGTCGATCATTCCATTATTCCGAGCGAGGTCTAGTGGATATAGCGTCTCGCAAGTTCCTCCCTGCTTGACAGCAACACCACTTCAACACCACCTTGTCTCCTAGTACCTTATAAATCATCAACAGCGGCATCGGATCTCCTGCACCCATGGGAATGCATTATACCCTGGCCCCTCTGCAGTACCACTTCCAGGGCAAATCCTTCCCGTGGCGCAGATCGGAAAGGAGGTTCGTAGACAAGCCATGCAGCAGCGAAAATCGCATAAGAAATCCCGCAAGGGCTGTCAAAACTGCAAGAAGCGGCATGTCAAAGTATGCGGCTTGCCCAATTCTATTTCCGCGTCTCCAGCTCCTGAAGTCTCCTGATTTGCATTCTAACTCCCGTAGTGCGACGAGCAAGGGCCTCCATGCGCTGCATGTATCGCCCGCAACACTGAGAGCACTTGCAATTACGAAAAGTCGCAATTACCCCAGGACACACGAGATGGACCTGGCGTATCTAGCAAAAGCGATGTCGAACCTTTCCCCGTGCTATCACCATCCAATGACGATGGCGGCAACCCATCTGAGACGCGCCGACTGGCCGAGCTAGAACTGATGCATCGTTGGTCGACAAGCACTTTCAAATGTCTGTGCATACTGCCCGAAGATGTCCAGTACCTTCAAATCGCGGTCCCCCGTGCAGCTTTCAAGCACGACTATCTCCTGAATGGTATCATGGCCCTAGCTGCATTGGAGATAGCGATAGGCGACGACGCTATCGACCAAGCAAAGAAACGGGCATACCTTGATCACGCATCAAGATACTATGCCCTGGCCAGCCAGTCTCTCCGTGTAGCGCTCTGCAATATCACCAAAGAAACGCACCATTCGATTTACCAATGCTCGATGATGCTGACGGTCATCAACATGGCCATCCCGCTGTCCAAGCACGTCGAAGACGATGAATTTGATGAGAAACGGCTTGGCATGCTGGATCGTATGGTTTTGCTCTTCAATCTCTTCCTTGGTAATGGTTCCATCGTCCTTGTAAATTTTGAGTGGCTTCTCAATAGCCCGGCCGAACCTTCGCTCCGCGCGGGCATTGCATTGAGGCAGAAGATGCGACCAGAGAACCTGGATGCCTTAACGACAGCTGCGTTGGCGCGGCTTTCATCTGTCATCGACGCAGCACTCGCTTGTGGTGACTCTATGGCGATCGATGAGTCCCTACACCCGTATCAAGGAGCCGTAAAGCAGCTAGGAGAGTGTTTTATGCTGGATTCAGACGACTCGATCAAGGGCTTCTGTATCTCGTTCCCCATGTTCGCTGGTCCAGAATTTGCCCTCTCTTTCAGGCGGATGGAACCTTTAGCACTTTTCATCGCCATGCATTGGGCTGTTCTCCTACAACGCCTCCCCGCGGAAGCTTGGTGGGCTGTAGGGGTTGGGAAGCAGCTAGTGCTAGAAATTTCGGAGATGCTATTATCGGAAACGCAGCTTACCACGATGGTGGAGTGGCACCAAAACATTGCATGGGCACGAGAACAGGTGGGACTGAACCCCAGCGACGATACACAAAAGCCACAACCAGCCGCTCGAATCCAAAAAAATGGTTCGTTCTGAAATACATCTACGCAGCCGCTACTGCCGCAGCCGTCGCCGCATACGTCACCTGCCATATCCTCAAAACACTCGCAACCGCCATAATCGCCCAGCGCTCCCCCAGCTCCCCCGTCGCACCCCTACCCAGAAACTGGAACTTCCCAACCTTATCCATACTCAGCTTCCCGTTGTCCGCCCACACGGCCACAACCTCCCTCCCGGCGCTCGCCAGCCCGGCGTCTCTAGCACTCCGCTTGCCGCCGCGCTCCTCCGCCGTCTCGCCGTCCACCCGCACCAGCTTCCACCCCCGCGTCCACTTCGAGCTATCCAGCCCCTGGACTTCGTCGCCGCGCGATGGCCGCCACTCGAAGCGGGCGGGGAGTGCGCTGGCGCCGTCTTGGACTGGAATTGAGAAGGAGTACGTCGCGGACTTGAGGCTCCAGTGGGCGCGGAGCTGCTCTTTTATGCCGTAGGCGGGAAGCGTAATGATGGACTGGTTGGAGAGGTAGCCTTTCGTCTTGGCCGTCGCAAGAGGAGTGCTCGACGCCCTGTCGGGTCCGCTGTGGAGCACGAGTTCGGGCTTGCTGCCGAAGCCCGCGTGGAGGCTGACGGAGTGCTGGGGCTGCGAAGCGTGCTCGCCGAGGTGGAGGTGCGCTTTGTGGAAGTAGAGGTTGAATGTGAGCGGGAATCCGGCATTGTGGGCTGCAGATGAGGTTGGGGCGGCGGTGTTGGACACGGGGTGGTGCGTTAAGGTGGTCATGGTGGAAATCTGGAATGGATGATGCTGTGCGGTGTCTCTGGTAGAGAGCTAGAACAGAATGGGAAATGAAGGGCCTTGTGTATAAGAAATTGGGGTTTTTGAATCGTTGCGATGTAGGCCCGAGGAGGGTTCTTAAATGTAGTCCTTTGCTTAGTCTAAATACGCCTCGTCTCACGCTGGCGGCACATGCTTCCCACTTCGGAATCCGTGTAACTGCAACCAAGACTATCTTGCACCGCCTTGTGAAGAGGACGGGCCGCCTGATTGGTGGTTATTTGAAGCTTATGTCGATCTGCCATGGCGTCGTTCGGTTGATCCCGATACGCGTATCTGCGGACACGAAGCCTAGGTCACGTGACCTATCACCATCTTACAAGAAAGTAATAGGTAGAACACCACTCCAAGGCCACATCTCAAACTCGAGACAAGAGCCAACCCATTCGCCCCTAGCCCTATACATGGAAGTAAAATCAACCACCTGTCAAAAAGAGAAATGTAGTCATACAGACGAACGTCGTAACCTCCTCCCCATCGCCCATCTACCTCCGGAGCGGCCTTACTTCCTCCACCAACTCCGGCAGCTCAGATACCTTGTAGTGTTTTTCTCCAGCTACTGCTTTGTAAAAAGCACAGACTTGGTCCAGCTGCGTCAAAGCTATTTCTTTGCGCTCGATCCACTCATCTATCCAGTCTTTAACGGGTCGACGTGCGCGAGGGGGTAATAGCCATGTCCTACACTTCGGGCAGGTATTCGCATTTTTGTTCGTGGAGTTTGCCCAAGTGAGCATGCATTTTGTTCCCATAACGTGTCCGCACTTAAGTTTCATGCCAAGATGCTTTCCGGTATAGGGATCCCCGCAGATAAGGCATCCCTCGTGGTCGTCTCGGTCCTCGATTGCTGGACCCCAGAATGCCGTACCCAGGTCATTCGACAGGACGTCGGGGCCTAAGGTTTCGACAATGTCTGTGTTGTTGTAGTCGATGTTGTCGATCCTGCTTTCAAGAGCATCTAATTCCCATCTTATCACACGGACTAAAGCCCATATGTATTTTTGGATGCTGGGTCCACATGTGTATTTTCCGCTACGCGGCAGCAGGCCTAAACGTTGCCAAAACACGCTCTTGGGGAAATCCGCACCGCGAGCTACAACCACAGCCGCCTTAACTGACACATGCAGCATACGCATGACCGTAGGGACGTACACGCTTTGGGGGCTGACTGCAGTCACACTATTGTAAAGAGCTTTTTCTGCAGCGAATAAGGCTTCGTGTGCAGCTTTCCAAGAGCGTAACATCTCAGTCAGTGGTCTCTTAGGTATGAGGTATGTGTGAACGACACAGTCTTCGAAAGATAAGCCAGCGGCTTTCACCCGGTTCATTTGCTTCTCATAATGCTCGAGAGCCTCGTCGATTTCAATTTCGGGCAAAAATGTACAGGACACTCTCAGAATGGATTCAAAGAATAGATTGTCCGGGACCTGTCGCATAGCGAAGTGAGGCATGTTGCGATATTATAGAGATTGTGTTAATTTGTTGACACTCTTATACCGCCACCGGAAGGGGTTATGCTTCAGGCGATCTACACTGGATTGGAGCTTACTATTATAACAGGTTCGATACACCAACGGGTCAGCTCTAACGAGGGTAAGAAAGGGTGCACAGGCTCGACGTACAGCCCGTTGCTTCAGGTTCCGACCGGTAAGTTGAAGCACCACACGCAGTAGCGGAGAGGCCTAAGATTGTTGACGTGAAAGGCCGGGCTGCAAAGGTTCGGTGGTAGGAGGCTAAAAGGCAGAACTTGAGTTCGAGGACGAAGGTCGAGTTGTAGGGGGGGTTTGTGGGTAGTGAAAAACTCCAATTTGTACTAGATCTTGGGTTGCGCTCTGATGTATGCTCTGATATTCCCAATCACGTGAAGGATGCCGTCTATGGTAAGGGACCACTCCCAGGGGCGGGAGGCCCCACATCTGACCCATGAAATGGATCAAGGAAAATTATCTAGAAGATAGCTTATGGGAGATGTTCAAACAGCTGCGATATTTAGTCGTAGAATACTAACACTTGCAAGAAATCCAATTCGTGTTACCAGCCTTCCCGCAGAACTAAGGACTAAGAGTGAAAAGCAGACGTACGATATCCCATAATCAAGCTACGTTATATTAATACAATTCGCCATGCAAGCCGCGCGGTACGCCAGTCAGATCAGGGTCACTTTCAACTAAAGCGACTTCTGATGTCGAAGGTCTCAAGATCCTTACATCCTCCACCAGATCCGCCAACCCAGACTTCCGGAACAATACGTCACCAGCTACCTCTTTCACGAGGGCAGCTAACTCGTCCAATTGCGCCAGCGCAAGGCGGATCCTTGGTTCGACCTGATCTGGGGTTGGACGACGTTCCCTCGCAGGGAACAGCTTGGCCCGCACTTGCGTCGAGTTTACCCAGCGTAAAAGGCGGTTGTCGCCGACGACGTGTGAACAGGCATGGAGTTGGAAGCCTGGATGCTCCGGCGTATAGGATTCCTTGCAGATGCAGCAATCCGTGTGATCGCTGCGCTGATCTGAGACAGGGCCAACGAAACGCGCGCCTTCAAGATCAGTAGCGGACAAGTCCGGGTCCACGTTTTCCAGGATAGTTATTTCAAAATCTGAGAATGCGCCCGAGTCGTCGATAGCACTTTGCGCAATGATATGGAACTCACATTCGAGCCATTTGACGCACTCTTCCGAATCGTCGGTGAAGTCGAGGCTAGTTTCAGGTTCCGATTGCCCTGGGAATAGCCCCAGGCGCTTACGCCTAAGAAAGACGTTATAAGGGGAAGGGAATTCGGCGTAGACAATACGGACATACAGATTCAACATCAATAGGAGTTTTGCAATGCATGGACGTGGATCCGGGATTTTTTCACTCTGAGGATCGCACTCCGATATTCGCGTCACCTCCTGTGTGCGCTCGGCGACGATGGAGAAGAGAGCGTTGTAGGCCAGGCCGAAACGGAGTTGCTCGTCGCTGCTGTCATCTTTAGCTTTGATGAAGTCGAAGGAGGTCAGGCCTAGATTGGTCACAAGGTCAGCCATAACGGTCGCGTATTTGTCGATACAGACGTCGAGACTCGAGCCGTTTTGCTGTTCCGAGGAGTGGGTATCATGCTCAGCCATTATGATCAGCAGGTAATGAACACAGAAATCTAGAGTTGTGATCTTGGGAGGTGAGTGAAATTCCAATAGGGAAGGGAGAGTGATAGTGGTGCTCACGTCATTTTTACATTGTATAACTACACAAAAGAGGAAACCAGTTGTGAAAGAAACAACAAATGGATGTCAAAGAAAGAATGAAGAGAAAATTTGGGATTCACAATGTACACGCTTCCCATTGGTGAGCACCTGCTTCACAAGCCATCAAGTCCAAACTGATTGACATAATGCCAGAGCGTCCAAACCTCATCCAAACCCTCACCTGCAGGCTAACTACCTCAGAAAGCCTCAACAGGGTGTACGCGGATTGGAAGTGTATTCGCTCTCCACGGTTTGTGTTAGTAAGTTGAAGCTCCACAGACAATGGCAGGAAAGCGTACGGATATCTGGCAAGGTACTGTGGCTCATAGCTCCGCTGGCCGCAACCATCCCAACGGTCCTCGACTCCATCCGGAGTCATTTCCCAACCTCATCAATCCTACCGCAAACAAATCGTAATGTATCGAGAGCTCTTGATACTCTCATCCACCCATCTGCACATCCCCAGCCTCTTCCACCTTAATACCACCTCCCTTCCCCAACCCCTCCAACACCGCCTTCAGCCCCCTCACCCTCTCCTCTAGCTCCCCAATCTCCTCCTCCTGCTCTTCAATCGCCCTCCCCACGTCTGGCAGCGCCATAACAGCCATCCTTGCCCTCTGCAGCTTCAACTTCAGCTTTGTCGCTTCGCTCGGCAGGCCCTGGATATCGAGCTGGTTCGCAGCTTCGGGGTCGACGGTGTGTGTAGGATTCGGGTCTGCAGGCTGCGCGGTGGTTGTGAGGAGGCGGGTGAGTAGGGTATGCAGCGGTGGGAGGATGTCGAAGCTGGACGGCGAGGGGAGCGGTGGTGGTGCGGGAGGTGCTGGCGTGGAGGAGGGAGTTGCGGAGGTCGTGTGGAGGGCGAAGGTGGGATGGGTGGCGGGGGTTTGGGGGTTCGACATTGGATCGTTGGCTGGTATGACGGTGTTGGAGAGTGTGAAGTTGTGGAGTTAAGATTCGCGTGGGAACAAAAGAACAGCGCCAAGACGCGTCAAAGCTCCCGAGGTCGTGACAATCGGAATTAGATAAACACCGCCGCCGGTGAAATCTCGTGATGCGCAGGTACCGACAAGGCGTGGTGTTGAGGTTGATGGATAACGGGCTGAATCGGAGGGGGGTTCGGAGCTGCGGGCATGCGTGTGATTCCCGCGAAGAGGTCCAGCAGCTACGTTACCTCGGGTGATGGCACTTTGTCGTTCTTCGGCTTCAATTGTCCTCGCGGGTACGTATTCCAAGGCTTTTCTTTTCACCGTTATCGCGGACGCTGCCGTGGGTGACGTTGTGTTGCTTTTGTGGTTGAGCGTTTTTCACCCCGCTACTCTACCCCTCCACCACACCACTCTTCTCTCCCGATCACCTGTTGCCAGGACACCGTACAGTGCTACGTTGCTGTAGGCTTTTCTTCTCCCTCATTCAATTGAGTCTCTCTCACCTTTTTCCACCTCCTACATTTTCTCAAGTGAATCAAGATGGTGAAAGTCGACCAAAAAGCCGTCCTGATTGTCATCGATGGATGGGGCATCGCCAGCGAATCCTCCCCCAAGGAGGGCGATGCTATCCTCAATGCCGACACGCCTACGATGGATGGCTTCAAAGAGGAGGGATCCACGACCGCCCAGGGCTACACCGAGCTCGAGGCTTCTTCCCTTGCCGTCGGGCTGCCTGAGGGCCTGATGGGCAACAGCGAGGTCGGCCATCTCAACATCGGCGCCGGAAGGGTGGTCTGGCAAGATGTCGTGCGAATCGACCAAACAATCAAGACCAACAAGCTGCGTGAGGTACAGACTATCAAGGACTCGTTCAACCGCGCGAAGAGCGAGAATGGACGTCTGCATTTCCTCGGCTTGGTATCGGATGGCGGAGTTCACTCCCACATCAATCACCTCATTGCTCTGATTAAGGTGGCTAAAGAGATGGAGGTCCCGGAGGTCTTCATCCACTTCTTTGGTGACGGAAGAGATACGGATCCCAAGTCTGGAGCTGGACATCTGGAAGACCTGTTGGAAGCAACCAAGGAGATCGGCCTCGGAGAGATTGCCACGATAGTTGGCCGATACTACATTATGGATCGCGATAAGAGATGGGACAGAGTCGAGGTGGGCCTGAAAGGCATAGTCTCTGGGGAGGGCGAAGAAAGCAGCGACCCTCTAGCAACAATAAAGGAGAGGTACGAGAAGGGGGAGACGGATGAGTTCCTGAAACCGATTATCGTTGGCGGAAAGGACCGTCGCATTCAAGGTATGCTATCTTTCAGGTTACTCTTCGAACTGTATGCTAATTTGCATAGACAACGACACCCTCTTCTTTTTCAACTACCGCTCCGACCGCGTCCGAGAAGTCGTCCAACTCATCGGCGACTTCGACCGCTCTCCCAAGCCCGACTTCCCCTATCCCAAGAACCTCAGCGTCACCACCATGACGCAGTACAATCTGAAGTTCCCTTTCCCGATCGCCTTCAAGCCACAACACATGGGCAACGTGCTGGCCGAGTGGCTAGGGAAGCAGGGCGTCAAGCAATGTCACGTCGCCGAGACGGAGAAATACGCACACGTCACATTCTTCTTCAACGGGGGCGTAGAGAAGCAATTTGAGAACGAAGAACGAGAGATGATTGACTCGCCAAAGGTCGCAACATATGACCTGCAACCCAAGATGAGCGCCATGGCCGTTGCGGAGAAGCTATGCGAGCGCATCAGGACGGACAAGTTCGAGTTCCTAATGAACAATTTCGCGCCGCCGGACATGGTTGGCCACACTGGTGTGTTGAAGGCCGCGATAGAAGGTGTGACGGAGACGGATAAGGCGATCGCCAAGGTGTATGAGCAGTGCAAGGAGAGCGGTTATGTGCTGTTTGTGACAGCTGATCACGGGTGAGTTGTGCAGTTTCTGAAACCCATATTTATTACAATACTAATGTCTTCTTCAGAAACGCCGAGGAGATGCTTAACGAGGAGGGCAAGCCGAAGACGTCACACACGACAAACAAGGTCCCCTTCGTCATGGCTAACGCACCCGAGGGCTTCACCCTGAAGAAGACGGACGGTGTGCTTGGGGATGTTGCGCCGACGGTCCTCGCTATCATGGGTCTTTCGCAGCCGGAAGAGATGGAGGGCCACAGCCTTTTGATCAAGCCATAGAGCCATACCTTTGGCTAAACACTGAAGCATTTCGAGAAGGCCAGGGGTGTTGAGCGTCGAGGAAGGAACCTAGTGGACGATTCGACGACTTTTCATGTTGTATAAGATCGGATAGAAATAACCACAATGATAGAACCTTGATTTTAGAAACACATTCTGTGAGCAAGTTGTGCAGAGCATTACGCCTCCCTAGATTTTATCGTTCGGCTTTTTAGAAATGTTTGGAATGAAGGGGTTACATCGTCGAGTCTGGGCCCCGGGAACGGGCTCGACATTAGAAAATCTTGGCACGGAAATAGTGAAGTTGAACCTTGGAAAGAGTGGGGACAGATCGCCTGTGTATATATAAATAGTCGAAGTCGCCCGCCCCAGCAACGTCTGCGAAACCACCAAGCCCTTTTTTTGCAACCAAAAGTGATGACTTCACCCACGTTCACGTAGTAGGCAGAGTGTGTTCTTAGCGATATGATAGGTTCATATCTTACTGATTTTTCTTTCTCGAAAGCTTATGTGGGAAGTTACCAATCTAACGATCTTGGACACGTGACTTTTGGCGGGTTTCCGGTCACGTGCATGTCTCCTCCTATAGTGTATATGGCCTCTGCCCCTCGAGTCAACTGCAATCAAGAATGCACTTCAAGATCTTGGTGAGGAGTATGTTCCATATGTGTCTTCAAACGTCTACGATAGAAATCTTTCTCTCTGCCGTATTCATTTCGTCTTAACCCTCCCAAGTCCATGAAATAGCAGAACATTCAAAACACGTACAAAATGAATGCACACACCCTACGTTAAAGTCTCTTTCTTATCCGCAACCACGGCCGGGGAACAGCAGCGCAAAAACATGGGAAAATCCCGCAAAAAGAACCGCTCATCCCCGGACTCGAACCTGGGAGCAAAACAGGACCCTCAAAAAGATCCGCTCATCCCCCCGAACTCAGGCCCGGGAGCAAAAAGAGCACCCTCCGAAGAGAGTGTAGCCACGGTTCACGTTTCTCTCATAAACCGACGAGGTATTTCTGCGTACTGGATTGTTCCAAGGGAAAAGTCCTCGCTTTCCCAACTGCGCCAGGCAGGGGGAATTGGTTTATTGGTGGGAGCCTGGAATTATGCGGTACTTGTATTATACCTCTGGTAACTTATGTTTAATTTGTGCTGGTGCATAAGTTATGCGCGGTGGTAAAGCGCTCATAACACAACGCACGCGTTCGACAGCTCTTGCGGAGATGACGCCGGGGGATTTTTTTTGGAGAGCTGTCTCATCAACTACCCTAGGAATGCGTTCGTAACACTTCACCTTATCTCCTCTATTCTGTTTCACGCAAATGCGCCCCGGCCCCGGCGACTCTCGCATTGGTGGGTGAGAAAGGGGTTTTCGCTTTCACCTTTCCTTCGCTGTCAACGAAGTCCGCCTCCATTCTCCGCGCAAAACCTCTGCTCTCAATAACTACTCGGCAACCTCTGCGTGTATATAAGAAACAATCCATGAACAGCGCGTGAACCTCCAGTGGCCGTTTCGGACCCATCGCCACCTCGACGGCCCAGACGGCTCACGCACCAAGATCCAACGAATGACCACCGAGGCGACTGTATACTCATCGTAGCTATACCTTAGCGAGGAGGTACGGCATGAAAATGTCCTGTGCGTAGATCGGGGGAGCCTGGTAGGTAAGATTGTAGAGTGGAGGATTTGATACTACAGTACACCGAAGGCACGGATAGGTCCCGAAGCCGGGCGGGACATACTGCTTGCCGCCTATCGTACCGATACAGCTTTTGGCACAATCAAATACTCGGTGGGAGAGGTTCACCTGGAAGATGTAGCGACATAGCCCGGTAGGCGATACCTAGGTACGCAAAGAACCTTCCACGGGCCTGCTACCGGCCATGTCCACGGTCCATGAGCAGCAACGGTCTATGAAACAGCGTCGGGAGTGGGCGCAGATGCAGGAGAATGGCGACAGTAGATATGTTCCGCATAGGCGTCTCTTTCCGTAGACCTCAGCGCAAAGAAAACAACCGTCCTAGCACGTGGCATTCGTTCTGGGCCTATGCTGCGCAAAAGTCTGCACACAAATGCCGTTCATCTAAGCACCTCCACCCTTAACGCCCCCTCCGTAATATGTCTGCGTACCCGCGTTATGCGCCGCGACATTTCCCGTGTTGCCCGTCTGCCTAATGCTATACGTCGTCCCCTTACCTTCCTTCTCCGGTCTCAACCCCTCAACCAGTTTCTTGACCGCCTCTTCGAGATACGGATCCAGTCCCTCCGCAGCATCCCCCAGCGTCTCTGCCACATCGAGCGTTGTGATCGCTCCTGCAGATGCTTGGGTTTCCGCGACCTCGGTGATCTCAGCGGCGTCCAGCTCTGCTACGCGCTGAAGCGTCTGTGCCGGCTCCTGACCCGGCAGTAATATCAGCTCAAGCTGAGAGACCAGAGCCGCGATATCGTCGATGAGGCTGGCCAGCTCTTTCTTCTTATATAGAGCCCACTTGGTTCTCTTTAAGAAGTTAGGGCGTTGTCGCTCCACCCGTTTCCGCGTCTTCGTGATTATCCCCGAGTGGACAAATAATTGCGCTGGCGACATGTCCGCGCCGGGATCATACGTTGCGGTACTAGAATCCCCAAAGATCTCAGATTTCTCCTGCCCTTGGACAAACAGATTGCAGAGATCGGTCAGGATCTTCTCGGCGCGCTTGTAGCGGTCCTCTGGCAACGAAGCAGTGGCGTGGTCATGGATGCGGATTGCTTCGCCCCAGCGTGAGAGCCGGAAGCCTGCGGCGTCGAGTTTGAGCTGCGAGGTTACGAGGTCTTGGTCGAAGTTCTTGGCAAACTGCACGTATTCGAAGCAGTCGACGGAGGCGCTGAAGAGGCCGGCGAGGCCGGCGATGCCGACGGCGAGGCCTGCGGGCTCCATTATTAGGCGAACTACGGGGATATGGTTTGGAGGAGGATTGGAAGATATGGGGGAAGGCACAGAAGATATGAGGAAGGATTATCGTGCACGAGGTCGAGCGAGCCGGGGGGCTGAACCAACATAGTGAGCGTGAGGGACGTGCTGGCCGCTAAGGAGAAGAAAGCTGAAGCTGAGAGCGAAAGAACTGAGGAAGTCCATCGTGCACAAGGCTGAGCAATTCCGTGGGGCCGAAACAACATGGTGGGGTGGAGGGACGTGCTGGCGGCTAAGAAGAGGCAGGCACCTGAGCAGAATTTGTGGAACACTTCAAATGGCCCGTGCAGCAACATCAATAGTATTTCTCAACACGACGTGAATGAAACGAGTTTAAAGTTGCTAGGAGAGCTTGAACACCAATTTCGAGTTCTTTTGGCCAGCTTTTAGAAAATAATTTCAACGTTATGTTGTGCTAGAAAAGCATCAAGAGGTTGACTTAGTCAGCGGTGTTCCAGGAATTCTGCTCAGGTGCCTGGAGGACAGCAGAAGCTGGGAGCGAAAGAATAAATGCCGGAAACAATGATCGGATCCATAATTCTCCTGGTCCTGTGATCTATAAACTTCTTGTCAGCGCTACAATACTAAAGGCTCGATCGAGATGAAAATTGTCGTTCATGCTCAGTTCCGACGAACGCCATGCGCGAGAGCGTAAACATCGAGGGGAATCGCGGGAACGTTGCGGCCAACAACACCGGAATCCAGATCTATAACGAGTGTGCCCATGAGCGAGAAGGTAATTGCCATCTAGGTCTTGATAAGTGGACGTCGTTGCTAAAATGCCAATTTACAGGCCAATCCGTCGCAGAAAAGGAAGCCCAATGTCGAGATGCCATCTTCCTTACCGATCCGAGCCTCGATCGTGAACGCATCCGAAATGTGAAAGGAGATAGAGTCATTGGCACCTGTGAATGGATCAGAGACAACCAGCTGTACGGATCATGGCTGCGAGATGGGCCGCCTCTTCTCTGGATATCAGGCGGCCCTGGGAAGGGAAAAACAACGATGTCTATGTTTCTGACGGAAGAGCTGGAACAGGAAGAGAATGCCGACGTGTGCTTCTTTTTCTGTAGTCACCAAGACGACAAACGCAATACCGGCGTTGGTATACTTCGAGGGTTGATATACCAGATTCTTGAAAAGAGACCAGCAATGACGAAACATATCATGCGCGACATGAGGGACAAGAAGAGGTCAGAGACGGTATTAGACTCCTTCGAAGCACTCTGGGGCATTTTCCAAAGATTACTGTGCGATTCTGAGCTTGGCACACTCTACTGCGTTCTGGATGCCCTTGATGAGTGTCTTGAGGAATCCAGATGGGTTTTCATCCGGAACTTGGTTGCCGCTGTGTTGGAACGTAGCTCCTGCCCTAGACCACATGGGTTCCGAGTTGTCGTTCTAGTCGCGATATTCCTGGTTTACATACAACTAAAGCCGCGCGTATACAGCTTGATCATGGTCTTGACGCAGAAATTTCTGGAGACATCCGCCAATTCATATCTTCTAGACTGAATGATCTCGCTGCTGAAGGACTCAATGACAGTATTCGAGCCGACATCATGAAGAAGCTTTTGGATCGGTCTGAGGGCACCTTCCTTTGGGTAGGCTTCGTGATGGATGAGCTGAGCAGGAGAGCGACCTTGAAGGAGATCTTGATAACATTGGAAGACACACCCAGAGGACTACCCGCCATCTACGAACGAATAATTCTCAGTATTGAAGATAGCAAGACGGAACTCTATACGCAGTTATTGCACTGGGTAGCCTTAGCCATCCAACCTCTTGAGCTTGCAGACATTGCAGCAATCATCAGAACGCAGTCTTTTGCAACAGGATCCTCAGCTCTGATCACTCAAGAAGAGTCGATCCGTCACGATATTGCAAGTTGTCCGCTTTTTACGTCCATGGGCAGGAAGTCAGATTGATCCATCAATCGGCAAGAGACTACTTACTGCGAGTAATTCCTGATAGGGACGAAAAGCTTGAGCGGTTCCGAATCAAAACTGACCAAGTCCACTGCGAATTAGCAAAGACTTGCGTGGCTTACATTGACGCCAATCTCATGAAACGCTACAGTAGAGCAGAATACTACTTCCCGACTCTCGGCAAATACAAAAGTGGCCTTGTAGATCGCTGTACTGAGCAAAGCTACCCCTTCTTGAGGTACGCCGTGAGGTACTGGCCAACACACGCCCGGGTTTCCTCAAACAGAGCCGGGGATATCATTACTTCCTTCCCGGCTTTCTTTCAGAACAATTCCTCGTTGATGGATGATTGGCTCCGTAGCTTCAACCCTGAGCTCTTACAAGAAAAAGATGTGACCTACGTTCACGCCGCAGCTTATTACGGAATTCGCAAATGGGTGCAAGACTACCTTTCTCAAGATGATTTGTGGTCCAAGGCGTTGGCTCTCCTACGGCCAAGACCGTCAAAGAACTCTCTCTTTGCACTGGCGGTAAAAGGCGGGCGCAAAGACGTTGCAAAATTGATGCTTGAACATGGCGCCAGCGTTCACGCAGTCGACGGACGCGGGTATCCGGTTTTCGCTGATGCTATGAGCCGTAGGCATATTGACATGGTACAAATGATGCTTGAATGACATGTCAAGGTGCAATATATAACGGAAACACATGGCAACTGGGCCAGCCCTATCGAACTAGCGGCTCAATATGGATATGAGCCAACGGTGCGGCTACTAGTAGATTATATGAAAAGGAAAGTTTCCCATGAGAAGTTGGGCCTAGAATTATATGATCCACTATCTGCGGCAGCGAGAAAGGGGCATGGCCACATCGTCCGCTTACTCCTTGACTCGGGCGCGAACGTGGCGCATACTTCTCCCAGAAGCCAATCGAAAGAGCATATGATCATAGACGCCATCCGGATGGATGTGACGGAGGAGATAGTAAGACTCCTCCTGGACCATGGCTGCGATGTCAACATACAACAACGGTATGGGCGGAGACGGTATCGATATGTCGGCTACTCGCCGTTGATACAAGCATGCGTAGTTGGCAAGTTGGACATCATGCAGGTCTTGCTAGAGTATGGTGCGGATGTCAACCTTTGTGACCTTTGTGACGGTTTGGGTCGTAGTCCTCTTGACTATGCTATCCGCGCTGGCCATCGGCAGGCGGCAATCTTGCTTCTCGAGAACGGTGCAGAGTCCCAAAGCGCCCTTCATTATGCCGTTGGGAGAGGGGACAAGGAGATGATCAAAAGATTGCTTGTCAAAGGATCCAAACGAGATCAGAAGGTTGTCATGGATATGACTGGTGTAATGATGACACCTTCGGAATGGGGCGCCCATTGTGGAAGGGAAAATGCTGTACGGTTTATGGAGAACTATGTGGTGAAAGAATGAAAATGCTGTTGATGCTTTACTTGTACATGGGCTGTCAAATCTACGTCATGTACCTTTGTACTTCGTAGCAGAATCCTATTCTAAACTTGGCGAATGAGCTTCAAAGCTCAGACCAGAGGTCGCAGTTGACGAGATGTAATCACGTGTCACGCTTCATGAACATAGTCCTGAAGTCTTGAATTCCTTCTAGGATTGACGTGATAGCAATACACAGGACGTGAGAAATATACAGCAGACATTCATTCACTCCTTGGCACTTCGCCTCGATGCACCAATAACCGAGACTCCGTCAGCACAGGCCTTGTCGCCGTTTGGACCCCACATCGTCGCCCGCCTTCAGCTCCTCCATCCCGCAATTGTTTCAGCTGAGCAACACAGAGACATCACATCTTGCACTCCTCGCCCTCTCCATCACAAATATCTACCACTCGACCTAATACCAGACCGAAACTGTTCCTCCGCGACGAATATTGCGCCTAAGGATCGTCCGGTCGCAAGATCTGCACAAGACCACCTGCCGAACCAACTCCACCAGAGCCTGGAAGCCTGATCTAGACGCCTTATCACGCACTGGAATCAAGAGCCCCCTTACATAGAAGGCATATATACTATATTCGACAGCCTTACACCTTCTGCCTCCGCCCTGTCCCACAGCCTTGAGCGCATATCTAGGCACCCATCATACGGCTGCCGGCTTCTCACAAACGACTACGCTACGACCGAGCATTCTATTGAAGACACACACTACAACCAGAGTCGTGGGATCGAACACTATATACCATGGCGAGCCCACAAGCACAAATCCAACCATGCCGGTACAAGACAGGGAAGACGCTCGGAGCGGGGAGCTACTCGGTCGTCAAGGAGTGTGTGCATATTGATACCGGGAGGTATTATGCCGCCAAGGTCATCAATAAGAGACTCATGGCCGGGAGGGAGCATATGGTGCGTACGATTCAGGGTCCGGAGGAGATTTGGGCATACTTGAGGTCAAAGGCAATACTGACAGGCCAATTCTAGGTCAGGAACGAAATCGCCGTGCTGAAGCGGGTCTCCATGGGCCACAGGAACATCTTGACGCTGGTGGATTACTTCGAGACCATGAACAACCGTGAGCGGAATGTCTCGGGGGTGTCCTACCTCCCTACAAGACCCCACTAACCCCATTTAAAGTCTACCTTGTCACCGACCTCGCTCTCGGCGGAGAGCTCTTCGATCGTATCTGCAGAAAGGGCAACTACTATGAGTCCGATGCTGCTGATCTGATCCGCGCGACCCTATCCGCGGTCGCCTACCTCCACGACCATGGAATCGTACATCGTGATTTGAAGCCTGAGAACCTGCTCTTCAGGACACCGGAAGACAATGCGGATTTGCTCATTGCGGATTTTGGGCTATCCAGAATCATGGATGAGGAGCAGTTCCATGTCTTGACTACGACATGTGGAACGCCGGGATATATGGCGCCTGAGATCTTCAAGAAAACTGGCCACGGGAAGCCTGTGTGCGTATACCCATAAGACAACTCTCCCTGCCCCGAAACCTCTATTTCCCTTGGCAGAGAATCGTAAACAGTTGCTAACACCCTTTACCAGCGACGTCTGGGCCATCGGAGTAATAACCTACTTCCTCCTCTGCGGCTACACCCCATTCGACCGCGACTCCAACCTCGAAGAAATGCAAGCCATTCTAATCGCAGACTACTCCTTCACACCCTTGGAGTACTGGCGCGGTGTTTCCCTCCCTGCCCGCGAGTTCATCCGCCGTTGCCTGACCATCGACCCCGCCGCCCGCATGACCTCCCACGAGGCCCTCTCGCACCCCTGGATCGCCGATAGCACCACGAGCGAGAACAACGAGGATCTTCTACCGACCGTTAAGAAGAACTTCAATGCGCGCCGCACACTGCATGCTGCCATTGACACCATTCGCGCGATCAATCAGCTGAGAGCGGGCGGCGCGGCTGGTATGATGGATGGGGTTGTGAGCCACGATCCAAAGAGGGGAGCAGCTCCGTCGGCGAAACCGTCACAGGTTCCGCAGCCTGTGGCTGAGGGGAGCGACCCCATGGAGATTGACTCCCGGAACAACGGGCATGGGCAGACGGAAGAAATGATCAGGGAGCAGGAGAGGAAAATCCGGGAGACGACTCAGGGGATGTGGCGGAGGTGAGGTGAGCGATGATGATCTTAGAAGCTATGAAGCGATGTTTGAGCGGATATTGCGAATAGAGTCTTGAGTGGTTTTCAATTTGGGGGTTCTTTGGTTCGTTCTTTACGACATCCAGTGTGGATGTCATTTGTCGATGAAGATATACGCTTGTACGACCTGGTACGGCTGTTGGATGCATCAATGGGGAACAAGATGGTAGGCTGGTTGGCTGGCACGGTGTTATTAACCCAGGAGCTCTTCCAGGATCTCTGGGTGGTAGGTACTTCGGTGGGGATACATCTCCCCGCGTCCATTTCACTGGAATTTCATTGCATACTCAAAAACTATCTCTTGCCACTAAATATGTTCTACCTCGACTTACATCACCCGCCCGTCTACCTACTACACACATTCCCATTCATTCATTCACACGAAACCAGCCTCCCGCCCACAAAACATCTTTCCCTACTTCTCAACCGACAATAATCCCAAGTTCTCAGAAATCTTGATTCTAACTCGGGGGGTTCATACCACCTCTACGCCACCGATAGACCTCCTCGGAACCCCGCCCAACGGCCTCTCCGCTAGCGCTGGTATCGTCGACCCACTTGGAGGATTCTTCTTTGCAATCTCCTTCATTCTGGGCGGTTTCTTTGGTCGTCCCGCGCGCTCTCCTCCTCCTGGATTCTGCGTTTGCTGAAGATCGTGCGCTATTCCCCCGGGGACCGGCCCGCCCGGGAAAGACGTCTTCGTCGAGAGTGTCTGGCGGTATTGGGAGAGGGGAAGATGGGTATTCGTGGGAGATAGTTAGATCTGGGCATGGGCGCCGGGTGTGTCGCGCGTGGATGCATTGCTGGAGGCGGGTTGGGTCTGTGAGGTAGGTTGTTGAGAGCTCCGTGGTTGAGGGGGCGGAAGGGGGGTGCGTGTGGGTTATGTGGCACATTGAGCTCTGTTTTGTTGCTTGTTTTGGTGGGGATAGGTGGGTGCTTGGTACTTCGAGCGCTAGATGCTTTGAGGGCTAATTATATTTGGCGTAATTTAGGGTATATATGGAAATGCAGGAGGTCGTGGGGAGAGTGAGTTGGCGCATGGCTGGTGCGGACAGCGCATGGGGTTCGTAGGTGTTGTTGGATTGTTGGACTTTTTTAAGAGAGATGCCGGTTTCGAAGGACGGGAGAAGGTTTGATGACCTGTTTGTTGCGTTGTTGGGAAATACCTACGGTATGTCGATGTAGAAATGTGGGAAGTATATGTGGCGAGAATAGCTGGTGGATATGGCCGCTATGTGTAGCCGACGATGCGTAAGAGAACGAGATCTCCAAATCTCGGGCAAATGGTGAAGGGGGATGCGCTGGATATACTGGATATGCTGGATATGTTGGACGCAATGTAGTTGGCTGGCAGATGGGTGAAGGTGTGTCACGTGCGTTCCCTTCACTCACGCGTAAGCTCCCGACGGCTACTTCTAGCCTACATCCCCGCACGAATAACACCTCACAAACACTCCCTTCTCATATATCAGTCAATTCAATACAGTGGAACCTTCTCCATCACGCTATCTACAGCTTCACCAACCCACCACGATCGAAAACACCGTCCACACATCCATAAATATCCCACAGATGTATCAAACATACCCGCCATATTCTCCGCCACACTAAAATCAAGCAGTACTTCACAGACCCTTCATTCTTCAACGATCGAAAACACCACTAAAACTCCGTACCACGCCTCCAACCCACTCGCTTTAACGACATGTGCCACGTCATGTCCATCTTCTACCGCCCCTGCGGCCACCTCGGCGACATCGTCGTCGACGGCCCTGGCGTTCCCAGCACTAAAATCCCTCTCACTATCTTCTGTGAGAAAGCCCATGAGCGGGGTGAGGTCGCGTGCGAGGTTACGAGCACGCAGGTGGTTGCGGAGCGAATGGAGCGCTGTCCGGGGAGGTGCGTGCGTATACTGGGGAAGCGGACTGTTGATCCCGCTGTGTAGGCATACTGGCGGAGGATGTACACGGCTGGGGAGGCGGTTGGCAATCCGGCGTGGAGTCGAGTATCGAGCTGGCTTGATAGGGGCTAAGGCGTGCTGGCGGTGTTTGGGCGCGGTGAATGGGAAGGAAGATGACTTGGGACATTGTTAGTGGACAGAGTCGCTTCCAAGGCCGCAGATAAAGGTAACTGCTTCGGCCACCGAGTTTAGATTCACACTCTCCAAAAGCTGTCTTCAAGCTTGCTTTCTTCAAACCTTTTAAGTCGTTCAACTAACCTCAAATCCCAACTCACCCTTCCTACGACCTCTCGAAATATGTCACATTGAATCGATCCGCTACAGCGGCTGCAAACACGTTCAGGATACTGCGACCCGCGACTATTTCAGCCGCTTTAACTCGCTTACGACCGTGAGGTGCTAGGCGGCGTGGGTGAGAGGGGCGGCTTGTGCGGTTACGAGTACGAAGATTGTTGGCGAGGCGCCGGAGAGGTGTAGCCTATGTAAAGCGGTCGCGGGTTGGTGATGAGGGCGGTGATGATGAGTGGAGGGGACATTGGGGGGTCGAGAGGGGGATCTAGCGAGTGCTTAGGCCTTTGGGGAAATGTTGTGGATGATGAAGTGATGATGTGCTTGGTCCTGAACATGCATATGGGAGGTGTAGAGGTGAATTGGATTATGGTGAGAGGTGGAGGAAGGAGGGAAAGATGCCTGATAAAACTGAAACATTGTTCAGGTATTGGAAGTCCTTTCCTTCCAGCTTTTCAAGGGGAGTTCTCCGCCTGTTCAATGCTTTCAACGCTCCTGCGCAGCCCCATGTCTGACTACAGGAAGATCTGCTTCTTCTCGAAGCGCCCACATTTTCTCTCGCCACTCTCCGATACATATCTCTGTGAAAGGGTCGTCCTGATCGGAGGTCAATTGGCCGAGAATATTTAGTCCGAGCAAAAGCAGGTTGTCGGGCGGAAGCGCAGCTACCTCGTCGCCGACCAGGATTCTGATTCTCCCCACTCTTTCGAATAGAACAGCAGCGAGCCATTAAACGAAGAGGTCCACATGGACTAGGGGACAGCATCGGAGAGCGACTATTGGTGATTGATCGTGAAGTCGAGACATCGCTCCAGCTGTAGTTCACTCCGTTGATCGGACTTCTGGTATTGGTAGAAAGCGTGTTGGCGATGCTTTGTCTTTCTTATCCAAAGAAGTCTTGTAATCCTCAATGATCCTTACCGTATCTTTGTGTTCGCATTGATTTGCAATGCCTAGAGGTGTTCTTCCAATCATCATTTTTCCTTTCGGGGCCCTTGTGACGTACCGGCAGGTTCGGTCAAGTTCGCCGTCAAATTTGCCACTTTGTAGTAGCACTCGCATCGCTGAATCATGCCCAGCCAGAGCGGTAACATGAAGCGGACCAGGACCCTCGGTTTCGTCGTATTTACTGATTCCCAAACCACTTCTGAGGAACTTAATATCGGGCCTATTGAGAAGCACCTCCAAAACGCGGCCACGGCCTTTTTCTACTGCCCACAACCACGGCGAGCGGCCTTGACGGTCCATTTCATCAAGGTGCAGGGAGCCGTCATTAAGTAGCTCTTTGACCTTTTGATCATATCCATCGCGGGCGGCATTATGGAGCTGGGCTGTTCGTAGCCATTCCTGGACTTGTGGTTCATTTCTCTCCTCGTGGTATATCAATGAAATGAACTCCTCATGGCCTTGGCGACCAGCAATAGAGAGCGGAGTATCGCCTTTCTTATTGGCAGCCCATTTTTTGCAGTTTCGGGTTGTGATGAGGTATGTTGCCATTTCGGTCCTGTCAAACTCTGCGGTCACGGTCAACGAGGTACGACCCTTATCATCTACTTAATCAGGGTCAACCTGGTAGTTTTCAAGGATATATTGGAAAACTCCGTAGCGCCCATGTCGAATAGTGAGATTCAGATATGACGCCTTTCTTGCCATTCCATCTGGACGGAGAAAGGGTGATGAGGGATATATCAGTAGTTCTCGGGCAATGTTATCTTCGCCCCGCAGAAGAGAGCTCGTCAGAAGTCTGTAGATGGTGCTGTCTTCCAACGTAGTATTGTGTCTGAGGAAAATTCGAACTCCCTCCTCGTTGCCAGAATTAATAGCAGCAATTAAGGCATGGGTCGTCTGACGCGAGTCCAACGTGGGCGGAAGTTTGCCAAGTAATTCCTTCAGCATCCTGTTCTGGCGGTAGGAAAATACCAGACGTAGGAGGCTATATTTCCACCCATCCATCTCAATCTGATCGTTTGGTATCATATCTTTCCACCGAGATAACCACAGCTCAAACGCAGCATAATTGCCGTTCTTAATTTCCGCAGCGATGTCCAGTTTCTCCAGGGTGCCATGCCAAGGGAAGCTGTTTCCGTTACGTACTCCTTGGTGATACTCTTGTTCGTGTTGTTTAAGACTCAACGCGGTGTTAAAACCGATCATGGACGATGTGCAGCCTAAAAATGAGCAAAGATAGATACGTTCGTGCTGGTCACGATGCTTGTCGCGGATCTGTTGTGTGGGAAAGCCATCATGGAACGATTCACATCGTGGTTCCGAACATTTGAAAAGGTTTTGGCCGTAGAGAGAATCGAGCTTAGAAGTGAAATCGGAAATTATCATCTTCTCCAGAACATAGCGCACACGGGCTAATTGGGGGAGAAGAGTCAATACGGGTTCCTCATCTACTTTTTTTCTTGATTTATCCTCGGATTCTTTCTGGTAAACAATGGCATGTTTTAGGCTGTCGAAAAAGTCCTCATTCTTGAGAACTTGAAGTTTGTTGTCGATGGTTTTTGCGACTGAGGCCCGCTTCCTGGGCGCACTGACGCGCTTTTCAACGAACTTTCGCAAGCTCATGCCCAGAGCTCCATAGCTCAACGTGAAAATATCATCTCTTTCCGAGAGCACATCAAGCAAATGATCGAAGGCATGGACAACAGCATATTCGGTGAAAGCATATTCGCCACGGACAACATATGCACGAATCGAGTCTTGGGTAATATCAGAAGCATGCGAATCGAGGGATAGATGAGAAAAGCAGAGGCGAGTTAGGTTGAGCTTCTCGAGCTGCTTCGGCAACGCTGGTTCATCCTGAAGAAAACTAAAAGAGCACGAGTCAGTAGTCCGCTGTAAAAATATACAAGTCGGATGTCTTACTACTTTGCAGTCAGGTGGACAAAGCATATCGCGCCACCTCTTCGTACCTCAACCAAAGATCCGCAGAAATGTTTAATATCCCTCACAAGTCTTCTTTCGCAGTCGAATGAATTGTCATCTAAATCTAGGGACATGGCCCCTTGAATTTCGTGCCATTTGAGTGGGCGTTTTGCACAGAGAAGCCAACTGAGTAGTGTCTTTGCGACTTGCTGTTCTGGAGGACTAGATTCATCTAGAATCCGGTGCCTGATTCGGCGGTATCTGCTATGATTAGATCCCATTGCAGAGTGTTACGACCTCAAAATACTTACACTTGGTTCAGAGTTGGCGGGATTCTTTTCATTTCTTGCTTCAATGCCGCCTTGGAGACTTGGCTATCCAAATTGTCCATTACTAGCTTTGCGTAGAGGAACATCCCTAAATTATGTCAGATCATCTCTCAGGACTCCTAGAAGGCCTTACCGTCGGCCTTTCCAGCAACACACTCCGCCAAACTTTGGACATCCTGAGGCAACAATCCAAAGTTCTGCCCAATCTCATTTGCTCGGCGACGACAAAAATGTGATATGTCTTGGCTGTTATGTTTGTCGGTGATCTTGAACGTGGGTAAAGCTTTGAGCAATCTTCCAGTGTCGTTGTCGTCCTGGCTGAGGAAGCAACACCGCAGGTTTCTGGAATCATCGGTTTCCGCCGAGGCAATTACTGAAAGTGCCCAGGAGACTATCTCATTTTTTTGAGACTTGATGCATTCGTCCAGTCCGTCAATGACAAGGATTAAGTCACCAAAGGACTCAACAGCAGCCGCCAGGATTTCTTTCGCGATTTTAGATGACCGCAACGAATCTGTGCCACTGCTTGATTCTTTTTCGAGCACAAAAGGCAGCAGCGAGGAGTTCAACTTTGTGAACTGGAAAATAATGCTTCGTGCGAATCCGATGAAGTTGTCTCGGGCGGGATCTCCATGCTTGCAATAGAAAAATGCCACGGCGGAGTGTGGCTGACGTCGGCATTCCTCAATAAGAGCTGAAGCTAGAATTGTTTTACCTGAGGGCTAGACATTAGTATAGTTCTGAAGACGGTGTTAACAGGCCATACCAGCGCCAGGTTTTCCATTGATCCATAGCAAAGGCTCGGATGATGAATACGGATCGATCCAGTCTTTGGTCGAATCATGCTGAAACAGCCACGAACCACTATCTGGTTCATCTTCATGGACTGCAAACGCATCCTCGTGGTCGCTCGCACTATCTGCAGCAGACAACCATGAAACCACGGCAAGTTGTCGATGCTTGCCATCCTCATCTTGCCTTCTCTTGCATTCGTCATCAAGAACCCTCCTCGTTTCATGGAGCTCTTCCATCGCCTTTATCGTCTCTTGGACTCCTAAAAAGATAGCCTGGCTGTCGAGAAGCCTCCGATGTGATTGCAGGTTGGAGATGATGGCGCCAAAGTCTGTGCGAAACGTTCTCCACGTCGCATGGAAGAGTTTTTTCCAAGCTGTAAATGCGTTAGTATATAGTCTGTCCGCTTACAGAATAATGCTTAGCAAACCTCGTTGCCGAAAGTGTTTCATTGCCTTGCGGTGGAAATTCAAGATGTCTTTGTAGATTAATCCAACGATATCTTGAAGGTATGGACTGTTGCGGATAAGAGACTCATATTGTTCCAGTAGAGGTACGTGATCGCCAATTTCCTGGTAGGCATCGAGTAATGTGTTCAGGGCTTCCGAGTACGAGCCAGCAATCTGGTGGTTCTCAGTACGCCTGATATGAAAGAGAGTAGGACTACCCGAGCAATTACCAACAGCATGAATTTTGCGGGACCCTGTGGTATCGTCAGAATGCAGTTTTTTAGACATTGCTCCCACAAACTTACCCAAATAAAGCCCAAATAGTCGGTAGCATTCAAGAAAACGGAAACGACTTTATCAAACTGGTCCATGGCTTCAAGAGAGGAACTGAGTCGACGCAAGTTCTGCATGCGCTTTTCCGACTTTTGCTGCTCTTGCAGTCGGTGCACCGCCTTTTTGAGGTCTTCAGCATTGGTAAAGTTGAAGTCGTCGACTTCATCCTGAGACAGCTCGTGCTTGAAGTCGCTGAGAACTCGATTGAACTGGGCAGTTCCCACTGTTGGCGGAACGGTGGTCGCCATGATAACGCGAAAATACACTTTCGAGGGGCCTCAAGAGCGACCTGACTGGAGAAGGCTCAGGATTATTGAACAATAATATTGTATCCTGCCTTGCAGCACATTGAGGCGATTCTTGCGCAAGGCTCCCTCGAGGCTCCCTCGAGGCTCTCACGACTGGAGTATTTATGCAGCCAAGCTCAACGTGGATCGACATGATCTAATCCACTATAGTTCTAGCGCACCGTGCCTCAGCCACCACCTCTTGATCAGCTGGCAGGCTGGGTTCAAATTCAGCCTTTGAGACAACCGATCGGTCTTCATGTTTCACGTTACGGCTGTGCCTTGCCAACACAGTGGCCGCAGTCTTGTAGAAACTGGTGCTCGCCGGGTTCTTTCAGAGTACTGCTGCGCAGCGGCTCCCCCTGACAGGCACTAAGTATTCTAAATATCTCACGACTTCTGGCGGCCTGGCTGGCCTTGTTAGTGGATTTTCTTTTCTTTCGCTTTGTCATGTCGGAAACTTCTCTTCATTCCCTTAGAATACTCTCGCCGCGGCAATGTTCTCCGCTAAGAGAAACTTCATCGAGGATTATGGCGAGGATAGAAGGCCCGCAAAACGCTAGGTTCCGCCTATCGCGTACGACACCAATTCAGCCCTGTTCATACAAGACGTACCTCCAGCATATATCAACGATAATGCTTCATCCGAAACTTCACTCAAGACATTACCTTGGCCACTAGCAGATTTCCACGGTGCGGGATCCTGCACACTATTACCGAGCACTCCAGGACCAGATGATGAAGTATGCTTTGGCATGGTATGTAGATCACCTATGTCTTATTTCATTGTTGTTACTAAGTATACATAGATCTGCGGGCTTAAAACCCAATTTCTCGACGACCCGAGCATTGCATCTATTCATCCCGATGCTGATGTATCAAAAAGTAATTACTATCAACTCCAAATCGCGATGAAACGGATCCACATGCTCCAAACAAACAATGGTACAGACATTGCTATCCTCAATATGCAAACATCAAAAGCTCTTCAGGAATTGGACCATCGGTCCACAGTGAGATACAACGTGTATGTGGCTACAGCGGAGTGGGCAACGAAAATCCGCTCTTTTACGACCCTGGGACAATCTGTCTGTCTGGATATTGACATATATTTCTTTGGATCCCGATCCAACAGCACAGATGTTGGCAGAATACTCTCCGACACAGGCCTTTTCCTCCAACCACCTGACTTTCTTGACAGCACCATCCCATATGATAATCCTCATGAAATCAGCTTCGCATCCATCAGCAATTCTGACTCGAAGATGAGTGTACCAATTCCCGAATTCAGCTCCATGAGCGATCCGTCTGTTGATATAATTAACACTGTTTTGGGCAATCTTGATCATATGGGAAATCTGGTAAACCTGGATGTGGATATGACTGCCATCACGACTGTATTAAAACCGTGAGTGAAAGAAAAGAATTCGTTCGCTAATGGCTTGAACTGATGTATTCCCTAAGGCACCAAAGGGAAGCGCTTGATTTCATTGCAGATCGAGAATCACCACATATGTCCGAGCGCTTCTCGCTGTTCAAGCAGTGCGTTGACTCTCGAAATCGCAAGTAGTGTGTATCTTTCCCGACCACAAAATCTGGCTTTCTTTGCTAATAGCACTCATAGTTACGAACATTCTGTGGCTGGGTGTAGAAAACCGCAAAAACCACCCGAAGACTTTGGAGGCATCATCGCCGATGAGATGGGACTTGGAAAAACTCTGACGATGATCTCAGCCATTGCAACGACATTAGATCGAGCACGGCGGTTTTCAGATGAGGATTTTTGTAGAGGAAAAGAAGTGGGCGCAATTAAGAGAACCCGGGCTACCCTTGTCATATGCCCTGCTGTCTGTAAGTAATTCGATCTAGGTTCGGAATCTGTCTTACTTTTATATTACTAGTGCTCATGGATGGGTAGCTGGAAGAAGTCTCAAGGTAAGTAGTAAAGCTATATCCCAGATAGAATCTGCTGAATAGACTAGACACGTTGCTCCACGGTTACTTAAATGTACAAAATATCACGGAACATCTAAAGCTACCAAGACCGAAATTCTGGACTCAGATATTGTCTTGACGACTTATGCTACACTTATAGCAGATTCAAGTCGAAATAGTATCCTCCACGATATTCATTGGTTTCGCATCATCATCGATGAAGGTTTGGGGTTAGTCTTTTTCTACCAAACTTCGACTTACATTTTTATAGCTCACTCCATTCGGCACCAGCAAACTAAACAATTCCGCGCTGTGGTAGCCCTTTCAGCCAAATATCGGTGGTGCCTTACTGGAACACCAATTCAGAATGTGCTTAATGACCTGGGGGCTTTAGTCCGTTTCCTCCGTGTACCGCAATTGGACGGGTTGTCCGACTTTTACAGACATGTTGCCGGACCCGTCGAAAAGCGTAATGCTGCAGGGTTTCAACGACTGCGAGAGCTCCTGCAGTGCATCTGCCTACGGCGCACGAAAGACCTGCTGAAGCTTGCCGAGCCTGACTCACGCATTGAGCTTGTACAACTCACAGAAGAAGAACGAAACGAGTATTGCCGTATCGGAGAAGGCCACCGACAGGCCATAGATCGAGCGATTGAGAGAAGAAACCTCACAGACGCATCTAGTGGCCTTTTCCGTGCTATTTCACGACTCCGAGCCTTTTGCAACTCCGGTCTCTGTGTTAAGCCAGAGGAGGCTGATACTACTAAGGATGAAAGTCTCTCTCTTCTCGAACAAGACGACCAAGCAGTATGCTCTTACTGCTCATGTGATGTAAGCTCTATAGGTGACCAGGAATCAGCCAGCTCCGGGGTAATTCTACCCTGCTCGCACCTCCTTTGTCAAGAGTGTGTATGTCGAACCGAGGAAATACACAAAACCCGAATTCGCTGCGTAGTATGCGGTAGCATTTGCTCATCGCTAAGAGACGAGCAACAGCAGCTACCGATATCGGACGGCGCGTCATCAAAGTTGAGGAGCTACAGCTCGAAATTGGAAGCTCTTTTGCACAATGTTATGCATCACCGAGCAGAGAAATGGTACGTACATACATATCGCGTTCCCCTTCTGCTCTATTTGATTGGTACTTAGTGTTTACGTGCCAGCATTGTTTTCTCTTCATGGAAGAAGTCCATTAAGCTCGCCGCATCATATCTCACCGCTCACAATATCCCGGTCTGTGTTGTCGACGGCTCAATGACACTTCCCGAACGGCGCTCCCAGATTCTGCGCTTCCAGCAAGATCCAACAATTCCTGCACTCCTAATGACGCTTGGAACAGGTGCAGTCGGCTTGAATCTCACCGTGGCCAATCGTGTCCATATTCTTGAGCCGCAGTGGAACCCTTCCGTTGAGAAGCAGGCAATTGGACGAGTCATAAGACTGGGTCAAGAGAAAAAGGTCATAATCGTGCGATACATAGTCGAGCATACTGTAGAGCAGGTATGCGTATGACTCACTCAATTTAATAGCGATATTAGCTTACTTGATACTGCGTAGTATATTCAAACAAGGCAGGAGAAGAAGTTGTATCTTGCTCAACTGGGATGGGATTGCAGTAAATCCGAATCGGAAGACGATAAGTTTAGAAAAGTCATTGTAAGTCTTGTCACTGCTGTAAATCGATGTCAGCTAATCATATTCCGTCTCCGAGGACATGAAATCTCTACTATCTATATAGTATCAGCTTTGTTTCCCTTTTCGAGGATAATTATCTACTATTGGTTTTGAGGGTTACTCTATCGCGGCGCGGAATCCGAGCTGGTATTGGGTTCTGGCAACACATCTACGTCTTTCTAAGAATTGGGGCTTGTATTGGGATTGTTAGTTCTTCAATAGATTTGCTTTTCGCCATACTGGATGTTCTCCAATATCTTACCTGGAAATTGTACAAAGGTAAGGGGATGGGCAAAGATGCCCACAGTCCAATTTGGGCTCCGCGAGATTGTGCCAGGCGAGGCTAGGGCCCGAAATTGACGAGAGCTCGAAAACGGTTTGGGAATCCAGCAGCTCCGAAGGGTCTGCAGGGCGGAGAGCAGATTACTACAGGACGGGGGATGGCCGAGTTTAGCTCTATTCTGGCTAAACCGCGTCTGAGCACCAACTTACGAGAAAAAGGCTTGTCGACGAACAGCTTGCGAGAACCTCTACAGGACGTGAGCAATGCTATAGCCTTGCTGGTGATCATGCTGAGCTTTGCAAACTTCGACAGAGAGATAATGGAGAACCCGACAGTCGTCTCCAAGAATGGTTGAAAGTCGTTCTTGGCAATACAAGCCTCGATGTCCTCGCGGACCGCTTAAAATGCGGTGAGTCGCCGTTATGCCCACCCTTTCATGAGGCCACCGGTCTCAATTCCTTCTAAATTTGATCTAGCAAATATTCCTGATTCCCCCCAGGGGAGCTTCACCAGCTTGTCCTCTTACGATGCGGCAAAAGTGTGTATGTATTCAATTCGTCCATTTCCGCTATCCGCTATCACTAAATATATCCTACATCTAGCCCTGGCGATGGAAACGACACATCGCACAGACACTGTCTCAAGGACCAACGAAGCCACAGCTCGCTCAGGTGCTGTCGAAAAAGAATGGGAAATTTTGCCTATCATCAATAACTTTACGTCGCCGAGACGATCCGCAAAGCTTCCATGTTTCATGATGGATACACCCGAGAGAAATAGGGACTTTTTCGGCCGTGAATCGGTGCTCCAGAGGCTTGAAGACTGTCTCTCGCCGGAAAACAATGCACACTTTTCATCCGAGCAAGGGTCTCAAAAGCATGTTGTTCTGTGCGGCATGGGCGGACTAGGGAAAACTTCTATCGCGATCGAATTCGCATTCTCTAGGAAAGACAAATTCGACGCCATCTTCTGGATCCGAGTGGACGAACCTGAGAAACTACAACAAGGTAAGTTCTCCAAGGGCAGATCGCGATAAGATCCTCGCCATGCTAAAAGGCCTCAGACTTTGGTCAAATCGCTTCAAGGCTTGGACTTGAAGACCCATCCGAACTACTCAACCCTGTCATTAGTCGGCAGTTAGCAACGGGATGGCTTGGAAATCCGAAAAGAGTTTTGAATGACGATGAGGACATTGGTGGCCAAGCTGAAGCACGCTGGCTACTTATTTTTGACAACGCTGACAACCCAGATATTCTCCAAGACTACTGGCCTTTGTCGCAGAGCGGGTCAATTTTGGTAACTAGCAGAGATCTGCTTTCCAAATTAAGCCCTCAATCGCTTCAATTAGTTTCGATCTAGAGCCATTCAGTGACGACGAGGCGGCTGTATTCCTGCGACGTCTCTCCCATGTCGACCGAGAAGAGAACCTTTCCTTGGAGATAGCTAGGAAGCTCGGTGGTCTGCCAATGGCAATCTCTCAAATGGCTGCTATAATTCAATACCAGTATCTGTCATTTTCCGACTTTCTGGAACACTACGAGGATAACTCGGACCGGAAAGATCTTCATGCTTTCAACGTGGAACATCCATCCCCCGAAGCAAGAGGAAACCTCGCTTCAATATGGGCAATCGAGCAATTGGAACCCCAACCAAGATCTCTTCAGGAGATTCTCTCAGTCCTTGGCCCTGATTGTATTCAAGAGCGCGTGTTGACATCCAAGATCCCAGACTACAAGCATCTCGAAGATTACCCCAAGCGTGGCTTCTCTTACTCAGCTGCTCGGACAGACCTTATTCGAAGATCACTCGTCAAGCGCAATGAGGATAACAAAGAGCTTTAGATTCATCGCGTGCTACAAGACTCGGTCCTTTCAAAAAAGTCTGGAGAACGGAAGCTCGCTGGGTTTTCAGCTGCCGTTGCGCTTGTGCTGGCTGCCTGGGGGAAAACTCCATTAGAGAAGAGGAATGACTGGAAGTTAAGAAAAAGTCGAGAGGGGCTCTTTCCGCACGCCTTGTCCCTCAAAAGTGCCTACGAGAAATTTACAGAGATAGCAATCCAAAATCAGGTATTGACCTAGGATTTCTATTGTCCGAAGCTGGATGGTCAGTTACTATGCCTTCATATCTGTAGATTAGCTGGCTTTCGGAGCTATAGTCTCAGGTTGTGAAGAAGCAGTTCTGTGTTGATCTGAAGAGGCATAAGACCCGTATATATAGCCCCTGATAGGGGGGGGGGGGGGGGTACTCCCCTGTTCCCCTGTTCCCCCCTTGTTACGGATATGGAAGGATGTAACGCCACTGACGCGCTAGTAGTGGCAACCCGAGTTATAGCGAAACGTTTCTACGTACTACCGTGAAAAGCACCGGCGCCAAAAGCAACATCAACAACAGATAAAATGACTGAAAAAGAGCTAGTAACAAATGGTGTACAAACAGTAGAGATTCCATTACTCTTTTTTAAGGCCGATGAGAAGTTTCAACATGAAAAACTATACACCTTCAAATTTGATGCCCCAAGCGAAGAGATTGATCAATCGAACATGGAAAGGGAAGAAATCCCTAGCATCAGGGTGACGGACATGCGAGATATCAAGGAAAACTTCACGATAGAGACAAACGGGTTCGCGGTATTTGACACCGACTGCGGCCTAGCTTACGACGACTACTTCGACGAGGAGAAGCTTCAAGTCTACTTCAGACACGTGGAATCCCTACTCGGGAACCATCTAGGCGCCAAGCATGTACAGGTCTTCCGATATGCAGTATGTGAAGTTTCTTCGTAGTAGCTGTTGCAAAGGTCCTAATCATCGCCACTAGATACGCAAACGTGACCCTGACTGGCCGAAGTCTTCCGATATACCGCATGCGTGGGAGCAACCCACTACCGTTGCGCATATTGGTTCGTAATTCCAATGGTGGTTCAACGTGCCGTAGACTACGTAATTAACCATAGCGCAGATGCCACACTAGACGAAGCACGAAGAGAGGTACGGCTGCAGTAAGGTGAGAAGGCCGAGAATATGATGAAAACTCGCTTTCAATGGATCAAGTAAACCAGCTCCCACTTCTGAGGCCGCAAGCGCTAAGCACCTATGTAGCTTTTGGAAGCCGCTGAAAGGACCTATGAACGATTGGCCTCTGTTAGTTTGCGATGCTGCAACCGTCGACAAGGAAAACGACATCACGGACTCGGACTTAATCTATCCAGATCATGCCGCAGAGAACATGCAGGTTTACTACAGGCCTGGCTACAAATGGTATTTTCTGAGCAACCACAAGACTACCGAGATCATCGTTTTCAAGCAGACGGACTCCTTGCCCGCTGCTTGTGCCGGTAAGTTGAAGTGCCTTATTTAGACTGAGTCAATTATTGACGTTTTCAGGTGTACCCCATTGCTCTTTTGCAAACCCATTGAGACCAGGAAATGAGGCACCACGAGAAAACATTGAAGTACGAGTACTTGCATACTACGATGAATGAATTGGAAAGCTCAAAGGGCTTTAGTGGACAGGACAGGCTGACGGTCTGATCAATTTTAATACTGCTTGCACAAAATATCATGACTCTTATGGACGTCTGCGCAAACTCAAATTGTTCCCAGTATTGGCAAAGAGTTACCACATCCGTGAGCCAGACTTGACTGAAAAGGGTCGACCAGAGTGCTCGAGTACTTTGCGCACGGACTTAAGCAAACTCACGTCCGAACCTTAAGGAGAATTGTTAGCGAGGACTTTAAAGGCTTTGATGCAAACACGTACCCGGGCTACCCAGTAGCGAGACCACTATAGGTAAATGTTCTTTTCGCTCACTTACTCGCGAGTCGTATTCCATTTCGCCGACTGGGGAGTATTAGCAGGAATCAAAATGATGGATGTAATGGATGGAACGGGTAAACAGACTCGGGAGAGAAACTTCTGGGGCACCAAGTGTCGGTGCCAACCAGATTCCATCAAAGGCATTCGGTGCAGTGGGCGGTCTAGTACTATATCAGCAGTGGTATCAGCGAAGGGATGGGATATTCACCCAGGCGGCACATCTCGGTAGTCAACTTCCTGGGATGTAATGGGTAGCACAATCAAGGTGTTACGCTTCCCAACCTGCATAATCTCCTGGTGAAACCAATCTTTGTAGATGCGCAGCCGATTTACAGCGTCATCGTACTGTTCTTCCGTAACATTTTCTGCAGCTTTCCTATCATTGGCCTTAGCAAAGCTAAATAAATATCGAGCAAGTAACGCACCATCTCCATTACATGACGGGATTGACATAGGGAGCTTTATCGAATTTCTCGTGATACTCCTTCCGAAACCAGTCAAGCTCGTGGTAGACACCATAGCAGAACGAGTTGACTCCAACCTGATTTTGATCAGCGAAAATGGGATGGTGGAGTAAGGGAGGGGGAGGAGGGATTCCTACATCCTCAAGATATTCCTGGATGGATACCTCATCAACATCAGCGGGCTTGTTTGCTTTCCATGTCTCCGCAACCGACAGTTTCTCAATTTTGATATCGTAGGTCGACTCAACATCCACAATAAAGTTGTCGATGAGTTTCATCTGGACCTCGTTCTTAACAGGTAAAAAGTCGCTTAGGTACAGAAGCGAAACAGGCAGCTGCGAGCCATTAGACGATGTGATATCCAAAACCTCTGAAGATACTAACTTCAGTCGCTAGTTCTTTCTTGGGGCTGATCCATGTGCTGATCATGTTCTCGAATTTTGCAAAATCTCTACCATAGAGAGCCGGAGAATCAAAGTAGCTATACATGTTAGAGAAGATAGTCAAACCCCCGGGGGTTTTTCGCGATAGAGACTCACGACCAAGATGGAACGACTCCTTCGGAGGGAAGTGCATCACTGGACACGCGGATTCCAAAGCACCCATTGGCTAGAGCCGGCCGACGGCTACTTCCGGTAGCTAGTACCAAATTAGCACCCATTTGACAAGATGTGTGAAGCCACGAGTCCTACTATCTGTACTGATTGTGAAGTCGAGCCAATCGTACGCAGCAATAGCAGCACCACTACCCCCACTGCTGCTCCAAGCAGACTGGTAACCATCTCCTCGAGGATTGAAAGGTGCCTGGTAGTCGGCCGATTCGGTAGGCTCCTCTCTCGTGATTAGAGAACCCAGTTTCAGGGTGCCGACCAATTGGGCACCGGCATCAATCAACTTTTGCACGGTCGGGGCGGTCTTCGGTGCGGTCTTGGAGAGAGCGTAGTACGCTCGACATCCCACGGTAGTCCGAAGTCCTTCAATCTCGAAAATATCTTTCACTGCAAATCGGAGCCCTTCCAGAGGTCTCTTCGCACTGCGATCTGGAAGGATGCGCGATGGAACAGCCAAACTCAAGGACGTGTAGAAATCACCACTCACGCGCAAATTCTCAAAACTATTGCGAAACTCAATGACCGACGTGGGTAGGATGACCTGAAATGATGATTTGACTCACCCTGTGGATGTTTGTGGCTTCGTCCCCACGATGAAAGCTTGGTTCGGATCGTCATAGAGTCTGTATGCTTTGCAAAGCTGACCGTTCCAGAATACATACGGGCCCGATGTTACTTCTAGTCCCACTAACTGCTCAGGAACTAAGGTACACCAGTTGGTATCCCAGGTGTGCCGCATGTGATCAGACACTTCGGTTAATCCGACGGAGGCCTTCGTCTCCACACTAATGAATACCACGTTGGTAAGGAAGTCCCGTTGAAAGACATCGTCTGACGCAATCCATTTCTTGATATTACTGTCGACCCAACTTTGGTTGAAAGTCTGGCCCTGGGGAGTTGAGACGACTGTGACAGGGATGATGCCACTGGGGAATTCGGGAATGACAAAGCTAACCGGGGCAAGAGGTAGAGCAAGATATCGAGCGCCTCTAAGCTCAAAGAGTCGCAGTTCCTCAATTTGGCGAATGCTGCCGCCGAGGACTGGCCCCGGCCCCTTCAGTGGGACCTGACTGCGGGAGGTGAATTGCCCCATTGCAAAGCAGCAATAGGATCTGGTTGTACAGAAATATGAGTCACCTCAGTACGTCAATTCGTGAGCCCAACAACAAATATAATATTGGTTGCAAAACCACACAACCATGACTTACAAACAAGAGAATTGACAGAAATAGGCTAGACTGGCACCCTCCTTGTACTCCTAGTCTTGTCTCGGATTTAATTCAGAGGATGTGCCCCGAATTATCTTTGTAATTGATGTGGGCTAGGGCTCACGAATTGGCGTAGAATACCGAGGTGTCGGTCGACGATAGTTGAGAGGGTTGCGGATAGAAGGAAATGTGATGAAATGAAAGCTGCAGACGCGGCTCTCAGGCAGCGAGGGAGCGAGCAGTTGCCCCCACCGGTGATGATATGTGGCAACTCCACCCTCAACACCAACCCACAGTGTCTCCCAGTATGGGCATTTGCTTTTTATGAGAGGTCATCCGTCACCGGAGTGGTTACTCGCCATTGGAGAGAGCTACCAACTGGATCCCGAGTTCTTTCAGCGCCATATTGACTCTTCCATTAGCCGCCAGGACAATTTCTCGTCGCCACCGCTTCCCTCCGCATCGACCTTGATGATCAAATTACGTATCACTACCCTTGGAGTATCGCCGCAAACCTCGAAAAGCCTTGACGAGCAGTGGAACCTGGAGAACCTCCGACTACAGAACGCAAAGCCGATGAACGACTATCATCACAAGACAAAAAAGCTCTCCGATTCGAAACTCGGGGATTCAATCCTACGAGAGTGCTCTGTACACGACTTTCAGCACTTCTCCATAGAGCAAGACATATCGATACACGTTATCAAGACTTGGAAAGGCTGGGTTGGTAAGAAACCACAGACGTTGAAGCTTTCTTAATTGTTGATCAAGTGCAGGAATCGTATGGCTCGATCACGGTAATGATTTGAGCCAGATCGTCGTTCCGTCGTTGATTGCGCCTTTGCAATCACATGCTTTGAATCCCAACCACATTCCTACCAACTATCTGCCAGTCACTCAGTACAGACCGGGCGTCGCACTCAAACCCCGCTCTCGACTTCTGGCACCAACGAACGCCATCCAACGGACTCAAGTCCAGATACCTCAAAGCGCATCCCTGTTACATCTCGATTACAGTCGTGGTCTTGATCGCAGGGTCGCTGCGTTGGACTCCTTTTACGCCCTACACGAACTTTTTAGCTTTGCTTCCTTTTCCGAGATACAGTTCCTCAACATGCTGGAGTCCAAGCTCAAGAAGGAGTTAGATCAGTCGGTCTTAGTGCGACAGAAAAATCCCACAATATCAAACATTCTCTACAATCGGCAGGTGTTGGAAAGGCATACTCAACGCATTCGCGACAACATCGCGTCGATACGCTGCCAATCTCGGTCGTGCTGGCCTCAGGGACAACTCGATGAGACCAAACAACAAATCGCCGACTCGGCCGCACAAACCCTGCTTCGCGACTACGAGTACCTTCTCGCACGATGTCTAACTATCTCTGAGCTCTGTGATCGGGGCACCCAGATTGTCATGAACAATGCGATGATCAAAGAGTCACGAGAAGCCATATCGCAGGCTGAGGGCATCGCGAAGCTCACTCGACTGGCGTTCTTTTTTATTCCTCTGTCATTTACAACATCGTTCTTTGGTATGAACTTTTTGCAGTTTGATACGGGCAAAGTGAGCATATGGGTATGGTTTGTAGTGTCTGTACCTATCCTTTCTTTGACACTCTTGTTGTTGCGATATGATATAGTTTCTCTCTTGAGGGCTAAGCGTCGGGCATCCGACCCCGCGTCCAGTATGGTTTGACTTTTGTTCATATGTGTCACTTGCCACTCTTCCTTGGCGACTTTTGGGCCACGCACACAGCACTTGAAGCTGAGCTGGGGAGTTACAGGACTCTTGTGGGAATAATCCTTGATCGGAATACCTGTTTCTAAGATTCGGAGCGAAAATAAAAAAGGTATCATTGGCAGCTGTCATGCGCAAAGGGCTTGAGGTTTTAGTAGATGTTAATGGAATACCCTTCGCACTGTCGTCTAGATCGTGAAGTTTCATTTCATGTTGACTGGAGAGTAGCGCGAGCGAAAAGCCTTCCATTGTGGTTGCTCGCGAACTTTCTTGAGCTAGCTCCAAGACCTTACTTCCACCACCAGCGCGATATAAAGCACTCGTTTTCATCGTTCTTGTACATTTTCGTGCCGGATGACTGGAAGCCCGGCTTTCTCTCGAGCCGCATACGTCTCCTCGCGCCAGCTCTTGAAGTCGGCCAGGGTCCCTCGTTCGAACGTACTCGGTGGTCCGTCTGGTGGGAAAGCAGCCAGCAGCGTGGCGAGTTTCCATTCTTTGAACACCTCACCATCAACCATGACTCTGATTGTACCTACTCGTTCGAAAAGTATCGCGCCATAACGAGCCGAATCGCAGCTCATCTCTAGAAGTACTCTCAAACCAAACGACAGAAATGTAGCCAACGACTTGGGGTGCATCAGGTACGTCTTGTTTTCATCGTAAGTGAAATTATCTACTGTTGGCGGGTTCCTGAAAGGCAAATACATCTGGAATCCGAACTGTGTTGGGGCGATCTCCGTCCCCTCCGGTAGGTCTGTCGGGGTTGCGACGTCAATATCAATGGTGTTGACTGCGATACGTCGTCCGGTGTTGTAGGCCGAGTATTTTCCAGTGACTGGTTGACGGCGGTAATGGACGTGTGGTCCGACAGGGCCAATCTTTAGAAGTCGCTCGAGAAGTTGGTAGAAAGCCCATGCAATGTCTAGCGGGCCAAGCCATTCGTCACAAAATCCGATCCATCCAGCACTATAACCAGTCCGAAAAGTGCGGATCGTTGCCGTGACAGCATTGATGCACGACGAGACCATTGGTATTGAAGTCCATGTGGGCCACAGGTCTCCCTCGTCAACCATCATCACATCTAGCATGTAGCTCGGGCGGAATGCGTTCAGCCGTTCCAGTGTGTCTTCATGAAGCTGCCAGTTTGTCTGCAGCAGAGCACTACAGCTGGGCACGTAGTTATCGGATTCAAGGTCGTAAAACAGGCGGGAGTCCCAGCAAAATTGCCATAGCGTGTCGGCCCTTCGATATTTAACGTGCCTTTCAAATTTGGCTTGTACGGAAGGATCGCGAAGATTGCGCGGAGGAACAGAGTACGATTTTATAAGGCTAGTGCTATACGTCCGACGCCCTTTTACTACACATCCGATGCCCTTACGCTACACGTACGACCCCTCTCCCCTTGGGCCCCTTCACCGCGTTTTAATGGCTTGGAGGGCTCGGAGCTTCCTCCGGGCCTTTACTCTCACTTGTATTTGCACGTGCATTCTTTCCGTTTTATGTATAGCCTTTCCATTTTGTATAGCTACGTGCCTACATGCCTAGGAGAATGCTTAAACCATTAATTTCGCACCTAATAGAGGCCCTCTCTCTATCGCACCTAGCCTACAAGCATCTATGTAAAGTCCCTATCTACAAGCTCCTCCGCATACTCATCGAATTCCTTATCAGCCACCTCACGAGCTACCTCACGAGGCTGCTGCAGGCCTGTTGACTGCACTGTACTTCCTGCGACGGGCTGTAAACCCCGTACCTGCGCTTCTAGCAGCGCAATCTTTCGCTGGAGGATTGCCCTGGTATTTGTACGTCGCTTCTTTATAGGACCTCCTAGTGTTGAGTTCTTAGGTGGCCTACCGCGCTTCCTAGGCGGCTGATTAATGTACGCATTTGGAATCTATCTACGCTCCGGAGGAGTCGGCCCGATAAGTGAGCCAATTAGAACGCGGTGAAGGGGCCCCAGGGGGGGGGTCGTATATGTAGCATAAGGGCATCGGATGTGTAGTAAAAGGGCGTCGGACGTATAGCACTGGCCTTTTATAATGATCTCTATAATTTCATCGCGGAGTTCTCGGGGAAGCTTTAGGAGGCGAGACATGTTTAAGATTTGAGGGCATCTCTGAGAGAAAATCTGTTGGTGAAGGCGCTGGGCTATTTTCGATGTGTTACATACTTCGTAGAGATTTCGGAGACTGTGTGCGGTCTAGATGTCATAGTACTGTGGATTGAATGCCGTAACGGAAACGTGGTACCACACAGGTATAATCTTTGGAAGCGAACGGAAGATATTGACCACGAACACGACAAGCCTCGGGACGCCAAGTATATTAGTGGAAAGTGCTGGATCGGCGAGTTGCCTAATACTTTGCGTATGCATTTGAGCAGCCGCAAATTCAATGTGCATGAGGAAAGTTAACGAGCAGATGAGAACGTCTCCCTGATGTAGCCACGTACCTTAGCTAGCTAGTCAAGTAGGAAGAGTTAGCAAGAAAGACAATGAGCCATCAACGAGAAGGTCGTCAGAAGAAGGTTTTGCCTCCCGAATATATCAATCGCATATACAGCCGGTAACGTAAAGACCCAATTGACGATGCCCGTACCAATCGAGGCAAGCAACGCTTGTCGGTCGCTGAAGCCGCCGCCGAGGAAGATCTGAAATGAGTAATACGCAATGACTGTAATGCTTCCATGAGCGGCAACTTCTAGACAAGGCCTTATCTAACTTATCGCTTACTCCGCAGAAATGTAACGACGACTGCGCGGTACGACGGTGGTGGAGACCGATCAACTGCTTCCATCCCTTAGTGCCGGCCGGGATGAGGTTGTGGTGAATAGTATATTTGTTCGAGAAGCTGCATTATGTACAGCCGTAAAGATCATGACGAAAGATTTTTGGGGGAAACATTGCCCGTTCATCAATACTTACATTGAAGATGGGTAGTGTTGTTACAGACAGGCAAGAGAAGAGCTACTAGTAGTCCTGTAGACGTCCGGGATCCTGGGATAGGATTCGTGAAGGTCAGCGGGGCAGAGCGCCTAAGTGCAGATGAGATCTCTTTGATACATGGCATCAGTAGTGCATCGCATATATTCTAGGATCTAGAAACCGCTCTAAAAGAGAACCATAACATCTTGGCACACGGAATTCGAGGTCTGAGGATTTCGTTCTGGGAAAACAATACTGGAGGCACCAATTGCTGCCTTCCGCGGTCTTGATACGCTTCGTATTAGTGGATTTGGAAGCATGTGAATATAGAAAATAGCGGGCCAATGTATATAGCAGTGCATTAGTTGCTACGAAGTCTAGTATTGCTGTGGAGTCTTGGAAATCACGCATTGAGCAAAAGATTAAGATTCTGGGGAGAGAGGTTCAATTTGAGGCAGGGGAGTAATTCACCTAACGCCTGAATAGATGATTGCCTGCGGAATAAGGCGAAGTAACTTCGGAAGTTGAATAGGGGTATTATTGATGGCTGGAATTTTCTTGCGGGCCACCTAGACACCTTGCAATATTAGCCAATTTTCGTTACCTGGCTAAGGTATTCAGCGGCGCCTGAACGTGCGGGTGCCATAGCCGGCTGCCCAAGCACCTGTTTGAGGGTCTTCTCTCAGGAAGCGTACATTGTCTTCGACGAATTTCAGCCATCGCGGCCACCTACATCGCTTTGGTTTGTAACGCCCGAAGATGTAATACAATTCCTCTAGAAGAGTGAATAGTAATGGTAGCCTATCTTGAACTTCATCCGGCTTCGGCCGACGTGGCCTCTCCTTACTTATTTGGAATCTACAGCTTACACATCGATTTGAAGTTCGGGCAGCCGAATTCAACCAGGTGATGAGGCAAAAGTAACCTGCAATGTGGCCGCACTTGAGTTTAAATGGAACGTGCTCTGAACCCCAGTCCTCCAAGCAAATTGGGCATGCATCGTTTGCTTGGGTCAAAAGCACCTCGGTGGCGATCCCATCGAGGTTCTCAATATCGGGATCAGTATTTTCCATAACGGTCTCCTCCCATTCGGTGAAATGGTTAGAGTTTGCGTTGAAAGTTGCATTGCAGACCTGATTGAACTCGTTGTAGATGTAGTTCACCGTCTTGTGGGTGGCATCTTCAAAGTTTTTAACCGCTCGGGGAGTAGGCTCCTCGACACCAAATGTGCAGTCGGTCTCCAGCTGACGAGCAAGCGCACGTAGTCGCCAGAGTAAGAAAGCAAGGCTTTCTACTCGATTCTGCGAGCGATGCTCTTTGTGGTATTCAATAACGGCATTGAAGGCAACGACGGTCTTATGCTTCTTTATCAGCACGTCGGACAATTCTTTCACGATTATATCCAAGGAGAGATTTGTAGGAAGGTCGCACGTCAAAAGGGCCTGATGTGATTTCGGACTTCGCATAGAATTTCCTGCAAAGACTCATGTTTAGACCCAAGCGTTTCATCCGAAGGACAGCTTCCTCATAGTAGTACATGGCATCCTCGTACTTACGTAGGAGAGTTTCCTCCACACGTAGAATTTCTCTTGGAAATCTAGGGTATTCGAGAACCGGCAGGCCTTCAGGGGCATCTTGGTTGGTGAGATCCTGCGGCATTGTTGATAGGTCTGCTAGTTTGACTGATCCAGCAATGGCTTCTTGATGGTTGGGTGCTGTTAGAGGTTCGACTGTCTGTTGTAAAGTCGTAACGACAGCTGACGAATGGAAATTTATAGGGAGCTGAATACCGTATACAATGTAGGAAAAAGCGTCACTGCACTGCATAGTTGACGGATGATGAGATACAGACAAAGGATATATTGAGCATTGTGACAAAGGAAGATTCCGGGGAAACAAAGATATCATACCTCTACAATCGATATGAAAGCATCGTAGAACGCTCGCTTGACTGATTAGCACATTACCTCGACGTTCCAGCATGCACGGCGTTATGCGTCCCCCTCACTGCAGCTGTGTATCATCAGACGGAGGACCTGCTATCAAGACGATGGAGTTGTGAGCGTTTACTAGCATAGCCTGATGTAGTGAGATAATTTCTCATCTGATTGGGGTCCTCTCATCACGCCAGACGCCGTCGACTGACAAATGTAATCGCTGTAGAGAGATTCTTGAGGACATAGGCTTCTATCAATTGTGACCTGTGAAAAAGGTTATGTAAGGGCCTGAGGGGGCAGGAAAAAAGTAAGTTGAAATTACTTGATCCGTTTCAAGCATTGTGAGGAGAACAGCGGCTTAAATGACATTAATCGTGCTGATGTTGGCTTCTTTGGTGTAGATGGGATGGAGGGAGGACGTTGGAAGAAAGTCTCTAGTTCTAAATGATCTCGCGTCACCCACGCGCCAAACGAAACGGCAAGGCTGAACCCCCCCGCCACAACCGCTTCAACTTCCATCATCGTTCCATCCTCTATCACCAAACCTACAACCCGCCATGCCTCTCGGCTTCGAGCGCATCAACGAGCGTACTCAGCGCCCGAACGCTCTCATCAACTTCATCAAACCACTCCCTGGCCCGACCGCCGAAACCGCTGCGCTCTTCCTCTCTCGCGTCGCCGCAATCTGTTACCCTTTCATGAAAACCAACCGCATCCTCGTACAAGCCCTCGAAGAATTCCCGCCAAACAATGAGTTCGTTGGCCGCAACTTCAACGCCGGCGAGGTGATCCAGCTGGTGCTGAAGGACAGGCAGGGGCGATGGCTGAGTCTCCGATATGTGGAGATGGTCATGGTCCACGAGCTGGCGCATTGTAAGGAGATGAACCATTCAAAGGCATTTTGGAAGGTTAGAGATGCGTATGCAGTGGATTTAAGAGGACTATGGGGGAGAGGTTACACGGGGGAGGGCATGTGGGGTCCAGGTAGACATTTGTTGGACGGGGAGATTGAGAATGCCGGCGGAGAGGAGAGGGATGTGCCGGAACATTTGTGTGGCGGCACGTATGGCAGGAGAAAGAAGAGAGGCCGTGCCAAGAAAGAGAAGGAGAAGGTCAGTTATGCAGAGAGGAAACAAAGGAGGATCTTGAAGAAGTTTGGCGAAGGGGGCAAAGCGTTGGGAGATGATGAGGGAACGAGAGTGAAACTAGAGGGAGGCGTAGCCAGAAAGGGCAAGCCGAGGGTAGCTGGCAGTGCTAGAGGCAGGGAATTGAGAGCTGCTGCTGCTCTAGCAAGGTTCGAGCCTGTCAAGAAGGAGGAGATCAAAGAAGACGTCTCTATTAAGATTGAGGATTCGGACAGCGATACAGAGGATGAGTATGATGACGTGGACAACGCACACGCTGCTGTAGACGTGGATGGAACCAAGATGACGGATGAAAAGGGCCATAGCTTGGTCAAGATATGCGAAGGAGAGGATGACGACGATGGCGATGCACGACGCGAGATGGACGAGCTTCACGATATGAGCGACCGTAAGAGCGCTTCGAAAGAATCAAATTTCTCGTCGGAGCGTCGGGCGCCTATGAAGCCAACGTCGAAGACATCTGGTATCACCAAAAGCGATGGTAAAGGAAGCCGGCTACAGCCTCGAAATCCTGCTACTCCGTCACCAAACGTCATCCATTTAGACGAGATCTACAAAAGGCGCCCAAAGATTAAGTCCACAAGTTCGGATACCCGTATCCAGCCTTCTGCTCAGCCTCAAAAACTCGAATGTCCAATCTGCTCTCTTGCTAACGACAGCGCCGCCCTCACTTGTGTCGTCTGCTCCAACGTCCTAAACACCAGCCTCGTTACGGATCATTGGCGATGCCAAAGTAATGCCTGCCAAGGTAGCAGGTTCATCAACGCTGGAGACGCTGGTATGTGTGGAGCGTGTGGGTCAGCGAGGAGAGTTTGAGTTTGGCCCAAGTGCATGTAGCGATGTCAGGTCCTCCACTCGTGGTGAATTTTCTGTACATGACAGCGTTTTTATTTCAAAACGATACCCCTTTAGTTTTATTTCCCATCTCAGCGATCTACTTTGTACCAGGATTCTACCACGCCTCACGCTCGAGATTGCTGGCCTTGGGCGGGGAGCAGTTTGCGTCCGGCGATCAACATTGTTGAGGTGCCAAAGAGCACACATTGAATGGTATCTATAAATCAAGTCCTGGTGTCTACATGTAGCGAACACATGTTTACAACTGCAACTCTCGTGCAATCCGTCTCTTCGCAGCCGCCTCCACCTCGCCCGAATTATCCTTGAACACTATATCCATCTGCTCAAGCGTCATTCCAGACGTTTCAGGGACGAGGAAATACGAGAACACGGCCGCTGCAAAGCAGAAGCAGGCGAAGAAAATGTAAGTTCCATACCCAATACTAATCATCATCGGTGGTACGGACACACCAATGACAAAGTTAGATAACCAGATGGTTGCTGTAGCAGCCCCGACGCCCTTCGCGCGGAGATGATTTGGAAAAACCTCAGCAGGCATGCACCATGCCAGTGGGCCGTAGGAAACCGCGTAGCATAATATGTAAATGTCTGGACAGAATGAGCAGACGAAGATGATATTTGGGAGAGATACATACAAATCAAAGCGACGCCGAACCAGCCAACCCCAGTGTGAGTGGTCCAGCTTGAGTTGAACTTTCCAACGATCCCGGCCATGACAGTGTGTGGAATTCCCATGGCGATGCCACCGAAGATCGCGAGCTTGCGGCGGCCCATCCTGTCCAGGTAGAGGAACGTAGGGATGGCAGCTACGAGCTGACATATGTTCACCATTCCGGAGAGAATCAAGGACATGTGCGCGTCTTGACCGAGCGCAGCGAAGAAGGTCGGGGCATAGTAAACGAACGCGTTAATTCCCGAGAACTTTGGTGAGTCAGTAAAAAGCAAGTGAGGATGTGAAACGAGATGTACCTGCTGAAAGAACGGTATTGCTAGTGCCACTGCAGTCCTTCTGATGTATTTGGGTCTGAACAAATCAAACCACTCCGCAAGTTCCAGCTTCAGCCCTGTGGCTCTTGGGTGCGCTGTTGCAGTCATCTCTTCTTGGAACTTAACCTCCGTAATGATTGCCTTCCATTCTGCTTGCACTCTGTGGTCTGACCCTGGGAGGCGACGCAGTTTCGATAGAGATGCTAACGAATCATCATTGCGCCCCCTCATGACTAACCAGCGTGGCGAATATGGGAAGAACATGATCGCTAGGAGGCAAAGTGCTGGTACCATTTGCAGCACGAAGGGTAGACGAAAAGCCCAATCTCCAGCAATATCCCTGATTAAAAAGTCTGTCAGTCCGCGCTCGCCCTATTGTAACTATAGCCACTAACTTCGTAGCATAGGTAATCCAGTAAGAGATAATAGCACCAACGACGATGCTGATGGCTTCAAGGACAAGCAAGGAGCCCCGAACATTTGGTGGTGCCACCTCTGAAATGTAGAGAGGTGCACCCATAGCTAGTGTACCAACGCCGATGCCTCCAATGGTTCGTCCGGCCACGAGGGTCCCGTAGTTCTGAGAAGCTGTCTGGATGATAGCGCCAAGACAAAAGACTACGACGGCCGCAACGAGTCCCCATTTCCTTAAGTAGACGTCTGCAAACTTGGGAAAGACGAGGCAGCCGAGGAAAGCTCCCAGCTCCAGCATTCCGGTCATGAAGCCGACGTGGAAGCCGTACCCTGCGGAACCGGGGCGCGTTTCAAGGTACTGGTCGTGGAATTGGGGCATGGTCAAGATAATCGAGACGACGCCTTGGTCTTGAGGCAGCATTAGCAAGCACGTCGGAGATATTAAATTCGTGAAGAGCGCACCATATCCAAAGGAGAACCCGCCCATGCTAGCCAGGCCAGCAGCAGCGAACACATATCCGGAGCTTAGGATACCAGGAAGACCGCTCTTGCCATAGGAAAGTGTTTCAAGCTGAAAGTCGAGCGAGTTGTCTAGAGACTGCGAGGTGCTTGGAGGAATGGCCTCGATATGTTGAGCTTCCTTTTCCGGGTCATCCATCTTGGCATCGTGCATCTTCTCTGATGACATGATTTGATCAAGGAAGGAAAGAAGAGGATGAAGAGAGGTGGAAGAGAGCCAATCTGCCTTAAAAAATATCAAAACTTGACGAGGACACCACGACTTTATATCCAGACGCAATAACGCCAAAAAAAAAAAGCCAAGACCAAAATCGATCGCTAAGATTTTTGCCTGGGGAAAACCTGGGGAAGTTTGGGGAAACATGGGGACCATGTGCGTGACAGACGCACGGTGTGTGGAGTCTTTCATCACATGGCAGTTGGAGGGATACCTAGTTCGTTGAAAGAGGTAGAGCGCTATGCATGACGATCTTCAGTTTTGCTATGGAGATCGAGGAGGGGATTCCCTTCCGCGTTCGAAAAGGCAATCTTCTCCGCAAAGCGTCCGGTCCGTGGGCATTCGGTCCGATCCAACTCCCATCCCAAACACTACGCAACGAACCTCCTACACCCTCCTTGCATGAGTCTATGCAGAGCATCCACTGGCCGGGCAATCGTAGACAAATCGGAATCATGTCCTATCTTCACTGTTTTGTGACCACTGGGAGCCCCGCCGCACTCTTGCAACCCCTCCCTTCCTGTAATCATTATATTCGCCATGGCTAACTCATTTGTTCCATATATTGCCTACCTGCCAGAGCCTTTGCATTCATCCACCAGTTTCAACTTTTAGCACGTAGGCCTGTGGTCTCTATCTTCTTTTTGCCAGCTTTCTCCTACAGCCCCTCTAAATGATCTACTTTCTGGGTCTCATTCTACTTTTAACAGCGGTCCTCATTCTTAGGCCGCTGTTCGAGTACTTCCGGGATTCTAGGAACCTCCGTCGATTACCGAATGCCTCGCCCATATCTGGGATCACAAATCTTTGGTTTGTGTTCCAAGCATACAAAGGTCAGCGATACTTCGCCTTGATGGAAAAACATCACAACCACCCGCATGGACCTCGTCCAGTTCTACGCATCGCCCCAAACCATGTCTCTTTCACAGATCCGCAAGCCATTAAGGACATCCATGGCCATGGTACCGTCATGGAGAAGGGCGTGCACTACGACCTCGTCTGCGGTACACATAGACACCTGGCCGATGTCGTTGATCGTTCTGAACATCAGCGGAAGCGAAAGGTGATGGCGGCAGCATTTGCGCAGTCGAATATCGAGACTTACGAGCATGTCTTGGCCAAGAAGATGGGGCATTTCCTCGCTCAGATGGACAAGCTATGCGCAGTACGGCCCAAAACAGGATCCAGGCCGCCTCCTGAAGCACCTACAATGGACTATCGTCGATGGGCGATTCTATATACTCAAGAGGCTATCTCCGCGCTGGGTTTCTCCGAGGACCTTGGGTTTCTGGAGAAGGGGGATGACCTTACGACGGCGGAGCGAGCCGACGGAACCCTATATCAAGCACGATATAGGGATGCAATCGAAGGCGGGATGCACAAAGCTATGGTTTTGATAGCATTTCCAGAGTGGTACAAGGCTCTGGTAGCCTGGGCATGTCTGCTCTTGCCTAGCTTTCGTAACTACAAAAAGCGGTCTCAAGGCTTCACAGATATTTGTCGGCATATCACGAGAAAAAGGATTCGCAGACAGGCCAATGGCGAACAGTTATCGGATATCTTCACTGCGCTCCTTCATTCCCGAAACGGACAGCCAAACAACTATCCTTTTGGCGAGCTTTTTGCCGAGGCAAATGTCATTCTCAACGCAGGAAGCGACAGTACTGGCATTGCGATGACCAACACGATATATTCACTGATCGAGAACCCTCGGGCCTTGGCAATCCTTCGCGAGGAGCTTGACGAAGCTTTGGGCTCCACGGACGTCGTCGCGCCATACGGCAAGATTAAGTATTGCGCTTATCTGCGAGCCGTCTTGGACGAGTCTATGCGAATGTATGCACCATCTCAATTCAGTCTGCCACGTAAGACACCACCAGAAGGTGCCTCCATCGCTGGCCACTGGATCGCGGGAGATACCCAAGTGACGACTCCGACTCACGCCATACACATGGACCCCAGTATTTGGGGAGACCCGGAGACGTTCCGACCAGAGCGATGGCTCGGTGAGGAGGGCAAGCTGCTGCAACGGCATTTCCTAGTCTTCACTACTGGTCCGCGAGGGTGCATAGGGAGAAACGTGACTTATCTGGAGCAGTATGTAATGTTGGCTAGCTTTGTAAAGAGGTATGAGTTCTGCTTGGAGGATGAGAGCTTCACGCCCACTCGATACGAAACGGCAGCGACGCTTATTGACAAGCTGCCTCTGAAAATTTGGAGGCGAGATATCTAGACGGAAATTTACAGATCATTGATTTTTCTTCCCAATATTCATCAGGCTTAAAAGATATAAAGTCGCTTTGAACCATGATCTACACTTAGCTAGCCCTTAGCCCTATATCGGGCGTTTCAACACCCCAATCTGCTGGCTGCCCGATCTCCCGCACACGTGACCTGAAGCCGCTGTGGCTGAGTTCGGCTCTGGTCTCCCAGGTCTGCTCAGCCTTGCCTCCAACACCTCGACGCCTTCAGCCTCGCCGACCTTGACCTATGAGCTTCGCCGCATTGACAAGGTTAAAATTTGCAAGGGCGCCTAGACGAAATGACAGTGCGGAGGCGGGTCGTTGCTCTGGTCAACATTGCGCGAACGTTCTTTTCCTCCTCAAGCCTCATCCCCCATTCTTAAATGAACGTCTGGCTCCTGAAATGACGAAGTCTAGAGCCAGGGCTATGGCTCCAGCCTCCAATTAAGATCTAGATCCTAATAGATCCAGCACGAAACTTCAACCACCGTTCTCACTGACCTAAGGCTTACTTGCGAGCATAAGCACCCGGTGCCGTGCTCTGGACGTGGCTTCAATCTTGGACATACAAAGAGTGAACCCAGAATAGTGCAGCAAGAGCAGGACCCGTATCTAGAAGACTCTCATTATCATCAAGCGACCGGTACAGCATTTGGCCATGGGAACCTGTCTTTCAAGGCTCAAAAAAGAATCTCGTCAAGAGTCATCAGAATTCGTCGATAGCAGCCAGGATCCTTCACTCCGTTCGGCCGACGCGGATTTTTCGAGGCGCTCTTCTCTGTGGCTGCCGCCAACCTCAAACGAGGACCCTGATACAAGGGACCTTAGCTTTGATGAGCAAATGTCTCTCATTTCTTCCTTTGTACTAGAACGCATGGACGTGTGCAATTCATATCATTCTGACTACTGCAAATGTTCCGAAACGCCTGCTGCCCTACCTACTCGGGTCATTGACGTCGGTCGGCCGAACGATTTTGAATCGATCCATCTTATCAAGGGCGAGGGCCGCAAAGAACACTACGCCGCACTTTCGTACTGTTGGGGCACCTCAGGTGCTAACTACCTCACCACCATTAAAAGGCTAGAAGAACACCAAAAGCGCATTCCCTGGGACCTTTACCACAGACTATCAAAGATGCGATCCTGGTCACCTGGAAACTCGGTATCCGATATTTGTGGGTCGATGCATTGTGCATTGTTCAGAAGGCTGTCTTCGATTCCAAAAATGGGATTAGCATACATGATGGGGAATGGGCGGTCGAGGCCAATAACATGGCTTCTGTATACGGGAACGCGTATATAACTATCATGGCTGCTTCGGCAGCGGACTGTCAGGACGGGTTCCTGAAGCTTAGTTGGATCTCAGAAAAATGTCGAACTCCACGGGAATCTAACGGTGGACTATCAACCTACTATCTTCTTCTAGATGTGGAGTTCGCACTCCACTCTTCCCCGCTCTACGGCCGCGGATGGGCATTTCAGGAGTCAGTACTTTCCCGCCGATTACTTATATTTGTGAAAAACGAAATCCTTTGGCTTTGCGACTACGTCTTTAATCGTATGACGAGCGAAGGGTGGATAGATCACACCGGATATGTCTCCTCGCTTCGAAGCAGACATAATAATGGCTTGTTGACTGTCCGTGATTGGTCGAAGTGGGCCAAGGACTACTCAAGTAGGGAAACAAGTCACGCATCCGATCGGTTGGCCGCCTTATCTGGCGTTATACATCACTTCGCTCAAGAGAATAATGACACTTCTGTTTTGGGGTTGTGGAGAAGCGATATCCCTTTAGGGTTGCTCTGGAAGCCAATGGGGATTACTCCTACCGCACGAATCAAACGAGCCGAATTTTTTATGCCAACTTGGTCCTAGTTATCCGTTGTGGAGGCAATCGACTACGATTCGAAAACTGCGGCATATCATGGCCCGGTACCAGACATCGACGTTGACAACTTCTCATGTGAGTGGGATGGCCCTGAATTAACTGGACGCCTCATCTCTGCAGATCTCATAATTCGTGGCGCTCTGGAACCCGCCCAAGTGGAGTTGGTCCCCGAATCTGAGGTTTGGCCTTTCAGTACAATCAATGTGCGCATTACCAAAGAAGGGCTCGGCGACTGGATGTGTACGGATTTTGAAGGTGAAGAAAACTACACCGTAATTCAGGAACACAGCCTCAGCATATCCTACGTGCATGTCGGTACATATCTCCAAAGCAGTGAATATATCAAAAGATTTGTCTTGTTCCTGAGGCAAGTAAACAAGGATACGAATTCCTACGAGGGAATTGGAATTGGCTCCTTTGAGGAGGCATTGGAGGGGCCGAACATTTTTCATGCACGGAAAGAAACCTTACGGCTAGTATAACATTCGACCATTACCTAGGACCAAACTACTTCACCGGAGCTCGTAATTAGCTCGTCCTTCCAATTCATAGTGTGGCTTTATCACGTGGTATGCCCGCCTGACGAAGGGGTATGTCCGAATAGTGGTGCCCATATAATAACTAAGTTAACTTAGAGAGTCTCTGCTTACTAAGTGTTTTAGTGTAGAGCTTTACATGACTCGACCGTCCTGCCGTCCGACTTCTGCGGAGAGAATTGCCCGTTTCGCCAGCTAACCTTTTTTCTGCATCATATCTTCCCCGCACGCGGGATCAGCCACCGAAACCTGGGGAAATGCCTTTACCTACAAATAAGGGAATGCTGCCTTTTACCCAAGCGTCGTTCCCATGTCCCTCGAACGCAATGCTCAATGACCGACTCCACAAAAAGAGGAACAGGATGGTAGGAGCTCCCACTTAGATGGTTCTGATAACTGCGAAGCTAATCGATCTGCACTATCAGCACGAATTGCCGATACAATCATCGGAAATGCGTATACGGTAAAAATGCCACCTTCAAGCCAGGTTCTGAACATATCTAATACTCTTGCTGAAAGGCGAGCACGAGAAAGAATCTTGCGTAAGCTGCATCACTCAGGGTCTGGACTGCCAAAGAGATGAGGATATCCAATTCCGCCACGGACTTAATCCTAGCATCACTTCTTCCAAAGGCTATGGTCAACGAAGCTACGATTTTTCAAGCGATCAAACCTGGGTGAAACCATCAGAATCCTGCAAGTAACCTGCTCTTTCAATAACAACCGTCTAACGTCCTTGCAGTGGTCTACATCGATGAAACTCCAGAGCTCAAGGGCATTTACGGGAATGACCAAACCACCGAGCACGGAAGCCCCCAATGGTATCTGCGGCCCAGCTCACAATCCATCTGGTCTACCCATTCAAGTCGAGGAGGACATGAAAGTATACCGCTATCGGCATATTCTCCAACTCCATCGCCTCAATCGTTCGGCTGGGAGCAGCCGCTGGCCCTATCATGCTCTCCTACGCCGAATTACGTTTCTATGCCGCCTTGGATGAGCCAGGTAGATGGCGCTCCAGGGCCAGCAATGCATTGCGAACCTTTGGAAGTATCTAGCTTTCCCGCTCTTCCAACCCCATCCACCTCCGCAATCTTCGTCGTAACGGCCCTACAACGAACCGAGCCGTCACAGCACGTAAAATCAAGATGGTCTCTTCAGAACAACGAAGAATGTCTTTTGATGCACCACTACGTACAAGTGTTAGCTAGCTGGTTCGATGTTTTGGATCCAGCTCAACACTTTGCACGAGTAGTTCCCCATCGAGCTGCACAATGCGTGCCACTACAGCAAGCAATATTTGCACTCTCCGCTCGGCATCTCAGCCGGATCAGTGACATGAATCCCTATATTTCTGATCAGTATTTCAAGCGATGTATCGATTTGCTCATGCCCGTGGTCAACGAGACGCAGGCGATTATAGAGGAGGATATTCTGTGTGCTATGGTTTGTCTTCGTCTGCTGGAAGAGTTGGATGGTAAGCCCTCCACATTCATTTCCCAATAACCAGGAATTGGAAAAACATACGGTACTTAACTCGGCTAACACAGCTTGGCAGTTCCCCTCAGCGGCTGCGATAATCAACGTCACCTGAAAGGCATCCAAGTTCTCGTAAACGCGCAAGAGCGCTCGGCTGCCACAGCCGGCGGTCTTTCTCAAGCGGCCTTTTGGGCTGGCCTCCACCAGGAGATGTTCATGGCGTTCATCACCCAGCGACCCGTTGCACAAGCACTCCTTTCCCACTGCAACATCGACCGCACATGTTCTCCTGCCGATGACTGCACATGGGTGTACCGCATCATGGTCAACTTCGCCGACGTCCTCACCTTTTGCTACGGGCCAGCTCTCGACCCTAGATCAAGCCCTGGCGTAAACAAAGGCCTGCGCCGAAAAGCGCAATGGGACCAGCTGACGCGCTATACAAGAGAGTGGCACGAATCCCATCCTCCACACTTCAGCCCGACGTACTCAGCATCTCCAGCGCCCGGGGACATCTTCCCGAGCATTTACTTCCACCTCCCTATCCAAGTTACCGCCTCCCTCTACTACCACGTCTCCTGCATTCTCCTCGCTATCCACAACCCCGCCCTACACCAAGAACTACCATCCTCTTCTGCGACCATCCTGCACCTCCGCACCGCTGCCCGTGCTCTTCACGCCCTCGACACGACCGTCCGCGAGAACGTTCGGGCTCTTTGCGGCATCGCACTGTGCAATCCATGGCTAGCGCCCGCGATGACGATGACGAGCACGGCGCTGACTATGTGCGGGGAGCATTTCTGTGATGTAGGGAGGGAGGAGCAGGACGGAATGATGTGGCTGCTTGTAAAGAACGAGGAGAAACATGGGTGGCCGACTGGGACTGCACAGAAATATTTGAAGCGGGTTTGGGGGTGGGAAGGGGAAGGTTGATGGGGGAGAAGGAGAGTCAGAAAGAGCGGCGGACTTAGATCAGATCGACGACCTCGATACCATGCTTCTGTTTTCGCATTGCTTCCCCCCCCCCATCGCTCGATGCAGGTACGTATTACTAACAGGGAATGGCCTTTTCTCTTCGCTAATCGAGCCATTCTCCCTTCGTGGGATATGCGGAACGCAAGAGCCCAAGAATATCACTCTCGCTATCATATCACTTTCTCTCGCCGTGAGAGGAAGCTGACATATACCCCGTTCTAGAGAGCCATTAGATTTCACTTCATTAACTACTCCACGTAATACTTGAAATCTCAAACTGCAGTTTTTGAATCGGCCTCGCGGCGAGCTTGATAGCACTCCCATCGTCGTATCCCTGGATGCCTCCTCGCTATATCCGTTCATAGCGCGCAGACTTGGGCGTTAGGTCTCGTGGTTTGGGCGCTTCTTTGGCTTCTTCCACGTTGAGGGATCTCAGGATCCGCGGCGGTGGGAGCCTTGACATAAAGCCTTTATATTTGGGATGGGTGTAAAGCAATGTGTCAGACTCTATCGGGTAATGTATCATATGACAATGATATCAGGCTCCAATCTTCGATATATATTTGTCTCTTGAACTTGCATCTTTCACGGAAAACCATCTGGCGCACTGACGTACTAGATTAATACTGATCCTGAAGAATATAGATAGATAGGAGATGATCTTAGTGATGAATGGGGGACTTTGAGATGAAGTTAGGTAGAGAACATCTTGGCCTACCTTCTCGAATCGTCCCCTGATTGGCCCAAATGCAACCTATCCACGCTGCCGCCCCACAAAGCAATCAACTTCATTGCCCGTAGTCTCGTTGGACATCTAAACGGAATCCTTTTTCCCTATAAAGATAGAAATCTGGGAAGGAGAGCAAAGATGCGATGAGTTGTCGTTTCAACCCCTTCAAACCTCGCGCAGGCACCCACATCTGGCCCGTGCCGCCCGTTTCTCCTGATGTGCCGAAATCTCGGACGCGCTTTTTCGCGTCACATCAAAAATCCCCAATTTTGCCCTTCAACCATTAAAGACAGCCTGCCAACATGTCCGCCACCGAAGCCGTGCGCAAGAGAGGCCGGCCTAAGAAACCTGCGGCTAGCGAAGAAGCACCTGCAGCAGCGGCGATTGTCGTCGAACCTCCGAAGAAACCCACCACCACGCGCAAAGCATCGACGAAAGCGACGAAGGGAGCGCCATTGAGCCCCGCGAAAAAGATAGAGAAAATACCAGAGAAGGAAATAGTCAAACCTAGTAATAGAACGAAGGCGAAAGAGGTGGACATGGCGGCGAAAGGAGCAAACGTGGTGAAGACCGTCGTCCCGCCGAAGCAACCGACTCCCACTACACCATCGTCGTCGAAGATATTGCAGGAAGTGGCCTCAAACGGGGCCTTCAAGGCGACTAATACGCCTCCAAGAGTGGAAGTAGTTGCGAAAGCGCAGCCCTCACCCTCGGCCTCGAGGACCACAGCAGCAGCAACAACACCTCCGCAACCCGCCCCCTCCTCAAAACTTCCCCCCGAAGTCCCAATACCACCGAAATCTACCCCGACACCAACCCCAAAGACACCTTCAGCACCTCCCCCAACGTCCCCGTCCGCTACAAACCCACAACCACAACCAAGCTTCACTTCAGCCTCCTCCGCAAAACCACAAATCCCAACTCCCCCCCCGACCTCCCTCCCAAAACCGCCACCTCCCCCCGTCGCGTCAGCGCCAAAACCGCAACTACCACCAAAACCGTCCTCCACCCCCAAACCCGCCTCCAAACCCCTCCCCTACCGCCCCTCCCGCATCCCCCCCAAAGGCTCCCCCCTCGACCCTCCCCCACCACCACCTCCAAAACCCACCGCGCAGACACCCACCCCCGCGCCAGCAGCACCCACCCCCGCCCCCCTCCCCAGCGCCCCCAACGCCATCGGCGCCATCGTCGGCGGGGGCAGCAGCAGCAGCGGCAGCATGAGCGAGATGCCGGGCCCCCTCCCCAAGAAATACAAAGGCGCCGCGTTCCGCGTCACGGCGATCATGTGCGCGCTGCCGATTGCGGTGGTGACGGGGTACGAGCTGTACGGGCGATGTGAGTAGTACCCCCTCCCGTCTCTTTCTTTTGCGGAACCCCGAAGACTTTTGCTATTCCACACCACCTCCTCCCCCCCCCCCCCCCGGGGGGCCCCTTTACCATTGCTCCCGGCCGACGCAAACGAAACTGCTCGCGCGTATCCATGAAGGAGGTGGGAGCCGGAGAGCTGGGATCTAGATCTGTATTTGGCATCTTTTTTGGGGGGTTGATGAGGAATGCTAATGCGGATGTGATGCACAGTTTTCCAGGGCAAGGAGAGGAAGATTCTCCCGCGCATCGAGCCGCTGCCCCCAGCCATGGCCGCGGCGGGGGTGACGCCGACGCCGCCACCGCCGCCGGCTCCGTCGCCTTCGAAGGAGGAGTAGTTTGTCTATATCTTTCTGTGCCAAACCCCCTCGCCGGCCGACCCAAAAAAACAAAAAACGCAAGAACGCATTCAAAAAAGGCGAATACGTCACGTATATAAAAGGATATCTCCCCACCTCCCCAAAACCCAACCAGCGAACGAACGAAGTCAACGAGATGACGGTAATGTATATCAAACCACGAATTTTGCATAAAGGGGTTTGCCATTCCGCATGTGGAACGAATGGCTTTGATGTTATCGTAACTTGTACTATATATATATATTCTACGAAATCTGTAGAGACGTCTTGTATATACCACCACCCACACCCCCAATCGCAGCTATATCCATCTTTTATGCCCATCTCATGTAATCTTTTGCATCCGTCTTGGTGCATCAAATCCCAGCCCATCTAATCTTATTTATCATTCTGCCCAAAAGATCAAAACACCCCACCCAAATGCCCTACCAATTCCACCATCTACAGGCACGCTAATGCAATCCAATCCAACCCAAACCCAACCCCAACCCCCAACCCAAATACCCGCGCTTCCAACCAAAACAAAAGAGAAAAAAATGCGCTACTCACAGCGACTGAATCTTAGTATCAAATGAACGAAACACAATGATGTCCTCCTCGTCTTGGTATCAACAAAGAAATGTCAATCATATCTCCCCCCCCCTTTTTTTTCAAACATCCCTCCTCACCCAACCCCCCCACTCCCCCGACTCCGACTCCTCTTCCGCCGCAACATCATCCCCCTGGTCCCCGAAATATCCAACAACAACCCCAAACCCCCGGCCCCACTCTTCTCCCGCCGCTTCCGCTCCTTCTTCTCCTTCTTCGTCTCCTTCCCACCCTGGTCCACATCCACCGCCCCGTCCTTCTGCGGCACCACCGGCGGCGGCGGCGCGAGCTCCGACCGCGAGCGCGTCAGGCCATACCGCGGCGTGCCCGGTCGCGGCAGCAGCCCCGTGTTCTCGCCCGCGGCAGTGGGGGGAAGGTGGAAGAGGGCTTTGTATTTCCGCTCCGGCGAGCTGGGGACGGCGACGGCGGGGGGCGCGGTTTTAGTCATGGCCAGGTTTAGCGACGAGCTGGTACGGTGGTGGGCGAAGGTGCGGGAGGAGAGCGAGGGGGTGCTGGGCTGCGAGACGGAGGGGAAGAGCTGGCGGGTCGACGGCCACAGGTTTGGGATCGTAGACGAGGGGGTTGATGGGGAGAGCGGCGGGGAGGGGGGCAGTTCGGTGTCGCCGTCTGATATGCAATCGGAGTCGTCGTCTGAGGTAAGGAGGTCGGCGGCGCTGAAGTTGGAGGGGTTGAAGCGGATGTGTTGAGGGTCAGGGTTGCTGAGGCGGCGGACGGCGTTGGAGTGGGAGGGGAGATAGGGTTTGGTGTTCGATAGTGGTTGCATCCCCGGCGGGAATTTCAGGGGGGTGTGGAGTTTGCGGCGGAGTGAGGTTTGAGAGCCACGCTTGGAAAGGCTGTGGTCGTGTTCGAAGCGGGTGATTTTGTGAGGGGGTCTCGAGCGGTGTCGTGGTGCGCGTTCGTCGCCCTGGGATAGGGGCCGGGTAAAGCTGCTTAGACGGAGGTCTACTTGACTGGGACTGAATACGACGCGAGCTCGAAGCTGCCGGATTGTTTCATCTAGAGCGAGTTCGATAGCGACGTGGTTTTGGACGCGTGATAATTTCGGCCAGGTTGCTCGCTCGCCGGTGAGGGTGCATTGCAGCATGTATTCTGTAGTCGGGTTGCTAAGGACTTTAGGAAAATGAGCGAGTGAGATAGCGGGAAAGATGGTAATGTCTCCAGAGTATCGTTGGTTGAGAATAGACCTCATCTTGGTAAGATAGTTAGGGAATACACCTAGTTCTGCAAGAACGTGGAGTCGATGTAAAGCCTCTCCTTTTGCAAGATTTGCCATGTAGTGTAGCCAACTAGGGCCGGCGGTGAAGGCTTGGCTGGATTGCCGGGCTTCTGCTGTGACCATTTCCTCCTCTTTTACAAGAAACGGAACGACGTGCGGATTGACTTGAGAGACGATAAAATGATTGACGTTGAACATTTCTGCCAGACGAGTCATCGGGAGATCATTGTCTACCGAACCATCAATCCAGCCAGCATTGGGCGTGGGATTCCAGGGCACTTCCTCTCCAGTCCGGGGGTCTTTAGCGAGTAGAGAGGCCGGTAAAAAGACAAACGGAACGGAGCAAGATGCGGCCACGGCGGACCAAATCAAGACATTGGGAGCAGTAACATAATTGAGCAACCGAGGCAATTCGTATAAGCTGGCGCTGGACACAGTGATATTCAATATCCTCCGGGTGCGGTTGTAGGCTTCCTGGAAAGTGATGTCGCCGAGGAGGTTCCTCATAACGGTGATCAGGTGTGTGATCTCGAACAGTGATCCGTACTTGAGGAATCGAACAACCTTGTCCATATAGGAGTCTTCCTGCCCGGGCCTATCGAAAACGTTGAGATCGCCATAGCAGAATTCCTCCAGGACTTGGGGGATCTCCTCATCAGTCTTGATGCACAGAACCGCGCAAACAATGCTGCCGGCCGAGGCCCCCGAGATAATGCGAGGGAGAAGTCGAGCGTTCCAGAGGCTTTTGATGACGCCAATGTGGTTCATGCCAAAGGTCCCGCCTCCTGACATCAGCAGCGCACTTCTGCCGAACGACTGGCGGGCTGCCAGCAGCTGCTCCAGTATGACTCTGTGTTCCAGACAGCCGTCATCATTCTGCTTGGCCGAAACTTCCAACAGAGCTCGCAGCGTCTTCTGGGCGGAGTCGATATAGCGTTCGATTAGAGCTTTTGTGCCAACGTGGGAGTGTTTATACAGGCGCAGGTCTCCCATGCCTCCAAGCCCGCGAGTCAGGGACGTCCGAATGAGGAAGAGCATTCTCTTGACGTCGCAGTTGACCCTAGCTTCGTCCAGCTGCTTCAGTCGTGCTTCGACGAGCGCGTAGTCGTATTCGAGGGATTCGTGCTCGGCTTTCCAGGCATCGTTGCCCTCGAGGAGGTCCAGCTCGGTAGCCGCGGCGCGCCATGCATCGTAGGTCTCGGCCTGTGAATGTCAGATATGTCACAAGAAGGGTCCATTGTGTGCCCACCTCTCTCATGCGGAGGTACAGTATTTCTCGGCGACTTTCATCCTCGGCACCATCCGTAGCAATCGCTGAGCTGTCGTCGTATATAACACTGCCTATAGTGCCGACAGGGTCGCGCACGAGCTGTATGAGCGGCGAGAGGAAACCGGCATGGCTCCTGCTCTTCCGCAGCACGCGCTGCTCCTCCTTCGCCCCATTGTCTGCGCCCGCAAAGAGCTTGTTCGCGCCGGGGAAGACGGGATCGTAGAGGAAGGACATGAGCTGAGTGTTGGTGCCATGCGCTTCGGCGGGCGCTGGCGCAGTGGGGCCGTGTGTGGCCTGGGGAAACGGGCGGGGAGGCCAGTATAAGAATAGCAGGCGGGTAAGCTGTGCAAGATCTGGGGTAGGGGGGCACAACACGGGGTGGTCAGGCGTGGAATGGCGGAGAGGGTGTGGTCGAGTTGATGTAGCGGTAAGACAGGCCAGCACGAGGCGTCACCGTCACCGTCACCGTCACCGTCACGGGTCAGGTGCGGAATTATCGAGTGCGGGAAGCGGGCGTACCGTACCGGCACCCGGCCCACGGAACGGCAGAACTGTGAGAATCACGACCCAGAGACTGAGTGGTCCCGATCAGGCGTGTGGCCCAGGACGCAGTGCAGTCTGCCTGGAGCATCGCGCGGGCTGACCGGGCCATCTGACACGTTGGCGTCATGCTTGCAGCCTCGACATGGCGAGCCACAGTCGACAAAGGACGACGCGACACTCGCCCACTGCAGACAAAGCTGGCCCATCGCAGCAGGCCATGTCACCGCGCGCCTCCAAAGAAGCCGCGCTGCTCCTGCATCTTGCGCCTATAAGCTTCCATCCAGGGCACCCCACGCAGCCGCAGGGCCCAATCCGCAAGGCACCGCATTCGCGCCCGCGCTGATTCGACAGCCGCTCCAGCTGCCGGGTCTGCGTGGGCGAGGGCTGGCTGCTGCATGTGAGATCGAGCGATGCAGCCAACCGCGCTGCTGGGTGCTCTTCCCTGCACGTCGTCGTGGCACGCGCTTCCCGCGAGAGAGGAGGGCTGCGTGAGAGCGGGGGCGAAGAGGGTGTTGTTGGATGAGACCTGACTTCAGCTCTGTCGCTACCAAGCTTGCATTTCCTTCGAATCACATTTGCCAATGCTGATAGCTATCTTCGTCTATGTGTGGGTACAGGAAGTCGTCGCTCGGCCGAACGTCGCTTGAAAGTGACCTGAGGTGGTACTTTCGTCCCACATTCACATGCCACCGTTCCGACGCCGTACCCTGTATTGCATGAACGATAGCACACGTGTTGTAAATATCTCCTATTTGTTACTCTCGAATGGTATAGTCTGGCAGCTTAATTCTACGACAGCCAGCTACCCAGGCGGCGGGTATCGCGCTAGTCCTCTAGTGAATGTCCTTGGTGCTCCGCGTCTTTCCCAACCATGTGGCCCCCTGGGCGATACTTCTGTGTCTCCATCAAGTCTTCTGCATAGAACACCGTAGAACTCCCAATCTTCCGAAGGCATATCCAACTCAACCCTCTATTATTTCCAGATTCATCCACTATCACATGCCAAACCCGTCCCCTGTGATTCACGACTCGAACAATGGAGCTAGGGTGCTGTTGAGAGATAACACCAACAAACAACCCACAAAACCAGGAACCCGCTTTCACATGTCACTGATACCACCATAGGGCTGTCACCATATGCAGCCGGATAACATGGAACGCTGTTGACGGAAGATCGCCAGGGGATGCCCAACGTTTCGTGGTAGTCTAATTGGACATCGTGATGTTTGGGAGCTGAGGCATTGACTGATTGGAGCTCTGCAGTTGAGTCATCGCGGCAGTTATGTACCTAGGTACCTTGGTAGAGACACATTGGTATCCGATGCCTGGGATGCTCGGGCTATCCGGATACGTATGTTGCATCTCAACAACGCGTAACTCATGCCTCTGGAAGAGCATGTGGAATGCCGATTCGCAGGGCGCTCTTCCGACTGCTTCGAGGGCATCTTGCGAGACTGCGATTTCAGCAATCTTGGACCTGACTTCGCCGTGAGTGGATCCGGCTATCCGAATGCCATGCAGCGTCTCAACAGCTCGAGTCATGTGTCGTCTTGTTGGACTCCTTGCGACGCCGATTCGTAGAGCTGCCCTTCGACTGGTTCGTGATGGTCTAGCGAGACCCAACAAACTCCCGTAACGTAACTAGGCTGTTGAAACTCGAGGTACCGCCTTCAAGCAATGACGAACTGATCCCACTCATCCCTCCCGAGAGCCTCGCCCTCCATGATGCCATGCACGTAGCAGTCCCCTACAACTTCAAACCCCTCCCTTCCGCGTCCGGGTCGGATCACAAAGGGGGTTCTTGCACCAACAAACACAACGATACGGTCGCCGTTTCTGAGATCCTCGGGACCAATGCCGATGTGACCGCTCACAGTGCGGAAAAGACATCGTCCGCTCATTGTCACGCTGACGAGGGCTGCATACCGTTGGGCATACTCGTTGGTCCGAGGTGCATCAGCACCTGGAGAGTGGCTCGGGAGCGTAGGCGATGTCAATGCAGGCGATATAACGCCTGAAGACGCGGCCGTGCGACAGAGCTGCACAAATCCAATCTCCAGCATCTGCTTCAACCTTGCCTGCGATGATCTTTCTTCCGTCTCCCTCGGTGTTGGTAGCCATGGGAAGCGCTCTGAGTGCGCTTGGTCTGCAATCAGCGTAGTTGCTAATTTCGTTCTGGCATCTTCATCGTCGTCGACGACGTACCTCGCTACGGCCCGGTACTGTGGTATCATGCTACAAATGTCATCGAAGCTGGGCATTTTGCTGATTGAGTCGCTGCAGTCCGCGATGGTGTCGAAAATGAAACCTTCAATTACGAGGCGATTGGTGCCGGAGCTGAAGATAATCGGTGTAGGAGGCGTCAGCGAGTCCTGCGGGCCTCCTATCCCAGCTGAGTATTTGCGGATGTTGAGGAAAGGCTTGTAGCGAGGAGAGCTGCGCCAATCCGGAACCCACGACGCAGAGTCTAGAGGACGGAACGTGCCAGCGAGGTGCAGTATGTCGAGAGTTTGCGTTCGCTCGAGTGCGTTGCGTGCGAACTTCGTGTAGAACGCCTCAGGCGACTGAGTGTAGTAGTCCTGCCCGAAGTCGACATAGGACTCTGCGTTCTCGGCGAAGCTGAGGAGCGCGAGGATACGGTCCTGTGCTCTGGCTGTGTCCGCTGCGTGGAATAGGTTCATCGAATCGAGCAGACCAAATCCTTGCGTAAGTTCGGGGCAGCTCTTCATCAAGTCCATCAATCGCAGTCCTTGTAAAACACCTAGTACGGTTCCTCGAAACAGGGTTATTCGCGAGTCGACGTCGTAAATAAATTTGATAGCTTCAGCGAAGTCGTCCCAGTCGCAGTGGTATGGACCACACGAGAGGATAGCTGCCCGAGATGTCGTGACTTCTTGTATCACCCACCGTCGCCGGAACCAGGAACGCGTCAGGAAGTGCTGGAGTGTTGGTAAGCTGGGTTGCATAGCCTCCGCCATTGTCTGATGAACATCTCTTCCCATCTTCATAGTGGTGAAGGGGTAGAATTGCTGACGCCATTGACCCAATTCTTGAAGCCATTGAAGAGTCTGCCCACCGCCTTGCCCTTCATCTCCAAGCCAAACTTGAACTCGGGTAGCCTCTTGATAGATACGTTTCATTTGCTTGACTTGATGCATCTTCTCTCTGCTGTCGGCTTGATTGATGCATCTTTTCATTTGATTAGTGTCGCCCAGTAGCGAGAAATGGAGTATTTGCTTACATGGCGTCAACCCAGAACACGATCTCCTTCGTCGTCGAGCGATAGGCTCTCAAAGCAGCATATAGGCTATCGGTGATTCTCAAGTGCCACAGATCTCGCCTTTCGGACGGGCTTCTCGAGCCTCGACGGAAAGAAGGAGTGTCGTCACACCACATGACATTCGGTAAATCCGGTTTGCCCCACGCATAGGACAATGCTTCGTAAGACAGTGGGATACGGTTGTTGTCGACGAGATCAGCTTGGTAGAAGCTGCAATGCAGATCATCGTTTTGATTCTTCGCCGGATGCAATTCAATGAGCCTGATCGTGTGTACGCCTTGTAGTTGGGAGTAGGGATATAGAGGCACATCTTGTAGATGGTCAGATCGAGAGATGGTGCTACTCGAGTCCCGAGGCTGAATGGCCTTGAGGACATCTCTGGTAGTGCTGCCGTTGCTGTGGCTTGGACCGTCATAGCTGCTTGGAGCATAACGCTGGCGAGGATTTACATCTTCCGAGTAGCGTCGTGACCGGGGATGGGCCATGTTATACCAGCCTTCGTAGTTGTAGGTTTCTTGCCCGAATCCTTGATTAGAGGGGCCGTAATTCCTCGGTGGGTACTGCAGCGGAGTGTAGAGTGGAACCTGAGGCGCAGTCGGTAGCAGAGGAGGAAGACGGCCGCGATATGTCTCGTCGTCCGATGCATCCTCGCTCGACTCTGTCAGGCTAACATCAGAGTGGTAATATTTCGCTTCCTCACGTGTGCGCTTCTCTCTGTTTCTTCTTTGGATTCGGTCACGAACTCGTCCACCTACGTATAACACTGTAGCTACTATGGGCAGGACGGCTGTGACAGACATATTTGAAAAGGGCGTACGAAATAGAAGCAAGAAACACAGAAGGGCGATATTCAATATAATGCAGTAAGCGGGTTGGGTGACCGGTCAAACGAGTGTAGCTAAGAGAAGAGGTGCAGGACACGGCAAGGCCGGGGATCGACGATCAGTAAGGCTTGGAGGGTGAGATCTAGGGGACCATAACTGTGTGCTGAAGAGGATGGGAGATCATTTGGTCTCGTGCTTCAGGCTGTCTTATGTCGCGACCAAGGCTTTCCTACATGATGACGAAAACGGTAGGCAGCCATACGAGGCAAAAGTCTGCACGCCACAGTATTCGTATGCAGGCCGTTGATCGACAATACTTACCTTGATATCTAGTCTTTTGGGTTTCATAAGGATGGATAAGGCCTCTATTACCGAGTTCTAGATATAGCACCTGTTTTGCAAACTTTAGGGATTTTTGGCGAAGAACGAGAGATAAAGAGCAATTCCAAGCCGTCTTGTACTCTGCTCAATATTAGGCAAAGGTCGTCACGGAACGAAATTCGATCTTTCCGCTATCGACAATCTCTAGCGGTGTCCATTCGGTCTTCACCGGAAGTGCGCCACTTGCTGCACTACGCCACGGACGATCCGGTGAGGCTGGGCGTGGGTCGGGGCACCCATCAGATTGCCAAGAACTGGCTCGCCAGGCTTCGACACGTTCGAGGTGGGCTAGAAATGGGATGGGTTGGTGTTGAAGACTAGCATTCCGAGGTTGGTGGTGCGGGACGGGAGTTTGCCACCCTGACGATCCTTAGCAACCAGAAGTCCGCCCACAACTTCCAAGATTCACATCTACGGATTGTTAAGACCCGTAGAAAGTGCTATTTAAAGTGGTGTAGCAAGGTAATAAATTATTCGAACGATGGCTATGCATTGCGCTCAAATCCTTAAATTTGCATCGAAGCACTTTAAATGCTCCTAGACAAAGGGTACGCATTGCGGCACAATAATTCTCCACTAGTCACCCTGAGCAGAAGCACTCTTAAGCTAAAAGCTTCTTCTATGTGCTAGATTTTCTAATCCCATGAATTCTCCCGGTAGAAATGACGCTATTAACGTCCGACCTTCTTCTGCAGGTAGCGGAGGTATCGCTCGAAGACCTAGGCTTTGCTGTCCTTGTAGATGGTGTGGAGACGTTCGTAAACCTGTCGTGGATTCAAGGTGTCGCGGGGGCTAAATTGTTCAGCGATGAGGCCACAAAGCTGCGACGTAAACAATAGGAAGGCGGCCATTTTCGACTGTATCGAGTTGCAAGATCTCTTAACTAGATGGTGATAGCCCAGCCACTCTGTCAGCTCTTGAAAGCAAAAAGAACAACAACGCTCGGCTCCAATACCCCTCCAAACCCCCAAAAAAGAGCAAAAGATCACCCTCCTCGAGGGAGGGTGCAGAAACCCCGGGCGGTTTACTCCGATGCGCGACGATCAGGACTTACGTTTCCGCGCGACTTGTCAGTCGAATCTATAGGAAACAGCCATAATGGCGATATTCCTGACAAGGGCTGGATTCGAACTCCTAGCCCCTGCAGGGGTGTTGTTAGTACGCTGAACCAACTGCGCCCGACCGGCCTGCTGCTCGAATTAGTAATTGGAATCTACAGAAAATGAATGGAATATGTACCTTGATGGAGAGTTCGCATCGCTGTCAGACTTGTTTATCCAGCACCCGCGTCCATCAGTTTCCACCGATTCACCGATCTGAGCTTCTTTCACCGCAGCCTGGCATTTCTTGCCCCGTAATATCCATCTCACCTCACTCACCATCCCTATTCCATGCCGCCGAACCGTCACAAGCACATGCCCGTGTTCGAGCTCTCCCGCCGGCAGCTGAACCGGAGCGTTCTCCGCAATCCCCTCATTCTGCAAGCCTTTAGATCTGTTGTCGAGATGGCATCTCACACAGCAACAAATCACACTCGAGAATAACAAGACCCAGAGAGGCGAAAGATGTTGAAGACAACTCACCAACTCACTACGCGGCAACTGCCTCCATTCAATGCATGTCTTTTTCTGCGAAAATGAAACTCACTGGCATCGCAATCGCGATGACATCATTTCATAGAATATCCAAGACGGGACAAGAGAAATGAAACAGCCCGACGAGAACTCACCGCGCGCACTCACGTAGCTATCATATGCCACCATGTCCAAGTATTAGTCTGTTCAAGATATCAAATTTCCTACCTGGGTGTTCCCGCCTACAACTCTCAGCAATATACCGTCTCACTAATCTGTCATCCACTCCAATCCATGGGTCAACAGCACCAGACGCAGCATATAGAAAAAGAGCCAACCAGCCATTAAAAGCATTTCTCAGACCCATCTCATATACAGATGCAAAAGCCCCAGCGATGTTCATACTCGCAACACTGTAAACGGAAAAGAAACAAACATAAAGGGAGACTCCCAATTGTAATCAAGAACACCAACAAGGAAAATGTAACCTGATAAGTAGAGGAAAATTGTAGATACCCAGCGCCGCCATGAGCAGCATAACATAGAATCCAATGCACCGAGATGAAGTATCCCTTGAAGTGCTGTTCTTCCACTGCCAGTCATCCCCGGGTATCCTCACGAACCTTCTAGCTTCTGACCTGACTCTGCTCTCTCTCCGCCGTGCCCATCAATAAACTTGTTTTCGTCCAAAATGCCGATAGGTCCACGCCACTCTTCTCGCCACGCATTGCCAACTCTACCCTTGCAAGTATAGGCCAACCTACTCCAACCAAACCCCTTCGCGCTCATTCCCCAATTAACAACACTTCCCGCCCATGCCGCCGATCCCACCCCCGCTCTGATCCCCAATGGGCACGCCGCTACTCGGCGTCTGGTCCGTCCGCGCAGTATCGATAAGCCGCTTCTTGATATCCGCAGCGAGGGAGTAGAACGCCTTGTCGACGTTGATGTTGCTCTTCGCCGACACCTCGAGGAACGGGATGCCCAGCTCGTCGGCGAGCTGCTGGCCGCGCTCCGTCGACACGGCGCGCTTCTCTTCCCAGTCGCACTTGTTGCCGATCAGGATCTTGTTCACGCCCTCGGTGGCGTGCTGCTCGACGTTGCTGAACCAGGTGCGGATGTCTGTAAATCAAGTATCATGTCAACGAACCCATTCCAACCTATATTCGCAGTCGATATTGCTGCAGCCTGCCAGCCCCGCTACCACACCGAATTATTGGAAAGGCCACGTACTGTTAAAACTCCTCTCGTCCGTCACATCGTAGACTAGCAGTATCCCCATGGCGCCGCGGTAGTACGCTGTTGTGATAGTGCGGAAGCGCTCCTGGCCCGCCGTGTCCCATATCTGCAGCTTGACGCGTTTGCCGTCGAGCTCAATGGTGCGGATCTTGAAGTCGATGCCGATGGTCGTGATGAAGGAGGGCGTGAACGAGTCTTCGCTGAAGCGCAGCAAGCAACAGGACTTGCCGACGCCCGAGTCGCCGATTAGGAGGAGCTTGATCTGGGAAGGTGGGTCGTGTTAGCTTGCTCATAAGTTGGATCGAGGTTGGGGAGAGAGCGGCGAGCTCGGTGATGATCGAACGAGCATCCAGGACAGGCGCACTTACGAGAAAGTCATAGTTTCGTGTGCCGGCCATGGTGGGAGTGTGGAGGCAGGGTTCCTGGAGTCGATGGTGGTGGAGGAGGTTGCGGAGGAGGGAGGGATATCGGGGTATCTATGCACTAGCCAAGTGCTAGTTCGGCGAGGACGGCGGTCGTATCGAGCAGCCACAGGAGTCGCAGTGGTTCAGCGATGTATCTAGGCGAGCGTGGAGTTGTATTCGGTGGCGTCTCTGGTGGTGAAGGCGAGGTTGAGGGGTCGGATTCCTTTCACGAGGCAGCGTCGAACAGCGGTGCTCTTACCGGGGCCAAGGTCGACGTGAGATTTGACTTCGCCAAGCGAGCGGCGTTTCGCATCCCTGCTTCACCACCCGCCGTTGGTGAACGTGATGGAAGAGGCGTCGCTTACCACATGTGCAGCATTCACTCGGACCAGCTTCCCATGTAGTCAATTGGCAAATATGCAGATATCGCGTGGAAAGTGTGCAGATAGGTCTGCTGCGTCATGAATATATGACGCCACATATATGTGCGCAAACAACCCCGATCTGTCTCAGATGAGATTGAAAAGAAATGCCAGTGATATTCCGCTTTTCCATCCGTCGATGCTAGCTGAATGGGTCAAGTGTTGTACAATCCCCCTGTGAAATAGTAGTATGCCGCTAGATTTGAATATAGTTCAGGCAAACCATTTCGCGTACGCCCAACGCATCCGCTCCACAACTTTTTGCTGCCTCGTCAGCCCCGCCCGTATGTCCACCAGCTCGTCAACCTCCTCCAGGAAGTCATGGAAGATGCGTCTTGGAAGCACGCCACTCGCTGTTTGGCGTAGTAAATGCACCTCGCAGAGAAGTAGGCCGTGGTCTTTGTAGGGAAGCTCTCCGAACTCGGTCGGTACTGCTCCTACTAGGATACGATCGATATTCCTATGGAATCTTTTAGTACAGCCACGCACAATCGGACTTCAGCTACTCATTACCGCAATATGACCAGCAATTGGCCCTGCTTCGTCCCTTTCTTAAGGCCCCTTCGGCTGCTAAAGACGCCTCCTAGCCATCTCCAGACGCCAATGGTCACAAGTACACCAGGGGTAAGACCGATGAATCTAATAACGTTAGAGCTCGATCGTAAAAGTTTCGGTGCCAACATACCCAAAGAGCAGCTCTTGGCTCTTTAATATCGAGTCAATGCCGCTCATGGCAACCTCAACGTCGACCTTCGTCTTTTGTATCTGGATCAAGAGCGCTTGTATGAGATTGCCACGGAGTGCACCCCAGACTGGCGACTGCATATCCTTCTCGTAAACCTTAAGAACAGTCGTAAGATCGCCTTCTCGGACCTTTGCGCGGAGATCTGTCAATTGCGTGTCGTTCAGTCCATCTACCTTCGCGAAGTCGACCACCATGCGCTCTAAGCTAGCATGATCGGCCTCGAGGCTTCTTTTGCTCATTATGGAGACTTCGCTGTCCTCGTCGTGTCGAATAGTACCAAGAATCTTCTTTGTGGGCTCGACCACCCAGTTTGACCAAAAGTCAATGACTGTAGTGCCGAAATCCCGTATCCACTCCAGGAGTTCAGCTTTGCGATTGACGGCGATGCGGAATATGGTTGTGGATGACACAAGAAGCAGTGATGCTGGTAGCCAATACCGAATGAGCCTAGACGGCCGGCCATTTTGCGCCACTACCTGGTTGAAGGTTGAGGTGTATTGAGGTAGCCCTTGTCCAAGTAGGGTTTGAAGTCGCTCGACAACATCGGCTGGTTTGAGAGACGTGGCAGTCCGCTCTCCAGAGCGTTCGTGGAGGGCAAAATAGTGATCATCCTGGGTCATGGTGGCAACTGAATCGTTGAACTTGTCGACGACTAGCTCGTTGTCGCTAACATTTGTGAGTACGGCGTCTATGAGCGCAATGCTTTTCGCGGTTGTAGTCTTCCATCTGTGGCGAGTATCGGAGCCATCTTCTCCATCTGGACTCCTTAGACCGTCTTCGCGAATGCTGCAAGATATTAGGGCTAGGTAAAGTGCGAAGGGATCAGACATGCATACCTCTCATTACTCAACCCCTCGCCCAGCAGTACACCTAGCGCATTCGCATTAATCTGTCTTATCCGCTTCAACTTCGCCTGCTTCCGCCTCGCCTCATCGTAAACCTGAGCTAGCGGCGAAACCACGCGTCGCTGAATATCCGCAATGGACCTCTCATGCACGACTTCCCTAACCAGCCCATAAAACCTCCCCCACCCATCTGCAAACCCCCCTCCTCTCGCCCGAACATCACGCCAGATACCCTGCGTCCACCCCCACAACCGCAACGGAGACGTCTGGATAGAGTAAAGCCCCGCATACGCATATGTCCCCAGTATATCATCCCAATACCAAATATCATCGCTCAGCGGTATGGTCTGCTCCAGAATCGCACTCAGCACCTGCCCATACACCTGCGCCGTAGCTTTACTGAGGAGCAGCCACTCCAGCTCATGTTCGTAGGTCGGGTCCGCATGAGGCACCAACTCCGCCTCGTCGCCCTGCGCAAAATACTGCGCACATGTCGTGCAACTTTCCGATATTTGCGCCTGGTCGAGGATGGAGCGGATGCGGTAGGTGGGCACGAGGGCACTCGAAGTTGTCGAGAGGCTCTTCACCAGCGCCTGCAATTGCAGAATACGCGCTGCTTTGGTGGGGTCTTGGGCTTCTGCGGTGGTGAAGGGTGATGGGGCGGCGTGGGCGTGTTCCGCGGTTGAGGGGACGGTGGAGAGCTGTAGTCGGTCGAGTTGGCTGTCTATGCGACGCACTTGACTGGTGGGAGATGGGATGTTAGCATTGAATTGCGGATTGGATCTGGGGGCACTCACTCCACCACGAACGACATGCTGTTGACACAGCGAGGGCCTCCCCGGATACAAGCAGCTGGGGTTTGAATCCAAACAGTCGGCGGATCTTGGAGAATCCTGGAGAAAGTCGCGTGGAGCCGGATGACGTCGGCTGAGCGTCAGCCACATGAGCGCCACATCGTAGCCCTTTTCTCCCAACTGCCTGTATTTCTAAGGTTTACGACTAAATGTGAGAATAGAGTGAGGAGGAGAGTATAGTGTATTAGCTTGCAATGTGTCTATGTGCTTGGTTGTCTCTGTGTATGAGCAAGGTGTAGTAAGACGAGGCCCTGCTATTGTGTTTATATCAAAATCCTCTATGATAAAAACATGCTTCTACACAGGTAGTACTACATAATCATAATTAGCGTCGCAGTTATTCCTTTGCCTCTTCTTTTCCCTTTTCTACCATTAACAATTGGGCCTCTCCGGAATGTTAAACCCTTCAAGCAACCACTCCATCCTAACATACAGCTCCTTCCTGTGTTCGGTGACCTGGCGCGGATTGATTAGACCACATCTTACCAGAATTAAGCTTAAGGGCACAGCACTTTCAGTTGTTATATTCGATGATTACCCCTGGCTGGCTCCGTGGCTTGATCCACGCGCTACCTACTAGATCCGGGAAGCCGTTAGCGCCCAGCCCCCATATCAAACGCTCCCGAAGTCTGTTATTGCTCACACAACAACCTGCATCTATGTGGCACAGTATTGCATGGCGCTGCCGTTTCATCCTCGGTCCTGGGGGCGGACTTTGGCGCTGGCGATTAACACCGCCTCGCCAGCAGTGGAATATCCAAACCCCTCAGAAAGCACACCAACATTGCAGTGCAGAGTCCACCAGCTGCAGTCACCTTCTCGTTCGCAATCCCCCCCACGTCTCCTGAACTTCTTTCTCTCCGACCGACTCTCTACGAAGCCAGTCTTGATTCGCCGTGGCATCTTCGGACAGGTGGCTAGATTCTTCAGAGATGGAGCCTGCTCCACAAGAACTCGGAAATCTCAGAACGTCGTTAGATCACAGCCAATCTCTTCTTCCGAATTCCGCACAACAATCCTCCGAGAAATCCGGCCCGCCTACGACACTTTCAGACGTGAAAGCGCCGTGCAAAAGCTTGCAATTACGATGGGACTCGATGCCATGGAAGCTCGAAATCCTTAGCTGGATTGGCAGTCTCTGCTTCTTCATCGCTTCTATTATCGTGTTGCGGGTCCTAGATGATCGTCCACTTCCAGATGTACAGTTCAACATTACGCCCAACGCGATCATTGGATTGTTGGCCACATTTGCCGAAGTCCTTTTGATAGTACCCGTGAATTCTGCGATTGGGCAGCTCAAATGGCTCCAAGCACTTCGAAAGAGGCCAATGGACGATTTTCGTACTATTGACGAAGCCAGTCGAGGACCATGGGGGAGCGTCTTACTTCTTGCGCGTCGGAAAGGAGGGTACGTTTGTTTGTCTTATTTGCCCCTCCGCATCCACTCGCGCAAGATAATTCTATTCGCTGAGATCCGATTGTTCGAATTAGCTTTTATGGAAAGCACACTTTTGCCTGCCCTCATTAACTCTTTGCTAGGCTCATTGCATATTTTGGCGCTTTTATTACAATAATTGCGCTGGGCATTAGCACCTTTTTTCAGCAGGCCTTGAAATACGACACAATTTATCCGCATTCCGACGACGCTTTAATGCCAATAGCGCAGTATATGAATGGCTCAGGCGTTGCACCAATAGGAAATGGTGTAAGCACCTCCGGCGTCGATACTGAGTTCCTAGCCGCTCCATATGTTGCACTATTCAGCCCTGCTCATACTAATTTTACTGCCACGGCACACTGCGGTACCAGCAATTGTACTTGGGAGTCGTATCAGACGTTGGGCATTTGCAGCACCTGCGAAAACTTGACCTCTCAACTTAAGGCGACGAAGGTGCATATCGTCCCTCACAATGAAGTGGAGCTTGCCTACGACACCAACTACTACACGCTTCCGAACGGTTTCGGGGTCACCGGCTTACAGCCAGGAGAAATGCTCAATCAGGTCGCGTTCGCAGCCAGCAACGCGATGCTGAATATTACAACAACGCTTGCCTCTACTAACCGCAGCAGCCAGTCCGGAGTTTGGGACTCCGTCGCCTTCGCTCACAATGGCTCGAGGCTGTTGAGCGTGTTTGCAGTTGGCGCATCCCCAGGTACCATACCCACCCAAACAGATGCGAACTACACCTCCGATCCCATGACGGGAAGGCTCTTCACCTCACCGGTCGCTTTTGAGTGCCTGCTACAGTTTTGCGTTCGCAACATGCGTGCAGAATTTATAAACGGCACGTTATCTGAAACTGAGATTTCGAACTGGACCGATCAAAACCAGCCTCCTCCTAATGCAGGCAACAATCTGGACGTTACCCTTCAACCGCCTAGGTCTCCGACCGCTTTTGTTGCTACTGGCGAAGCTATTGAAGCAACCGGCAACTGGTTGTCGCGACTCCTGGTTGGCAACGCGACGATTAGCCCCAGCGGTAACCACTGGGACCTCGTTACCCCCGCCTACTCTTCAGACTTGATGCAATCGTTCTACATGGCCATGAACAGCTCGACAACTGGATTCCCAGACCTTATAGATAACCTGGCCAACAGCTTATCTCTCAACCTTCGAACGATACCATATCAGCCTCCGCGTGTTCCGGGCAAAGCCTTTACGTCCACCAGCCATGCCGTCGTGACATGGCAATGGCTGATCCTGCCGCTATTCGAGCTCGTTGGAAGCCTTGCGTTCTTGATCGCAGTCATGGTGGAAACTAGGAAAAGAGGCCTCGTGCCGTGGACGAACAACGTTCTGGCGTGTCTCTTTCATGGCCTTGACGAGCGATTCTTTGGCTGGCACGTTCTGGAAAGTGAAGAGGCCATGGAAGATAAGGCTCGTAAGCTGCTGATTGAGTTTAAACCTAATCAAGACGGAGGTCGCTTGGTCGTTGCCAAGTCATAATGGTATTTTTTAAGCTTGAGAGTTCGTTACGGAAGCAACATAATGAGCTCGTTTGCTACGTTTATAGGCCAAACACCTGATAGGTCCTCATATGGCGTGGTATTTGCAGGGTTGCGCTTAATAGAGGCTGTTACAGCTCGATATCAACACTCTGTGCAGGCCAGACCGCGGCAGTCGGCTTCTCCTTGAGAACCTTGTCTAAATTAAAAGGATGGAGACTGCCACATCCTTCTTATCTAAAACCAAAGACGAAGTGAGAAGGAGAGTATATCCGCCTCCAAATCGCGTCAAGCCCAGAGTAGCGTGGAAGCTTGCGATGTGTTAGCCGTACTATATGAGCAAGACGTAGTAGGTTTGTTTATTGAGTAACATTGATTCTACTGGCTCTAAGACGGACATGCTATTTAGCTTCGGGCTAGAAGGTATAGATATTGGGCGCCACTAATTGGACATACTTTGCACCCCCCTTTCTTACTTGGACGTAATCTTTCTATTGCGCGGGCATACAGTATGACTCCACATGATCCCCTAACGTTCTAACTGGCTCTGAGGGCTTGGAGGAGCGCTCCGGTGTTTGAATTCCTACGAGGCTTTCATCCAAAGTTCATCCTATCCGTTTCACGCCGCCGGACATATTATGTAGCCTTCCAATTTTACGCATCTGTATATATACAGCCGCACGTGAGGCCGCACGTGAAGCCGTACGTATAGCCTTTCTGTTTTATCGCGTAGTTAGCCTCTCCGGTTCCTTCGGCCGTACATGAGTTCCGCCTGTGTAAGTCGTACGTGAATCTGTATGTATAGCTAGTTGTACCAGAGACCCGCACAGCCGTACGTACTGCCTCACGAGTTGCTTCAACTAGTTGCCTCACGACATAGCTCGAAGGGGCCGAAGGGGCAGCTCTACAGCCCCCTCTCACGTGCCATGGCTTAGCGCGCAAATGTAGAAGAGGGGTCATAATCTTGGAAGTAATGCTTAGAGTACTATGCTTTCAGCAACCTTAACTCGGCTACCAGGCCCCGTTGACCGTAAAGTGGCCGTGTATTCTAACTCAGTCTATGTGGCTTGGTGAGCTATCAAGCTTATCAAAACTGCCATTTTCCACTTCTTGATAACGTACTAGGGGACCTCATGTGGTGTTATGCAAGTATACGCAAGCTTAGACTGGGTAGACGGTACTCTTCAGTCTAGAAATAGGCTACCCTCTAAATTTTGAGACCTAATTCTACCTATTGAGCCTGTGGCTTCGTGTTCACGTTAAGTCACCGGACGTGAGAGGGTGGTATAGCGGGGGTGTAGGTGAATAGATTCGGAAATGGAGTCGGCTCGTTAACCTAGCTGCTGGTCAAATAACAGGACGGTGGTATAAGTATTAAACCAATTAAAACGTCAGGAGGTCACGTGGTATGTCCGCGTAACGAAATGGGTATGTCCGAGTAACAGAGGGGGTATGTCTGATCAATGGCGCCCTAACTGATAGTAGTCCGGTCGTCATTAACGAACTATAATCAGCTTTGATTACTTATTGCGGATTCCCTTCTCGCGCGTTACCCGGTTTAACGCCTGAAATAATAACTTAACTTGAGCAAAACATCATCACATAGTCACCCTAACCCCCTCATCCTTCTCCGTCGACGCTTTATCCTTGACAATCAAGCCCATCGCTACCGCCCAATCATTCCTCCCCGACTCCTTAATCAACTGCTCTGCCAGATCTCTCCTCCTGAAATACCTCTTTGGCTCGCCTACAGCCTCCATCGTCCTCCCGTACATGGTCAAGCTCCGGACCCGGAGATTGTCCAACGCCAACAGCCCGCCGTTGACGAGCAACATAGACACGATAGTATAGACGCCAGCGTCCGTCGCATGCCCCGCGACGGCCACGTTCGCATAAACGAGCAGCTTGGCTACTGCGCCAAAGAACGTCTCGAGCGTTGTGGGCTCGCTTAACCACGTCCCAGACGTGAGTGCCTTGAGATCGTCGACTGGCCCGCGGACGCGCACCCAGCGATCCTGCGACAGGAGAATGAACAGGTCGCCCTGGACGCCTGGTTCCGGCGCGCCGAACCAGCAGTATGGTGTCGAGGCAAGGCAAAAAGAAGCTATAGCATAGCCATGTCGAGTTGAAACGGTGTGAAATAGGAAAGGCTGAGGACACTTAGACAGGACACTTGGACAGGACAAGAGAGACGGCGTGTTCTTTCTGCCAGCTCATGAGGCCCCCTTAGCACGCTAGTCGATCCCGTAAACTCAAGAGCGGAAAGGAGTGGATCCTAGCGGAAGTGTGAGGCAGACCAGGGGCGGGCGGCAAGTCGCTGGCGCTGACTTGATCCGGTGAAGACTTATGCTTAAGATAGCGTGCCAAAGGGGGCTAGGAGGTGGTGGGCCACGGTCGCGAAGCTGATGGTCTCGGAGGAAGATCGCTCCGAGGCTCCCGGGAAGGCCCTCTTGCCTTTCAGGGTGAAAAATACGCAAGTGCAGCCCTGACAGCTCCTTCCTGCGCCCGGGTGATTCAGCACGGATTCGACGCCACCAGGGAAATAGGAGGAGTTAGAGTGGGGAAAACCCCTTGTTAGAGCGCTTAGAGCGCGTCTTACCGGGACTAAGCTCACGGGGGCGCGTTACTCCAGCCGTTTTACTCAATAATTACCCCTCTATTACGGCTGACCCTGTGGCTTGACTTTCGCGCGAGATCACCGGACGCGGGAAGACCTTAGCGCCCCACCCCCATATCAAACGCCGCTCTGGCTCGTACACACAGCCTGCATCTGTGTGGCACAGTGGGAGAAAGTACAAGAGTTGCAGCCTAATCTCGCGCATCGATCTTCAAGTGACCTCTTCATTGCCCGCCAAAACTCGATAAAGTCATACGAAATCAGAGGATGCACCTATTGCGAATAAATGGCGATGGAAGCTTCAGCTTGACCTACTTTGTTGACCGTGACGTTCCCAGTTACGCGATCCTGTCCCACACCTGGCGGGGTAATCATGAGGCCACTTTTCAAGACGTCATCAATTCTACATCAACTGTCTTCTCAATGCGCAACATCTCAATCTTTGTCTTCATCGAATGCCTGACTCGTTCTAGCACAATTGCATAGCGATGGAGGCCTTGGCGGCTCTTGGAGTGGCTGGCAACGTGGTACAGTTCATCCAATTCACTTCTAGCCTGCTGTCATCTGGAGTTGAGGCATACCATTCAGCGAGTGGCCTTTCCGAGAAGAACGTTGAGCTAGAGAAGATCTATCAAAGACTGGGAGATCTCAGTTCAAGCTTGCAGAGCCCAGGCACCACCCAAGTCAGCCAACGTTCAGCAACACGAGGACTTCCTACTGTTGCCCAGACACCAGAGAACTTAGCTCACATCAACGCTTTGCACGAACTAGCAAAGGAGTGCAAAGCGCTATGCGACCAGCTATTACACACGCTCCAGAAGCTGAAATTACAGGGCGGGCGGTGGCGGCGCTTCAGAAGCTTCGTGGCCGCACTAGAGGACATATGGGGGAGCAAGAAAATCGCTGACCTGGAATCCCGGCTGGACCGATTCCAACGAGTTCTGGCCTTCCACTTCTTCCCAATATTCAGGTATTTCGCAGCACTAAGAGACGCGCATCAATCTATCAGACTAACAGGTGGTATTCAGTGACCAACAATCTACTCTAATGAGAACAGTGACAATGTTGAGGGAGGAGAGTTACCGTTTAAAACTTGACCAGAACTCGAAACTCGATGCAATCTCAAATACGCTCCAGCATCTGACATCGACAACGACAAAAATCAACGAAGAGCTGTCTGCGAATCAGTCTAGTATTGTGGGTCCATCGCGAGAAGAGATATTATCCTCCGGGAACTCTAGCATCTTTCGACACAGCCGGACCTCGCTGTTGACTTCGAACCAAATCGATACACTAACGGCAGGAATATCAAGTATTGCTCTCACCGAGCAAGAGCTTGGGCATGTTGCAAGAGAGCAGGCCGTTTTGAGAAGCTTGAATTTCCCTTCCCGACCAGTGCGCCACGACAATATTCCATTGGCCCATGAAAAAACGTTTCGATGGATGATTGATCTCCCTAAAGACCCCGAGCGCGATTCCGACCACCGGTTTCCCGAATGGCTCAAAGGTGGGGATGGGATCTTTTGGGTGAGCGGGAAACCAGGATCCGGCAAGTCAACACTCATGAAATTTCTCGCCGACCATGAAACGACCAGAGCCATGCTTGAGGAGTGGTCCAGCGGAGTGAAACTAGTGATTGCGACTCATTACTTCTGGAGCGCGGGCACGCCCATGCAAAAGTCTCATGAAGGTCTATTCCAGACTTTAGTCTATGAGATATTTCGCGTCTGTCCAATGCTGATCCCAGAAGTGTGTCCTGTGCGCTGGGCGCAAACACATCCAGGAAAAAACGAGGAGCATACCCACTGGACAAATTCCGAACTGCTTTCTACTTTAAACGCTCTTTCCAATCACCCGAATCTGCCCGTCCGATATTGCTTCTTCATAGACGGCATTGACGAGTTTGATGGCGATCATTCCAAACTTTGCGAAACCCTCAAGGATCTTTCTCAGTCCCCAAACATCAAGCTGTGTCTCGCTAGCCGGCCGTGGAACGTCTTCTATGATGCTTTTGGAAATGATCCAATGCGAAAGATTTACATGGAAGATCTGACACGGAACGACATTCTACGATACACGGAGAGCCGATTGACGGAGCACCAAAGATGGAACACTGGCCGTTTTGGAGCAACCGATAAGCAATCAATCATCGATGACATTACCAGCAAGGCCCAAGGCGTGTTCTTATGGGTCTTTCTGGTGACGAAGTCTCTTCGGGATGGCTTGACGAATGGTGACACAATGCAAGATCTCCGCAAACGGCTAGAGAGTCTTCCTACTGACCTCGAACGTTTTTTCAAGCACATGTTGGAGGTTGTTGATCCGATCTATTACGAAAAGATGGCCAGTTTCCTAAGCATAGCAGTCAACGCGAAGCAGCCGCTTCATTTCCTTATCTACAGTATGCACGAATACGAACACGACGATGAGGAGTTTGCGGTAACCATGCCCGTCTCAGAGCTTTCTCAAGCCGAGTTGGATGCTTTGCAAGACGAGTGCCGACGACGTGTCAATGCAAGATGTGGAGGCCTATTGAGCATCAAGGGCGCTTTCGTCGAATTCCTCCATCGAACAGTGCGGGACTTCTTGTTCACCCGCGAGATGAGTGACTACCTCGGAGCGAAGACGAAACGCGGTTTCTCGGCAAATCTCTCAACACTGAGGGCTTGGGTGGCAACACTCAAATGTAGCCCCGAAACAATCTCCCGAGACTCGATGAGCTCGAATCTGTTAGATGATTTACTACAGTACGCAAGCGACGCGCTTGAAGACTCGGAAGACGCAGCAGGCGAACTGCTCGAAACCCTTGAATACATGCAGCTGTCGCCTTTACAATCGGGCGAAGACATGCTAGGATGGAATTTTGCGAATGACTCAGACGTCACATTATGCGACGGAGCGACCAATTTCTGCGATGAATCCCCAGACTTCCAGTTTCGAGAAGCACTGCTCCGCGCCGGGGTCGACAGATACGTCATCAGGAAACTCAAGGACAGCGCACATTACTTTGACAGCTTGAACGAGCCGCCCCTCAGCGTTGTTATCAAGCAGCCTATCTTGACGACAAAACATGTCCAAACGATCCGGCATCTGCTGGAATCTGGCCAGGACCCGAATACTGGACCGAGTGCGCCTGCGTCGGTATCACCATGGACTGCTTTTATTGAGCGAACTTGCCGAGATGGTAACAAGGACCACTTTCATCAAGCTATAGACAGCGGACTATTCTCCGTATTCCTTAGTCATGGTGCGAACAGATTTGAGTCTACCGGAGACGTTTTTGACCTGAAATATATGGAGGACTCGGCACCTCCTACACCCGAGAATACGGACAAAGATACGGCTATCTCTTTATCGTCAATAGAGAGATATGTGGGCAGAATTGCGGACAGACACGGGAATGAAAAATGGACGAGATCGACAATGCCATCCGGCCATTTTATCAAAGCGTTGTTCTTCCATCCTCAAAGACATCCCAGCAAGTGCTTGATAGCGCTAGATGATTTTCTCGGCGTGTCCGATCTCCAGGGCGTGGAACTCTATCTTTTCCTCTTGGACACCTTAGAGGTCACCTACGAAATAATTAATGGAATAGACCCTAGGACAATAAGGCCAGAGAAGCTCCGGTTTCTTGCAAAAGTCACCGCAAAGACTGTTAAGACAGTGTTAATGCTGGACAACGATCTCTTAGATAGAAACCGTTGGTCTCTGGCGGAACGCATACCCAAAGCATTTCCCGGTGCCCTTGGACAACCAATACTGGATCTTATCACCACAGCAGGAGGTGGTCGAGAGTGTGAGCCTCGCAAACGGAAGGCTGATGGCGAGCTAGCGCAACGTGAGTTCAAGCGTTTGGATCAGGACTGAGGACTGCCAGTAGTGGACAAAATTGGCTACACGGAAGCCAACACTATCATTCCATCACAGCCAAAGATCCGTCTTCCAGCGCCAGAAGATCTCAAACCAAGTTCTGTTCCTACGCGATCTCTCCAACTGAGCGACGGGCGCATCTTAATACACTCGGGTTGTAACAGCTACAACCTAGGATCAACAACTCATACGGTTCACGGTCACCTACGTACAGACTTGGAGTTGCTGGCATAGTAGCTGCCTACATGCCTAGCCAGTTACAACTTCTACAGAGAGGGGTTGGGGTACGGTGGCCTACCCTGCCTAATGCTGCCTACTGCTGCCTCCAATTAGTGCTTCTGCCTATGCATACAGTCACTTCCTACGTAGTATATAGTTTGGCCTTCGGGCCCCCGAAATAAGACAGAGTTCACATCAATTTTCAACCTGAGTAATACCTCTCGAACTTCTCTTAACTCCGCGGTTGCTGCTCTAAGAAATTAGCTATACGGCGTCGAGTATTAGGGAGTCGATCTAACGAAAGTATTTTTATATATAAAACTATAGCCGCGATATAGAAATACTAAATAAGAAGGGAGGTAGCAAGCTGTACTACAAGCCGAAGCATTATATAATAGAAGCTCGGCTCCCTGTTAGCCTATTTGGGGATTTTAGAGCTAGCGCCCACTTTTGGACACACTGAATATGCCCGCCGACTATTACCTAGGGTACGCTAGGAGAATGGCTTGGTTTAGCTTCGCAGGGGATGGCTGTTATTCCTATGCACCTCGGCGGCACGTAAGTGGATAGAAAACAGTCTAGGGATGAGTAATGTAATTAAAAATGGATGTTTACTTTTTTGCCAAGGCTGCAATAGCTTTAAATAGTTTTGTAAGGGTGACGCATGCTGCATCGACAAATCGAGCAGCGCTGAGCTGAGCGAAGCCATCAATTCCATGTTCAGCTGGTATCGACGCTCGACCAAGTGCTACGTGCTTCTTACCGACGTTTCTGTACACCTGGAAAATAACGATTTAGACCACAGAGACTCCCAACTACGACGGAGCCGGTGGTTTACTCGAGGCTGGACTCTTCAAGAGCTTCTTGCTCCTCCTTTAGTTGAATTCTTTTCCCGAGAAGGAAAACCGCTTGGCTCTAAGAAATCGCTGGAAAGACCGCTTTCCGAAATCACAGCAATCCCCATCTCTGCTCTTCGAGGAATTCCTCTTTCTTACTTTAGTATTGCCGAGAGGATGTCTTGGAGGACAAAGAGAGAGACTACACGCGAGGAAGACAAGGTGTATTCTCTGTTTGGCATGTTCGACGTCCACATGCCGGCAATCTATGGCGAAGGAGAGCACCACGCGCTTCGTCGCCTCCAATCCGAAATCGAGATGCATTCGAAGAACCCCCATTTCGACAAGAATTCAGATCTTCAGCCCCAAGTCAATCAGTGGATTGTGCCTTTTGAAAGAAATATTCGTCTCACCGATCGCGAGTCTGAGCTTGCTGAACTTCACAAGGCTCTCTTTTCCAACAATCAATTCACAAAAGCCGCAATCTCTGGGCTGGGAGAAGGAGGAAAGACGCAAGCTTGTGCTGGAATTCCTCTCTCGGCTGAGGGAGAAGCACGATAATCGCTCGGCCATTTGGATACAAGCTACTAGCATGGAGAGTTTGGATCAAGGATACCATGCTGTTGCTCGGACAGTTTAGAATTCGAGATTCTGGGGGCAAAGATGTCGACATTAAAAAAATTGTGCAGGACTACTTGAGTGAGGACAGCGCAGGTCATTGGGTCCTGGTCTTTGATAACGCCGACGATATCAACATGTGGCCGAAATTGGGAACTCAGCAATCCGTTCGGTTAATCGATTACATTCCCCGGAGCAAGAACGGACGGGTCATTTTCACGACACGGGACGGGAAGGTCGGGGTGAAGCTCGCCTCTCAGAATGTGATTGAAGCGCCTAAAGTGACCGAAGATACAGCTACACAGATGCTGCGAAATTTCCTAATCCACAAGGACCTTGTCGATTCCAGACCTGCGGATACGAAGGAGATGCTTGCATGGCTTACCTATCTCCCACTGGCTATCGCTCAAGCAGCCGCATACATCAACGAGAACGGGATTACCCTAGAGGATTATCTGGTGCTCGTGAGTTGCCAAGAGCAAGAGATTATCGAGCTCCTCACCGAAGAATTCGAGGATGACGTGAGATATTCCGATATGAAGAACCCGGTGGCCACGATCTGGCTGATCTCATTCCGGCAGCTCCAGCAACGCGATCCTCTTGCAGCAGAATACATGTCTTTCATGGCTTGCATTGACCATAAAGACGTTCCTCAACTTCTCCTTCCGCCAGGATCATCGCGAAAGAAGGAGATGGATTCGATTGGGACATTGAGCGCCTACTCGTTCATCACCAGACGCTCGGAAGACTTGGCACTTGACATGCATCGACTTGTGCACCTCACAGTCCGGAGCTGGCTTCGAAATGAAGGTGTGCTTGCTGAGTGGACTCGCAAAGCTGTCGCGCGACTGGAAGAAGTGTTTCCGGACCATGAACACAGGAACAGGGCCGTGTGGAGAATGTATCTTCCTCATGCACGTCATGCCCTGGAGTCGAATCTCGTCGCAAAAGAAGATGCCAGCAGGATCGACTTGGAATGGAAGATTGCAATGTGTTATTACAGCGACGGTCGGTTCGACGAGGCAGAGACCTTTTTTCGGGAAGTGATGGAGTATCGAAAAAAGGTGCTTGGAGCGGAGCATCCAGATACCCTTAAGAGCATTGCGAAACTGGCTTTGACACACCACGCGCAAAGTCGGTTCCAAGAGTCCAAGGCACTTGGGCTGAAGGCGATGGAGGCTCAGAGAAGGGTCCTCGGCGAAGAAGATCCCGAGACACTGTCTACCATGAGTCACCTAGCCATGACGTACAGCGATCTGTCGCAATGGAAGGAAGCAGAAGAGCTCGAGCTACAAACTATGGAACTTCGGATGCGCGTTCTCGGCGGCGAACACCCGGACACTCTCGTTGGCATGAGTAACCTGGTGTATTTGTACAACTGTCAAGGGTGGTGGAAGAAGGCCGAAGAGCTTGGCAAGCAGGTAATAACCGCGCGAAAGAAGGTGTTCGGTGTCGAGCATCCCGACACTCTCCTTAGTATTGGCAACCTGGCACACACGTACAACAATCAGAGCCGGTATCAAGACGCCGAAGAGTTGCTGGTTCAGGTGATGAACGTTCGTATAAAGGTGCTAGGAAAAGATCATCCACACACGCTTAGCGGCATGAGCAACCTGGGAGTTAGCTACCACAACCAAGGCCGACTGGACGAGAGCGAAGCGCTCCAGGCGCAAGTAGTAACGGCTCGCAAGGCGCTGTTGGGGCCGGAGCACTTCTCAACTTTGACGAGTATGGCTCATCTGTCATCGACATACCATAGTCAGGGTCGATTGACTGAGGCAGAGGAGCTTGGGTTGCAGGTGATGGAGTTGCGCAAAAAAGTGCTAGGCCCGGAGCATCATCATACCTTGACCAGCATGACCAATCTGGCATCGATTTATCTTGATGATGAGCAGTTGGCCAAGGCCGAGAAGCTTGGGGTGCAAGTATTAGCGATCCGGATCAGGGCGCTAGGTATGGAGCATCACCATTCGCTTGCTAGCATGGAGCGCCTGGCAGCTACCTATAAAAAGCAAGGACGATTGAAGGAGTGTGAGGACCTTGAGATGCAAGTCGCCGAGATTCGAAAGAAGACAGTAACTATCGTAAAGCAGCCTTTCATGTTAGCTTTTGTATTTCATCAAATGTGGCAATCCCAAACCTCACGCTTGACACGTGATGATCACGGACAGTTGGTTATAGAAAGTACACCTTGGATGAACGAGGAGACTGTATGTTGAAAAATGGATTTTCGGGTCATCGTCTAAAGGAATCAGGACGGGTTAGAAAGGTAGTGGATAAATTGTCACTGAACGCAATGCGGGTGGGAATGCGGTCTACAGTTTTTTAATTCATCTAAGTTGTATCACTTATTCTCCAATCAACGTTCGTTGTGATTCTTCCTGCGGAGTAACATCAGACAGACCCTTAGACTGAACAACTCTGATTCCTGGCCTGCAACTTGACCATCAAACTACCTCCTTTTTACGCTCTCACATGACGTCGGCTGAGCGTCAGCCACATGAGCGCCACGTCATGGCTTTTTGCTCTCAACTTCCTCTCAACCGAAACTGAAGATGAAGTGAGGAGGAGAGTATAGTGTGGGAGCGTGAAGTATTAGCCGTACTTGGTTGTCATTTCAAATGAGCAAGATTTAGGTTTGCCTCTGACTAACATTAACTCGAGCTCGTCTGTTTGCTCTAGAACGAGCCCTGCTATTCATATCAAAAGCATCTAACATAACCATGCTTCTAGTACTTCATAATCATAATCATAACCCGCGTCCCAATCACTCCTTCACCTCTTCCTTCCCCTTCCCACCATCCTCAACCTGTGGCCTCTCCGGAATCTCAACCCCCTCCAGCGACCACCTCATCCCAATATACCCATCACTGAACACCGCAACATCCAGCTTCTGTGCCTCCAGCTCCTCTAGCAGCGTAATTTTCGTCGACGCCTGCTTATTGAACGCCCCACCACCCTTCCCTCTCCCGGCATCCCCGCTCTGCCACCCAACCCTCCGCAACGCCACTATCTCATCTCGGCCAGGATACGTAAGCATAACAAAGAAGCCCTCCGTCTGGGGTTTCGGGAAACGCGGAGCCCACATCTTGGTGTCCGTCGACCCTTTGCCTTTGGTAAACGCCGGGGCGTTCAAGCGCATGATCTGGAGGCTGATGCTAGCCGCGTTGACGGCGGTGAGGCGGAGCTTGAGATTGGGGAGGGCTTCTACAACCTTGAGGGCGTTCTGTAGGCGTGATGGAGCAACACCATTTTGATGAAGTACCGTTTCGATGGCGGGTCGTGGTGCGGTGGAGACCTCTACTAGAGTCTTGAGGGTGGCTTTCGGGTCTGCGAGACGCTGCTTCTCGTCTTCCGCGTCCACGCCGGGGCAGATGGAGAGAGGGCCGTCGTCCGGCCAGCGCGCGGACTTGATGCATTGCAGTAACGTAACCATCATTGCGCAGCTGGAGAGGTAGCCCAGCTCGGTCAAGACGTCGATAGAGGCTTGCACGATACGGATGCTTTGGTCCAGCACGGAGTTGAGATCGCCCACGTAATCCGAGATTGGGAGGTCAATGCGGGAGAAGTGGGCTTGGAGCAGGAGGAAGGATTTGACATGCGGGTCCCACATGGGCATGCCAAACGAGTCGGCCTTGAAGGGTAAGTTCTTGGAAAGCTCCGCGTTGATGAGGTCTTCGTTGTGGCGGACGGGCAGCTCGTCGTACTCGGTCGCGCAGGAAATCCAGGAAAGGACGTCTTCGAAAGTAGCATTGCGCTTAGCGTGCTTGCGGAGATGGCGGATCGTCTTGTGGGAGAGGTAGTAGTAACTCATGATCTTTCCGAGAGGAGTAGAGTCCACATCGCCGTTTGAATGTATCACCACACACCCCGACTCTTCAAGCTCTTTTAGAGACTTCTCGACTAGCTCAACCATGTACTCGTTCGCCATTTCCTGAGCGGCCATAGTGTTATGTTCCTCTGCAGAGATCTCGAGACCATAGTACGAGGGATTCTTGTGGAGGCGACGGAAGAAAAATGTCCAAGTCAAGTAGTCAAGCGCGTCTTGCTTAGTGGTTATTGTCTCTGCAGAGATCTCAGCACCCAAATGGTTGTCCAGAACGTTGTGCAAGGAGGATTCGACGGGGAACCCAGTATGTAGGAAGTGCTTGTAAAACGCCTTCTTCGAATCCTGGGTGAAGATGCGAGCAATCCCTGAGGTGTCAAACTGAGGACGACCAGCACGACCCAGCATCTGGAGTACATCGGTCAAGTCCATGTCCTTGTAGCCTTCCAATTTAGCATCGAAGAACTGAGTTCCTTTGACGACGACAAGGTGAGCTGGCAGATTAACTCCCCAGGCAAGGGTGCTCGTCGCCACCAAAATTTGGATCTTGTTATTCGCAAATAGCTCCTCAGAGAGTTGCCGATCAGACTCAACAAGACCCGCATGATGCAGTCCTATTCCGAAGCTGAGAGACTCTCGGAGAGCATCATCTTTGACACGTTGCAGATTCACGATCAGGTCCTCCTCTGACATACGTAGAAATCGTCTGGGGTTGTCCTCCATTCCGCAAAAGTTGATCAGGTCTTTGGCCGTAAGTCTCGTTTGACGTCGAGAAGCCACGAAAACGATAACAGGCTTGTCTGGAGAATGTGACTTGATGGCCAGGAAAGTGGGCCGATTCATAGACTGCATCAGAGGGCAGAACCCTCGCTGCTCAGGGAACCCATCAATGAAGATTTCCAGAGGTACTGGTCGAACGGAATGCCTGAAGTTGAACAACCCCTGCTTGACTCCCAACCAATTTCCTAGGTCAGTAGCGTTTGCGCAAGCAGTAGACATCCCCAAAAGCCGAACCGAACCTTTCTTTTGCGACGCGATGTAGTTCATTCTCGACACGATGATCTCGAGGATGGGGCCACGATCTCCGCCGAGCAAATGGATCTCATCGATGATCACAAGGCTGACTTTCTGCACGTAGCCACGGGTCTGCCAGCTACGACTGATACCATCCCACTTCTCTGGTGTCGTGATAATGACATCTGCGTCTTGAATCGTGCGGGTATCAGGTGTATTGTCTCCGGTCAGCTCGACAAGCTTCAGGCCCATAGGTCCCGCGAGCCGCTTGCCCCAATCTTTAACCCTCTCGCGAACCAGCGCCTTCATTGGGGCAATGTAGACGACCTTGGATCCAGGCTTTTCTCGGAACGCCCACCACATTGCAAGTTCAGCAGCTACTGTCTTACCACTTCCAGTTGGTGAACCAAGTAGAACATTGGCTGGTGTATGATATAGACAGTGGAAGATCTGAGTCTGCATGGGGTTGAAGTACTGGAAGCGTTGCCCATATACCTCTTCTAAAATAGGGTTCTTGAGCGCTGAGATCGATAAAGGTTGAAGGTTCAGAAGATCTGTGTAAACGCTCTCCGTATCCGGTCTAATCAAGTGCTGAAACGAGATTGGATGGACTGTCTCGGCGCCCAGCCACCGATCCGACACAGCACGAACGTAGATCTGCGAAGGTAAAGGATCTGAAAGAGGGATGGTAAAGCTCAGTTCATGATCATCGTACAGCTTCCTCCTGGACAGAATAAAGAATTCATGGTGGTAGATCTCCGACGTTTCCGAGTTCTCCACCCAGATCCAGTACGACTCGGATGTACCGTGGTGGAGGTCATTCCAGCGAAATTCCGGAGTGATAAACAAGCGGATACGTAGTACATCGCGATTGAGGGGAGCGATTTCCGATTCAATGGTAAGTGTCGGGAAGTTATTTAGTAGCTTTGAGATAATGCCTCCCATCTTGTTGTTGTGGACCAAAGAGCCAATCTCCGTAGAGTCCATCTCCCGTAAAGCTTCGACGGAAGATACAGAGCTCTTCTCATCCAGGTAGCGTAGAACTGGAACAGGCAAGTTGAACTGATGGAAAGGATGCTGGTATACCCAGATCTGGCGCTCGATTGACTGGCAAAGATTTAGAAGCACTAAGCATTGGTGACCCCATCGCCTATTCAATGCTACCATAAACAGAGCTCTGCATATGCGAGTAGCGTTCTGAGTGATGTAGTTCGTATCTGAGACAAGCGTGTAATCTTCGATTCGAGCGCGCGAAATGTGCGACTGCAGAAGAATGTTCGTTTTCCCGTGAGGAGTGCCTGGCCCTCCTTCGACTTTGCACGGCACATACTCTTCTTCCACCAATCTTGAGAGCTCCTTCTCTTCAGTATCGCGAGACTGGATGTTATCGAACTCTCCACTCATACTGATCATCTTAAGTACGTCTGCTTCAGTCGCTTGCGGTCTCATCATGGTATTGAAAATCTCAATGCTGGTCTGCAAAACGTAGAATTGACTGGCAATTCGGCCAACGTCCTTCGCGCGGAGTTCTTCCGTGACTTCGTTGAAGATGATCATCTGACTCGTTTGTAAGACCCTGGCAGCGTCTATGACTAGCTTCCTCCGTCGTTGGACAAGCGCTGGGTCGTCACGGATCTCCGCCCAGTCGATACCGTATCCAAGTGGATTGCGCTTCATGCGGACGAACAGGTATGAATAGCCAAGCCATTGGACTGCTTCGGGGATTGAAGTGACAGTGCCCAACGATATCTCCGCATTGAGATTGTCCACCATCTTCCTGGAGAATTTGGATTCAATTGGTTGCTGCTCAGTCACGGCCTTCAGGTAATGATCCAGCTTGTCCTGTGTCGTACAGATGAAACCAATACCGGTATCCTGGAATTGAGGCCGACCAGCTCGACCGAAGATTTGCAAAACGTCGAGAATACCAAGGTCCACAAACTTTCCTTCTTGAGCACTGTAAAGCTGGGTGCCCTTGATAATGACTGCCGCTGCCGGCAAATTCACACCCCAGGCGAGAGTCGCGGTACAGCAGAGGACCTTCAAGACGCCCTCGGCAAACAGGCGCTCAATCAAATTTCTGTCAGTTCTAGGCATACCCGCGTGGTGGGTTCCCATTCCCTTAGGTATGAGCTCTCGAAGTTCTCTTCCCTTGGATGTCCTCATAGCTGTGACAGCTTGATCGTATCCCGGATGGAACGAAGGGTCAAAAAGATCGGCGCATTGTCTCTCCATGGCCTTTTCATACAGCTTTCTCGCAGTGTTGAATGTATCTTTCCTCGAATGCACGAAGACCATCACCTGGTGACCTAGTCGCAACATATCGGTGACTTTTTCGAAGGCCGTTTCGTCGATGTTTTCTCGGGATTTTGCAGTTCCAGCTTTTCCCTTGGCCCCAATGAAATGTTGTTCCAGCGGCACAGGGCGGAAAGAGGCGTCGAAATAGAAGAGACCCGCCATCTTGTTGACTTTCAAGAAGTCCGCAACATCAACATAATTGGGAAGGGTGGCAGACAGCCCAACAATTCGGATGAGAGACTGTGTGCTCTCGACCTGTCGTTCTGTGCGGGCCACCAGTGATTCCAACACAGCACCTCTTTCATCATGGAGCATGTGAACTTCATCAATGATGAGGAGGCGGACCTTCTGGACGAGCTCCGTATCGCCGGTACTCTTTCTTGTTACTACATCCCATTTCTCGGGAGTGGTAACAATGATCTGAGTCTGGACAATCTCCGCCTTTGTCAAGTGCATATCTCCTGTAAGCTCGCGAACCTTGATACCGAGCCAGGCAAGTCGCTTTCCGAGCTTATCCACAATCTCGGCAGCCAAAGCTTTCATGGGGGCCACATAAATGATCTTAAAATCTTCGGTTTGAACGGTAAAGTCCGTGGCGTCCGGATGCTCAATGGGATTCGGGATGATGTTTTTCGCGATAGTGTTGAGAATCGTAAGCATCGCCGCATCAGTTTTACCGGCACCGGTGGGAGCGCATATCAACATGTTCTCACTCGTGTTGTATGCGACGGGATAGACCAGACTCTGCATCCTATTGAGGGCCTTGTAGCCTTTGAAGGTCCGCTTGCAGAGCCCGTCCATTTCATTGACTTCGATGAGCTTTCGTCCTACGCCCAGGGTTCCAACTGCGGCAGCTGGTATCGTGTACTCCTCGTATCTCTCTTTCTGTTCATGCTTGTGGCCTTGTGGTAATGCATACTTCTTTCCGAGAGTCGATAGTTTATTGCCCGTCTCATGAGCTCTATATACATGAGGATACTGCGGTCCTTCACGGTCAACCCGGGCGCGCAAACCAGCAGTCTTGTGTTCAAAATCCTGGCGGCGAAGAGCCTCTTCTCTCTCCTCCTTGGTTTGCAAACGCCCGATCACCCCATTGCTTCCAGTATCTGTGCTTGTGGATGTGGTGACTTCGCTCCGATGTGCTATGAGGTCCGCCACCAGGTCAAGCTCGGAATACCCTAGCATATCAGTGAGCATCATTTGAAGCTCGTCATCCCGACTATCCGACACCAGTATAGCCAGAAGCTGCTCTTGTAATGCCTTCGCCTCTAGCCCGGAGCTCTTGCCAGCAACATCTTCGCATTTTTGTTCTAACCAGGCTTTGCTATAGCCTGCGTCCTTCGCCGGTATCTCGTCAACATCGTCCAGATGGTCGCTGCTGTAGGAATCATCCCGCTCGTCGCTTATGAGGTCCCAGATATCGTCGCCGCTGGGGGTTCCGGAAAGCTCGTCATCGTCAATATTGATGTCGTGTCCGTATGCTTGATTCTGCTCATCAGTAGTAGGTAGCTTGAGTTCTGCGATGGCCTCTCGCATGGCCGCAAACTGAGCGAGCCATTGCGACTGCGCAGTCTCTAGAGACGGAGACATTTGGGTAGAAAAGCGAGGGAGCCAGATGTCGAGAAAGATACGGAGGAATTGAAGGGAAACATATATACTCTATGGGTACAGCGTGAGTGTTACTCCGTGACTCACGTTGGAGTGAATTTGTGTAAGTGGCGGGGGCGATCTGGCTTGCCAAGCCAGACGTGTGTGATTGGCTCCCTTGCATTCTCAACGACACTTCCAAGGTTGCATCTTAAATGGTAGGACTGAACATCTAACATTCTAGGTGTGACTGACGATATTTAAAACTCGTCACCAAGGCGACCACATGAAGCGCCGTGCCAATGACAGCACAGATATGGTGCAGCTGGTGCGAATGACCCCAGACATCGAAAGTCCCCGGGCTGAGCCTCTCAGGTAATCTCCCCACAAACAAAGACACACCAAGACACAGAATCAAGCCTTCCGACAAATACCACTGCGCACCAATTTGTCTGCATGCCTGGTCCCAGCCTAGCTTCCCAATGCCATGGAAAATTGGAAGCACCGCAGTGAGTGCAAGTGAAACGAACACACCTCCACGCAGGGCCCTCATCCTACCTCCACCACCACCGGTATCGAAGAGTACAACGGCAGCACCGAAGGCTGCGCAAGCGTTGAGCATCCAGTAGATCCGTTGAGCCGTGGGGCTGCAGAAGAATGTATAGTAAGTCGCGGATGCTCCGCCTCCAAGCGCGAGCAGACAGATGCCGAAGATAGCTAGCCTGCCCCAGAAATGGTGGACGTTGTATGAGTGGCTTCTCAAGGTGTGGAAAGTAGTGCTGAGCCCAAAGCAAGTAGCCCCCGCAGTGATTGAGATTCCAAAAGCAAACTTGTCACCAGCGCTGAGACTGAGAGACTTTGAAGTAGCATAATTGTACAAAGTGATACCGGTCGTTACGAAAGCTGCGCTGCCGACGAGGTGGGTCCAGATATTCATCATCTCCATGTGTAGGCAGCGCCAAAGCCGGAATGATCGTTTGTACGAGTAGGTAGGCATTGGATGTCCTCCGACAATGTAGTCATTGTCCTTAAGCCATCCGGGAATTTCATCTTTTGTTGCGAATGTAGGCCAGTAAGAAGTCTCGTCTGGCTTGCGGAAGATGGGCGAGGAACTTCCTACGGAAGAGTCAGAAGACGTCGAGGCTGGCGATAGTATTGCGTCCTTGACCATTTTTGCGTTTTCGGGGGTTTGCGACTCCAAAGCCGGAGTCGTCGCGCGGGGGACCATAAGGCTTTGAAGGATTTCGTTTCTTGCAAGCGCTGTGGAAGCAAGCAGGAGAACTCGTGGGGCCAAAACCTAGATATGTTTCATCAAGCTTGGCGGGGTCACGTTTCCGGTGCGCCTATTTCGTGAGTGATAATTGGCCCTCATCAGGCTTGATGCGTCTTGGACCACGTTCCAGGAGGGGTGGGCGTCTGTACAGAGAGTGACCATTGGCCCCATTACCACTTGATCATAATCCCAACCATTCGAAATATAGAACATCGAAACACAACAACTTCCACTGACTGCAAGGATGCGGCACGGTCCATAGTGCGAAAACCGCCGGCGCTAGCATTATATTTATTGGCGGTGATTGGCCGAGCATTGCATGATATTCGTTGCAGTTACCGACGAGATTTGTACGTACAGTTCCCAATTTGATATCAGCAATGCGTGGGCCAGCGATTGAAGAGCCTCCTGCATTGGAGATAAGTGCGCTATTGTCGCTTCTGGGTCTTGAGTATTCTAATCTTAAACTTATTGTCCACAAATTTGACCTGGTCTGGCTTCCGAACACCTTGATAGTCCTTCGACTTTGCTACCATGAAGGACGTCTTGGCCAATAACAACTCAACTGCCTTCGGATGGGTGTCCGGGCCTAACAATAGAGGCACAATGGACATAATATAACGTACTCCACAAGCGAGCGGCCCACCCAAGCGAGTGGCCCACCTCACAAGCAAATCGCAACATTAAATGCAAATTGCTCCACAACGCCAATAGATATTAACTTAATACGACCTGCAGTCTAATCTACAACAATTTCCTTATCTTTTTGACACGTACGAGAGTTATGTCCTGTCTCGCCGCAGCGCCTGCAGCGCGCCTGCTGCCGTGCACTTCCACCCGGGCGCCTCCTATTTTGACGCACTTCCCCCTCAATTTGTTCATTAGCTTCCTTTTGAGCGATTATATTAGAGCCCTGTGCCTTTGTTAGGACTTCTTGCCTCTGAATTCGCTTTCTTTTGCGCTCTCTACGCTTTGTGGCGGCCTCATTCGCCTTTTGAAGGCTTGTGACCTGATCGCGCAATAACACAGCCCTATGCATCTGCATCTCAGCGCCTCTAACAAGCGAATCAAGCGACTCAAGAATCGCAGTAGGAGAGCTATGTTGATGCATTTGAATGCGATTACGAATCAAAGCTGACTGAGAGCCTAGCTCAAGAGCATTGCTTGGTGTTTTTGATTCCCATTGAGCCTCCACGGCGGGAGGCGACGGCGTACGAAGCACAACATCAAGCTTTGAGAGCACTGCCTCTGGATCAAGCGGCACAAGGCCGGCGCCTCGAAAGCTTGCGCAAATATTGCTCTTTGTAAACGAGTTGTCAAATGCTGCTTTAAAAGCTGGTAGGAACTCAAGCTTCGTGATATGGTTGATGTGGTTGCGCGCTAGATCCTCAATTTGGCGACTGTACGCTTTTTTCAACGGCGCAAAACAGCCTACATCAAGCGGCTGCAATAGATGCGAGGCGTGCGGCGGCATACATAGCGTGATAATATTGTTCTCCTTGCAAAGCTCTTTAAATTCGAGCGAGTTGTGGCTCTTATGACCGTCCAAAATGAGCAAGCGATATGCGCCTACGGTGCGGTCCTTTGTATGCGTATTGAAATGTTGCAGCCATGCAACACCAAGCTTATTTGTCGTCCAGCCGTTGTCGCTTACTGCTATAGCCCAGTCTGGCGGTATATCGCTGCCCTCGTACCATGCAGAGAGGTGGTATTTGCCCGCAAGGATGATGAACGGCGGGATTGCCCACCCACAAGCGTTGATGGCCTTGATTACGGTGGCCCACTCGCGATCGCCTGGTTGTATAGCTTTTGGTCGATTCCGTCTCTCGGAGCCTGTAACAACTACTCCTGTTGAGATAACACCCATCTGGAAGCCGGTTTCATCGAAGTTGTAGGAGTCGTCATCCGTAATACCGTACTTCGCCTTTGTATTGCGCATAAGCTCAAACCACGGCGCAATAATCCTTGGATCTTCGCATAGGGCTCTCTGGTGATCGTACTTTCGATTAAACCGTGTTTGAAGCTCATCAGTCCGCTTGACAAAGTTGTATGGCCAGTTCTTGCCAACCTGGCCGGCACCGCGCTTATTTAGCAGCTTATTGGCCATATCTTGTACAGCACTCAGCCGCGGTGCAAACCCTCTCGAATCCAGGTCAATTATATGTTGAATAACAACTGATTCCTCCAGCTTTGTAAGCTTCTTTGAATTGGGCTCGCAATCGCGTCGGGCGGTTGTTCCGGCGCGTCGTCGTCGTAGGGTTGTTCGGGGGACGTTGTATGTTGCAACAGCGCGTCGCACGCTCTTAAACTGCTTTTTATCGATTGCTGAGATAGCTATGCATATCTGGCCTTCTTTTTGAATTGATTGCGTATTGCGTTGTTGAGGCATGGTGGTTGAAAGTTAACGGAGCGCGTTCCGGTGATGAGGTGGGCCACTCGCTTGGGTGGGCCGCTCGCTTGTGGAGTACGTTAGTCCTCTTTTCTGACCATCTTTCGTCTGCCTTAACATCCCTATCCCCACGACACGGAGCTTCAAATATTTTTCCGAAAGGCAAAATGGATGTTCTGGGCCATTGTTGGCCCCGAGATCGTCTTCGCGGTAGCGATCGGCCAATTCGCGTCAGCTAGGAGATCCGTCAAGAGGTTCAAAAGCCTCGGCCACAAGTGGACTGTTCGCCATGGTTTCTTCGCTGATATGGGCGGCATATTACTTCAGCCGAAAGAGAGCACCCCGTTCCTCGTCAACAGTCGACAATTGGCGTACCTTGTGGAGAAAGAATACATAAAGTTTCCGAGTATTACAGAGGAAGAAATATGGGATAAATCGAAAGCAGACACGCTTGCCAAAACGATAACCTTGATACAAGCGAGCTGGCTCGTTATTCAGCTACTCGGCCGGGCTGCGCTTCGCATTCCTACCACTACACTTGAGCTATCTGCTGGCGCTATTGTGTTTTGCACATTTGGAACCTTTATTTGCTGGCTTCGCAAACCGACGGATGTGCAAAAAGGGATCGTACTCAGCACTGAAGCGACCACAGCCCAGATCTTGATCGAAGCTGGAGAAGGAGCTGCAACACCATACCGGCACACACCTTTAGATTTTGTCGCAAAGGAGTCTTTTACCTGCAGCCATGATGTAATGGGCTTTTTCAATCTCCGCTGTGATAATCGCGAACGGCCTTTGCGAAAGTTTCCTAACGACCGTTTCCCGGATATTGGCACCTACGAGAAGTTCGCTTTATTTTGCATGACTTCCGCATATGCAGCGACACATTTGATTCCATGGAATTTCACCTTCCCAACGCGCACTGAGCTGCTGTTGTGGCGCGTTTCTGCCTCGATTTTCACCGGAGTGACTGTGTTCTTCTGGGTTTTTGAAACCATCGCTGCCCGTCAGCGGTTTGGAAGATGGGATAAGTATCTTATTTGGTTAAGACTCAAGAAACCTGCGCCAAGTTTGACGGCTGATGAAGAGATGGGACCGAAACGCCAGGATACTGTTAAACGTCTCGATGCTTTCGAAGAAGAGCAGCGGAATGCGAAACCTATCTTAATTTGGGAGATTGGGTTACTGCTTCCTATTGTATTCTTATATATAGTGGCAAGAGCATATATGATTGCTGAAGTGTTCGTTAGCTTGAGGGAAGTGCCGAGAGGTGTATACCAGACTTTTGAGGTAGCACAGCTAATTCCGCATTGGTGAAGGGTAGTGTTAGAATTTAGGAGAGTAAGCCTAATTAAATGATTGATTGTGCTTTAGAAGGAACATAAGCCATGATATATAGATAAAGGGAGGAGGCTGAAAGGAGGCTGATAAGGGATATTCGCACTATGTGCTCAATCATATCCCAACTCCACCTCCCACAAACCACTCAAGCACTCGGATCAACAGTATTGAATTTCGCATCATAATGAATCGGCACCTCCGTCTCCGTCCCAAACTCATCAACCAGCAACGCACAATTCCGATTAATCAAATGCCATTCATTGATATCATGCGTCGTCGGCTCGCTCGCCACAATCGTGTGTCTCCCGTGCTCCTCCGCTTTTTTAGTCGCCTCCTGGTTGACCGAATCATCGTCTGGCCTACCAGGATACTTATGGTTCAGCGTACTGCCAGCAAACTCGCTCCAATACAAACTCGGCGGCTGCTCGCTCTCGTGGTTGCGGAAGCGGATCGCAACGATCTTCTTCCCGTCGGTAGCGCAGAGGTTTAAGCTATTTGGCGCGGCTTTGGCACCGAGTTTCTTATGCTGGAGCTCGAGCACCTCGATGACGGTTTTGATGAGTGCGGCGCGCATTTGCTCGAGCGTATACTCCTTCTCCCACGTGTCCTTGGTGCCGTGGTGCGTGAGATTGGTGATGTAGAGAGCGGCGACGTGCTCGCTGTCGGTCGTGCCTAGAACATTGCAGTAGGCGTCGAAAGACAGTAGGTCCGTAAGATCGCGGCGGATGTCCGAGAAGTTGGAGACGACGCCATTGTGCATGAAAGTATGGCGGCCGAAAACGAAGGGGTGGGAGTTCACCTGCGTTACAACGCTACCGCTGGTGGCACGGATGTGGGCGAAGACGCACTTAGACTCAGTGTTGCTACAAAGGCTGCGGAAGTTGAAGTCGTTGAATGGAGGGGACTGGGATTTGTATAGTGCGGGTCGGGGACCGGAGAGAGGGCTTGAGTAATCCGCGGCTGTATCGGTATACCAGGCAACACCAAGACCATCCATGTTGAGGAGACTGTTCCTCATTCGGAGGAGCTTGTCGGGTGCATCATCAAGCTCTTTCTCTTCTCCATGAGGGAGGAGCTGGGGAAGATAGTGCTCAGAGCATTGCTTTGAGATAGAGTTGGCGGGAGTGATAAGGACGTCGCTGAGAAGACAAGGCTCCTCGGGGGATATGTAGGCAAACCAACGACACATCGTGAGAAACGGTGTCGGAGTTTATGCTTAGTTTTGACTTCCGTAAGGGTTCTCCGCTATGTTGGAGGTAGAGGAGAGGGTTAAGTCCAACTTATCTCTCAAGCTATGAATTAATAGTGTTCTCTGAAGATCGATTTACCAAAGAGGAGTCTCTATGTATGTATTCTGTCTGCTAACTAGGAGCTGGTGAGGGGCTGATGGGCTGGTGCAGGAGGCGCGTCAGACGAGAATGGGGTTGCATAACCTAGTCAAAGTCTAGCTACCAATAGATCTGCCTAGATACCCGCAAGATCGACTAAGGTATTCAGATCCGAAGCATCGGCATCCCCGCAGACGCTGTCGCGGCCGTGCAGTTTCATCGAAGAGCGCAATATGGAGTTTGATTGACGCTACGTGTCGCACAAAGCACAGGTCGTCTTGCTGCAAGAACACGTCTTCGAGCGGGGTTTCGATGCGCGTGTACGTTAGCTTGTGAGTACTCGAAGTCAGTGGATAAGCTGCCTGAAACCCCTCTTCACGTCCAATGGCTTGCGCCAGGAGTCGATGGAATACGTCGGCGGAGAGAGTGACGGAGATGAAAAGAGATGCCTGGGAGAAAGGGTTGTCATAAGTCTTCACTGGTTTCGGATCGGTCCGTGCTTGCCGACCTTGGCAGCTCCACCCATCTGCGGATGTTCTCGTGATCGCCGGTTGTATAAACCGCTCTGGTTCTCTGGGTCAAAAGTAGCAATAGTAGGAGGTTTGATTTACATGCCTTTCTTTGGGCTCGTGTAGACGTTCTTTCACGATCAATTCGCACATCACCGTAGTCAAACGGCTTAGTCTTATTCATTTAAAGTATTCATTCTGCTAGCACATACTACCAATCTCTATCGACCCGACCTATATAATCTCCACCTGGAGCAATGAGATACCAGTCACACACGGGTCCATGTGCATATACACGCAAGGATCCCAGTGATTGCTCTATTAGCGCTCGTCTCGCTAGCACGGGAATACAGCGTTTTAGTCTCTGCTGACCGGTATCGTAAGAACACGGCTGAACCGTACAGGGAGAGTTCAGCTCAGGGACCATGCTCGAACAATTTCGGGAGCCGTATATATATCCACTCGTTCCAAGCTTGGTCTTGTGCATGCTTCCGAACGTGTCACTTCCAACTTCGAACATCCAGTCTCCCAGTTTCGACGATCAAACTTTAATTTCTCCCCTTGATATTATCCAATACGATGCCGTACCACGGGCCTAGTGGCGGTTGCATAACGTGCCTCTCGCGTAAGATAAAAGTAAAAGTCACAGTGCTAGTATCAAGATAACTCTTTCTAACGAGTCTCGTGAACGAAATAGTGCGACGAAACCAGACCAACGTGCAACAAATGCGCTAAGTCTAAGAGATCCTGCGGTGGATACCGCGCAATGGTCGATCTGATATTCCGCGATAACACCGAGTCCACCAAAGCGCGTGCCGGGAGACGAGAACTGATGATGATCGAAGACAGTCCACTTATCACGCCTGCCGGAAATTGGCCCAACCTATCAGCATTGGAAGCGTCTTTGCAGCCCCAGTCCATCGATGATCAGGCTTTGGCGTGTTTCTTTACCGACTGGGCCTGGGCGCCGAAGGCGTATACTTTCTCTCTGGATTTCTTGCCGAGGGAATATAGTAGAGTCAATCCGGAGAGGCGGAACTGTTGCATGGCAGCAGCCACTCGAGCGGTATCGCTCGCCCATCTAGCGCATAAATCGAGAGACCCGAGGATTCGGCAATTGGCAGACGCGGAATATGTCTCTGCGCTGTCGTCGACAAATCAGGCATTGAGTATCTCTGTAGAAGCTACACAGGATGAAACCATGATGGCGGTTCACTTGTTGATTCTGTTCGAGGTACGTGCTTGCAATTGCCCTCATGGATTGCCAGTGAGTTAAGAACGAGGTAGAACATCATAACCAGTGCGGGAGGACGCAACCCATCTCTGCTGCCTTGGATCACCCATCTAGGTGGAGCAACACAGTTAGTGTTGAAGCGCGGCCCAGGCCAGCTCAACCGAGACGTCGGCGCCGCCATGTTCCAAATTCAGATGTTCAAAATGATCGTATATGGAATGATCAACGGTCAAGCCATTCCGACGCTATTCGAGGGAGCGTGGAAAGAGACCGGAGACCATGGCGACGCAGCGGTCCGGATCATGAAGCTCGTGTCATCTTGTCCAGCTCTGCTTGAGCGTGCTAAAAACCTTCTGGAATCAGACTTACTCCAAGGCGAAGATTACTCAGGCACTGCAAGCTGGTACATGAAAGAGAACTTCCGTCAACTCGCGGGATTGATTGCAGACATAGCTGATACCGACTCAGATCTGAACCGGTGGGCAAAGGTGTCGATTGATCCAAGGTCCTGGATTGCAAACAATTGGTCTTTCTTTCTTGCGGCGCGTGTAGTAGTCAATCGACTACTCGAAATCTGCCTTACGCACTTCTCAGTATGGTCATCAAACCTCTTCAGCGATCCGGACGACGATTTTAACCCGTTCAGTCCACCTTTCTCGGATTCAATACCGGACCTGGCCTCCTTCTTCGATGGTTTGCTTCTCAGAGGCGCCCAGGAGACGCAAAAGCTGTTAGTAGAACAGATTTGCGGGTTGATCCCGCAAGCCCTTCAGTTCTCATCTCGATACCCGAGTATTCCCATATCATCGTCTGGCTCTCCACTGGTGAGCTATCTCATGCTTTGGCCATTACACGTGGCTCTTCATGGGACACCAGTTATCTCAGCAGAGCAGCGAGAGTGGTTGAAGTTGGTTCTGCAACTTATTGCTGTTCAAGATGGGTTGCAGATGGCGGATATTTTGGTGCAGGAGCCTTACGGGCTGTTGGATAGATTGGCGTCTTTGGAGTGCTATAGTTGATGATCGTGTGTAGCTATTTGTGCTCATAGAAAATCAGAGTGGTTCCGATTGTAAGCATCGCATTTGCTCTTGCCATCTCTGCTTACACACCCGACACTGGCATCAGTGAATTTGCGATGGTCCGTTGGATACTAAAATCGAGTTACTTTGCTCTCAGCCGTTATCTACGGGTAGAGACGACGCCCTCGAGTCTCGACCGCTGAAGGACGACCCATAGGCGGAGAGTAGTCGGAGGCCTCATTACCAGCGGCGCAAAAGGACCCCGGCCATCTATCGGGGACTCCGGGAGGAAAATCAGCTCTTTTCATCCAGAGTTATGAGTCCAGGCCGCCTCGGAGACAAATGAGTTAAGGGGAGGAAGAAGTTGAGGTCCAGCTGTGAGCTTAAGGTCCGGAGAAGCTAAACTACATACAGTTAGATCTTGCGAAGTGCATTAGCGTCAATATCTCAGCCCTGCGATATCAGAACCCCTAACCATGTCAGCAACCACAAGATTTGTATTTGTGCGGTATTCTTGTTTTAGAGGGTTTTCGATGGAGAACAATATTGAGCCCATGCTTTTAACTCAATTCGCTGTCTGCAAGCTAAGTACTCATCTCCTCATTTCACTCCCTACAATCAGTCCCACTCAAGAGTCCTTTCGTTAGCATTATTCCATTCATGATTCCTAGTCTACCATCATCACATCCCCATCTACCTACGTCTCCCAGTATAGATCCCCCCGATCTCCCTCACCTTCTCTGGCAACAGCCTCAGCTCCTCCATAACGGCATCATAAGTATCCTGGTTAAACATCGGTCCGCCTCGAGTCAGAACGCCTTGGTGCGCCAAATCGTACAGCGGGCCACGGCCATCATAACTCCTAGAACCGTTTGGGTGTTGACTGTACAAACTTCCCGAGATAAGGGGCAGATCCACGAGGAACTCGGGGAAGCAGGTGCGGCCACCGTAGGGGCGGAGGAGGGCCCGGATTTCGGGGGGAAAGTGGCGGTCCAGTGAGCCCTGGCGGTCGTGAGTGTCGGGGAAGAAGGGGCTGGGTCTTCCGAGTGGGTTGTGGGGGGAAGACATTGTGGTGGCATTGGGGAGAGACAGTTGTGTGTGGGTTTGAAGGCTTTCTAAGAGTTACTCAAGGCTAGGAGCTGGGGTAGTAGTTTGAGTATGCGCTTCGAAGATGAGGAAGAGTATGTGAAAGAAGTTCTAGATCGAGAAGAAGTGCCGTTTATCTACCACCGAGAGTGGGAGTGACAACATATCGTGTCGCGTCATGTCAACCACAGGTCATGCTAGTCGAGCGAGGTGGCATACGGCTGGCGCTATTATGGACAGTGAAGGAAGAAGTGACAGTGAACAAGGAAGTGACAGTGGAGGAAGAAGCGGCAATGATGTCAGAAGTAGGATTTCGGCCGCACCGAAGTGCCAGATCGGCATAGTGAAATCGATTTGGAAAAGTAGCTCGTTTTGTCAACGGTCGAACGTTAGGTGGTAAGCCTGGTGCGTCAGGCCTTGATCATACGCAAGGTCGAGAACGCAAAGATGTGAGTTGAGGGTACATTTATACTATCTACCTATGAAAACCTAAGCAGACACCCAAACTCCGAATACACTCAAAGTCTCAAATAGCCTGCACAGAATAACCGTTTCTGATCAAGCTGAATGCTAGTTGCCACGGGCACGACGACTATTGTGCAAGAACTCCGGCAAAGCCTCCAACTCGCTCACAATTTCCCTATATGTGGTCGGCTCAAAGAAAGGGTCGCGTGGATCCAACCTCCCCAAACGAAGAAGATCCTCCAAGGTAACATGGTGGCGATACCGATGCCCAGTAATAGGAAAATTCACATGCCTATCCACCTCCGCGAAGTATATACAACCGCCAAAAGGCTCGAGAAGCCTCCTTATCTCAGGTGGCAGGTCGGAAAGCTGAACGGGGGGCATCCAGCCCTCGCGCGTTGCAGGGTTGCTGCTGACGGAGTACGTATTCTTAGCCAGCTAGCCTACGGAGTATGGTACGGTTAGCTCGGCTACCTTGATATAGAACACGGTTCCTATACTTAGCCCACACAGTTCTACGGTACGGCTACGTAAGCCTCCACGAAATCAACGACGAAGAAAGAAGAGACAGTGAAGGGAGAAAGACATATGAGCATTGTTTCTATTGGTCGAATTTGACATCCTGACAATCAAAAGAGGACACAAAATCTACAAAATGATGAGGACAAGGCCCAAATCAGTGGTCACTAGCCCTACCAATATTGTCTCTACCACAGTTTTGAGCAGCTCCTTGTGCTGGCTGAGCACTATCTTCTCGCTCATCAACTTCCTCTCGCGGAGCACCATCTCTGCTTTGTTCTCTCCGAAAATCTACCGCTCATTCTCGCTCTCCCGCAGTGATTCCTAGTCTTCGAGTACCACCTCCTCGATCCCTCCTCACGCTCCGAGCACCACCTCTTCCACTCTCTCTCCCACTTCCATTCCCACTCCCCGTCCCGAACTCCCAACGCAAGGCCCTCAACTCCCCCACCACCTGCTGAAACAGTATACGATCATAGTTTCTCGAGTTCTGATCAAGATACCCCTAGTTGATATAATGCCGAAGACTCAGTTGATCAGGAGGCGCCGCCAGGACTCTAAATTGCGGTTTCGTCTCACCCCCGGGAAGTCCGTGCGGCCGCCGTAGGGGGCCGAGGAGAATGTCAACTTGGCGGGGAATGTTGGTGATGCCGGAGGTGTAGCTTAGGCTGCCGAAGTCGCGCTCTTGGCCCGTAGAAGAGGAAGAGGGAGGATTTTCGGAAGCGGCGTGGGAGGGGTAGGGGTAGGAGTCGTTGGGGATGGTGCTTGCTGGGATGTTGTTGGGGATGGTTTGTTCTGAGTATTAGTGGGTTAAATGGTAGGCGAGTGGATTTGTGATTTGGAGGGTTGTAAAGGAAGGTATGAAGACTGATTCAGAAGCGGGAAAACTGCTATATATGGTACCGAGGATAGCAATCCTAATAGTGACAGCGCAGATATTAAACGGTATCAGCAACGCCAGGTCCGTGAAGTGGTAAACTAATGCTGCTGACTTCAATAGTGAAGAAAAGGCCGGTAGGGAAGAAGAACTTGACCATGAAGAATCAAGCATGTATAAGAGGTTATCTTCTTTCTCAAACTGACAATTTCACAACTCTAATTTCAATTAAAATAAGGCATGAAAGGCCCGCAATCCTACTCCAAGTAGTTTTCAGGACCTGCTCTTTACCCCTATTTGCGCCACGCTCAGTAGAAACTCCTCAGTACCTCGAAAGAGCCCTGTCCTCAGCGTAGTTACTCGGAGGGCATTGCTATACCCGGCAACATCCTGCTGGCCGACTAACTTCACTATATCCACGAGAAACTTCACCTCTTGTACTACGACGTCCCTCATCTCCAATAGCAGCGACTCCGAAGCTATTCCTACCACTGTGACCACCGACCCGGCACAGCGCCTGTGGCAACGCCCTTAGTTCCGTTAAAACGCGTCGTAGTAGTCTAGTATCGCGATACACACAATTAGGCTCGAGTAAGCCCATGTCAATATAATTCTGGAGCCATGGCTCATTGCCATCCGCCGCCAGGATTGAAAACTGATCCCGGCTCAGCTCTGGGAAATGCATGCGGCCGCCAGAGCGGGCTAGGAGGCGCTGGATCCCCGGAGGTATCTGGTAGGGGACTTGACCATCGTTGGAAGAGGAAGATGAATAGCCATGCTCTACTTCGTGAGTGAGGGAGGTCTCGTCGAGGTCGGGCCGGCTGCGGTAATCGCGGGACATTAGGGAGTTTAAGCCCCACAGATTTCGGATGTAGAAAAGAGTTCGTGAGGGCACTGAGTGATTGTGCGGATGAATACTGAATGTATAGTTCTCATTCCTGGGAAGTAGAGGTACGAAGACTATATAAGAAATCGGAGAGACTGTTACACATGCCAACGAGGGCACCAATACCGACTTCACACTCAACGATGTCAGTGGTCAGTGACAACAAGCCCTTAAAATGGCAAGTTACTACGGCTGCCACTAAAAGTGAAAGTGAAGGATGAAGTATGACATATTTGTTGTTCATTTAGCCAACTAGCAGCCAGTAGGCCTAGCTCCGACACTAGTAAGTGAATCATAACTCTCCATTTGGCCCACGAAACGCATGATTACGATGTTGTCGCAGCACTAGGGGCAACCAGAGCAACTCATCTATAAATTTGCCGGTATACCGTAGCGTCGAATGCTGGATTGCGGCAGTCGAGCATGCCAGGTGATTGTACTCTTCCAGAGTGCCCGCCACCAGGATTCGGAATCGAGGATCCGACCTCAGCTGCGGAGAGTGTGTTTGTCCACTAACGCGCTCCAGGCGTTGCTGGATTTCGTTGGGGAGGGTGCAGCCTAAATCGAGGGGGTATCCGTCGTCTTCATAGTCGTCCGTGGCGTACCATAAAGAGCTGAAATCGTAGCGATTGCGGGGATCCTCGTTCTCAGTGGGGTCGTAGTCCCCAATTGGCAAGCCCGCGGTTTCTGCAGTACATACTAGCTAAGATCTTGCTGAAGAGATAGATGTTTATAGTGATCGCCGTTTGTGCGGTACTGAAGCTGTGATCGAAGCTATAATGTAGTTGTAGTATGAAAAGTGAATTGGAAAACGAGGAAGCCTGCACTTTTAATACCGAGCACGGCAGTGACAGCGTGTCCAAGGTCGTCAATGTTACGTATGTCAGTAACATGTTATATTATTGCTATGAAAAGGATTACGCTATTGCCACAATCACGATGAAGTAGAAAGTTCGAGTCGCGGTAGAGATAATGAGCTGGATAAACCTTCGAAGATGAAGCTACAACTCATACGATACGTAGTATACCACTCCAAGTAGCGCAATATTTTCAAATCGTGAAGAAAAAGCGCGTGCTACGATTACTGGCAGTCCTAGAGCGATATCTCGAAATACAGATGAACTCGGATTCATCTAATCATGAATTGTAGTAATGTGAATCTAGCTAAATCAATGAGAAAGGAAATTGATTGGTTCAATAATCAGCGTTAAGAAGATAGAAGAAAGTGAATTAAAATTTGAAATCAATTAGATATTGGAGATAAACACTGTTAGCACCAGGCCATCTGCATCCCAAATCGCCGTCCAGTGACTACCTGCGTCACATCAACAACACTCCACTTTACTATGGTGAAAGGAGCATCACACGTGACGGCTGCTTCGATCTGTCGTCGAGCGGCGCGTGCTGCTTACTCTGCTTGCTCTGCTTGCTGCCACAGATGGAGCCGCACCAGGGGCTCTGTGTCCTGCCACAGACGGACGCGAACCACCTACTTGACCTTTTGACACATAGGTGGCCCAGTCTGATACTCTGCTATTGGCTTGGCTTGGGGCTGCGGATCGATGCTGTCTAACACCAGCTGCATACGTCTGCGAGTCGCTGGGAGCTACAGAGCCTGCAACAGAGCGAGCGGCACCACCGACTACGGATGGGACCCCGCCGGCTCGGATGGGGCACCACTCGCTCTGGAGGCAGCGGCGCTGCGAGTCTGACTTCCTCAAGCGTTGCTCCCAGAGGAGCTATGAGGCCGTGCGGTTGATGCGGCGGAACGAGAAGCGCCACTGTTTCTGGATGCAGTCGTGGCGCGATCGTTGCCACCTTCATGTCCACTAGCACTGCTTCTAGTTCCATGGGGTCGCGCGCTGCTTGCAACAGAAGCACCGCCGGCCCTAGACTCATCCCTTTCATCCTCGTGGTGGCTTCCAGAGGCGATCGATCTAGGAGCTCGTGAATCATGAGCGCGTCCGCCGTTGAATCGAGCGCTGTGAAGAGCACGCCGGGGGCCGCTTGGGACAACGTAAACCGGTGCTGGAACAAAGACTGTTCGCACGGGTCTATGGATAGGGTATAGTCTTCGGTACGCCAAGAAGGCAGCCGCTTCGTCCATTTCGTCTAGAAATTGGGCTAACCTTGCTCTGGCTTCGTCGCGGTAGGTGCCCCTCGTGAGGAAGCCGTCGATGTCCATGCAGTAGTCATCGTCGGAGTCGTAGCTTGAGCTACTATCAGAGTCATACTCATACAGAGGGCCATCGTAGGGGTACACCTTTGATTCGGGTTTCCAGGAAGGCTAAGTGTTGTTGTGATACTGAAGCTGTTGGTATAAAGCTGGTGGATGTTATTGTAAGAAGTGGTCGATATAAAATTGTCTTGCACGTGGAAAGTAAAAGGGAGTCCTGGATTTGAAACTGGGTATAAGTAGCCCCACAGAGAGGCTCACGGTGGTCCTGGACAGCAAGCGGTGCCGGTGGCCCTCTCGCTGTCATTGATGTGCTGTTCGTAACAACAGACATAACGCTGTAACTACTGAAAGTGACAGGAAACGAACATTTTCTTCTTGGATCGCTACATCGAGTGAAGGGGTGACTTGAGCATCACCGCAATATCGAGTACCGAAGATGAGTAAGCCGTGCTGCTGGCCAATATCCTCCTTCACTTATGAGGCTCACTATTCTAGCTCTCAAGACGGTGAGAATTGGACGCATTTATGCAACATCAATGCATTGGAATAAGCGTAAACTTAAGGCATTGCGATATGGCTTCGATGTAAACTAGTCAATGCCTTCACTTGTAATTCATTTTCAAGCATACCTAGGTAGCCAATGTCTGGATTAAGGAGGCTCAGCCAATAGGAAGGCTTCGGAGATTAACCATGGCAATAAAGCGAAGATGGGAAAACGACTCCCAATGCAAGACGGAGAGCTACGAAGGCAATACCAATGCAGATGGTTCGGTGGAATCGGACGTGAGGTGACATTATAAAAGCGTCGTGGTGTTGGCCAGAAGTGAGGTCTCGCGGCATGGAAGGCCGAAGAACTAGCGCTAAGCTATCGGGCCGTGCACAATTCAAAACCATCTGGGCAAAAACCTCAGTGTCCACCACCGCACCCGCCTCACCACCACCCGCGTCTCTCCATCAGCTTTCCTTCTCGTTCATTAGGGAGCCCTTGAGTCTGCCACCCCTCGCCGCCACTGCGTCTTCTATTCACACGCCTTCTCTCGTCCCGCCCGCTGAGCCCTCTTACTTGACACCCCCGATTGAGAGCCGGAGGCCGCCTCTATCACCTCGCGCCGTCCCGTCCAAGGGCCCTCTGTACGAAACCCCATCCTCTCCAGCTGGCCATCTGCTAACCACATGCGTACTTGCTACAGCTTCTCTTCCTAGCTTCCACTACCTCCTCGGCACCTCTCCTGCCGCTGCTCCCTCGCGGCATCCAATCCCTCCATAACGCTACCTAATATCCCCCCTTCATCGCTCGCGTCATCATGGCAACGGCTGAACCCACTATGCCCGTCAACGGCAACTATGCGCATCACCAGGCGCATGCTTACGGCTCCATTGACAACAACTATGGTGCTGCCGGCGCCAATAGCACCCTCCCGGCCAACGTGAGCTACAATGCTACTCCGGCCAACACTACTTCTCCCGCCAACAACAACGCCGCCGAGATACCGAAGGATGAGGTTGGCTGGTACTTCGTTGAGCAATACTACACCACCCTGAGCCGTTCGCCCGATAAGCTCTTCGTACGTCTCCAAGCTGGTCTGCTTCTCATGCGCCTTGTTTGCTAACCCCATCAACAGCTCTTTTACAACAAACGCTCGCAGTTTGTGTCCGGTATCGAGGAGGAAAAGGTGTCTGTGAACGTCGGCCAGAAAGTAGGAGCTCACAGTCCGCCCGTCTGGGAATGAGAGCTGACAACGTCCATCAGGCAATCAACGATCGCATCAAGGAGCTCGATTTCCACGACTGCAAAGTCCGCGTGACCAACGTCGACTCCCAGGGCTCTGACCAGAACATCGTCATCCAGGTCATCGGCGAGATCTCGAACAGGGGACAACCGCACAAGAAGTTCTGCCAGACCTTCGTGCTCGCCGAGCAGACCAATGGCTACTTCGTCCTGAACGACATCTTCCGCTATATTGCAGAAGAGCCGGAAGAGGAAGAAGAGCAGCTTCAGCAGGAGCCGGCCGAAGAGGAGGCCGGCATCCAGGAGCCAGCGCCGACCGCTGCCGAAAACGGCGATGATCAGATCCACCACACGCCTGATGAGCCAGAGGCCATCGCTGAGGTCGACCACAAGCTGGAGGACGTGATCCACGAAGATGAGGCCACTCGTGAAGCATCCCCGCCTCCCGCTGAGGTCAACGGCACTCCCGTCCCAGAAGAGGCTGAGGTTGCCCATGCTGAGGATGCCCCAGCTGCCGCTGTCTCAGCTGTTGAGACGCCAGCCGAAGAAGTCGAGGCCGCTGTTGAAGAAGAGGTTACCGAGCCAGAAAAACCAAAGGATCCGGCGCCGACTGCCGCTGCACCAGCCGCTGCGCCTGCGAAGCCTGTTGCCGCTCCCACCCCTGCCGCCGCTCCGAAGCCGAAAACATGGGCAGCACTGCTGGGTTCTGGTAATCGGGTAGCCACCCCCAACGTCCCATCGCCCGCTGCGAATGCTACTCCCTCCCAACCGAAGGCTGCCCCATCGGCGTCGGCACCCACGCCTCCCCCAACCACGTCCGCTGCTCAGGCAGCCCCACCAGCCCGTGAACAGTCGCCAACCAACAGCCAGGGAGAGGCAGGATGGCAGACTGCTGGCGCCGGCCACAAGAAGGAACAATCGCGATCGCAGAACCAGATCCCGACTGCAGATGCAGACAACAAGAGGGCTTACATCAAGAACGTTAGCGCTGGTGTTGACGATGCCGCATTGAAGGCTGCGCTTTCGAAGTACGGCGAGGTCGAATACTGCGACATCAGCCGCCAGAAGGTAATTAGCTCGTCGCAATCCAGTTACATGTACAATAAGCTGACTAGACCTAGAACTGTGCCTTCGTCGACTTCAAGACGGTCGCTGGCTTCCAAGCTGCCGTTGCCGCCAACCCCCACAAAGTAAACGGCGAGGACATCAACGTCGAGGAGCGCCGTCTCCGCCCCGGCAACTTCCCCTTCCAGCGTGGTGGCCTGCGCGGTCGTGGAGGACCAGGCGGACCAGGCCGCGGAAACTTCCCACCCCGTGGCGGACGCGGCAACATGGGCCGTGGTCGCGGAGCCCCTCCCCCAGCGTGAGGGCTTCATATCCCTAACTTCGTCCCATCGGCAGCACACGTCTAGTATTCCCTCCACCAAATCTTTCGGCACATGCAACACGAAACTACGTTCGACGACCTATCCCAGCATCTTTCGGTTTCGTAGCGACGACTCATGGCCTTAGTAATCTGTATTCTACATCGGTTCCCTCTTCACGCCCTGTCTAAAAAGGTCCTCCCGGTTTCGACAAAAGTTCAGCAGCGTGCTCCCCGGACGGCATGCGACCATTACCTTCTTCCCCGTAGCATAGCGAACTTTTCTGATTGCATTCTGCCTGTACCCTTTCCTCATCGATCTGCACTATGAGTTACCCCCTCGAGCAGTTTCGCTTTCCGTGATTATTTTCTTCTTTTTCTTTCTTTCAGATCGCTCGGGTCCACGTGGTTGGCTATCTAGCCCTGCCTGGATACGTGCGTGGATGTCGTTCGATAGGGATGGCGATCTACCAAACATGGTCGCATGGCATAGCTCGGATGGCAAGAAAAGAAGGGGAGTTGTGTCTTCTTCCCAGGGGCCTAATTCTAGTTTTGGTTTTGCTGATGCAGCACTATTTGCAATGTTTATTTGAGGCGGATGATCGTCAGCTGGGGAGGGCGGAGTGATGGAGTGGTGCTGTAATTTAGATCGTGGATGTACAATACGACGTGCAAAATCTGACTTTTGGCTCATTCAATTTGTGGTTGAGTTGCAATATGGCGCTGGTGAAGATATGACGATGCCTTCGGAGATAGTGCTATTCCCTGCATGGCGGCGTGAATGGTGCAGGTGACTCGGCCAACCGGGCTGCAGCATGGCCAAGTCACTCGATACATGCCTTACTCTCTCCCGTGCTGGCCATCTACCTGAAGGAAACGCGTACTGTGCCTTCTCTGTGTGCTGCCGGGTCGATATCTGCTGCTTTCTTCTTTATCTATGATAATAGGCGCCCAAACAACAACTCGTTGGCCCCCTGCTCTGCACCCCGCCTCGTGTCCTCCAGCTCGGAGGGGCCTTGACGTCGTGTCATTCAGCCACTACCTCTCCTCCACCTCACCACCGCAACACTCCAGAATACTCCTCCGAACTGCACTCGCCTCTCGACTGACTCTGTGTCTCTGCAACGATGAGGCCGACTCCGGGCGGCGACGCCCTCCCTACCGCGAGGCCCAGGTCCCGCAAGTCGAGCGTCGCCGATCATCCCGCCCATAACGCCGCGGCCGCCCATAATGTGCCGACGTCTTTCTTTCTGAGGAGCGAGGAGGATATGGAGAAGTCTTTGGCAGACACTACAAGCACAGTGGCTGCAAGCAAGCAGAAGGACAGTACATACGGTGTCCAGAGTCTCGCGGATGCCCTGCAGTCTGCTTTCGGGGATACCACGAGCGATGAGAAGAATGGCAACAAAGCCAACTCTTCGGGACGGAGCGTGGACAAGCAAGGCGCCAGGCCTCGGACTCCTTCCAGAGGTTCACTGAATACCGACGCGAGACAAGATGATGCCAGCCCCAGGCACGCGTTGGCGCGAAGGCAGCACCTCGCGCAAGCTTCACACCAGGCGATACCAGCTTCTGTTTCTCCCTCGAACCTAGATTCCCCAGCGCCAGAATCTATGATACCCGACACGCCTAAATCTGTGTCCCTCCAGTCTTTCCAGCTCTCAGATGAAGAGTCCGGCGCCGATGAAGCCGCAAGCCAGGCCGTAGTCTCCAGCGAGGACGGTGACGAGGATACACACACTGAGCAGTCTGGAAGCTTCCCTCAACTGGTCATGCCGAGTATCCAGATGCCCAGTCGAAGGCCGTTCACTGAGAAGGGAAAGAATATGGGGAGGTTAAAGGTGTTGATTGCTGGTGAAGCAGGTACGTGTCCCATTCATGTCGCTAAGGGCACATATCCTACTTGTGCTGCTGTACTAACTTTCATTCAGGAGTCGGAAAGACCGCCCTTATTCGGTCCATCGTTCAATCTTGCGAAGACATTGTCCATGTAGATCCACTATCCCCAACCCACGCAGAGTCACCTCCTCCAACATCCAAATCACGTAAACGAAGATCGGTTTCCACAGGCACGACGAGAATAATGGAAGTCCAAGCCAGCACAAGGGCGTATCCTTCGTGGTGGTCTGATACTGAAGAGAGCAGAGCACTTCGGAGACGCAAGAGCATGGGCGATACGGTGTTAGAAAGGAACTTGTGTTTTATTGATACCCCCGGTTATGGAAAGAATGGTTCTAGTACAGAAAACATGGATCTGGTAATCGAGTATGTCGAGTCGTTGCTTCGCCAGAACGTCTCGATAGGTGCCATGAGCGATGGAGATCTGCTTGGCCTGATGAGCGGCAACGGTGGTCTGCATGTGGACGTAATTTTCTACCTTATATCTCCTAGTGAGTTGACGAACCTAATGTACAAGAGGATCAAACTGACTGTTATTAGAAGACGACATATCCACAGATATCGACTACATTCAACGTCTCTCGATGCTTACAAACGTCATCCCTCTCATCTCCAAAGCCGATACACTCACATCGGCCCAAGTTATAGCCTTGAAGAACACCCTTCTCGCTCGTCTTCAAATCACGTCCATCAAACCATTCCTCTTCGGCAAATCGATACAGGAATCTCTTCTTGCCGTCCAAGCTCGGTCGATCTTAGCCCCAGAATCCTCGTCCGAACGCGAGACCGGTAAACAGCCGGGGCCTCCGCGCATACCAGACCACTTAAGCGTTCCAACTCCTCCTTATGCCATCTCTTCAACCCCAGGGCCGGACACGGAAACTATGGATGCCTCCCTCCTCATGTCTCCAGATTATATCCAACCTTTGCTGCCATCTGAGCTCGCTGTTCTCGTAACACAAGTGTTTAATCCCGACACGATCTCTTGGCTTCGACATTCGGCTGCAAAGAAATTCCTAGCTTGGAGAAGTCGGGCCAACTTTCCAGGGGATTCTCTGATTATGCACGGATACCCACAGCAGCGAGGGTTGAACTCACTTGGGTTAAATACAGGAGGACTCGGAGGCAATAGCATACAAGACCCTTTTAGCCGACTCACCACGGCGCCACCGTCTTCCACCTCCTCTATATTCTCAGCCGCATCTCCCTCGGGCGTCTTGGTACCGCATCCACACTCACCATTTTACCTATCCCACGCAAACTCGAATTCCAACCTACAGTCTCCCTATCCTGTCTCTTCTCCTTCCCTCTCTCACTCAACGCTCCCCGATCTCGAGGGCGCTGCAGACTTCAGCCTGACGCGCTACCACGACCACACACAGCGCGAAGAGCGCTTCGCACAGGTGCGTCTCGCGAAATGGGCTAGCGACCTCCAACGCAGCCTCCGCAACGAGCGAGAGCGTTTCGAAGAACTCCAGCAAACCGAGCGGGCAAAGTGGCTCCTCGAGCGCGTAGGCGAGGAAGTTAGAGGCGGGAATATCATCTCCAGCCCGCCTCCCACCCGCGCTGACTGGGCTGTCGTGAGACATGGGAGCGAGAAGAGAGTTAGTGGGCCTGGAGCACGATATGGCCGCCAAGGGCGAGTTGATACTCGGGATCCCCTCGGTCTATGTGATTTCACCGATGAGGTAAGGAGACGAGGGACGGTAATTTTCAAGATACTAGGGGGTATGGGCGTGCTGGGCGCTGTAGCCGTGGCAGTAGTCAAGGCATGTGGGATTGATACTGGGCTGGGCCTGCCGGAAGGGGGTGTTTGGGGTTGGATTACTGGAGCTGGAGAAGCATAAGTCTAGTCTTTTGAAGTAATACTGGGTTGGTATAGGAGAGCTAAGTTAAGTATGGTCGAATTGATTTCTAAGCAGCAGTTAGACAATGGCGTCGGTATGGGGTGCATGTACGGCGGTGCAATCTTCTCATATCTCGGCGCTTTTGCTTCCAGCTCACACACCTCCGTTCTTATGTATCACACTTCTCAAACCTCACTCGTAATTCTAGTATAAGATGATGTGGTGTCCTTTTCTGAGCTAGTGTGGTGATGGGCTCCATTCGCTTTCCTATATAATCACTTGTTGTGGATCTGTGTAGACCTTCCTGCCTCTGCCTATGGACCTTCAACATCCTTTCGACAATCTAACCAAGATGAAAGCTCATAGCCTTGAGCACTTGACAGGCATGCTGAGCCAACTCAGAGAGCGTCGTCGTCCGTTAGGCGACCGAGACTAGGAGGGCAGGTGCGAGGGTATCACGTGGCGATGAGCTTATTTACACGACAACGACAACTTCCACCTTCACCTTTTCCTTCTCTCCGCCCCACCCGTCGCCTCTCACCTCACCGCTTCAATTAACCTGTCTAATTCATTCTGCTTCTAGCTTCGCACGTCTCGCGTCACCACTTCACCCGCCGTCACCATGGGTCCCCCTCCCAAACCCGACGAGCTCGTCGCCGTCGAGGAACGCATCGCCGCCCACCTCTCACAGTCCGACCTCGCCATGTTGTCGTGTGCTTCGAAGTACTACCGCGACTCTATGGAGCAGTATCTGTATCGGAATATCTGTGTTACCAGCGATCATGAGAGGCGCTTGCTGAGCTTCTTCGAGGCGGTTATGAAGAATCCGAAGCGTGCGGGGTTTGTGAGGAGCTTTGAGTTTGGGAGGGAGGGGTTGGAGGAGCTGTGTGTGGATGAGGAGGAGGAGAAGAAGGCGGAAGAGGAACAGGGCAAGTTGGAGGAGGCCAAGGAGGAGAAAGAAGAGGAAGAGAGCCAGAAAAAGCTGGAAGCCCCCAAAGAGGAGGATGGCAAAGATGAAGTCGAAGAGGATGAAGATGATGATCTGCGCTCCAGGTTCTCTACTATGCAGTCCATTGCTTCTGAATACGGCGGTACTCCAGCAATCGAAGATACCCCGGCCCTCACTCGCTCCCCTACGCGGGCTACGAATCGGTCTGTTAGTCCGGCGCCCACGGATTCGAGCGTCGTTCAGAACCGCTCCGACCATGGCTCCGATGACGGATCCGACGACTCGGAAGGGGGAGGGCTCGATTTCTCGCCTGCCAAAGGCAAACAGCTTATTGAGGCCCCTCAGGCGCTGACAGCTGCGAACAACTACCGAGTTACCCAGTACAAACGTCAAGTTCTTGTTAAGCAGCAGCCGACGATGCAGGAGCTACCCCGCCCAACTATCTTCTCCAGCGGATCACTTCCTACGTCCGCCTCCTGCCCCGATCCATCATATCCGACACTCGACATGAGCACGCTCTGGCGCCGAATTCAAGGCGCGGTCCACCATGCCTTCCCCTCTCTTTCGGCGACTGACATCAACCGCTGGCAAGCCTTCCTGCGCGCCAACACGAGAGAGTGTCGTCTGGGGCTGCTCCTACAGCTGATGCCAAATATCGAGACTCTCAAGTTGGACGTGACCGGCAGGCCGAGCGAGTGGCCTCTTACTGTCGTCGGAATGGCCCTGGGTTGTCAGCCCATCAAGCTATACGACCCTGTTGCTGGCCTCCATGCTGCGGGAATACAGGAGTGGGCAAAGCTGAAATCGCTGGAGATTCGTGGATCAGGCTTCAACATGCGACACTTCGGCGGTGGACGAGTGGTCTGTCGTATTCGAATGCCGCTTCACGCGTCGTTGGAGAAGCTCAGGGTCTTCGGCGTCGAGGTCACCGACGTCTATATCCCAGGTGAGGTGGCGTCGGAGCCGCATCACAGTCTGCACAATATGCGCCACGAATACCACGTCTTAAAGGTTATTAAACTGACTAGCCTGGAACTTGTCAATGTCGGTATCTCGGGTTTCCATATCGAGAGCGTGGTCAAGATTGCGAAGGAGCTGGAGCGGCTGCATATCGAGAGGCTGAAGCATCCGTACCGCTTCAAGGTGCGTAAATGGTCTATCTTGGACTATGAGGAAATGGTCGATGAGCTGCAGGATGTCAATCCGAATCTGGTGCCGTACGTTGTGGAGTTGGAAGCATTGGGGCTGGGAGTCAAGCTGCCGGCGCTTCCTGCAATTCTTGCGACAGGAGATGGTCACGAGCTGGTGAAGGCTGAAAACGTGGAAGTGGAGGAACTTGAAGCTTGAGAGCTACGTTTCTTCTCGAATGGACACTCATTGTAGGCGGCGAGAGACGCTTAGTGGAATGACGAAGGACATCATGTATGACCTTCTTTAGTTGAGGAAGTCTTTGTGAGAGATGTGCTAGGTGGTTATGGTAGCTTGGTACTCATCAGTTGCTAATCATGGACCGATCTGTACTTCCATTTGTATACATGCTTAGTGACAACGACTCCTAATAGCGGTGTTTGAAGTGGCCTGGCGAGTATAGAGGTTCTTCGAAACGGTAGTTTTGAGTCTTGATTGGAGTTAGGCTGAGGCAACTCGCGCGGTGGTAAAGCATCATACATAGATTAACGTCCTGTAGTGTATAAAGAACGCGGAAAAGGAGGACGGCGTAAGCTTAGTGCTTCGCGTCCCAAGCAGTGGCAGACAAATGAGACAGCTTATTCTGGAATTGTGCCACCTGTTCCAACCCTCGCGTGCACGTGACCCGCGGCTCTATATCACGTGAGTCTCGGGAAGCGGACTGTCTGATTGGTTAAGATGCTTCGGCATCTCTGTTCAATCTTCAGCCGCTTCGGTACGATTTTTTGCTATACGAAGATAATGCGACGTATAGCCAGCGTGGCTGTGCGTTCCAAGGACAAGAGGAGGGGCAGTGTTTGTGAAGCTGCGGCGAAACAAATGCTGCTAAATTTCGTACTCGGATTTCAAAAGATCGGCCCTACTTTATCATCATTCGTATCCGCAAACTCAGGACAGTGATTGGGCAGCCATCCGTCCTCTAACGTCATTAGCAACAAAGCCCTTGCCAAGGATCAGCGCTCGATACACCTCCACGCTGTCTCTCTCCGACGTCCGGCCTGCAGCCTGAATGTTGGAACCCCACTAGTGAATAGTACTGAGGCTGCTCGGTGGTGCGTGTAATCTAAAGGCCGCAGCCCTCTACCAACTATCCCCAGCGAGAGCTTGCTGCTTCTAGGGGCAACATGGACCCCGTTCTGTATAGGCCAGAGATCGACGTTGCTTGTACTGTGCCCTACTGTGCCGCACGGCTATGCCACCTTTGATAAGAGGAGGGGGATATTAGGTGGGATATAAGTATAGCGGATTGTCCGTAGGTTTCTTTCGCTGTCTCAGACATTCACCATCTCCTCTATCAACCCTTAAGACTCCTTCAACAAATCTCAATACTTAGAGTCTTCGGGCTTCGTCTTCTCCTCCTGCTCCCCTTCTCTCCGCAACAGTCATTATGCCTCTCTTCGTGAAGACTGCCACCTCGCTCATCGGTCTCGGCACTGAAGCCTACGCCCACCACAAAGAAAAGAAAGAGCGCGCCAATTCAGGCGTCTCGAACTCTCAGTCGCCAGCGTTAAGCCAACAGCAGCTCACCGGATACACTCAGACCGGATCGCACCCAAGTCCTACATCTTCCAACTCTCTCGCACCACTCCCAGCGTATTCTGGGTATGGAAGCAACAGCTCCGAATCCATCAAGTCAAATGTCAGCTCATACGACTCCGACGAAGATGAATGGGCACGCGACGCTGCACAAGAACAACTCCTAGACCGCGAATCCATGATCGACAACCGCAGCGTCGATCAGATCGTAGACGACTTCACAAGAGCCCACCCACCGCCAACCGTCTCGGTAGCAGGAAACCTCCCCTTCCCAGTCATAATCCCCCAAAAGCGCCCCGAAGCGCGCAACCACGGCTTCATCCGCGTCTACGCCCCGGCCCTCTCCGCGGCGGGCATTGACGAGCCCACCTTCCTCGACAACTACACCGCCAGCATCAAAGGCAGCGGATACTTCAACGCCGTCAACGTCGCCATCGCCGCGTCCGTCATCGCCTACACCGTCTCGGCCGTGTCCGTCAACCCGGCCGTGCACTTCGCCGCCTTCTGCGTGCACGCCTCCATCGAAGCCGGCCGCCGCGTGCAGAACGTCACGCAGATCAACAAGTACCTCCTACGCATGAACGAAGAGCTGTTCAAGCCGCGCAGGCTGTACGCCATGCTCATGACCTTCAAGCCTACCAGCGACGCGAGCAACGTCGACGTCGACATCAGCGCCAACATCCTGAAATCCGTGTACGCGCGCAACGGCGGCGGCCGCAAGAAGGTGCGCTCGGCCAGCGGGAAGTCGGTCGGCGAGGCGCAGATGCCTGAGTGCTGCCCGCTCGTGTTCCCGACGCTGGACGCGCCGGGCACGACGGAGGCGCAGAAGCAGGGCGCGTTCAAGCGTGCGGGCGCGTTCGTGAGCGACTATAAAGATCGGAAAGCTAGGGCGCAGTTCCGGTATAATAACCCAGACTCAACGCTGAATGTGCTGCCGCAGGAGAGGTTTGCGAGTGTCTTCAGTGACCCGAACCATCCGATGCATAAGGGGGGCCCGTTGAATACGCTGACGGGCGGGTATTTGTATTGGGAGAAGCAGAGGTTGGAGGGGAAGGGGGTAGGGGCGGCGTTGCCGCTGAAGATGAGGATTCAGGGGGGGCATAATGGGGGTGGGGTTGGGGGGACGAGGGGGAGGGCGGTGAAGAGGGTTATTGGGGAGGTGAGTTGATGCGAAGTGCACTTAGATGTTTACTGACGTTCTTCCAGGATGTGCTTTACCTCATGATCGTCAATATGCCCTCCGATGAAGAACTCGCTGAAGTCGCATTGATGGAGAGCCAGATGAGAGAAGCACAGCAGGCGCAGCACGTCTGGGATCAACAGCAGCAGCAAGGTGTCTATCGTGAGCCTTCGCAGGAGGGAGTTGCGTACCCACCGCCACCGCGAGGGTACTAGACGGATGACTCGTCTGCTGTCCCTTGAGTTCATATGGATGTTGGATCCGTATTTCCACTTTAGCGTTGGATCGGATGGTTATATGAAGATAACTCGACAAATCACAACGAGCTCAGTCGGTCGCGTGGAGTAAAAGAGGACATATAAGCAATGCCCCCTCCAGTACAAGCAAGAAAAATTTCAAACAAGCCAACTTCTTGTTCCCAGCGGGAATCAAACTCCATCTGGCAAAACGAAAAGGCAAAAACGAAACCACCCAGCTACCACTGCGCTACTATACTATAGAGTCACATTTTTTTACGGGATCGCTGAGTGGCTATGTTTGTCACTGTTTGTTAGTTGAATGGTGCTCGAAAATAATAGGTATATAACGTTTGGTTTGAGGTTGGACCCTGGAATTTAGGATCATAACAAACGCTCGCCCATTACGTGTTGCGCGCGCCTCACCTGTTCCAAACCCCCTGGGCTATTGGATATCAAAGTTGCCTTCCAATACTCTAAATTACACTCTTGATCTTCAACCACGCTCCGCATGTGTGCTTCTTCTCCTCACCGTTCATGACAACAAGTATCACACCATCAATCCCGATGTGCGAAGCCACTGAAAACACTTTTCTCAACACCCTTCCTCACACTATACCACTATCCATCACACTCAGCCACACCAAACCCCAACCCCACTTCCACACCCTCACTTCCCACCTCACAGGAGATCCCTCGACCACCCACTCTCCCACCACGACTCCAGCCTAAACTCCTCACCCTCCTCACCCTCCTCACCCTCCTCACCCTCCTCACCCTCCTCACCCTCCTCACCCTTCTACACGCCTCACCCCCTCAACTCTCCATCAACCCCCTCGCCAACCCCAAAATCTCCTCCCCAAACCGCGGATGCCGCCCCTTCTGCTCCGGATACGTCATCTCCGTCATCATATCCAGCATCCCGGGCTTCGTATCCAGAATCAGCTGCTGCGCCATGACACACCTGCCAATGACATCGGCGTAGTCCTCCGGCAGCGGCTCGCCGGGCCTGTGGTGCGCAAGCTGCGGGTCGATGTTGTAGTACATGCCCTGCCGCCTGCTGTTAACTTTCCTGCTCCACAAGAACGTGAGTTCGAAGGGGGCCCAGCGTACGAGGGTGCGCCCCACAAAGTCCCACATAAAGTAGACGTTGTTTTTGTCCGCGGAGGGGGTGGAGTAGGTCTGCTGCAGGTTCGGCGCCATGGCGGGGTGTTCGGCGAGTTTAGTCAAGAGAGTGCGGAGCTTCGTGACGCTGCTTAGCCATTCTGCTTTCGCGTTTGTGGGGAGGGGGAGGGAGGTTAGGCCGCGGGTGTAGGCGGCGCGGGTGGTATTTTGGACGTCGAGCCAGGGCATGGTGGTGGGGTCTGGATTCATTTTTGCGGTGGAGCGGTGGTAGGTGGGTGTGGGATGGGAGAGAGGATAAAAGAGAGAAAGGATGTGGACATATGTAGGAGGGAGCTTGGTTGTCTTTTAAAGTTTGGGGGTTGTCCGGGGTGTTTGACTTTATGAGCCTGATGTGGGGTGGAAACTAATGGAACTAATGCGGTGTGAATGTGCCCTGCGTGCTTGACATCACATGTGCGTATTGGCTGGGCTAATGCTGCTTTCCCCACCGCTAGTACGACCTATGTATGCGATAACTTCTGCCTACTTATCGTACTCTAGCCGCAACTCTAGGTATAATCTCCGGGAGAGAGCCTTTTGGGCATTCCCGAACGCCGCCGCTATGCAAAAAAATGTGAGGAAATCGTGTCAGTGTCGTGGGTATGAGTGAGCTTTGCGGGGGTATTTCAGGGCCGCTGATCCACTATCTGGAAGTCTAGACCAGATAGTTCGTGTACGTGACCGGGTTTCGATGCATCGGTGTAGATGTTATCTACGTTGTGTGGGTGGAAGAGACCGGATTGGCCGCAGTTGAGGAGAGTCTTCATGCCTGGAGGGTCCGTGATGCGGAAGATGCCCCATCTGTGATCATTATTAGCGTGGAGTTTTAAAATACAAAGACGGTTACGAAATATGGGACGTACGAAGGGTCTTTACTAGGCGCACAGACGATCGCGATACTCTCCGGCATCATGACCTGATATCCACAGTGCGTATGGCAGTCTCGACTACTCATGAAGCACGTTTGGCTGGGATGTGTGTGAATCCATCCTAGCACCATCAGATCCTCCTTGTCGCAAAAGTCGAACAAGTCGCTCTCGTTCAGCGTCTCGCACGTATCGGATGTGCCTTTCTGTTCCGGTATTACCAGTTTCGAGACAAAGAGCGCGTTCGATATTAAGGTACCGCAGAGAATACCACATGTTTCAATGTTATTACGCGTGTTTACGGCAGCAACGCGGAGGAATTCCGAGCGTAGAGTCGAAGGAACAAAAACAGTGCGGAGAGGTGTGCCGTTTTCAAGATATGCAGAGGGCTTGAAAGTATATTCAAGAGCGTTGGGGCCCTCAGATAGTGCTGGTGATTGAGCTCGGAAGCTGGTATCTGGTGCCTCGGAGTATTTTCCTGGTATGGGCGGTGGTAGAGTAGATTCGTACGGAGGCGGTGCACTTTGGTAGGCATAAGGATCCCTAGGAGGTTTAGGTGGCAGACTCGGAGGTAGCGGTTGCATAAATGCGGCTGGTTGGATTGGAGGTATTTTGGGCGGGGGTCTTGGAGGTGCCCCTGGCTGAGGCTGAGGCTCATCAGACCGCCAGGACTGAGAGCTCTTATTCGGAATCGTTGGATAGTGGTAGGAAGACGGTCGTAGTACTGAGGATGGACGCTGGGGGTAGTTAGTATCGATATCGTTTCAGTGATAGCAGAACCGTATCCGAACTCACTTGACAGTGGCCATTTTGTACGCTTTCCCTCCGTCTCCCAGCCTCTATTATATCCTTCGAGAGATCCATCTCCTCCTTGTACGATTGGGGACGCCCCAAACCACTTTCCCAACCATCCCATACCCCTCCCGTTCGCCGTTCTTGCTCCTCCTCTTCCGAGACACCTGCCTGGCGGACTGCCCTTCTCGCAGTATCCCTACGCCGAATCTCGCTCTGAGCAATTAGAGCCGCTATTTTCTGGCTATCTCCAGCATCAAGACTTGTCTTATGATCAAAAGAAACCCGTGTAGAACTTCGAGCTGAGTTTAGGGACGCCCGTCCCATGCCATCGACAAGCCCACCCATCTCTTGTCCGCCTTCCAGCTTCCGTAGCGCAGCATCCTGGGTCTTCCGTGTTGCTAGATGCTCTTGGTATGCAGCGTATCGGCTTTCTATGCGCGGTTTGAGCACTTCCATCGCTGCCAGATCGGACCTGACGACTTTGTTCGCGGCGGCGAGGGCGGCTTTATTCTGAGGCTGCTTGGCTTCCGGATGCTGCGAGAGCTTCTCGAGGACGAGGATTGCATGGCGGAAGAGGAGGAGGTATGTTTGCTGGTCATTTCCTTCTCGTTCATAGATTCGCGACTAGAGAGCTGTGAGCAAAGGTAGTGTGCAGAGTGGAACAGTCCTTACGCACCTCCTTCTGGATCGTGTCGGCGCTCCGCAACCAGTACCGGAGAGGGATTTGACTGTTGTATTCGAAGGTGTTGGCTTGCTGGACGATTTCTCCGACAGTCAAGGGAGCTCCCGAGGGAGAAGGCCTTGCTGTACCTGCCATAGTTGATGTGGTGTTGAGGTGGTGAGGGTGGTGGGATTGCTGAGTATTGAGTGCTTAGCGGTTGATCGGGAGGCAGCGGCAAATGGCAGAGCGGCGAGACACAGCGGGTGCAGGCGTGTCTCTGGTCCAGGAGCCCGAAACGGTCTTCATTTTATCGTATTTGGCTGCCTGGGCGGTCATCAGTGTTGCGCGTCCGACGTGATGCGATCCACGGATGGGTGAAGTGGAGGGGCAGCTTGGCGAAATCAAAACCTGGGAAGACTCCACCTTGACGACCACGAGGCGGACTCTCTTCCCCAACCACAACAACTTGTCTTTATCGCGTTCCTCTGATTTAGACATTGCTTCATCACCGGCCTCTCTGGTTGTTTTTCTGATAGTCTTAAACTCTTTCTTTTAATCTACGTTAGAATGGCCTAGGAGTGTCGAGACTGACACTCTTCGGGGAAAAGGGTAACCATCGTTCAGTATTGTCGCTCTCCAGTAGCATGTCTCAAAGGCGGTAATTCGTTTCATTATATGGATGTCATGATGGTACTTGCTCTGTTAATGTGGTCGTCTCTATCCTATTACATTATCTTCTCCTTCGCATACATTTCCTCAATTTCTTGCGCATACAATCCAAGTGTCTGTCTTCGATCCACCGGGCCTTTGGGCAGCCTCAAAAATGGCTTGTCCTTTCCTGCGATTAATACCAGCTCTTTCTTGAACCTCGTTTCGGCAAGTATGGTTTCGTTGACTTTCTCGACCGTCTTCCAAACATCCTCCAAGTTGCCCAGCTCTGCACCATTCCTATCTCCGTTTACATACGAAGGGGCCCTGAGCTCAAGCAATAGAAATGGAATCCTTCGTCCTTGGCCTCCTGCCACCGCGTCCTTGATCAAGGGATTTGCTGTCTTCAGCCGTTCTTCTGCACTCGCAACATACATCTTCACCTCGCCTGTCAGGACTATGAGATCATCCGTTCGTCCTCGGTATCGCCACAAACCCTTCTCCGCCTTGGCTGGGTCAGGATGCGGACTGAAAAGATCCTTGGTTCTGAAAGTGGTGATGTCCTTGAGCTCGGGAACTTTCCAGAAGTTCATAGTCAGATGGGATTCAGGCGTCTTGACAGCAACGAGTTCGTATAAGTCGTCATGTGCGGGCTCGAAGGTTGCCCCAGACCACGGATGGAAACGGTAGTACTCCCAGTCCCGCCAATCCAATTTGCTGTCGAGTTGGCGGCCATTTGTCAGATGTTTCATTGGAATTACTGGAACGGTACTCCACCAAGCGCCTTCTGTACTTCCTATCATTGGTGATATAATATTCTGTTGCGCCAGAAAGTCGCCCGGCAGCTTGGAAAGCGGGGCACCGGCGAATATGATGCATTTTAACTTCAATAAGTTGGGCTTGTAAGAGGGGTTGGCGATCAGATCTTCCAGAAAAGCGGGCGCATACAATCCGCCATCAATATTGGCAAAGCGGTGCATCTCATCTGCGAGAGCAGGGGTAGGGACCTTGGAGGCTGGCCCAACGACAGACATGACACCGCAGAAAACGGGACCGGCGACGGCTAGCATGAAACCGGCGGCCTGATAACAGCTGTTAGCAAAATTGATTGACGATGTCGTCGGGCTGAACGTTATGTAGGAGTCGTACGTGGAATAGCGGGAGCATGGCCCAAAATCGCCCGCCCTGGAGCAAAACTGCATTCGTCGGTGTGTATGCAGGAATACCATCGACATCTGGAAGAAGACGAGTCGCGTCCGCTGTCGCGAGCATGTTGTTCGTCCACGTTACTAACTTTGGGAGTCCTAGAACACAGTTAGACGTGGTCAGAGATCAATGCTCTCGATCTTACCTGAACTGCCGCTGGTATGGAAAATTGCCACGGGGTCGTCCTTCCCCTCTTCCCAGGTCTTACTGTACTCATACTCTTTCACTCCTTTCGCAGAAATTAACTCTTCAAAGTCGGGTACTACGAGGGTCTTCCCATCTCCAACTGCCTCATGGATAGTCTCCACTACCAGAAATAATTCTTTTCCACATAAGAAAGTCCTGCAATCCTTCTCTCGCGCCATGTGAGTTTTGGCTTCCAAGGACGTGAGAAGCGACGGTAGCAGTACCTAGTTACGGCACATCAGCACCAACTTACTTCGTCAACATCATTGCAATGGCTCTTACCTTCCAGCCAGCCTTGGCCGCCCCAAGAACCATAATCAGATATCTCAAATCTCTTGGTCCAAGATACGCCACCGTAGGGAATGTACCGCTTGGTGCTTTACCTATGTTCTCATCTATCCACCACGCAGCAGCATTGATGCCCGTGGCTAGCTGCGCAAATGAAAAATCGCGAAAGCCCTCGGAGAGATCATCGTCGTTCAGCGGAATCGAGGCCCAAGGTTTTTCAGGCGTCGACTTAGCGATGGAGTCGATGAGGGGGATGATGAGGCGTTTCCCATAAGGTATCCCGGCGTCGTGCATGGTGTAAGCGGAATTTTGGTGTGGACGAGGCGAATTTTGACCAGAGAGTTGCCTGTTGCACAGAGAGGGGCCAGTACATAGGCTATTTGAAGTACGTACAATCCTTAGCACTTTGGTTACCATTTAGCGCGCTGATGTGAGAAATACCAGGCCTCCAGGTATCGAAACACCAAAGAATCTCTCTTCTACATCTACGCACGCACTAAGGCCCCCAAGGTGGTATCTAATGCGGTATCTCTATCACAACGCACCGCATTCCTTGATTCTGGGTAATTTCCAATTGGCACTTGGCGTTACAATGACACGATATGCTGATCATGTACCACAAACCCGGTAACCATTGGAATGGGTTCGCTCATGGATTTGCTTTGCGTACATGGCTTAGCTTAGTAAACTAATGACCTATGCCTTACGCGGTCCTTGCTGTTTATGCACTAGTTTAGCTTTATGCTAACGAACAGCTATTGTAAGCATTGTTTAGAAAGATCGTCTGTCAGCTTTTAGTGGTTAGGTTAGTGGCAAGAGCTGGTCGCTTAATACCCGATCGGGTCGCATATGTTAGAACTTGCGATCTCAAACCCGAGTATTGGAGTTCCGACTTCCAGATACAAGTGCCGAGAGGCATTTTCAGATCTGTACTCTCTTAATAAATTCGACACGGGCGATGAGTGAGTATCAGCAAACAGGTGAACGAAATCTGGAATTACGGTCACACGGTCACTAGATCAATATGGGAAGTAAGTGCGAGGGTTTTATGAGGAATGTATTGATGGTTCGACATCTGCTCTTCTATGGTCGATCTACGGATTTCAGGACTGATTAGTCATTAGAACGATTCGTTCCACACAGAGAGAGAGAGCGTAAGCGTAGCTAACGGCCCCTCATTGGAGCGACTCGCCGCAGGTAATGACCCCTCATTGCAGCGACTCGCCGCACGTAAGGATGACCCGGTCATGCCCTTAACACTGCTTTATAGATGACTTCGGTGACATCCACTAGCTGCTCCGTAAGTCGCGTCAAAGCAACACAGCCCCGGAAAATCTGAGTAATCTGGTCGGACTCGGGCACTGGCCTATGCGCTCGTGGTTTGAGGAGTTCAGCCCGGCACTGCGGCTATTGCTCGCCACCGTGGTAATCCACTTCTGCATGCACGACTTGCCAACAATGTTCCCACAAGACAGCTTGAAGGGAGGATCATCTTCGCTATACGCCTCACGACAAAAACAGCGCTGTTTCTCCGGGCACTGGTCAGCACTGTCGCTTTCGCCAGGGGATGGGCCGTTGTCGTTGAACTGTGGGACTTCCCAAGGCAGGGGCTCACCCAACGCCTCGACGTCGGGGTCCGGCCCTACATTTGCTAGGACGACATCTGTGCGCTCTTCGCCGCCTGTGGCAGTACGCACGGCATACTCTTCCGCACACTGGTGCCACTCCTTGTCCATCTCGTTTTTAACGATATCAACTTGTTCAATAACAGACGCTGTCTGCTCTCCAACATTCAACATGCGGAGTACAAACGCAAAAGCCTCCTCATCCCGTCTGTTATTCGCATACGCTGACGCGAAATTGACCAGCAAGACTAGCATGAGCATATTCTTCGAGAGGGCTTGAAGCCCAACCCGACGAGCATCTTCGCTCCCTTCCCTCTCGATATCCGCCTCGAACTGCTCGAAGGCTTGCAGCGCTTGTTGCTGAACTTCCAAGAGGTTATGTTGTTCGTTGGTTTGAAGCTCTGGCATCGTTCGATCGGCTTCCATTAGGAGGCGATGGTAAGACAGCCCGTGCTCCACGCAATCCCACATAGCCCTACAGAAGTTGTGGAAATGCGGACGACCGCTGCGGAGGGGCCCATGGAACCATTGGTACCGTGAAGCTCGAGTGCCCGTGTGAGCGGGCGCAGAGTTGCGGCGGAATTAGGGGGGCCTACGGGTGGGTTCGCTGGGGGGCTCCATGTCTTGAGTGGGGTCTGTGGTAGTTTGGTGGGGTGGTGACAGTTTCAATTTCTTTGAATCTAGGTGTCTGTGGGCGAATAGGCTTTTGAACCTTGGATGGAGCTTCTCATGGGTGAAAGGGTGATATTTATACAAGTGAATGTGGGAATTGTGACATTGTGTAAGTATAGTGAATTTTCATCTGATATTGGGTAGACAAAGTCTTGCTAGAACACAAGACGTGAATATACTCTAGCCGATTGGCCACTCGAATAGTCACAACTAGGAGAAGAAATAAACGATGCTGTTTTCACGACTACTTACTCCTCTCCGATATATCTATCTATCAAGTTCGCGTAATCGAGAAGTTCTTCAAAAGTGTAGTAAAGCTGTTGGCCGAGCATTTAAGTCATATGACCTTAGGAGCTATCCAATTTACGACGCGATCGATTCATTGTCAAGCTAGATATTCTAAAACTTGAATTAAGTGTTCTTTCGACGTAGGACTAAGTTGAGACAGAAAGCTATGTATAGTTATTTATACGGCATACTGCAATAGACCATTGACACAACTGCCATGGAGTCCTATGCCGTCACCCGTACAGCATTCTGGAATATCTTCGGAAGCAAACACGCAAACAGTGACACGTATACGCGAACACCTTGATAAGAACATCGCTGCGCTGTTACTCTTCTACCTTATACTGACCTCCCACGTAGCTGATCTATCTCAAAGCTTGCAGCATGACGAAGCCAGCGGAGCGCGTCGACCTATCTTTCACAAGAGTCGTCCATGTGAATGTTATGAGGCCAGTGGAAAGAGAAGAGGACGAAAACGATCCCGTCAGCACAGACGACGAATGTAGCTTCAGCATCGTTATTCATCGAGAGCTTCTCGAGGTTTTGTCTCAATTCTTCCGGAATGCATTGGAAGAAGAACGCTGGACTTGGAAAGAAGGCAATGAAAAGGCTGTTCCCATCCACGAGGACAACGTTGCACCACTAGAGGTGTATGCAAATTGGCTGTATGGAGCTGAGCTAGTTCTGGACGCCTCTCAGTCGTGGAGCTTCTGGATTGACTGCTACATTTTTGCCGACAGATACCACATTGGCCAGTTCGCGCAGGACATTATCTCTCTGATGTTGGCTACGCTTGCTATACACACTGTCTGGATACCCAGTCTCGAAGAGATTGTACAAGTCTACGATAACACTCCTGAGAACAGTGGTCTAAGGAGCCTCATAACTGAATGTCTTGTCTGGAATATAGACAAACAAGAAGATTTCGAGTCATTGCTCAAAGAAGCACCCTCAGAATTCATTAATGACTACGCTATAGCTGCTTCACATCATCTTAGGAGGAAGTTGGTTCCGCCATCTCAATATCCTGTGTTGAAGTATCATCAACCCTTCGCCGATCTTCACGACGTCTTTCCCAGAACCATGTCAAAGTGTTCATTCAAACTATCGGACTTTGAGAAGATCGTCAGGTTCGATCTAGAGGGCTCTGACGAACCCGCTGTGATACACCTTTCAGTGCTCGCAAGAACGGCACTTCCCCAGCACCTGCTTGAGACACAATGCGAGGCCGTTGATGCTCGGGGTATCGAAGTATCTACCTTCAAGACCTTCTCATCTTGGTTGTATTACGACGACAAACATGGCGCCATTCAACACGGATGCCGAAGCGGTGGTGGTACGGAACATCTGATGAAGTGCTATGAAGCAGCCACACGCCTTATTGCCATCGAAGTCAATTCGAATTTACAGGAGAATCGGCTAGCTCATCATCCTATTCAAATATTCCGCATCTTACACTACCAGTGCGCCCGTTTCAAGGATGATGTCATCGATGCTATAGCAGCCAAATGGATGGAACAAAATACGACACCATCAGGAGATGAGGCCGCTCTGGCCTACTCAGTTACCAAAGCTACTGATGATCCATTACGGAGGCTGGTAGCCGACTTCTATATCTGGGGCGGAGGAAGGAGCACTGCTGTGAATATCGATTTTCAGCGAGATCTCAACAACAGCTTGATCACGAATAATACCAAGATGCGTGCCAACCTTGATAAGATCCGCCTCATTGTAGAAAGCGTCAATGAAGATGAGCGCCTGACTAAATTTTACCAGTCAGAGGCAGGGGAAGAGGAAGACTGGTTATTCTCTTATACGTCAAAGAAAAAGCAGATGGTCCTCTCTGGGTGGGGTGATGAACAAAACGACCGGAACATCACTAAATCGGCACTGAAGGCTTCTTTGAACTTGAAAAACAGCAAACTTAAAGAGATAGCGCAAATCAAGTCGCCAACAGCACCCTACGAGGAGAATATGGCACAATACCACGAAGCCTCACAGTATCACGAGGCATTTGTAAAAGCACTGGAAACGGCTTACTGCAAGTAGAGAGCGGTTGGTTCTCAACTTCTGCAAATGCACGGCACCAGAAGGCAGCTAGGGCCTGCTTCAAGGCAAGATGACGCGTGACGTAGGAGACGGCAGGTATGAGATATTTGATGAGGGCTCTGCCTTATATCTGCAGGAAAAGTGAGACTCTAACTAAAGAAGAAGCTCTCACACCACTTAGTAGCGTTCTAAGCCGTCTTCCCATCCATCCCTCGTTAGCCAAAATGATAGTGCTTAGCATCGTCTTCTGCTGCCTGCCCGCCATGATCGTCATCGGTGCCTCCGCCACCGAAAACCTCTCCAACGCCTTCACAGACGCCGAAAAAGCTCAGCGCAAAGATGACTTCAAAGCCTCCAGCATCCACTCTCATAGCGACCACATCGCGCGTCTAACCCTGCTTCGCATCGGCCTCAAGATCCGCGAAGAGAGAGGCGAGAGGGGCGAGAGGGGCTTGGATGAGTTCGCGAGGGAGTATTTCTTACGACGGTCTATGCTAGCTTCAGTATATCAGACCATGGACCAGATCCACACACTCCTCATCAACTCGGATATTATCCCTCCTCCTGGCGCCGAACACGACCCCGAATTGCAAGACCTCTACCCGAACTCGAGCGAGAACTCTGATAAGCAAGCGCTCATCAAAGCACTCGTGCTCGCGGGGTTGCAGGAAAACGTCGCCGCCACGCAGGGCAAGCGTGACCTAGTACGGTACGCGGCCTAAGGACAAGCCAGCATCACTGGAGAATCTGTCAATAAGGCACCTCCGAGTAAAATGGCTAAATCGCCGCATTCTCAAACGCTGGCATACTCTTCGCTCCATCTCGCGGCGGGAAGTAAGAATGTGAAGTTGCTCCGACAGACGAGTGTGATTTCGCCGCTTGCGGCGGCGCTTTTTGGGAGTAGTTTGGAGCGGAAAAGGAGTTTGTTAGTTGTGAACGGGTGGCTGCATTTGCGGGCGGTGGGGGAAGATGGGGAGGCAGATGAAGGGGCCGCGGAGAGAGTCGTTGGGTTTAGGACGAAGCTCGAGAGGGTATGTTGCTCTTCTGCATTTTTGATTTGTCGACTTCGTACTACTCTTTTAACACATGCCAGGTCCTCTCCTCCGCTTACCTCTCCATGGCCCAACGCCAAGCCGCCCGCCAACCTTATACCGTGGACTCCGCGCGCGACGAGTTTATCGACAAAGTCGTCGATCTGCTCTGTAACAAAGATGAATCGCAATATGTGCCGGATAGCAAAGAAGAAAATGAAGAGCAGCAACTAGGAATTTCAAAAGAGCAGGCGGAGGCGCTAGGGTGGATAGACGCGAGTGGGTAGGACTAGTGTGGACTGGCTATTTCTGTTATCTCGGGCATTTCGGTTGATGCGTTCTAGCGTGTATTGCATAGTGTGCATAGTGTGTGATAATGGTGTATAATAGTGTAGCATAGATGCATTGGGTGGAGTTCTGATATCATTTCGGATGCATACGGACAGGGAGCTGGATATGTGGTTGGAAAATAGGGATGGGTGGGTTGCTTGGTTGGTGTATTATAGTTGGCATATTATAGATGGATGAGGGCGTGGCATAGCGCAATGGTTACCTTTGGGTTCATATGATCGTCTATCCATAGAGGCGGATGTTGGACGGAAAAGCACGGTCCGCCAAAGATTAGGGGCGCCAGAAAATAAAGAGCATAACTGCTCCAACAGTTAAGAAGGCGTGAAATACACAGCCACTTTATTCGATTCGGTTGCACAGTGGGTCTAAAACTTGGTGACGAGGCGTCTACGCCGATGAAGTGCGGCTGAGAAGGTTAGTGGATTAGATGGTTGATTGGTGTTACAATCTGGTTTCGTTTTGAACAAGTGGTGACCTCTATGTTCGTGGCACAATAGTGCCAACTGGTGGCGGGTAGATCTCGAGCTGGCTCGTCCATCATTACGAAGATGATATTGGGATACTGAAGTTGGGTAGGTCGTGATGATGCGCAGCACCGCTCGGCAACTGCTGACGCGAGACGACTAGTTTGTTGAGACAGGCTCGTTACTTGATGCAGTGCTCGGCTCGAAGTAAGAAAGATTAGGCGAGGTAAGCATGTGCTTGCGTCTCTAAGATAATATTGAGGTAAGTAGTGGAGTTCATGCTTTGATATAGACGCTCATTCGGCGCCTTTTGATTCTTCGAGGGCCAATCTTTTGTTCCAAATGACCTGCTGTGCGCACTTGATGATCCTACGGGTACGCCGAGGATGTGAATAATGCTGGATCCGTCTCAAGTTGCGCCTTATAAATAGCGGAGATCAATGGATGTTCTACATAGAAGAAGCCTGTTTTATGCATATGTCCGGGAGCTACGGGACGACTAGTAAGAACGAGGCAAACGATAGAGCATTGGGTCCGTTGTGAGGACGGAGGCATTTGTCGTTAGCAAAGAAAGTGGTATTTGTGTTATCATGATCTTGGATTGACACCTGAAATATATCCAATCACTAGGGAAGATGGCGAAGGGGGTACTGACAAAGCTGTGACATATATATCTTCGATATCATGTAAGCGGCAGATAATTGTCTCTATCAGCATTGAAGCTTGAAGGTCTGACGATAAATTGTAGTACTACCACTTACACATACCACTTTCCCAACTGCCCCACTCAGCTCGCCTCACGCCTCGTTCTCCGCTTTGTCCTACCCCGTTTGTGGTCTACCGGCATCGCCGAAACCGACATAAGAGGCATTCGTACGCCGTACCGGCACCTGATCAGGATCATGGCCCCTTGTCCGATCCGTCTCCGTGGCAGACATATGAAAGGCGACGCGCACATGACTGACAGTCGTCACAAATCCATCCCCTCCTCTTCTCACCCCCTCACCGCCCTGGAACTTCGAGTCTCGCAGTTCACCCTCTTTACGTATTAGCGGTGCCGACGGCACTCTGACTGATTGAACCAAGACCGACAGCCCGTGCCGCGTCTGCTAGGACGCATATCCAATCATCTACACCCATCTGGTCTGCTGATGCCCGTTGTCGACCGTTTTCCTCTTTCGTGGATACCTTCGAACTGCACATCCTGTATTGCGATTTTGCTGTTGAGACCCTGCTCTTTCGTCTTCATCTTTTGCGTTGTACCTTTTGTCACGGCCGCGCAGATTCAAAGTCTTCTCACCTTCCTAAAGAGAGACACAACCGGCCACGTTCTCATTGCGGACAGGTCTCCGAATGAGATAGTTGACCTTGATATATCGATTTCTGTCGTCCAAACTCGCCTTGTTTTACCCCCTTGGCTTGTTCTGAAATCGAAATCTTCGAGATGCTCTCCTTCATGTCATCGGGGTCGAAATCCCCAGCTGTCTATATCCTCGCAGCATGTCTGCTCGCATTCGCCGTTGCCAGTCGCATCCGTCTCTATCTAGTTCGAAAAGCGTTCAAGAAGGAGCACGGCTGCCAACCTATCCAGGCCAAATGGCCCATCAAGGACCCCATCTTCGCATCAGACGTCATGCGGAGCACCTTGAAGCGGGGTCGAGAAGGTACGATCCTCGAAGGAGCGGCCGACCGTTTCCGTCGCATGGGTTGTTACACCTACAAGTACGCCAACTTCACCACTCCCGTCATAGCGACCGCGGAGCCGGAAAATATCAAGACAATCCTCGCTCTTCGCTTCAAGGACTACAGCCTCGGGATGCGCAAGGTCGCATTCACTCCCTTACTAGGCCAGGGCATATTCAATTCGGACGGCGAAAGCTGGGCGCACTCACGGCACATAATCCGCCCCTCTTTCGTGCGGGACCAGGTGGCAGATCTGAACACATTCGAGAGACATATCGCCTACTTGTTCAAAGCCATTCCTCATGATGGAAGTACTGTCGATCTCCAGGAGCTCTTCTTTCGTTTTACCATCGACTCGGCTACGGAATTCCTATTCGGTCAAAGCACCAACAGTCTCCGGGTCTACAAGCCAGGAGGTGGACCACAGGAAGACGCGGCATTTGCAGAGGCGTTCGCGGTTGCACAGAGCGACGTAATTGTACGAGGTCGGATGGGGAATCTCGCCATGCTGACGCGCGACAAGAAGGCACAACAGGCGATAAAGATCTGCCACGAATACGTTGATCAATTCGTGGATGATGCTGTGCGCCATAACAAGATGACCGACATTGAGAAAAAGGCGGCTGGTAGCGGGGAGAAGTACATTTTCTTACACGAGCTCGCAAAGTCGATGAAAGACAAAAAGAGCATGCGGTATGAGGCGCTAAACGTGCTGCTTGCTGGTCGGGATACCACGGCAGGCCTGCTGAGTAACATGTTTTTCGAGCTAGCAAAGCAACCGGCAATTTGGGCGAAGCTGCGCGAGGAAGTAGCACAGTTCGAGGGTACACCTCCCACATACGAGCAGCTGAAGAGCTTGAAATATTTGAAGTGGTGTATGAATGAATGTAAGTGCCCCCCAAGATCGCACTTCTCACATCACTTCATTTCTACCCATCTCCTACCCCTTTCTTTACTTCACCTCACTTTTTCCTTTCTAAAATTATTAATCACCCACCACTAACACTCCCGTCAGCACTTCGCATCCACCCCGTCGTACCCGGAAACTCCCGCCTTGCCGAACGCGACACCATCCTTCCCCTGGGTGGTGGGCCTAACGGCACTTCTCCTCTTTTCGTACCCAAAGGCACCCTGGTAACCTACTCGCCCTGGACGATGCACCGGCGGCCCGAGTTCTTCGGTGCAGACGTCGAGGTCTTCCACCCCGAGCGGTGGGAAACACTGCGCCCAGGATGGGAATACCTCCCCTTCAACGGAGGTCCACGCATTTGTCTGGGCCAGCAGTACGCACTTGCGGAAGCAGGATACGTGACGGTGCGGCTGGCGATGCAGTTTGAGAAGCTAGAGAGCCGGCAGCCGGGTCCGTGGAAAGAAGCGTTGCAGCTGACGCTGAGTTGCGGGGGTGGGACGAAGGTGGGAATGTATGCTAAGTCCCAGTTGATGGCTCAGAAAGAGAAAAGAGCGGGTTTCGATTAAGCAGCCATGACGGCAAAAATTCTAAGAGAAAGGGAGCTTTGAAAGATATGGGCTGAAAGTTGTAAAAAAGTACTGATTGGGTGGATTTATGGGCTCTGTTCTGGCGCAGTTGGAGGTAAATACGGAGGAACCATTGTACGCAATTAATGTAGTATCGCGTCTACGACTAGAAAGCCCACCCTACAAATACGACTCGCGCGATAACTAACAGTATCGACTCAGCCATAATTCACTTTCAAACAGCTTCTACCTCCGACGCGATCGTCGCAGTATAAATCACGGCTTCCCTTCCTCTGACAGCCAAGGGAATGGCATGTGACTCGAAGGTCCGTCACGTGCTCTGCTTACCTTACCTGTTTATCTTCGGTATAAAGCGTCTCTTTATTTCGTCCTCGAGTTGCTTTTTCTGTATGGGGAGACGAGTCAGCTCAGTCTTCAAAACTTCAGTGCACAGTATCGATGGTTGGAGTTTGTTGGATTATGACAATCACCTAGTTACAGCAATCACTGTTGGTAGCAAACAGGGCTTTCATGTACATAATGTTCGCGTCCTACCAATGTTCAGATGCTACGGCCTGCAAACCAACAGAGTTGGGCGTATCTGGTGAGGTGTCCGAAATGGTGAACCTCGTTTTTTAATCCTGTCTGAGCGTTTGTGAGATCGTTTGAAAACGGCACGGACTAGTCCCGTCAGACCCAATGATGAATTCTACCATTTCCCTTTCAAGATATCTCTCGTCGTTACAAGATGGTAGCAAGACAAAAGCAGCTGCAAGCTGTCTTCATTCTCATCAAATCGTGTTACTGAATCGCATCATGGAGACATCCAGTTTTTCCCTCCAAAATCCAGCACCATGATCCGGGGGGCAGTACAAAATTGATCTTCCACCAAAGCAGCATAAGATATATTCATTGTTGTTTTGCATACACCAACCCCGAGGCCATCACATTTCGCATCCTGGTGTGTTGATGTACTCCCATCCTGCTCCATGCTGCTCAATCGAGGCGCGAAAGGAGTTCTTATACCCTCTCAGGGGTTGTGTCACGGGACTCCCACATGAGACGCGCTATTCTACTGGGCCTTGCTCGTTCGAGGCCTTTGTGGAGCTCGTCAGGTGGTCTCACGTGATACCGATCTTGAAAGTGTATAAAATCTTTCGCTCGCTCTTTTGGTTCTGCTTTTCTTTTTTCATGGAGATTCTTGCAAGGAGACGGGGACGAAGTAAAAGGATAGGTCGATACAACGCATGGAGTGGGATCTGCGTCAAAAGTTGCGGTCATCCCTTCCCATGTCGGAGGGTTGGCTTGGGTCGGCTTCAACTCTGTTGGATTATGACAATCACCTACAGCAATCACTGCCGGTAGCAAACAGGGCGCTTTTATGTACATAATCTCGCGTCCTACCAATGTTCAGATGCTACGGCCTGCAAACCAACAGACCCCCCCTTGCCAGACCATATATGGAGGCTGTGATGGCTTTGGGTGGATCAACCGAGGCAACAGAGAGCTTCATGGGCATGAGTTATCAATCACATGGCGATCATCGGATCCCAATGGGTGCGTGTGGCTTTCGTGAGTGGGAAGCTAGCGATATAGGTCATCATCTCCGCCCCCTTGTTGCTACTATCTTGAGCAGTGACACTGGTAAAATGGTCCGAGGTTAGTGATAACGACCATCCATGAGTGAACTTGCTGTTCCACATCTCCGCAGACAATAATTGCAGTCCTTAGTCACAAGCCCTGCTGGGCTGACCACCATTGGAGTCAGAGAGTGCCGTTTTGACTCCACAACTGTACTGCTTCCACAACCTCCACAACGGCCATACGGCTTCTGTGTGGTAGTTTGAGGACGTCATTCTTTAGAGTCTGGGTGTAAGTCAAATGGATACCGTGATGTATGAGGATCGCTGATAGGTGAGAATTGCTCTATCTGTATTTCAATCATACTGAGGAAAGCAGTATGCCTTCAACTAGCCTTATATATATCATACCATCTCCCTCTCATCGACATATCATCAATTTTAGAGAGAACAGCCTTCGTACTCTCAGTCGATGCTCTCCTCGAGCAACCCCACTCAATCTCCACCCAAGAGACCTAAAATCACAGCCCGCTATTGCTCGCAGCAACGCTTCCCTCGCTCTCAGCCTTCCTATTCCCTCGTGACTTGACGCGGTGAGTCAAAGCCTCCACATCCGGCGGCAGCAAACCCTTCGACTTCTTCAACCTGATCTCCACCACCGGCGACATGTACTCCTTCAGATTCTTGCTAAACAACGCAAAGATGATGGATACCGCCCCAAAAGTGATGCATATCTCATACACATACGCGAACGCATGCACATAGCACGATTTCAGCACCTGCCCAGCCTTCAGCAAGCCTAGCGGATTCGCCCCTGCAAACGCTGGACTGGTGACGTCCCCCGCCAGGAAAGACTCGACCGCGACTTGGAGGTTGAGGAGGGGGACACCGGCCTCGGCCAGGGCGGGCACTAGGCGGGATTTTACTTGGTCTGTGAGCTTGTTCTTGAGCATGACCGGGGCGATGATCTGGTTATGTAAGTGAGGATTGTGGAAATGTGGGATGGGATAGAGGTGGCCTACCGAGGTCATGGCACCGCCGTATGTGTGGAGAGATTGGGCTATCCCGGTGGCGACTCCAAGGTATTCGTGCCTGACGACGACTTGGATCATGCCGATTGCTGTGACGGATATGGCGGTGTAGAAGGCGCCGGAGAGAGCAACGAGGGCGGTGGATGATGCTTGCGAGGTGGTTGCTTAGAAAGTTATGTTAGTGAACGAAATTAGAAGTATATGATTGCTGAGATCTCTACATAGGATTTGAAGGCGACTCTTGGGCGTTTAGAGAGTAGAAAGTCTTTTCATCAAGGGCGAGACTGGAGAGAGACACTTACAAAGCGTAGCCTGCGCACCTCCCACGATCGTGAACCCAATTATGAAGAACGTCAGCCACCATCGCGCATATCCCTTTTGTACCAAATATCCAACAAGGGGCGCGAAGACTGGACCTGCCAGACCATGCGCCATGCCATAAAGGCCCTGTGGGATAGACTTTTGTGTGTACAGAATCTGGACCTCTTCTGACCATAGAATCGTAGTAGCGTCTCCTATACCACTCAAGAAGAGTGCGAAAAGAATTGTGTCGAATGTTCGCCATTCCTTCACAAGCGGTTTGGGCAAGAAGGCCCACGGGGAAGGGCAGTGGATGGCCTCCCAAATGGCGAAGACGAAGATGAGAGCTACTCCGAGGAAGGTCGGTGTCAGTACTCCAGCGGATATCCTGGGAGGGATTTGTGTCAGCAAGTACTATACTCTGATGGGTAAACATCCCAAAACTTACCATGGATATGCCGAGCCTCCAAAGAGAAGACCAATAGCAATGAGTGTCAACATAACGACATACAAGACAGGCCCATACCAGTCGAACTTCTTAAATCGCGTGCCGATAGACTCAAGCTGCAGCTGAGTCTTCCGTTTCTCAGGATTGTAGAAGATGAAAACGCCAATGAAGCCGGCGATGTTGTGAGCAAAAGCCATCCAGTAGATATCCCTCCATGTCGTATGCAGGACGAAGGCGTGAGCAATGAGAGGCGAGAACGCAGACGCTGCAATCAACGAGCCCTGGAAAAGCCCGTTTGCCAGTGGTCGACTTCGCTTTGGAACCATTTCTGCGATGCATGTAAGCGAGAGCGAGTGCGCAGCCGACGATAGGCCTATCAGGACGCCAGCTCCGATCAGGGCGCCCATGGAGTGGCAGGTGGCTGATACAACGCAGCCGACGAATCCGATCAGGTTTCCTACGAGGAGGAAGATTTTGCGCTCGAAGATGTCGCTGAGCCGGCCGACGACGGGAGTCAAGACTGATCCTGCTAGGTTGATCGATACCAGTAGCCAGGCATAGTTGTTTGGAGAGGGGCCTAAAGATGTTTTAACGAAGCCAGAGGTATGTTAAGGCGCATGAGTATGTACCAATATCTGCGGTGATGTACGCGAAATCCGTCCGGGCCATGCCAACGACGAAAACATCTGCCATGTACCCGATCTGGATGGACTGTAGCATTGCTTTAGCGTCTAGGTCTGGCGAACCCTTTGAATGCGTGCAAGGCTTACAAGAAATGCGAGGAATAGCTTGAAAGTAAACTTGAATGGCTTTTCGGGTATTTCGTCATCCCCTTCGAATTTGTTCTCATTATGTGGATCTTCAAGGTGTTGAGGAGGGCTGTGCTGATGCTCCAGTTCTTTGGAGGTCCTTGAATCCATTACAGACATCTCAACAATGGGTAGAATTTAATGCAGAAGAGAAGTTAGAAGGGAAACAGCGCAATGGAAGTTCAGCGGTCAGTTCGTGGCTTCAGCGTAATGGACGCAGTTGCGAAGGCAGAACTAGTCATCTTATATTATCGGCCAGCTTTACTCCACTTTTCTTGCACGGTGTGAAGGAATAATCTGTTGCTTTTTGTGACGATCCAGGGAAGAGTCGGGTCGTTTGGCCAAGGGTAAGATGCACCGTCCTCACAAGCTTCAGAGTGAAGCTTGTAATCTATTCTTGTGGAGAACCCTGCCTTCCTTGCATCCAGAAAGCCATACACGACCCTGCATATTCCAAGAAGTCCTTGCATTGGTAGAATCTGGGAAGGTAACTATCGAACTTAATCCTAGTTGGGACATTCTGAGCGAGGTTTCGAACTTCAACAAGGCGGCAATCTGGGGGCATTTTGCGGGGTAATTTCGTGTCTGCATAACTTTTCTACGGATGATAGATTCCCGTAGCAGATCTCCAATGTATATCTGACCGTATTCGATTTGCTGGGCCGTTTCGTGTCAGAGAACCTCATGTCAGTATGCCGGAGAGCAAGGGTACCTGGTAAAAAAGGCCGCTAGGCCCAACTCGCTTGAGAACCGACACGGAGAAAGTAGGAAATGGCATAGGTCGAAAATCGACTTGTGTTAGATATAAGGTTGATGCCGTAGCTTGCCGAAGCGGTCCACGTATCCCGGGAGCATTAACCGAGCCAGTGTTGCAGAACATATCGGGTCTAGTAAACGCCCATATGGCAACGTGATTTAGAAAGGGATGATATCTTGAAAATCAGACGAGGGAAATGGAATTATTTCTATGTGCAAGTACACCGTGATCTTATTGAAGTGATTAGCGCACGTCCCTCATGCTGCAGTTGCCATCTTTTCTTGCCGTTCCCTAACACACCTGTTTTACCTTAGTCTTTGTAAAATATCATTATTGCATATAATTCTAGAAGACTAGCTTCTGCGGAAAATTTGAGTGTCGCAATTCTTTGACTGCCTCAACAGTATTCTGTAGTTATTTTTAGACACAACCTTGAAAGAGAGAAGAGCGAGGGAGAATCAAAAGGCCGGATTCAGACGCCAAAAAGCCGGACTTAGAACTCAAGAAGGCCGATATCTATTGCCGCCTCGATCGTGGCGACCGACCCCAGAGGGAACGCCGGCTGACACTACTGCTAACAAATGCAGGCCTTCAGCAATGGACTGCGGATTAAAGGGAGCTGTAAATCTCGCGAGATTGCCGCAGAATCTTTGTTTGCCCATGTATGAGATGACTCTGCATGGTGGAGATTATCAGCTCTACTACTAGGTTACCCCCAAATCACATGGAGAAAGGAGAAAGCGGGAAGGTTCGTAACGCAGAGTTTTCACATATGCTGATTTGTCTGGAAAGAGATTAAGTGAATCCGGAGGCCCGAGGGACTAGAAGACGTGGATAAAGAGGGAGAAAATACAGCAGAGAGCGAGGGAGGAACAGGCGAAGTGAGAGGAGAAGTGTGTGGACGAGCCAGCAACAGAGGGTGTTTGAGACCGAGGTTGATGGGTGGAAGAACTCCATACGGGTGAACGGATCGTTGCAGTGGGGCGTCGAAGCTATTAACACAGGTCGTGGAGAGTGTTATGATCTATCAAATCGGGCTCCAAGCCCGACGCCTCTTTCGGGAGAAACTGGCGTTGCAAAAAAGCTCATTGGAAGACGTCCCGCGCGGGATGAATTGCCGATACCCATGTCTTCGAGGATATATTGAAACCCTACTAAAATAGAACACGAAAGTCAAGGATCTTGAGGATGTGGCTGATAAAGACATAGTAAACTTGATCGCGTATTATGGAAATTACCGAAGAGACGTGAAATTGAAGTAACCGAAACATTTTCAATATTGATTTGGAGACGCACGGAAACTCAAGGTAATGAAAGCTCCTCTCTCCCCATACACTATGATTGACCCTCCCACTATGACCTAAATACTGTTAGTGTCAGGGAGTAGCGGTGAGGGCTACGGCAGGCGCACAGCACCTCTTGTATATAGCCTCACCTTCCTCTAGACCTCTCTCTCTCATACATCATCATCATCATCATCATCATCATCCAATACATCACGGACACGGCAGATAGCTCCTTGTTCCGTGACAATTAGACTACCCCGAAAAGACAATAGCGCAATGCTTGCATAGGGCCCCCACAAATCCAGATGCCCAGAGTCCTCTCCAACGATACGCAGACCTCGACCGAATGTGCCAAATGCAACTAGAGCTAGTGCGAAAAAGCATATAAAACCCTCAACCATTTGAGATATCACGTTTTGGCCTAGCTGCACGGTGGAATCCGAACTCCGGAAGGTATATAGATCTTACTTCTTTCCAATTACGGGTATAAAGCTATCATGCTATAGTACCATCCTTTTGTACAGTCGCTTACCGTAAGAGCAATGTCATTGAAGCCGTAACTGAAGCCATCCAGTAGTCCACTAGGGTCTCCAAATACCTCAAAAAGGCAGCATAGTTAGATGAAGTTAATCGACGAATACAGGAAGAAAGTACGCCAAATAATTCAAATACATACCGCGTCAATTATGCTGTACCTCCATGTCACTCACCGCATGAAACATCGACGTGGAGCCCCGACCAGTAGCAGCGATTCAGGCTAACGGAGGAAAGAATCGTTGTTTGGGGCACTTGTGATGTTGCATGAAGATTTGGTGGTTGAAAGTGGGTGTCTCGATGGTCCTTGCGTAGGATGTAGTCCTGGACGTTTTCTCAATGGCAACTGTGAAGATCCTGAGTACCGTCGGAACCAAAGCTATTTTCTTGACTGACTTCTAGTACGTTGTAGCCGTCGCCGTGGCCGAAGCCTGGGAAAAATCTCTCAAAGCCGTCGTTATTGTCGGCTAAGGTATCCAAATAGTCAAGCCGAACGTAGTCCAAACTCAGGTATGTGGGTGGCTTAAAGATAAAACTCCTCCAAGACCCTTCATTCTTAAAGAAAGACAGTCCTGCAAGGTACAGACCTCGCAAGTTCGGAGCTAGTAGATTCAAAAATTCGGAGAGTATTTCTTCTAACGTACAGACTGTTCCCAGCGCCAAATCTCTGAGTTGAGGCCAGGGAAGATTTCGGAGATTACCCGCGCCATCATAAAGAAGATGTTTCAGGATGTTGAATTCTGGGTTAGTATTTATAGGCCTTTGAAATGGCGAGCAGGTAAAGTTGTCTTCTCCGATATCAAGGGCAAGAACTTTTAGTACTTTAGCACGCAAGATAAGGTTCGCCAATTCGATGACCGGATTACTGAGGGCTTCTTCTGCACGGTATGTCATCCGAACGTGAAGAGTAGTCAGAACTTCAAAAACCGGATACATCTTAGCAATCTTGTTTTGGGCATGGGGAGATTGGTCGAAGTTGGGCCATTCAATTTGTCAGTCGTGCTTGTTCAAATGCGTCTGACACAGAAAGGAGTTCCCACGAACGTTGAAGTGCAGAGACCTGAAGGTTTCAGGAAGACCCGCGCTCACCAGACAGGAGAGTAGCCAAGAGAGCTGCGGGACGCCTTCCAGCCATCGTAGATGATAGTCCCACGGATAATACTCCTCGATAAGGTCACGATCTCTCTCATCCCTCCATTCTGATGGCGTGATCATAACTTTCTTTTCAAAGGTAGACCAAAATGGGTGTGTGATGTCTTCTACAACACATGCAGATTGCAAGTTCGTGAGCTTCTCGACTGCAGATGGAAATCCGTATAACCAGTCTAGCATCGGGTTATTGGAGTTAAGGCGGTTATCGCAACATTCACATTAATTGGTCTACCGCATTCTGATACCCTATGTGCAGTTGGTAAGGAGACGTGAAGTTATGAATTTTGAGTTTCGCTCGGCTTACAGCCGCCCTTGTGGGACCGTCACTGCCTGCCCTGTTGGCTATGCAAGCAAGCAAAATCAGTACTGGTGAGAAATTCGAAAATATATGAATGTAGGACCCTTGTATCTAGCTGATGACAGCTTAGTGAGGAAGGGAAGCGAAGGCAACTCGTCGTGAGATACTAGCTACAGAATGAACTCACCCCATACCGAGAGTAGTAAGGCGTGTTGTACGAGTGACTAAACGAGCTAGCTCGGAGGGGAAAGTAACGTAATCCACAAGGTAGCGGCCGCCACTAGGTAGTGGCCGCGCTAACTTTTTGGTGCGATTTGGACGTGTTGGCAACCTAGTAACCTCAACGGCTGCTCAAGATCAAGTATAATTTCAAGCGTGTATATCCTATAAAGCCCTATCTAATAGCTGGAAAAAGCTTAGAGCAACGTGTAGGTGTGATTCTACGTCTATTGTAGAAATCACCTAATGATAAGGCCAAACTCTACTAGTTACGACGAAATGGAACCATCGAGCGACCTAAAAAGTCGACTAATAACGTTGAAATAGCCCCGGAAAGTTACAGCTTAGAAACTCTTACGGCTGTCAGCTGTTGAGATTATTGGGGTGTCAAAACGTCCAAATCGCACCAGCGCGGCGACTACCTAACTAGTGGCGGCCGCTACCTTGCGGATTACGTTAACTAACGTATTTCACGGGTAAGTGGGCCACCCGGGTAAGTGGGCCACCCCATCAAATTCTCCGGAAACGCGACGCGTGATACAACTACAACCTCAATGCCTCCACCACAACAACAAGATAACCTCTTCAAAGAGGGCAGAATTGACCTAGCTATCAATGCATACAAGCAAGGCCAAATTACAAGCTTCCGAGCCGCCGCTAGCACCTACGACGTGCCCCGGAGTACAGCCCAGCGACGCATTAAGGGCACCGCGTCAAAACGCGATTCTATCGGACCAAATCGCCGTCTCACGCCTGCACAAGAAGAGACGCTTAAGGAATGGATTCTATCAAGAGATCAACGCGGTATGCCGCCACGAATTGAGGTTGTACGGCAGATGGCTGCGTTGTTAGCTGCACAGTATGGACCCGCCAAACCCATCGGCAAGAATTGGGTGACAACCTTTGTCAAGCGCCACAACGATATACAATCCAAATTCAGTCGCAAGTACGATTATCAACGGGCTAAATGCGAAGATCCTGTTCTTATTCAAGGCTGGTATAAGCGTGTACATGATATAAAGATGCAATACGGAATTCTGGATAATGATACCTGGAACTTTGATGAGACTGGCTGCCAAATGGGTGTTATCGCAACAGCTGCTAAAGTTGTTACTGGAACAGATCGCGCTGGCCGTCCAAGAACAATACAACCAGGCAATCGAGAATGGGTCACAATTATCGAGTGCATCAATGCGTTGGGGGGTGATATTCCACCGCTTGTCATCTTCGATGCCGTGATGCACCAAGCTGCTTGGTACGAGGACGATATTATTCCACACGATTGGTCGATTGGCGTTAGTGATAATGGATGGACAACCAACGAAATCGGCCTTGTTTGGTTGAAGCTATTCCATGCGTATACAAAGGATCGCACCGTTGGCACGCATCGGCTGCTTGTGTTGGACGGCCATGGCAGCCATGTTAGCCCCGAATTCGACCAATTTTGTATGGATCACAACATCATCACGCTATGCATGCCGGCGCATTTATCGCACCTGCTGCAGCCGCTTGATGTAGGCTGTTTCTCGGCGCTCAAGCAATCATATGGACGCCTTATCGAACAGATTATGAGCCGAGGGGTCAATCACATCGACAAACGCGAATTCTTGCCCATCTATAGGCAAGCTAGGAAGGAAGCTCTCCATCAAAGCAACATACGGGCGGGATTTGCAGCTACTGGCCTTGTTCCATTCAGCCCTGATCGTGTACTATCACAGCTGCATGTTGAATATCAAACGCCATCACCCCAACGCCGTCCACAATCAAAAGCATCATCTTGGGCCGCCGAGACACCTCATAATATTGAGGAGCTTCAAAAGCAAAAGGCCTTAATACAACGGTTAATTAGGCAGCGCACGCGCAGCCCACCAAGCCCAACAGATGATGCAATTCGACAGCTTGCGAAAGGATGTGAAATGGCGATGTCAAGGACTGTGCTGCTTGAACGCGAAGTTGAACAGCTACGCATGGAGAATCAGCGCCAAAAAAAGAAGAGGGCAAAGAAACGCACGTTTGTAGCTAAGGGGGGTATTTTATTAGGGGCAGAAGGGTCTTCTCTTGCACAAGCTGCACAGAATATTACCGTGGAGGGGGCTCCAGAGGCAGCGAGCGAGCGGCCGCAGCGTGCAAAACCTAAGTGCAGCATGTGCGCATCAACAGATCATAATGCACGTACGTGCGCTAAGAGGCAGGTAACTGGCTAGCAGACAGCTACATCAAATACAAGCGTTTGTTGTTGAGAAATTCATGATATTCGGCGTTGTGGTTTGGTGGGGTGGCCCACATACCCGGGTGGCCCACTTACCCGTGAAATACGTTAATCCTCCATACGCTTTAGTCAGCCGGAACAATTTCTGGGCCGACAACGCTGGTCCTAGCCCCGTAACTAGTCCTTTTCGGGTAGAGATCGCGAGATTCTTGGCACTCATCAGGGGAGCCCTCACGTCACTGCAAGCCACACATCGTCGTTCAGAAACTCCAACAAAGTGACGCTCTTCTCTCAATCTCACTCACATTCGCGATCACTAGTTAGAATTCGGCTCGCGAGGATCCGCTTGTATCGCCATGGCAATACGCGAGTGATGACTGTCGGACTGGCCGGGCTCTGTATCTCAAGGATTCGTTTCATTCGCCATCGGTAAATCACGAGCACACCACTATACTATGGGGTTTACAGGAAAGCCAAGCAGGGGCTGTGGAGTGTGCCGCAGACGTCGTATTAAGGTAAACCTGATTGAATTAGTTGTGGACTGGTCCAATGATTGACTACTGACGAGGGCTAGTGCGATGAGGCCTCGCCTGGCTGCTCTTATTGCCTGAAAAGGCAAATCGTATGCCCCGGATATCGGTCCCAGTTTGACGTTGCCTGGCGAAACCAAAACGTAGTAGCGGAGCATGCAGTTCTCCGCAGGAAGAAAGCCATCGACAAGGCTGATCGTGACGGTGCAGCTAAAACCCAAGTAGAGCGCCATGCCTCCCTTAGAATCCCGAAGTCTTTACCCCAAGACTATGAGCAATATGCCATCAACTTCTTTCTCTCTTCATACATTCTGCTGCCGAAGGACCCCGGTGTACGTCGAGGCATGTTAGACTGTTTGTATCCAGTCTGGACTCGGATTGATTCTACGTCACCACTGAAGCCAGCTCTTACCGCAGTGGCTTCATGTATGCTGGAGGGATGGTCCAGACTTAGGCCAGACATCTCGGTATCGCTTTCACGATCACACTATGTGAAAGGTGTAGCAGCACTAAGGGAAGCCCTGGAAGAGAACAAAGACATTGGGGACGACGTACTTTTGGCATCACTCATGTTGGACATGTACGAAGAGGTAGTATCATTCATGACCGGGACGCGTTCTTTCAGTCCTCATGTTCGTGGGACCACCTCATTGATTGCACAACGACGGAGGCGGCCAGTCACCAACAAGACATCTCAAAGAGTTCTGCTTGGCGCACGAAGCCAAATCGTGACGAGAGTATTGGCTAATGCCCAACCTGCTCCGTTTGATCCATCGGAGTGGAGGGAAATAACGCCTAATATTCTAGAAACACCGGTACTCATACTGGACGACCTTAATATTGACGTAGCAAATATCCACGCTGCCGCTTCGTGTCTCAACTCAGAGACTACGCAGAGGGACCTTGCGTGGGAAATACTACAAAGGACAATCGAGCTCGACCAACGACTACTAGCCTGGACAAGCTCCACAGCTCCAATTTATTGGATGCCCGTCCGAGTCGCCGGTCCAGAATGCATCCCACAGGGAGTGCGCGACGCCGGTCTGTATCACGATTATTGCCACGTTCACCAAAGCATTTTCATCGCCGCCACGCTCAACGTATACTACACCTCGCGCATCAAACTTCAGTTGGCAATTCTCAACTGTCTTAAACATTTGGATTTTGCCGATTCCGATGCCACACGACTGACCACTTTGGAGATCATTCAAGATTTAGCCGACAACGTGTGTGCCAGCGTGCCGTTTCACCTGGGGGATAGAAGAGAGCCTACTCGCATCGACGATAAGGATGTTCAATACCCTCATACTGGAGGGGACCCGGTTTCCGATCATCATTATGCAGCGGCGGCTGCGTATGGCGGTTATCTGCTCACAAGACCGCTAGTGGAGGTTCTCACCGCTCGCTGTCCCTTGAGGACTGGGCAACGAGAATGGATTGGAGGCCAAATGCAGAGGCTCAAGCAGATTTATGCCATTCGACCAATATAAACCAATTGTGGGTTTTACTTCGAGTTTAACCAGTCTACGAGTAAACACAGGTTCCTGGTAAATACCCCTCTGAAAATGGACGTTTAGAACGCCGTTTTATGGGTGTGTGGGGGCCTTTTCCCACCGTGCCAAGAAAAAACTGTGGCGTTCTTCTAGAAATTTCCATGAACAGCCACGTGTCTGCTTTCGCTCTGTGTGCTGAGCTGTCGCTCAATCGTACAGTATCTAAGCCCATCTCCATCAATCGCAGAAAGCTAGCATGAGCGATCGCGCCAGTGAAGCCCTTGCTTACACGACTCCATTCTGCTGCTCGTGAGTCAGGTCTGTGCGCCTCAATTTTACCTTCTACTCCATGCTTTCCGCGAAATCAGGCACTCAGCAGGAATCGCTCAAGTTGTTCCCAGCAAGATATTTGCTCGCTTGATGAGATACTACTAGTAGTAGTGAACTGGTCAATTCTAACATGGGCTATCAATATAACAATTTTCCCGACGACCGCCATATCCGGTTATTGCAAATTCTTCCATAGAAAGCAACCGACAAGTATGAGAGGATTGATGTCAAGCTTGAGTACTATCCGCTAGACGATCTTCCCGATTTTGAAGCATTGTCATACACATGGGGCCCAGCAACGACCAACAGCTATCACAGTCCTGAAGGTGCAGAAAACATCAGTCAACCAGAAATCTATATTAGAGGTCATCGCTTGCATGTAACACAAAGCCTGCACGATGCTTTATCGCAGCTCCGAGACGAAGTCGTGGGATATTTATGGGTTGATGCGGTGTGTATCAACCAAAACAGCGACGCTGAATGTTCGTCGCAAGTTCTGTTAATGGGCGACATCTACTTCTCTGCCCTGAGAGTCATCGTCTGGCTGGGGAAAGATGTAGAAAATCTGGATTCACTACTTTGGATGAAGAACACAATATACACTATCTTAGGGCAACAAGATGACGACAACATATCCTTCAATATTTCTGCAGACCCGGTGGAAGTTCAGCGAGTATTCGACTGTCCATACGAAACATATATGAGTCATTTGAAGTGTACAGAGCGGTTCTTTAAACGACACCGGTGGTTCGATCGGGCCTGGATTATGCAAGAGTTTATACTGGGTCGGGAAATCCTGTTCCGAGTCGGTGGCAATTCGCTGGACTCTTCTGACATTTCTCGGGTTCTGCACGCCTCGTCTCGAACCTTTGTATCCTCTAGGATGGACTCGATATCACCTAGTCGGCTTCCGCTCCGTATTTCAAGAGGGCGAAGCCATGGACTCGGAAATTTTCAGGGTCTGGACCGATCGAATCTTTGAAGCAGAGACAGACACACAGAGGTGGTTGAGCTGTCTAATGTGCTTGGCGGATCACTCTAAAGAGGCTAGTTTGTCTGTCCCGCATGATAGGATTTACTCTATCCTTGGCTTGGCAGAGATGATACGTCCGCTGGAGGTGAATGAGCGTCTTGTTATGGACTACTCTAGGCCCGCTGAACAAGTATTTGCCGACTTTGTCTCGCAGCTCCTACAAAATCTTCCTACGTTAGGGATTCTCTCATTTGTTGACGATGCGGAGTCTGTGGCAGTAGACGGCTCCCCATCCTGGAGTTGGGGGTATAATGTCAGGGTATTTAACAGAGGACGTCCCTCGATGATTACGTGGCAAAATTGTATGGAAGATCTGCGTAGATTCCGTGCTTTCCCTCAAGATCCTGGCGCAAAGGGGAGGGCAGACGGCGTTTGTCGCATAGCGGGATCTGTTCTCTCTGTTTTCGGAAAATGTGTCTCTGAAATACGCGATGTTGGCAAACAAATACGTCGGGCCGAGGATGAAATTGAGACCGAGATCAGTGGCGAGATGATAGAGTCATGGCTCGACCTCTGTTGTTCTCTGGACGAGGCATACCCCCTCACAGGTCAGAGTAGGCTGGAGGTCCTTGCTCGAACGTTGGTCCTGGACATGCCCATTGGAACAGAAAAGCTAGGTTAGCAGAGCAAATGGGAGGCAGTGGAGACATAGAGCAGGGTCTTAGCTCGTTGATTCTCCAAACGACCTCTATGCGACTCCGCAAGATGAACTCTTTAAGCTGGCGAGCAACATTATCTACTAATCTTATGCCATGCGCATTATCATTATCCTCTTGGAGCATGCATCTGCCATAATATTGCGGCTGATTTAGGTCTTAATCATGCTCCTCCAGACGCGTAATATACCTAGGAAGAATCTTCTTAGTGTAGTAGGCTTATGTCATTAAATTCCCCTTTAGTTTGGTATTAACGCCGTGTGGCCTCTATGCCTCCCATTCCTGAACTCTCTATATATATTCCTCCTCAGTCTCTCGTATAGGGCGACGGCGTGGCTTACGTGGAGGTTTCTTAATATTAAGGTGGTCGTTTTTATCGTTGTAGAATATAAGAGGCCTAACGTAATGCCATGATATATCGGCGGCCACATGGAGGCGGACTCCTAGATCCTTTTCTCCATGAAAATGCTGTAAATTAGCAGGAGAATAGCGGGATCCTTCCTTCCTGTAGATGTAGCCAGAACTCTATTGATGCGGATCGATGTGCGCTTCATCTGTAAAGTGTACAAACTTCTAAAAGTTGTTAACTGTGTCATCCTTGTGCTGCCAGCCGTAGCCCTCTCGGAGGAGCATGTTCCTGTGAGAGATATCTCTAACAGTTGCCATCTTAAATCCGTTTGAAATGCGCTTCTTTGTTATACTTCTGCAGCGTACGAACAGTGGCCTGAATGCCATAGTACTGCATCTGGGCATCAAATGGTGCCTTTCGCATTGGATTGTTGTCGCTTTGTATAGCAGCAAGCTGCGCATCTGTAATCACACGATGGCTCTCGCCATTGCGATGCTTTCCAGGCCGGTAGTCAGCATCCTTGCCCTTCTCTCTGCGCAGCCGGAGCATGTTCTTGCACGTTGTGTAGTGGCCGGTGAAGTTGATCCGTTTTATGACATCTTTGATGCCTTCCCCTGGGTTTCTGAGGTCATAGGCGTTGTAGAATTTTGTGCGGGTATGCGTGGAGAATTCATGGCGACTTGGCTTGCGATCAGGAGTGCTTGGAGCCATTGGTTTGATAGTAATTTGATAGTATTGTGATGATTTTGGCATATTTACTGGCCTTGCGAGTTGCCAAGCGTTTGTGGCCTGATGGCCTGAGGGACACTCGTAAGCTTCACCCACTGTGACGTTAAAGAATAGCTTAAAGATATTAAGGAGGCTATTCCTATTAAGACCTAGAGGCACACAAGGCTCTCCAGGATCCTCCTAATATTGTATATGCAGGGGCTTAAAATCCGGCACGGGCTTGGGCTTAGGGGGCGGCTGTTTGGACTTTTTGGCCTTAGGATCTTTCCGCACAAGATCACAATCATTGCTGAATGTTTGAGGCATCGTGGAGCATTAATTTGGTCGAGAAATGTTGAAATTTGGGCTTGTTTCGATGATTCTACAGTCTGTTTACATGCCCGTGCGTACTAACGTGTGATGGGATAGTCAACTTCTCGTCTTTGACGACTACATCCGCCCCACGACAGTCATCCCCGCGCTCCTCATTCTCCGAGTTTGTAGGCAGCTACATGACGAAGCCGCTTCGATATTTTACGCTGCCAACTCTTTCTACTGTCGCCTCGATCACCAACTTATTATCCAAGAGGTTTTCAAGCTTCCAACATTATGGACGCATTGGCCACATGGCGTAGCCTGTGGCAGCTAGTGGAACATTGGCCATGCTCGGACTGTCTCACCAGCGTAAGGGGGTGCTAGGCACCCCCCTTCTCCGCCTATATATACCCGTCCTCCTACATAGCAATATACAAGAGTTCTCACCACTTTTCACCAGCTGCCAGCCTGGCCGGCACCGAGATACCACATCTATCTCACTAGGGTCGTTATTGATGCTCGTTTGTCTTTTCCCCGCAGCGACCAAGAAGAACGATTGATAACGCTGGAAGAAGAGATGAGAAAAAGCTTCTCAAAGTTGCACGCCGAACTATCTATGCTCTGGTCCGCGAAGGACAGGCCTTGGGAAGGAAAGCTTATTTGCTGCCGACAGTGGAATAGTAGCATAACTCGGCCTTTTTCGTCGCTCAATTGTATGCTAGCATTCTCCGAAACCGATGAAGATGTTACGAAAGTTCTAGTCCGTGGATATCGACATCTTAGTTAATTCAATACCCAGCAAATTGCTCATCGCCAACCCCAACAATCATAGTTTCTTGGGTCTGGATGGCTCTTTGCTCGAAGGACGAATAGCAATTGCGCACAAACAACTACCTCCACGGATTCATACAAAGAAGCGTTCTTCTCCGTCCATAGATCTTCATCGCAGCCTCTTCATTTACTTTTTGGTCGCTATCTAGTTATATCCAAATATTGGTCTTCACCGATACTACTCTGCCTAGTACCCTAACACCTCAATCACCATAAGAATATGAAGAAACATCATGATTTTAAGTGCTTTGTTTTGGTTGGCAGTACCGGGTTTCCTCATGGCTCCATAAAATGCACGATAGATGTCTAATGACGGTCTTACGGACTGAGAAAAAAGATACGATTTCAATTCTGCATTTACCACTCAACGCTCCTTTACAGCATCTCTTGTGCACCATAGATTGATGAGTAGAAGCAAAGTTTGCTCCGGAAACTCGTTACCACATTCACCAGAAACATGTCTTATTCTCAGCAAGCTTTTGGCACTCAAAGGATTCCAATGTTCACCTCGTGCCAACTCATCTATGAAAAACTACTGAAAAAACACCTTGGGGATCTGCGTTGGAAAATAACACAACCGCATATAACAACCTCGTAAGCCAACACGTCCATCAAACATACACAAATACGCCTCCATAATGCCAGCATCCATAACCCCATCACCACCACCGCCTCCCTGCAACCCACGCCTTCCCCTTCCAAGTCCAGAAAGAAGTTGGAGCAAGCTCGCAGGAAAGTACACGAAGCTCAAGGCAGAAAGAGGATTCGTCCCCGGCTGCTTGCTCCTTTACCCAATCCACAGGATCAAGGATCACGGCAACACAATATTCGAGATCTAATTTTTTGGAGATGCCCAGCGTTATAAAATACTAGGAGAAGGACTAAAATCTATGACTGTCCAAGACTTAGATGGAGAGATTCGGACGCGCTTCTTTGCCCAGAAGATTCTCTCAACAACACCGGAGAGCACGGCTAGCGATAATAGTGACAACATGGAAAGCTGGGGAGAGAACTTGGTGCAGGTGGCGAAGCGTTTGGATCGTTTGGGGGCACCGCAGATGGAGAATATTAGGTTCGCTGCTGCGGTGGTTGGGTTGGCGACGTTTCTTATGACTGGGTGGCCTGGAGCAGGTGTCTGACGTTGTCTTCATGCCTCGAGAAAGAGAGAGGAGAGATTCGACGAATCGCCTGGATTCCACCTCAATTCAAAACCATCTTCAATCATATCCTACAGACCGGGTTATGTCTCAAGCCACCGGCTTCCTTCCCCAAGCATACCTCATAACGTACTCCGCGCCCCTCTCTTCCATCTCTTTAATCAATCTCGGAGCCAGCATTTCCAACTCCGCCGCATCCAGCGACTTGAGGCCTCCAGGAATCATCTTTGTATGTTTCAACTTACCCTGCAAGCCCACAGACATAGAGCTGTACCCCTTCTCCCTTAACTCCGCATCCGGCTGCCTGCACCCATACGGAATCGGCACAACCCTCGTCTCAACCTCCTCGAACCCTTCCTCCTCAAGCCACTGAGCCAGCTCATGCGCATACGTCATCGGCACGCCTATGAAGCCGAATAGCTCCCCCATCAGCAAGAGGAATTGCTGCATTGCTGGCCCGTCATTGGGACCAATCGCTTGCTCGGCTTCCACGAGCTGGATCCAGCCGCCCGGCTTCACGAGGCGGAGCGTCTGGGTCAGATTAGCGCGCGTGTTGCGGCCTGCGCCCGCGAGCATGAGGCGTTGGTGGACGAGGTCGAAGGAGCCGAGAAGTTCTTGCGGCCACGGCTCAAGGAAGTTTTGGATCTGGAAGCGCATGCCCTCGCTGGGATGGGCTGGGAAATGGGCGTCGAAGAGGTCGATCCCGAGGATGCTGTCCGTCTGACGAGCGCTCGAGGGAATGAAGTTGTTGGACAAGTCGACCAGGAATGTGCCATCGTAGGTACCGATATCAAGGATGTGGAGATGAGGTTTGGTAAGGTCGATTGGGGCGAGGATTAGTTTGTTGCCGTTTGCAGCTTTGAACATGTCGTGTTCGTCTCGGAGACGCTGGCCTTCCGCGTCGGACTCTGGGCGGTATTCGGGCGCTTTGAATTCTTGTTCTGATGACATTTTGGTTTGGTTGTGGGTGGGTTTAGAATTGTAGATGCACTGTGTGGGTACGTGTAGTAGCACTTATAAGCCACTTTGAGATTAACAGGACGTACTTTGCGGAGACATACCGGAAACTTTCTTGTGGAGATCCCTAGTCTAATTCGGGGCTGCTTTGCGTGATTCGTCGGCGCATCCCAGGAATATTTGATCTGATCCTAGAGCTTCTCCGCGATATCTCGGTGACCTCCGGAGGCGAATCTAGTAGTCCAATTCCGCACTCTCCCACCTTATGACCTCCTGGCCTGCGATGATATATCTGTCGAGCTTAGTGGATTGACTTAATCACCTCCTATTACCTTCCTAACTTGCAGAGACCTGGGAAAAGTTATTTTTGGTTTCAGTCTACCTCTTATCACCGCGCATTCTCTCGCACGGGATGAGATAGCGTCCATAGGCACTAGTCTAAGTCCAAGTTTGCCACCCTCCCTTTCCATGTCCAACTGTAGGCCCGCGAGAGCATCCCCGCCAGCAGCTGGTACTGGAGCCTGTGGACTCCCGGGTGAGGTGATAAGTCATCGATCCTGCGAGTCGTTTGGGAAAATCCATGCCGGACCTATCTCCTTATACCATCTCATCGCCACTTCAGAACCCTGCTGCTGTTCTTGTCATCCGACCTATAGGTGAGCTTCCAGTTGTCACCGCCAAGGCTCCACTAGCCAAGGTCCCCTGGTTCAGCACCGGCACTAAGACTATGGCAAAGGCGTTACGACGGAATGTTGAGCACACCGTGGAAAGAGTCAAGATGGGAGAGGATCTATTGTCCAATGAATGATTATGGTTGCAAACTCGACCTCATCAGTCGCTTTATAAGTGTTTAAGGTGCGAGGCATCTCCTCCCCCAGAGAGAAGACCTCAGTAGGCAGCAACATCATCATAGCCTCATGTCCAAGCCACCTTCAGGCCCAGCTCCGTCTCGCCACCAGCACGGCTGTTGAGGCTTCCATGTCTTCCTTCGAGGCTCTCTCCCGGTAGAGGTGGTTTCTATCCTGTGGCGTAGGCCAGTGGAAGCCCAGCTACAAACAGGAGGTCTTGGATCGAGACAGTCCTTTGCCTCAAACGGTGTCTGCCTCGACTCAAAGACACTGCCCCTAAGGAACTGGCCACTAAGAGGGGAGAGGTCTCATCTAACGGACCGACCTGACCGTTTCCTAAGTAGGACCCCTGATCCACACGGGCGGTTGTGTCGTTGCCAGGCACTTGCCTTTGCTCTTGGACATCTACTTTGTACCTGCCCAACTAATGCATGAGCAACTCATATCTTCAGCATTGGTGGTTGGTTCCCGGGTCCCGAGACATGCCTCAGGATCAGGCATCCTTTATCCCTCGTAGTATTCCTCTGGCCGTGGCAGCTGAGTCAAGCAAGAACCGGGGGTGTTATAAGATTGCTAATAGATTTAGCTCCAGTAAGGACTTCGGGCTAAGTCTAATAAGATAGAGAGTCGCATAATAATGAGAATGGCTTCAGCTTCCTCAGTAAGGACATCTGGCTGAGCCAACAAGACCGGGAGTCGCATGAAGCTAATGATAGATTTGTGCCTCTATGGGCACTTCTGACGCGTCCTCGTTCATGCGTCCTCGAAGGAAGATTCATGCACACTGCCCTGAATCAGTTAGGGAAGCGGTCCGGACCCGGGAGAGTGTAAGTCAGGCTCTATCCGAGGCTCGCGTAACGTTGGTGATGGATTCTGCCTCGACGGCGCGTCTTAGCCACTGTAGGAAGGTGCGTCATTTATGCTGCGGGTTCCCGAAGAGGGAAGGGTTGGCGGTTGGGATTATGGGAGGCGCAAAACGGACCAAGTAGGAGCCTGGGTATGTGGCAGCGACACATAAATCACACGGACCCATATTTTAGGACCTTGGGTGGCGATGAGGTGGTGATGTAACCCCCAAGGGAGAAACCCGTCGGTTCGATACACTCACTGGCGGAGGGAATGGATCCCTTTAGTGGGTGTATGGTGTGAATTTTCTAGGGGGAATAGGCTCGCATTATTACTCTTCTATCAGGAATCCGTTTAGCCTTCGTAGGAACAGCACGGCACGCCTTCAATTTTTTGGCAATGATACAGTTTCTGGGCCCCAGACGACGTTGGAACCTATCAGCCACTCATGGCGCTACCCTTGCACGGATGATAAAGTGGCGCAGATCAGCCTTGGGCTGTTTTCCATCAAGGGTAAGTTTACTCGAGAATTGGGGCCCTGATACTAGAACCTGGCAGGCCTAAGGGCCCGGAAATGGGCCTTCTGAGGCAGGGTGAATACAGGGCCCAAAACTGGGTTCCAACGAGCTGCTCAGTCGCGGCTCAGGATGCGCTCACTCAGCACAGCCACAGCTCAGGCTGGAGCATGAGCAGCTCAGGTTCCTGAACGGGAAAGGAAATTGCTTGGGTGCACATTGGGATATCGTACTACCTGTTTCACCACCCGAATCTTGACTGTCCTGCCTCACGTGGCCCTACACCGCTTTTACTCAGGCCGGCTCAAACCCTGCTCAGCTTTGGCTCAGGTCTTCTCACCGCGCCGTAGCAGAGATAAAAGAAATTACCATCTTTTAACGAGAGGGCCAAAATAGGTTCCACGCGGGATGACCCGCAAAATCTATACTACCATCAGGGCTTCTACCTAGTATAGTAGACTGCAAGACTCGTCTGCCAGGTAGAAAGCGTTGGGGCCGCTGGGAGCAGTTAAAGAGGACGAAGTAGAGGAACGAATAGCTTTTGCGTTGAAACGCTTAGGCGTCCTTTTGGCAGGGCTAATAGGATATGAAGCTAAACACGTTAAAATCGCTGGAGGTGCGAATGTGGGAATAGTCAGGATTGTCTGGCTGAATGGAGCGAGTGAGGAATCCGCGAGGGAAGGCATGATGCCGCTTTAGACTAATACGCTGATGCTGCCTCACTGTCCGTGAGCGCAACACCGCTCAATTTCTCCACTGCTGAATTCCCATTCCGGCCAGCCAATTTTCTCAATTTATCCGTATAACAAACATAGAGCTTATTTCAAAATACGATTGTTTCTGGCAGCGCTCAATAGGTTTTAGAATATCTTATAGCAGCAATGAGGTAACTCCTATAACTCAGGTTGCAAATTGACGTGAACTCTGTCTTATTTCGGGGGCCCGAAGGCCAAACTATATACTACGTAGGAAGTGACTGTATGCGTAGGCAGAAGCACTAATTGGAGGCAGCAGTAGGCAGCATTAGGCAGGGTAGGCCACCGTACCCCAACCCCTCTCTGTAGAAGTTGTAACTGGCTAGGCATGTAGGCAGCTACTATGCCAGCAACTCCAAGTCTATACTATAACGACTTCGGTGAACTCGCATCCCAGTATATATCCCTTGGCCATGGAGTGGCCTTCTCACCCGCTACAGTTCAAAATACCAATTCTTCTAAATGAAAAATCAGATCTGTCCAATAACCTCAGCACTAACAAGCTCATAATCCTACTATGATATCCTTGCATAAGCACAGGCAGGCACATAACCTTTGTTCCGCTGAGCCCTTCGAGCTCTTCTACGGCATCGATTGAAACCCTGAATCTCTCTTCTTTCCCAGCTTGACTAAGTAGAAGAGCTTGATATCACGACTCCCACGGAGGGAGGCCACATTCACTGACATCCTCATCCTCGCTTTTCTCCTGTTGCTGCAGCAGTAGCAGCTACCGCTGCTACACTGCCGTCGACTTGCACCAAGTTGTAGAAGGTACTGTGAAGAGTTGGCAAGAATAGGGAGGCGAATGCCAGGAGCGAAATCGGTCCGTCAGTGGTGCATGTCCACGTCACTAGACTGTCAGCCGAAGACCCAGGAGCGTCTCTCAGTGCCGAGACAAGAAGGAGGACGTAATAGCTCGGCGTAAGACATCCAACCATTCACCAGGATGCAAGCAAGAAAAGCGTGCTGCAGCCGTGACAGATTGACCGCCATCGAGACGCCCTTCAAGCCGCAGACGTCCTTCGCATAAAGTCGTCCTCGTACTCAAGAGGCGAGCTCGCTGGATCTGGCGCAACTAATGTAGGTTAATGCAGCTGCGGCGCCGTACTGTCGTTCTGCAAGAACTGCATGGACTACGCGGGCTGCAGGCTGACAAGATAGCTTGCAAAATGGAGATCGAATTCGTGCGCAGCGAGGCAAAATCAGCAGCTGCGGGGGTGAGGCATTTTTAGTGATTGAGCATATCGCAGCAGGTTGCGACGTGATCTCACAAGCCTCCGTGGAGATTTGTATGCGCAAACGGCCTACGGCATTCGCCGTCGTATTGTCATATCGTTAGGCCGGTGCTAATTATACGACCCTATATTGCTAATTCTACGACCCCCCTTAAGCGAGACGCTCTGATTGGCCACATCACCCGGGCCGATGTATCCGGAGCACGTGTTAGGCCTGTAGATGTATATATCACAATAATATGAGCCCCTGGGCAAGCGTTTTAGAGGTAGTAGCTGCCAACAATCCAGTGAATAGGGCAATTGCTGCAGCCCGTACTCGTGCAGGTGGGCGTGGAGGTGGACAAGGTGGTGCCCGTGGAGGACGTACGCCGACAGGAACACGCCAAGACACAGCCAATTTGAGGGTATTTAGTCAAGAGGAGGCCTACAGCAGTACAGCTCTGTCAACACCTACGCAGCGGCTCACTCAGGAGGTCAACGTTGTTCAAGAGACTCAGTTCACGTTTCAAATTGACCCTCAGCTCACGCAGCCGAGCCAGCTCACGCAGCCCAGCCTTACGCAGACTAGCCAGCTTACTAACCAAACTCAACACCAAGCTACAGCTCCTAAGCGTCGTGGGTGCCCTCGCAAGAACCCAGAGGACGGCGTACAGAAGGCCCCGCGGAAGACAACAAAGAAGGTTGCCTTGGCAGACCTGAAGCGACAACTAGAGGCTTCTAACGTAGCCAATATAGCCCTTCAGCGTCGCCTAGAGGTCATGGAGAGTACAGAGGGGCGTGTGGAGGGGCGTGAGGTGCGTGTAGGAGGGCAGCCAGGTGTTGAGGCTGCACCGTGGCTTCGCGACCCACTGCTGGATGAGCTTGAGGGTGAGTATGGTGCCGAGATGTAGGAGGCGATGGAGGGGCACGGATTGCGATGGAAAAGGGCGCCTACAAGGTGCGATTTTGACGGTTTTGGCATGCTTGTAGGCCTCTGGGCACTGTACATAGCTATACAGCACATAGCTCAACTGACGGCTCATATTATTGTGATATATACATCTACAGGCCTAACACGTGCTCCGGATACATCGGCCCGGGTGATGTGGCCAATCAGAGCGTCTCACTTAAGGGGGGTCGTAGAATTAGCAATATAGGGTCGTGGAATTAGCAATATAGGGTCGTAGAATTAGCAAAAGGGGGTCGTATGATTAGCACCGGCCTATCGTTATTGGTGCGACGGGCGGTCCACATCCCCATGCTCATCACATGCGAGTGGAAATAGCTTGCCGTGCCAGCTGAATTGTGTTGCATTAGGGCCGCCATCCATGGCCCACGCCCTGCGTATTCATCCCGTATTGAAGCGTGATTGCCATGCCAAGCGTTCGGAACATTCGAGCAGGAGACGGTGCATGGGATTGGTGCTGGAGTTGGGATTAGGAGCAGGGCTAACAGTCGAAGGCGAAAGCGGGATTTGGAGGTGGGGACCCCGAGCTAGAAAAGGGCGAAGAAGATCGAGAGGAAAGGTCGATGGCGGTACAGAAAGTAGTCCCTGATAAACTGAACCGGCGGTGAGCGGTAGGGGGGCGAGTAGAATCGATTGAATTCGAGTTGGAGTGATCGCAGTGTTGCTTCGGAGGGGGCGAATGAAATTCGGAATTGGAGGAGTGGCGGAGTAAGAGTGGCTATCGGACGGTCATGCGCTCATGCGGAGCACGGGAAGGTGAGAGCAAATGAGAAGGGAAGGGAAGGTAAGGAATGTTGAGCAAGTGATTGTGTCTGCTTTTTTCATTGTCTGGCTATGGATGGGCGGGGTGCCTCATATATGTATCCATTCTCACCCCTTGTCACATCGTTTCAGCCACCATTAACCGTGACATTCAACACTCCCACTCGATGGCTATCTTCACTAGGAAGAGTGCTAGCGACAATTTGTCACGGCTCTGACAGACCCCGTTAAAACCTTCAAAAACCTTGAAGGCAAAAAGAGAAGGAAAGGGTGCCTGTGTTCTGCCTCCGCTCGAAGCTGATAGTTCGTGCGGATCACTCGATACCTAGCCCTCTCCGAAACCATTCAAATCTGTCTCGTGCAAGAGGCTTGGTAAATCCATCGGCGATTTGTGCTGTAGTTGGAACATACTTCAGTTCAACTGTTCCAGCGTCTTGAACCTCTCCTTGCCACTTGCGCTGGATTTCCATATGCTTCGTGCGTGAGTGGTACTGTGGGTTCGAGGATAGAGCGATAGCTCCCTGGTTATCGCTATATATAATTGTTGCGGCTTTTCCTTGGCCTATATTTAGCTTATTAAGGAGTCTTCTTAACTAAATTGCCTCCTTAGTTGCTTATATCTGTCCTATAAATTCTGCTTTACAGGTTAATAGAGCGACAACGCTCTGGCGCTTGGACTGCCAGCTAATTGCTCCGCTCCTAATGTTAAACAGGTATCCAGCTGTTAATTATCTTATATTGCGACATCCAGCCTAGTCTGCGTCTGTAAAACCCTTTAACATCTAGAGGTAACCTTTATATATAAGTTTAAGATCCCTTATACCTTTAAAGTACCGCAGGATGTATTAAGCAAGCTTTATATATTATAGCCTAGGATTTGCTAGATACCGGCTTACTATAGAAACTGTATATATAATATCTCTTCTAGTTCTAAGCATAATATATATTAGAAATCCTATAATACGTTAGTATTCCGCTTTTTAATTTAGAGGGCAGTTATATTCTAGGATATTCTTTAATAGTAGTAAGGTTTCTATTAGCGTGCTAATAGAAGCGCAGTTGTTAATTCCGAACTAATAAACAACCTTATTAATATAAGCTTTTTAACTTAGGTATAGTATCCTGTTCTAATAGTCTTGCTAGATAGATATCCTAAGGTAGTAGCTATATAGTTTAAGGTCTGTTATTTAGAAACGGTTTCTTAGGCCTCTTTTAATTCTCTTAATTTCTGCAATACTTAGTCTAATAATTAGAAGGTTATTAATATATACCGCAATATATATATTGCTTTATATAAAAATTCTAAGGTCGGCGTTAATTAGTTTAAAGCTAAGACTATATAAAAAGTTTATAAGGGTCTAATACTAAATATAAGGAGCTTACTTTAGGCTGTAGAGTGCTTTCCGAAGTTTATAGACTTTTAGTATGCCGTCTGCTATATAGTATAGCTGTTTAATATAGATTTTATAGTCTATATTACTATATAAAAAGGCTGTTTTAATATTTATTTATTTAATCTTAAGGCCTAAGGCGGCCGCAATTATAAATAGAGCCTTATAGCTTATTAGCTTAATAATAGAGGTAAATATTTTATTATAGTTAACGCCCTTTTCTTAAGTAAAGCCCCTAACTACCTATCTACTTTTATAGCAGATAACTTTTCTATATAGTTTTTACTTAAGCTTAAAAACCTATTTACTACTAAAAACCTGTTAATTTCTAGAAGGGTTAATAAGCTCCTATATTTTATTTTATTTAAGTAAGTTAGCTTTTTTAAGTATTACCTTTTCCTATTTAGGCTAGCTTATATTATTCTTTACTTAGTAAATAGTTTTTAGTTTAAAGGGTTCTATTTTTTCCGCAGCTACTATTAAAAATATTAGGAGTAACGTATTCCACCACCGAGCCGGCCAAACCACCGAGCCGGCTACTTTTCCTTAGCACAACCAACACCATATGCGCGCAGTTAATTTATTCGCAACTAGCTATAGAACTTATATACAACACACTTAGATTAGATTTAGAAGAAGCTTCTTAATCCTTTTTACACGTACGCGTATTATGCCCAGCCTTTCTATAGTTTCTATAGCGCCGTTAAGCTAGTAGAGCCCTATTTACACTATTTCTACTACCCACCTTTTTCCGTAGATTAGATGCTCTAGACACTTTAGCAGCTATATATAACGCTGCTGTACTATACTCTATTATACCGCCAGTCTGGATTTGCTTTCTTTTACAACCTTTACGCTTGGTTATCTCTGCTAGTTGCTCTTTAAGCTCTTTAACCCGGGCTTTAATAAGCATATTTTTGTGTAGTATTTCTTCGGCTCCTTTAATAAGCTTTAAGAAGCCTTTTTAGGCGGTTGTTAGTAACTATATAAAGGAATTGCTTACTAGCCTTAACTATAATCTAAATTTATATATATTACTTAGGGTCTTTAATTACTATAGTATTTCTAGTAGAGGTGCTAGTAGTAGGGTCTATAACCGTATATTAAGGCGATTAAAAACTACTTATATATTAATAGGAACTAATCTAGAGGCCTTAAAGGCCTTCTTACAGTTTTTATATATAAATATATTAAAAAACACGTCTTTAAAGGCTAGTAGGAAGCCTTCTTTATTAATATAGTAGACGCGTTGGCGTGCTAAGTCTTATATATATTAAGAGTACTTTAGCTTTAATAGCAAGAAGTATACTATATTAAGTGGCTAAAGTATATACAATAAATACGCAGGTATATAGAAGGTAAGGATTTATTATTTAATATAATAATCCTTAAAATCTTAGTTAAGGTGGCTCTTATAGCCGTCTAAAATTAGCAACCTATATAACCCTACCTAACGCGCCTTTATATATATATTAAAGTGCTTTAACTACTTAAGACTAAGCTTATTATTAGTCTAGCTATTCTTAGAGATAGAGAGCTTCTAATTATATAGTATCTCTGCTTTCTTATACTATATAGAGATATAAACGCGTCTTTTATAGATAATAAATAGTAGGGTTATATATCCGGCAGCGCAGATGCTCTAGATAACTATAACCTACTCTTAGTTGCCTAGTTAAATAAGATTAGGCCTTGTATATTTCTCTAAACCTATAATAACCTTTATTATACTAATTATACCTATTTAAAAGCTAGTCTTATTAAAGTTATAGATATTATCTAGGTGGACGCTATACTTAGCTATAGTTTTTTGCACGAAAGTAAACTATATATTAATAACTTCTAGGTCTTCCTAAAGTATTCTCTAGCGGTCCTTTACCTAATTAAAAGCTATTTTAAGCTCCTTTATATAAGATATAAACTATTAAGTCCAGTTCTTGCCTACTAGTGTTCTACTACGCGCAGCTAGTACTTTATCTGCTATATCTGCCACCTTATATAACCGGGGCGCAAATCCTCGCGAGTTTAGGTTAAAAATATATTGTATAATCGTGTGCTTTTCGGTCGCAGTAAGCTTTAGGCAGTTTGGTCGTGATTAAGGTCGAAATGTAATTCCGTGGAGCCGATTAGAGAGCTGCTAATATTATACGTTAAAGGCTGCTACAGCGCGTCGTATAGTCCTAAATTAACTAGAGGTAAAGGCTTAAAGCGCGAGATTAATACTGCCTTCTTACTAAGATAGATAATCGCTGCGTTATTAATATATTGCTGTGTGAATATAGTGTTGGTTATGCTAAGGAAAAGTGGCCGGCTCGGTGGTTTAGCCGGCTTAGTAGTGGAATACGTTATATTACCTTTAGGTATATTTATTAGCGCAAGTTTTTCTATACTATTATTAGATATATCTAATATAGCCTGCAGGATGCGGATTCTAAGTTTAGGGTAATATTCTAAGGCTTCTTACCTTACTTTATAAACTGGGCGATTAAGCTAAAGTTTTAGATATTATTACTATTCTCTTAAAGCTTAGTTATATAGAGCGTTATTCTATTACTAGCTGCTATTAGGCAGTAGATTATCTCTTTCTAGAGTATCTAAAAATAACCTAAAAGTATTATTACTTCTAAAAGGTAATAAGGTCCTGTCTTCCTGCTTAGCAACTAACTGTAAGTTATTATTACTTAATTAGGACAGCGCTCCCTTTTCTAAGTTATTATTACTTAGTTAAGATAGCGTTTACAAGTCTTTATTACTTATTTAAGGTAATATTTGCAGGTTTTTAGTGCCCGCCTAAAGTAGTATTTATAAGTTTTTAGTACCTGTATAAAGTAATATTTATAAGTTCTTATTACTTATTTTAGAAAAGGCTTGCTTTAGTGCTACTATAGATGCGTAATATCTA